TTATAATAAGAATTTAAACTAGTATCTAGTAAATAATTTTAAAAACTTTTTTTAATAATTATAGAATTTTTATTAATAATATTTTAAGTAATCTAGATTTCTATTAAGATTATAAGAATAATTAATAGTTATAGAGTATAATACTTTCTTAGAGAATTATCTAGATAATAATAGATTATAAGACTGGATAAGTTAGAATAGCTAAGGACAGCTATTTCTAAAGAAGAGATAATATAATAGTACAGTTACTATACAGGCTGCTAAGTTTATAGTAAATATCAGTAAGTAGTATATGATTCTTATTTATTCTGTTTATATTTAAGATAGACAATATCTCAGAGCTTTGCTTATGGGATATTCTCTTCTTCAAGCAATTCTCTCATATTAGAGCTACCCAATAAGATCAATCTATCTACATTGGCCTGAGCTGTCACAGCAGCTATAGAATCTAGTTTATTATCTTATTAATAAGCAGGACCTCTTTATATAGCTTAATATTAAGAAAGCTATAAAATTTACTATAGTCTAGATAAAGTATATCTATAATAGATATTATTAATCTATTAAATTTAATATTAATAACTATATTTATCTTTAACTATACTGTGATTATACTATTCTGATTACTTATCAAGATTATTCTATTAAGTTTTAAGATTAGTATATAGTTAATGACCTGTAATAATACAGCATGACCTATTAAGCAGTATAGCGCAAAGTATTAATAGAAGGCTGTAAGAATCTTATTAATAATTGTAACTATAAAAATTACTGATAGCTCTACTTTTTTAATTATTCTTGTTGGGTGCTTCTGTTTATGGTGTAGATTGATTGATTTCTTCAAGCTGCAGGAGCAGGATGTTGGTAAGTTCTACATACAAAGCGGTGAAAGGGGCGGTACAGCAAGGCAGGCAGAAAGGAACGAGTTGGAACGAGAGCAACACGGAGACATAATAGTGGAATAGAACCGCAACAATTCTACTATATCAAAATTGCTGATAGTCCTGCTTTTCTCTTATTCAACTTATTAACAAGGATGTTGACTTTTATTGTACCCCCAACTGTTGCGCTTCCACTATCTTTATTCACTACTGCCCCCGTTCCTTTCTGCCTACCTTGCTGTACCGCCCCTTTCACCGCTTTGTATGTAGAACTTAGCAGCATCCTGCTCCTGCAGCTTAAAGAAATCAATCATTCCACACCATAATCAGAAGCACCCAACATCCGCCTTCGATAAGGTGCGCTAGACAAGGGTCTGTAACAAATAGATTCAAACTGGATTACCCTGGTAATAATTATACAATACAGCCCAATGACCTTAGCACTGTTGGCTGAGGGCAGCCAACACCTTAAAGAGGGGGTAATATCAGGGCCTAGGCCAAATCCTGCCTGAGGTACTAAGTCTGCTCTATCCACTGTTGATCTGATCCTATAATACAAGATCCCACAGTTTTTATATAATAGAATTCTTTCTTTCTGTCTCTCTTCCTTCTCTACATTCGATGTTTCGTTAGATCGCCACCTTAGATACAATTTAAAAGGTGTACAGGGTCATCACACTCCGGCCTGTCAGTTCTGATTTATAGAGAGTGAGGTTGCAAGTTCCGTAACAGATTCCTATTCTCTCCCTATAGTTAGGGTAGGATGGAAAACAGGATACCGAGAGGGAAATAAGATAGGAAATGGGATACCAAGATTGGCACGGGTCACGGGACATCCCATTCCCGTCCCATCCCGTCCGTCCCCAACGGTCAGGCTAATCGTAACAGTCATGTGAGTGTCCTAGGGGCCGGTTTCGGCTGCCTTAGCCCTCCATGGGTAAATAATATCATGAGTAATCCTTCAAGTGCCTTTTTGGTTATCGTCACCCTATCGATTCTGCCTCGTGCGTCCGCCTTCGATAAGGTGTGCTAGACAGGGTCACCTGTGGGTCATGTGGCTGCTTAGTTTCTAACATATATATTTAATAACCATGACCCAAGTTAAAATATCATCATAGTAGGCGTACACAGATCACGCAGCCATGAAACTTTTACAGTGGTGGTGGTTTATGTGGACTCGGCACTCACATGACTACTAATTCCATTAGTCAGCAGGAACGTGGAGCACGACCAAAAAAAGGAGGCCTCGTTATCTGCAACCACGAGTAGAATTATAGTATTAAATTATATTAAGTTAAGTATTAACTAAGTGTTTGGACAATATTATAATACTTGGATTAGAAACAGAACCAGACTGTAAATTAAAGTGGACTAGAACCTCCAATTACCCCACCCCCCTGTAAATGAACCCCGCACTTGTATTGAGCAACCATGAGGTCATTGAGTCCTGTTGTCTTGGCATGGTGTATGTAGTATTTGATCAGTATGCAGCATATGGGATGCTGTTGTTCTCCCACCCTACTCCTTGATAATTGATGTTGCTTGCAACTTCCAACCCCCCCACCTTGGATACATACATGTATATGTATTCTGACCCATACTATCGCAACAGCCAACTCATCTCATTGGCATATATTGTCAATATATTCTCGTCATAGCGACTGTTATGCTATACAGGCTATTAAGGTGCATAGACTCCATACCTTAAATGGTCTTTGTGCAAGACCTTCTTCACAACTTAACGTGCATGTTCAGGATGTGACCATCTGTGCGTGGCATGGCCAACTAAAGCCCAGTAGTCTCTTGGAGTTCACTGCGTGCTCACATTGTATACGCCAGAGGCTTGAACAGGGGTGAGCTCGAGGCTCACGAGGAGGGCTAGCTATTTTGTCGCATTCGTTCTGCAGCTTGAAACAGGAGCCTGCTAATAACTTCCAATACTCCAGGTATCTTTGACCTTGCATTCCTCGGTGAGCAGGTTGATCACCTCGACAGAGGTGGATGTTCCCACAAGTATATTAACACCTTCCTCCCAACGCTCTGCCCAGTATTATATTAGACACTAACATATCTTCAGTGACACGCTCCCACAAAATGAACGACCGTGACTATTCTGGACTCCATGATAGAGTAGCTTTGCCTGAGGAGCATATTCCTCGCTACTTTGCAAAATCTGGTCCTGTTGATACTGATCCTCGGAAGACCAAGAAAGATGGAGGGGGAAAGAGAAACTGGTGAGCATCTTTAACCAACAAATATTTATTGGGTGAGCTTTATTATCATATTGAGCCCTTTGCTAACTCTAAGGTTAGGGGTCGATCGGGCGATGAAGTCCACGACTATGAGTACACCTTTACAAATGCCCGGCGCCATTCTAATAGCAGCACCCAAGGCATAGCGGATTTTAAAACCAAGTTCGAGACAGCTGACCAAGAGCCAGTATTTGAGGAGAGTGTACATGGGCCACAGGATGATGATAGTCCACTGGATGGGAGCCAAGTTACCAAAACTGACAGTGCCATTACTAGTGGTACTCGTGATGGTATCAGTAAGTCACTGAGGTAGGGCATGGACCTGGATACCGTTTCTGCATATTCCTGCAAATGTGGATAGAGATATCTACTAGAGTCCCATAATTTTAAGAGCTCTTTCATTGGTATGAAGTACCACGACTCCAATATAGCCTAGGCTGTTACGAGTTTTTAGACCTATAGCAAATGCTATATTCAGAATGTCTAACGTAACAAAGAAACGATGGACGATCAGATACTGAACAAAGATATACGAAGACTGCGGGGTAAGCAACTTCACCCTCTGCTCCCTGTCGGATTACATGGAAAAGGTGTAGGAGCACGATAGCTGGCTATAACAGCTCTAGTTTGCGATAGTCCAGAATAACTAGTACCGTAAGAGAACCCCGAGTGACAACTACTCCGCAGACCCGGATAGCGGTGCGGCAACCAAAGGGTTAAAGCCAGCTCAACCGCGCCTTATTCGATTCTTTTTGCTGCGGGGACAGTTCTCCGACCTGGTTGTCGTGGCTGGATTCTTCACAAGTAATGCCAGGGACTGTAGATGATGCAGACTCCTCCGCGGAGGCTAGAAGATTCTTAAACCAGAAGTCAAGGTTTCCCTTTTCCACATGTTCACACAAAGTATCATTCTCCCTCTCAAGATCATGAACGATACGTGACCGCTGTTCTAAACGGAAACGTGCCGAAAGAAGTTCGGAATCTGATCCAGTTAATAACACATCGTCTGGTGAACTAGGAATGTACAGGGATGTGTAACTGGCGTCTTCATTAAGCCCTGTTAGTTGGGGTTAGCTTTTCCAATGACTGCGACTGGCCTTAAAAGCATCACTCACTGTCTCTGAGGCATAGACCCAAAGTACGGAAAAGGGCCGTATCATAAAGATATGGCTCACGTACATTCTCCACGTTCTCAGACGCTTTTCCTATAGCCACCCAGTTGTCTTTTATCATACATCTTCGCCACACTAGTTTCTGCAGAGCCACATGGTCGATTGAATCTTGTTGAGCACAAGCTCCGAGACAAATGACACGCAAGGCCAGATAGAACTCTTTCCCGGATAATTCTGATTGGCTGTATTCCGGTGCTTGGGTAGCATCCATTAATGTTAATAAATCGACTAGTTGATTAACATCAATGACTTGCCTAGTGACGACTCTTGCGAGAGTTTCACTAAGCAGTTCACGTAGGGAAGGCCTGTCTTCAGCAATCAACTTCCCAAAGTGTTCAATTGCTAGGTCGATCTCGGCCTTTTGATCGATTGCACCTTGCAACGCTGGGGAGATACAGGCGTAAATGACTTCTTGAACGGCATCTATTTCCGAAAGATCTTCCAAATGTCGTATGTCACTGTGTAGAGCTGAATGACTTGGTGTATTGGCCCCTTCCCATGTTGCTAGTTTGGCAAGTTTTGCCAAAGATAGTTCGACACGATGACTCCATAAATCGGATTCACCCCCTATAGCCAGTTTCTCCAACGACTGGGCAGCAGCATTATAATCATTCTCACCAATCACGTCATTTATCCAACCTAATCTGGAATAGGCTGCGTCCCTTCGTAAGAATTGAGTGATAAAAGGCTGGAATTTCCTCATCGCAAAAAGTATTCCCGACTGATGCATCGATATTTGCCGAGAAAAGAAAGCATCTGCCCATGATTCACCGAATTTGTCGAAATAATGTGATATTTTTCTGTTGAGATGATCGGATTCGTAACTGGTAGTATCTGATGAACCGTGAAGCGAATTTTGCGGGAAGATTTCGCATTTTGTTTGATCTTGAAGTTCAATGATGAGTTCTACCAATGCACTCATGTCTCGAAAACTCTCGGCCAATGTAATGGCATCCTCTAGACGTCCAATACCCGCCAGTTTAAACAGCTGCCATTTGCGTTGTTTAGCATGGGCCTGTTCATTAGCAATACTCTCATCGACCAATTTTGGATCGTCCTGAGCAGAGAGCCATCGGACCCGCTCGCGATGCATTTGGCCTAGGACATAAAGCTGCCTGGCACTATTTCCTGCAATTCTCTTCACTATCAGGCTCTCAGGAGCTTCGGTAACGGATATTGTTTGTTGGATCCAAGCCCTGCAACTATCGAGTTCTAGATCCAACAGATGACCCATCTCAACGTAGCTAAAACTTTGAGATGTCCAGAATTCAGGAAGGTCTTTAAAACCAGTTACCAGTACGCCGTCTTCGAGATATCCGTCACAAATACCATACTGACTGGAGTGTTCATCGCGGTATCGAAATGCAGTCTCTAAAACAGCTAAAGAAAGCTCACTTGCTTCCAGTATTTGTTCTGAGATCTTTCGTCCCTGTCTTGAAGAGTGCCCCTTCTGTGGCTTAATGGTATTGTATATCCACGGAACGATATGCCCCATTCGAAATGTATCGTATAGAAACCAGTTGCGGACGAAGTCAATTTCACCTTCTTGCTTCGCGACTTGCGTTTTGAATTTGTCGCTCATCGAATCGATGACGTGGGCCAAAAACGTCGGTCCCTTCCCCTTGATTTTTCTAGAATTCTCCTCTATCTTCCACATAGCTCTTTGGGCTGCGAGTTTCTCAGCACCCCATAACAATTCCCACCAAGTCTGTTGGCTCAACGACTTATTTTGTTGCACCAAAAGATATGCCAGATCATCCAGAGCTTTTGCCCTCGATCGTAGATTTTGTTCTAAAGAGATTCCTGTCGTTGGAATGAACCTTGACGTGGATTTCAGCAATTCTTGGCAAATATCCAACGCAGCTTGCTCGATATCTTTAACAGGGAAATCCAGACTGCCTTTGTTAGTTAGATTCAGTGGATTTCCGAGCATGGTGCCATAGAATATGGCTTGTTCAATCTTGTGCTTGGCGGTAATTCGAACCTCTTCAGAGACTGAATACGGGTTTTGGCGCGGTAATGCCGTAATGCGGATGATACCAAAATCTCGGACCATTATCAAACATGTTGAGCATGAGTAGTCATCGGTATTGTCCTCCATGCCACAGCCTAGTATTTCATAGGCTTTCCCTGATCGGAAGTTGATGGTGTCTTGGAGAAGCTGCGGCTGTCCATGTTGCGTGGACTGGTCTTTGCTTGATATCGACGATAACAATACAACAGAGTGATCCATCACAATGAACGCTGTATCGCCGGGCTTGGGAAGAAATAATTTCGGCTTCGAACCTAGACCTGCAGGGACTTCATGCAACTCAATAGAGTGGCTGGACAGGATAAGAACTTTCTCGGCTAGATCAATTTGCACAAGGCAGACACTTTGCGAAATAATCCCGTATGGAGCTACAAGAAGCGATATATGCCAGGACGGTTCTGGTCCGTTAGCCCGTAGGTCGCGATCATTGCTTTCAACCGGCAAAAGTGAAAAATCCAAAATCTTGATCGCAGAGTTGTCAGATCCGTTCGAATATTCTGTGCCAAAGAAGTCGCATAAATCATTTGTTATATCATATTGTTTCTTCAATATACTCCCGTTATTCCAATGCGTGTCCCAAATCTCGAAGAGACCACCTGATGTGGCGATTATGATGTCCCGCTGCCCTCGTTGATGGGAGTCACCAGCTCTGACGGCAGCAAGGTCTTTTCTTGAGAATCCTCCACCTAGGACGTTTCTAATACCGCCGAAAAACCCCATTCTCCCAAGTCCTGACGTATTCCGAAGGAAGTTCACAGTCACTGCTGGCTTTCCTTGCGGATCCCGAACAGTTATATGAGCGACTCTTCCAGACGATAATGTGACGATGACACCAGCAGGCTCGCCATTCACGAGATCCGTAACATGTTCGCCTGAGAGCAAGTTTGGTATGCAACCCTGGATTGCCTTGTGTTTCTGCCTGGCTAGACCCAATGCTGCGGCACTTGAGACTGTTTCCCAGTATACGATCTTCCCTGTATTAGGTGTGATAACCATCAATCCTGGGACCCCGGCCGCAACAGTAGATAAAATGATTCCAAGAGGAACTGGCCCATTAGGCTCTCTACAAGATTCGGGTATAGGAAGACTAAATACATCAGTAGGAGAGGGTGAAGAGGCTGCGGTCGAGTATGGCCAGATGATTGCATGTGAGTATGTCATGGCTACAGCGTAGCCATTGCTACTACCAAAGAAGCATCTGAACGATCCTACGCACTTATATTAATAACAAAGCTGAAGGAAGAATGATCTGTACTTGCCTGATTGTAGGCCGCGGATCTGATCCGGCAAGGTTGGTAATTGCAAAACATTGTAGAAGTCGGTTTGGGACTACGTGCAATAGCATCACCGAACTGTTATTCTCAATTCTATGAGAGTTGAATTCTTGTTAATCACAACTTACAAGCACAATGGTTCCGTCACTCTCACCCCGTCTCTCTGGCTTCTTGAGGCCTCTAATTGGCATGTTCTCTTGAAATGTAGGACTGTCTACCATTTTGCGGCCAAGCTCTTCAGAAGCAATAGATGTTCGACGATCCCAAGGCTCGTGCAGCTCGCCTTGATTATCTGAATTGAATTCTGAATCATCATGACGCAGACTAGACCGTTGCCTTTTAGCTTTGGGTGGGTTGACCGATTCATCGGAGCTTGTACGTTGCCGTCTTCGAGGATTGCGTAAGGAGGCTGCTGACGAAATCGCAGCTTTTGGCACGAACATTGTCGAGGTCACTTATCGTAGAGATGGACACTGTGAGATCATGTAGTGTCCCAACCATCAGAAGGGTAGGAGGGGAGAGGAATAGAAGGGATAAAGAGCATATGTATGCTTTGTGCTTATTAGTGTATGACCTTTTGCACAGATGTGTAGTACTATTGGCAGAGATAAATTGTTGTTGACTCCGTATTGAAGGCGGTCAAACCAGCCCTCACTAGTAACCACGTGACGTATAGTGATAATACTAGCTGTTGCTCAAATGTTAGTACGTTCAACGAAGTTGAGAGCTACTTCTATATGGTTACTACCCTGCATCACAATGCTTACTTATCATACTGTTAGTGTTTCCATAGAACCCCTCAGGGTTACGATTTTCGGCAACTTCTAAGATGTTCTCTACTTTCAATTCAAATTGCACTTTGTATATAAGAGGTACATTGCGGCATGTGTCGTACCGGTCACAGTTTGTCAGAAGACATCAAAGAGGATGGTATACTGTTTCCGCAAGGCCTATCTTACGTACAGCTCTCTTTTTCCCAGGTTCGAAACAGCCTGTTTCCTGATACGGTTTGCCATTCTGGCTAACATCTCTTAGGTCATGGGGTACAGCGCGTGGGCATGGTCTCTTCTTGGATCAACAGCTTTCCGGACATCGCTGGGAGTTTCTTAGATGAAATGGACAATATATTAGGCTTTCGACTCTCTCGTATTATCGCAGAAGGGCCGAATTCAGAATTGAATAAAACAGAGAATTCGCAACCTGCTATTATGGCAACATCAATTCTCATCCTTCGAATCTTGGAACAGAGGTTTGGGTTTGATACGAAATCACGTGTGGACGTCACCCTTGGTCATAGTCTGGGAGAGTTTTCTGCTTTGGTTGCTGCGGGTTATCTTGATTTTTGCGACGCCCTTAAACTAGTCCGACGCCGGGCAGAGATAATGGCTGACTGCACGCGACAAGCCTCCTCGGAATCTGGCGAAGATTATGGGATGGTAGCGCTCGTTTGTGAACCTGATCATCTCAACGGGTTGCTTGCGACGATTCATGAATTCCTAGGCCTTACGGCGTCTAGTCTGAAAGACGATATGAATTACGGAATGCCATCTATTGAAAAAGTTATGGTGGCAAATGTCAACTCTAAGAATCAAATAGTGCTGAGTGGCAGCATTGAAAGGATAAGAACTCTTCTCATACAGCTTCGTCAATTTGGGGGTCATGATCCACGTGCAGTGAGACTAAACAGTGAGAGCCCGTTCCACAGTCCCATAATGGCGCCTGCGACAGAGTACATGATTCATGCTCTTGACAACATTAGAATCAATTTTCCAGCGCATATGCCATGTGTATCGAACGTTTCTGGTCTTCCTTTCCGCTCGGAAGAGGAACTAAAGAGGCTACTATCACAACAGTGTGTTGATACTGTGCGATGGTGGGATAGTATTCGGTATCTAGACCAAGAGAGGGGTGTCAAACGTTGGATTGGCATAGGCCCCGGGAAAGTTGGCAGAAACTTGGTTGGGAAAGAAGTTGGTAAGGTCATGGCTAAAGGAGGTGGTGTTTGGGCAATATGTGATACTCGCGAGCTTGAAGACATTGTCAAGAGTCTTGAACAGACAGAGGTCGAGGTTTTGTGTGATTAGCCCCTTCACAAGTGCAGGTAAGCTCAGACTTCTGTGTTGGGACGCCCTTAATTGGCAGTTCGGTAGCACCTACATATGCACCCATGGTACAGCAAGAGCAGATACTTGTCAAGTGTCCTAGTAATGCGGATGTTTCTGAAGCTCATCTGTTTCATGGCCACAAACATCTTGCGCTACTTGCCATTTCAAGGTTAACGACACATGTGGGCTATCGTCCAGTCAAATAAAATCGGAAAATCAAGACATAAGCTATTTCACGGTATATAATGTCTATAACTGTACCCTACAAACCCCGCCATAGGTAGATTCGGACTTATAGGATATTTGATACCTGCAGTCAAGGAAAAGTCACAGTAACTTTGACACACACCTACAGAATCAGTTTCCACCAGGCTTGAGTTACCGGACCGTATCAGGGTACAGACACATCTGGAGCCCAGGCTTCACCAATATGCTTGACATCTGCAATGAATTTATGGTCTATAATGTGCAGAGAATTCGAGACAGTGGCGCAAGCTTTGACTGTAGGGACATGATCATCTGGAGAATAGAACGGATTCTGTAAGAGTCGAATATAGGCCGCCTGTAGGGCCCGGAATACCTGGTAGTCCACTATCAACACAGGCATTGACCATACTTGATATAACAACACGAGTGTACTCGACATAGGTCACACGAGGCATTGAATCAGGACGTACCGGTTTCAGATCCGGGTCTTTTGAACCACTCCGGACAGACCCTCTTTGCTTTTCGATACCATTTGGTGCCGGGTGTCCGATTAAATCAAGAATGACTAGCAGCTTCACCCCAGTAGTTGTTAGCCAGCCATACGCTGCTAGTCTTTCATCGACGGCATGCAAGAGGCCTAGGTCTTGGTCGACTGAAGTTTGCTTCTGCCGTATCTCAAATATATCAAGACATGAATTTAACAAGAATGAGAATTCAATTTTAGAGTTCAAGTAAGGAGGGAAAAGCGAGATGTGCAAAGGGTTGTCCTTCAAGACCGTTAGTATGTAACCGTGCACAAATGATAGGTTATCATACAGCTTTTCCAATTATGCCGATGCAGGCAATTTTAGGCCCGGACATTCTGGACGATGAATCTATATCGTGAGTATTTCGCCTGTCGATTGTCTTGAAGCTTTCTGGGCGGAGGATGCTTCAGTCCCAGTACATTGTCAATTCCTTACAATATGAGGTTGCGAAGTATGTAATGATAGGCCGAATGAAGAGTTACTAGACCTAGGTAATAGGTTAGAGGTTAGACAGCACCTGGTAACCTATTGGTGTACATTGAGGTAGGATGGATACAAAAGGTGTATTTGAATATACCATGGACCAATGATGTAGTTTATAATTTAACTTACTTACCTGATAGGCAGGTAGGCTGAGAACAATTACAGTATTGTATGTGAAATCAACCGTTCACTGTACACTTTTGAACTTACTTTCAGTATCATAACAGTATGATGGAGGTACTAGTACCGCTAGTGTAAAATGGTGGAAGGCGGAGCCGCAACGCAACGCCTTCCGATAATATCACAATTACCTACCCCAGTGACTTTATATGCTGCTGCGACTCCTTTACATACTCAGCCCTGAAGATCTCTTTTGAAGAAATTCATTGAAAGGCTATTTATCATCGGCATGCTCCCTTTAAATGCACGCGCCATTCCGGGCGCCCTTCAGGGTAAACGATTCTCCATCCGCTCAACTTTTTTGGGATTCGCTCACACGCGACAGTACGACCACGCTTGGTCTCCTCGATTCCTCGAATCCAACTAGTTTCGCCATTGTCAACTTCGTCCAACAGATCGGCCACCGCGCTTGAAAGGCAAGGGAATTCTGGCCAGCCCCTGACCGCTTCCGGAAAGGTACGGAGGGAGGTTCCTCTACCAAGCCAGGAGAAGAAAGAGGGTGCTATGCAATATGTGCTGTTCGTGTCCCTGCTGCGCATTGAAAAAATTGGTGTTTTCTTTTGTATCTAACATTGTTTAAGGACTACTCTTGATCAAGTTGCAAACTGGGCTCGTCAAAGCTCCCTCTGGCCTATGACATTCGGTCTCGCTTGCTGCGCTGTGGAGATGATGCACCTGTCCACCCCAAGATACGATCAAGATCGTCTAGGCATTATTTTTCGAGCCTCTCCTCGCCAGTCAGATGTCATGATCGTGGCTGGGACGTTAACGAACAAGATGGCGCCCGCTCTCAGACAGGTTTACGATCAGATGCCTGACCCACGTTGGGTTGTTAGCATGGGCAGCTGTGCGAATGGTGGTGGCTACTATCATTACAGCTACTCTGTTGTTCGTGGGTGTGATAGAATCGTACCTGTTGATGTTTATGTCCCTGGATGTTCGTTTACACCGTGGCCCTCCATTTCTCTTTCGGACATAAGCGTTTGCTGACTGCTATTCTTAAGGTCCGCCCACGTCTGAGGCACTGATGTATGGAATCTTCCAACTTCAGAAGAAGATGAGACACACCAGAATCACACGCATGTGGTATCGACGTTAGGTCGCTAGTAACGATCCTATCGTACCAGGGTTTGGCCTACAGCTCAACAGGCTAGATGTAAAATTAAAACCTTTTCTATATTAGTCAGACAATACTATAACTAGGACACGCTTGTTATCTTTCAAACGCATTTATATCTACATACAATCATTTGTTATATAACCCTATTGTCGTTCTCTTTATGCAACGGCATGTTATGATAGAAAGGCTTCCGTTTTTGCTGTATACATATAGGCGACCATGTTTTCACATATTGAGGCCTGGAAGCTAACGAGCTAAAAGAGAACTATTCTGTCTTTGTCACTACGGCCCATTGTCTACCCATTTACAACAACGCCACAATTGAGATGTAAGCGCTGTCCCAAGAACTAGCTGCTATCCTGGCTTGCTAGGAAGACAAAACAAGTCGCCACCTCGCTAGGTTGTCCTGGACGGCCCATTGGCCCGCACCGCAGAATTGGTCATTGCACAAGTAGTCATGCTCGCCGGTATTAAGGGGTTCCAAACTTGATAGCGGTTAGTTAGCGCGCTAATGATAATTCAAGCTTACTTGGACCGGGACAGACACAATTCACCTGTATGCCCTTTCCAACTTGTTGATTAAACAAGCCTCTTGTAAACGCCACAGCTACTCCCTTTATAGCCGTGTAATTAAGGAAATCAGGTCAGCCAAGAGGCCTTGACTAGCCCGCATTTTATTATAGCCGAACCACTTTTCATGTGCGGAAGGGCGTACTTGGAACAATAGAAAAATGGATGAAATTAGTGTCAAATGTACGCTCCCATTGATATCTATTGGTAAGTATGTTAGTATTATAATAATACTTCGAGCAGAAACATCACTGGTTGCTGAGCCGAGATGAAAACATGATATTACGCAGCGAACGAGTATAGAAGAGCGTCGACTCTGTTAATATCCCCAAGTACGTTCTGGCAGCCCACATTATCCACCAAGATATTAATGCCACCCGTACATTGCAGAGGTGTCGAAAGTTTTTCGACAATTTCCCTTCCTGTGCATATCCAAAGCCAAGCAGTAACAGTCGCATCCTATCTCCTAGACCTTTCTTGTCTCCTATGCGTCCTTCTTGTAGATACACAATCAAGCTGGATGCTCCCTCCATTGTGAACAATATAGCAACAGTGCGGCCAATCCCAGAGTCACCACTCGTTGTGATTGCGCTTTTCTCTGTGAGTTTCCCTGCTGCCTTATGTGTCTGATAACCGCTATCCTCAGTCGGTATGAGGTTTATATCGGTTTTTCACCTTGTTTTTCTTGTAGCCTAGGCTTCTTCTGGTGTTGAACGGGGATCTGATGGCCTGGGATAACAGGTCAGAGTCTGGCTTGATGTTCTTCGCGGAGACCAAGCCTACCGTGAAATTGAGATTCTGGGCTCCGAGCGGCTTTTTCTGTATACTCTTGCATGTTGCAGGCATTTACTCAACCTGATAGAGTTCTTCTGCAGGATATAGAGAGGGATATTATAAAGCTAAGATAGGGATCAGCCCAATCCGAAGGACTATGCTGCAGCTCAAGATCAGTGCTACTATACTAATGTTTAGCAACCTTGTCATGGTGATGTCTCCTCGATGTGCACGGAATCCCGGAGCCCACGCTTGCATCTTTTGAAAGTCCCCTCGCTTCTTCTTTTAGGCATTGTCTCCGAAGTATTACTCTAGACTTTCGTATTCCTTGCAAGAGCTACTACATATCAGTCTGGTCTGCCTAGTACTCTTTTAGCACTACTCTGTACTACTCCCTAATAACTCCAGAAATGGCTGGTATTTACATGCCAGTTACTCGTAGTACCCTATAGATATTATTATGGATGGTGAAGCCATATGCTCATGTGTTTTGTTTCGGTATTTGCTCTACTAAATCAGCACACAGGTACCGAGCTGAATTCCCTCAGTACGGAAATGCTTAGCTCACTTCGACTTTGTAAATCAGTAGAGCGATTCAGGCCAACCGTAGAATGATTAGTGGGTAGGACAGCATCTATAGATAAATTTTGGTTTATATAGTAATGTCACCGAGTATTCCTGATTAAATTGCGCCAGTCTACTGATATACTCAGTATACGCTAGTATCTTACCACCATGTTCCAGTTTTCAATAATTCGTAATTCTCTGTATCTTAAATATGGAAACGCCCGCGGAATCGACTATAGGCTACCAGTTGATACTATCAATATTTAGAATAGATCTTTTTGATACAATACACTTCAAAAATTACTAGATTTAATAAAGATAAAACCTAGAAATTTCATTCTTTTAGCTCCTTAAGTATTTCTAATCAATTGAATCTTAGTAACGAAATCGGTAAGCCAGCGGGCTATGCAACTGAGCTCTGTATTCTATATAAAATAGCACATAGTCCAAATATCTCAACAACTAGAGGTAGTAGGAATATAATTTTAGGATCTCTACTAGCTATAGCTGTTGAGGTATTTGAGTGAAATCTTATATTTTATGTCGAGGTGGCCCGCTCAGTTGCATGGCCTGCTCGCTTACCGATTACGCTACCGGTAGTATATACAGATATAGATTCTTATACTTCGTATACTCGATGATACAGCACTCTAATACTACCATATGACTGTATGTAAAGATCTGGCTATGATCAGGGGGTTATCAGGAATCTGGCAGATTAAACTGCTGCTCAATTAAGAAAAGCGACAGAACCAGTTCCCCCCACCCCCGAAATCCCCCAACTACAGCTAAAGTATTCTTATGAAGATACTATCTGATAGAGAAGGTATGAGTTATTATAAGTACTTACTCGATACGGAATACTTTAGAATGAAACAAAATCTGCTATTGAAACGGACAAAATACACTTGATGGACTATGTAAAATCTAATGGAGAACGCTATTCCCATCCGGCTGGAGCCAATGCGGCAGGCGGTCTGTATTAATTTTTTCTCTCGCTTTTTTCTTCTCAATGCTTTCTTGGTCAAATTGATTGATCAAACGGCTCTGCCTTTGCTCGCATGGCCTTCATATATCACTCTCTCTCCTTCCCACCTTACTTACGTATACCCTACCTCTTTTCAACCCAATCAGTTATATATTGGACTTCTGCCGCCTGCAATGAAAGACAATCATACCTCGCGGCGCTCTAGAGTCATGGCAGATTGCGCAGAGACCTCTCTTAGCGCAGCATTCTCTACTCCCTGGGAATTCCTCCGTCCTACAACGAATATGCATGATACCATAATAGGATCGGCTAAATATTTCCTGGATCCCCTTGCTCTTTCAATCAGTGACACCCAGTCCGCCCGTCAACGACAAAATCGGAAACGCAAGAGATCCGAGGCAGACCAGGACTACAACAACGAAGTATTACAATTAAAGCAGTTGTTTACTCAGGGGTTCGCTTCCGACCAGATTTGGGAACAGGCTTTTAGGATTCTCGACTCAGCTGGCCAGGAAATACAACGTGATTATGCGTTAAGTACCAAGGATACTAGCCACTATTCGCCTAATGTGTCTCTTATGCATCTCGGGGACCCGAGCTTCGAAGGCGAAAAATCAGATTCTAGCGAAGCAGACAGTTATATAGAGGGTACGACGGACCCATCAGATGTTGATGATGAAGCTAGCTTGGTGTCGGAGCTAAGCCCGGGTGACTCGCTTCATGATGCATTGAATTCCCAAAGAAGTAATGACGAGATTTCAGACGAGGGAGTCAATCATAAGGAGGTTGATAGTGATGGCGAACGACGCAACACATACACAGAGGACCCTTTTGGATTGAACGATGGATTCTTCTCGATTGACGATTTCAATAAACAAGCAGAGCTGTGGGAGAGACAAGATACACGTGGTGGCCCAGATTATGAAGCTGAAAGTGACGAAGAGGACATTGATTGGCATGCTGATCCACTTACCATCAGGAGCCTGAAGCGATCTTACTCATCAAAGGAGGTCAACAAAGATGTTAGAGATGAAAACATGGATGAAGCTGATGCAAGTGATGAAGAAGGACCGACATTCAATAATATCAATCTTGAGAATGGGTCGGACTCAGACGAAGACGATGCATATGCCGAAACTTCACATAGGGCCGACTGGATTAATACGAGCGACATCAAATACTCCGACTTTTTCGCACCACCGCCCCGGAAGTCGACGAACAAAAGGTCACGTCCACTTCCCAAGACCCAACCGCCTACTGCAATCCATGATAACGATATAGATCGTGCAATGGCTGATGTACGGCGCGATTTGTTCGAGGATGAAGCTTCAGCCGAGATTAGCGATGCGTTCGATAGTGAATTGAATGCACCTGAAACCCAGAAGTCTACACACGAGAAACAACGCGCACGAATCGCCGATGAAATCCGTCGCTTGGAAGCTGCGAATGTTGCGAAGAAAGAATGGATGCTTGCCGGTGAAGCCAGGGCGGCAGAGAGACCCGTGAACTCACTTATCGAGGAAGACCTAGAAGTGGAAAGAATCGGAAAGCCTGTGCCAGTTGTTACTGCAGAGGTATCTGAAGATATTGAAAGTCTTGTCAAGCGTCGGATTCTTGCTAGGGAGTTCGACGAAGTGATCCGCCGTCGCCCTGGTGGCACTGATGGACATAATGCGCATAGGAGCCGAGTTGAGCTTGAAAGTGCCAAATCTCAACAGAGCCTTGCAGAACTATACGAGGCTGATCATCTTCGAGCTACCGATCCTAACTATGTGGACCCAAAGAACCAGAAGCTCATGCGAGAGCACGCTGAAATAACCAAACTGTGGAACGAGATAAGCATTCAATTGGACACACTCTCAAACTGGCACTACAAGCCTAAAGTCCCACAGGCGCACATCAACGTCGTCACTGATGTGGCAACAATCATGATGGAGGATGCGCGGCCAACAGCCGGAAATACTATCGGCAATGCGGCAGCTCTTGCCCCTCAGGAGATATATTTACCCGGGGCAGATGGCAAGGTTTCTGGGGAGGTTGTCCTGCGGAACGGCATATCAATTTCTAAAGAAGAAATGACCCGAGAGGAGAAGTCTAGACTAAGGCGACAGCACAAGAAACAAAAGAAATCCATCACTGGCAATACAAACCAGCAGGGAGGGAAAATAGCCGAGAAGCGACAGATCGTGTCGGATTTGAAAAAGGGTGGCGTCAAGCTGGTTGGAAAGCAAGGAGAAGTCACGGATATTCACGGCAATAAACCAACTGGAACAGGTGTAAGGAGTGGTGCTGATGTTTTGAAACTATAGCTAGTGTTGTTTTTATATGATTGGATGTACACTAAGGGTTTAATCTTGATCTATTCGATTTCGCCTGTTTATTGATATAATTTTTGAAGTATATATGTATGCCCCTAGTTGATCGGTTTCCTTGTCTCTTAGCTGCCTGCTATCATTCAATTCTTTACATGCTTGCTTGATTTGGAACGTATTAAGTAGAGAACAATGTTTTCTCGCTTGTAAGTTTCCGCCATGGGATCATCGCAAACCTCCTCAACACTGAATAGCTTCTTCGCCAGTTTCATGAAACGGAGATCTGCTCGTCTACGTCTCTTGAAGCAGAAATAACAGATAGATTCCGGGCCTAGAAGGTACTCCAGTGTAGATATCAACAATGGAAAAGCTGGCTCAAAATAGACGCAGTCGGCGGCAAGTATGACAGCGGGGTGTGCCGGAATACAGTCTGGCAGAGGTTCCCCCCAGTTCAGCACCGTGGCAGTAACGAGAGACGAGGCACTGTTTAGCTTGATGTTGGTCTCCATCAAAGGAAGCATCGGGGCTTGATCCGTTATGTATACCGATGACGAGCCAAGATCACAACCACGTGCAACAGCCAGGCCCACGAGACCCCCACCAGCTCCCAATTCGACTCTAATGGACACCGGTCAGTTTCATCACCCCCGAAGTATTGACTATGCAGAACGAACATTGTTTTATTGTTCAAGTCTAATGGATGCTGACGCAACAAGTATCTTGCTAGTACCATGCCTGCCGGCCAGAGCTGACCTCCGCATCCTTCCTTAAGGTCTTCTTTAAGTGTTAGGGGTTCTTTCAATAGGCCGTCAAATGAGATCGTGGTGTGGCCAACACTTTTAAGAATCCTTGCCGGAACAAGTGACTCGCTGACATCGTAGGAGTCATCGAGCCCTGATTGTTGGATGGGAGAATTGTAACTTCCCATCGTGTCTCCCAACATGAACAATGTCGCAGTTTTGTCGAATAGGCAATAATAAGTCTTCTTCTAGTACCAATCCCTCTCACACTCTCTATCTCTTTATTGACTTTGAGAGAAATATGGGAGTGCTTTCCATCAAAGCGATACAGAAGAGACTGAGGGAGGCTCCAGGGAGGAGAGGTGAAAAAAGCGGGTAATCCGTAAGTCGCTATCTAAAACCAAAAGACCCAGATACGGAAATTATCAGAGTGGGTTAGGCTAGGAAACACTAAGCGGTGTAAATAATAAGCAAAGTCATGATACTACGGTCGAAACAACTATGTCTACCTATATAGATTGAGTTAACAAATAATGATGAAATAAACACCAATGGGAGCTTCTTTTAAAAACGAGTTAGGAGTACCTTACGACTTGGCCTGCCATAAAATATTCTTAGTACATACATACTGGACTACTTTTCGGTTTTTCAATACATACATAGTACTGAGGTAGAAGCTCTGCTACTAGTACTACCTCATACTAGAATGTTATGCGCGTATTTTCGAGAGAGTGTGAGAAAGGGAAAAGAAAAGAAGTAAAATTATCCGGAATCTGAACCGTGCGTGGTTACAACTTTAATGATCCTCACTTCTCTCGCCTGACGTCATTGTAGGTAGTGTGTACTCTGTAATGCACATAGTAAGTAACCAATAGGTTAGGTAAGGTAGGGTAGTAGTCCATACTACCAAAGTAAGTCTGTAGTATAGTAGTTAGGTTACGGTTACCCACTGATAAAATCCAGCCACGTCGGATCATTGGTCCGCCATACTATATCAACCATTGAATCTTGGAAGTTCTTCTACTGTCCTTGGATCATGACGACGTCACCGAATGCCTTGCAGATCTAGCCATGTGACCTCTTGGTCAAGCTCTAGAAAAAGAAGGTATTTCTCTCCTGAAAGTACTTTCTAATATTGCATTTGGTCTCAGCGCCCTTTCACATTCTACATCACACACCACAGACTCACACTATATACTCCTTATTTGATCACGACAGGAAGCTTACACTTTTGCAAAATGACGACACTTCACTGTGAGTATTGACAGCCATTATTCCTGGTTTTTCATTTGAATCACCGTTGGATGCTAACCAATAATTAGATTTACCTCCTGTGAAGCCCTCTGCAATCGCAATGGGCACCTTCTTCACCCATACCGCCTCACTGGGTATATTGGCCCCTGTGTTCGGCGACACTTACCATCGTGCTCAGGCTGCCAACTCGAAAGAGGAGTTCATCAAGTCCAAGGAGGCTGCCGGGGCTGTGGCAGCCTGGGGAAGTTCACTGATCGGGAGTGCCGTACAGACTTATGGAGTGGCTGCTCTGATCAATGCAACTGGGACGCTGAGTTACAAGGGCGCCGCGTATTTGGGAAGCCTAATCTTCATGGCTAGCTCTGCCCCAAGTGTATGTGCTGCTGTGATTTCCAATCCCCGGGCCGAACGTTAGATGCTGACAGCAGGGGATAGTTTATCAGTCAAGTTTTCGCGGAGAAGAGGCCTTGGGATACTGTCGCTGTTGCTGCCGTAAGCGGAGTCTTCGAGACAGTTGGACTTAGCTTGTTCCTCACCTGGTGGGGTACACGTACGAATCCTTTTGACTAGAGTCTTCTGGCATAATTGACGTCTTTGTTCCCTGCCCATCAGAGTCTACGGAGTTTTGTGGACACACCGAATCGGGCTTTACTCGATACATGTACTGGTGTCGTTTATTGTATTCTAATATTACAACATAAGCAGTGGAAGGAGTGTACCGTTATATCGGTAATTTTCAATTTTAGAAAAGACAAGGATGTAGATGTAGTTAGGAGGGTATAGCTTGACTGACACGGACATACCGATTTCTGGCCCGATATTGCAAGGGTAGAAAGGTCTATACGGCTAGATCTGGTTGTTTAGCGTTTTCTTCTACGCTAGAAGGACAGCCCAAGTTCCACCTTCGAAAAACGAAAAAAGAAAAGTAAGAGAGACAAGGGGGAAAAAAAATGGATAGAAGCGATTTTTTAAAGAAAAACTCAAACAAAATTCGCGATAGAAGCGCGAGATCACTCATGTTATTTAATTTTACAAAACCTGATCTACACGCTTTTTCGCCTCAGCTTTGGTTTAGGGCAGAACGATACCAAGACAAGGGGGAACGCGCCAGATAGAGAAGAATGTGATATGTCCAATCCCAAGGTTGGGACAGATTTAAACAAAAGTGCGGCAGGGATACCTATTCCGAAAGGTCAGTTTAGATATAATTACCAGGGAGTAGGTGAACGTACACATCAGGATAGCCATGATCGTGATCGAGCTGGTATTTGGATGCTGAGAGGTTCAAATTGCAGGGCTTCGGCGGCAAACCATTCGCATTCAAAACACCATGAATGCTCTTCCTGTCTTTCTCAAAAAGACCGGCTAGGCCGCGTGATTCTCCTTGCTGCTTGACAGAAACAAGTTGCTTCTCTCCTAATTCACCGATCTGCAATACATCATCCTTTGGGGCTGCCTGGCTGCCTACTGTGAGAAGACCGACGGCGTCTGCTTGGCCCACAGTGCTAAGCCTAGGATAGTTCCTCCGTACATCACGCTTCCAGTAGGGGTTGTCCGCAATATCACCAGCCGGAATGGTAACTGGGTCATCATAAGAAAGTGGGGGAAGAGCTCCAGGAGTCGGTAGACGATATTGAGCATTCAATGGAACGCCTGTTGAGCGGTTGGGATCAATTGAAAGAAGGCGGCGAAAACGCTCCCAAATGCCGGTGGATTGAAGTGTGTATTTCTAGTGAGAACAGATGCTTAGAGTTCTATATATTTTGAAGGTATTCCGGGGTCTCTGTACCTTATTAACAGCGATCACATTCGATGCGGACTTCGCCGCCTTGAGGATGTCACGAGCCATAATGAGATAGGCTTCAGTTCTGATATATCAATTTTATGGATTTCTCAACTAAAGTAGCCAATGAGACAGAGACGAAGTTGGATAACACTGTCGTATATCCAGACCGAGAGAGATTGAGTTAAAAAATGGGACCAAGCAATCGTCCGTCGTCTTGTGGTCTTCAGCGGAATCAAGGTTGTCGGGAACGTCGCGGTGTACGGAATAACCGTATTTCCGCCAGTCCTTGGAGTACACCTGAACCAATAGCGCCAATCGTTCACACCCTAGATGTGGTAGGCATTTACAAAACTGAGCAAGTCACAACGGTCAAAGGAGACAAAGTAGAACCAATGAGTAGTACTTTGAATTATTTGGTAGGTTGCAATTGCCTGTAAAAGCTTAGAGTTGCTACATTGGCTGACCGATATTGAGGAGCTATACGACAAAGCACACAAGCCTCAAATTTCCAAAAGACCTCTATCTATATATCGAATCTAACGAGCGACAATAGAAAGATAATATCCTCGATTCGGATAGTCTCAACGTTAGATAGTCGCTCGACAGGGAGTCAATCCATCAGGTGGGAATATTACTAGTAGTCTTGCTTATATTGATACAGGTGAATCATGTTTGTTGCTTCTTGTAACTGATTTTATATTTCCCTTCCTTGCCTTGTAACTTAAGCCACAGCCCCCGGCTCTGAACCTTTATCGCTGGAAATCCTTGCAATCATTTGCCGCGCAAGCTCAATTGTGGTATCGGGGCCACCAGCCTGCAGCAGTAGAACTTTACCTTCCTTATCTATAGCGAAAATACCTCTGACCGTACCTTTAGGTGTCTTTTTGAGTCCCAGAGCCGCAATTAGTGTAGATGCAGTATCACAGAGAAGAGGGTATGGTAGACTCTGTTTGGTTCTGAATGTGGTATTCGCTTTGGGCGAATCTGCAGAAAGGCCATAGATCGAGAAACCAGTCGAAGTCAAATAGTCATGATTGTCGCGGAACATACAAGCCTGCTTTGTACCTAGAAGAATATGAGCTTTGTTTCTTTAAAACCCCAGTATTTAAGAAAGCGCGAAGGATCACAGAAGACAACTAGGCCGCAACAACCCATAACAAAAGACAGAATTCGTAGGAGGGTCTAAGAAAATAAGATGAGGAGGAGGATGAAGTAGAACATAAAAAGCAGACGTAAATAAGGATGAATCTAGGACTACAAAAATCAAGCGGTTGTTTTGACTTACACCCAGGGGTTGAGGCTCTGGGGTACGTAAAGAGCACAACACCAGTTTTGCTCTCGTCGACCAATTTATTGAGGGTAGTTTTTAGGCCATCATTGCTTTCAATCTCGCCACCAAATTTATCCAAAATAATTTTGTCGCCGACCTTGGGGACACGATTTGAAGAGGATATTGAAATGGATTCTTTCTCCTGGGCGGCGCGCGTTGATACAGGGGTGGACTGTTGGCTTTTCCTGGTTCTTTTCTCTGCCACAGGGGGTTGGTTTGGCGCCTTACGCTTTCGAAGCTCGACCATGGTGTGATGTTCGATGTTGAATTGATGGCAGCGGTGAGGAATGGTGATAACAATGATTAAGCGTGGCTGAGAGGAGATGACTAGAAATCTTAGTGAAGTACTCCGTATCTATGTTTAGGAGTTGCGCAGAATACTCACTCTGGCAGACGAGGTTTGAGCTTCCAACGATGGAACCAAGATAGTCAACAGAAAGGGTTCGATATTACAATCAACATCTACCTAGGTTGGAGGATCATACAGTAGGACCCAATGGCAAGAGGCTACTGCACGTAATTTTTCATGAACGAGCTGGCAAGGGTCTAACAACGAGAGAAAATTATATAGGTAAAAGCTGATTTAATACAATACGCATATTAACCTATCGAATCGGTGGACGACCATTTCCTTACCCCAGAGTTTCTTCAGGACCGTTAGTAACTTGCAATGTTTAAATTACCGCTGATGGCGGGTTTCTGCCGGGAAATCCCGACCCATGGCTTTTTTAATTCTTGAAATGCGGAAGAAGAAGTTAAAAAAAATAGGCCATCCCATTCTGTCATTGCACACCGGAAAGTTGCGATCGCCACCGACTTTCATCATCCAGATTTTATTCTTCAAGCTGGTTCATTACTCATCTTGTAGAATTGATTCACACTGTTCTTTGCCTCCGTAGCCCTCCCTTTTTCTTTTTCTTTCTGGTGATGTTATAATCTTTCTGCCATTACATTATCTCCTAAGTTTTGTTCCTTTTCCGTACCGTTGTCAAAGAGCGTTGGGTTTCCGTCGTTTGATATCATTTCAATTGATTGCTCCCTTGCGGATTTTGTGGTTTCTCAGACCTTCGTTTCATCCTTCGCGCAACGATACTGTCTCCACCCCAGAAGCGCTGCCCGAAAATCTTACGGTGTCTTATACCGCCAAAATGAAGGTCTTCTCTTCGACTTGTACTTTCGATTACTCCTGGGAGGAGGTTTCCACAGCGAACTGGCGCAAGTACTGCCCATGGAATGACAAGTCAACACATGTGGTGGCTGTAGACACGTTATCCCGGACTGTTGACTCTGAAACCGGTATCGTATGTGCTTATCCGTTTTCAGCAGGCCGTAGCCAAATGTTTGTTCGGATGACTGACATCTTTATAACCATAGTTGCGTACAGAACGCCTTATCACATGCGATCAATCGGTGCCGCAATGGGTTCTTTCACTGTTCGGAGGTAGCGCTACCTCCCATGTTTACGAGTTATCCTACGTCGACCCGAAGTCGAAGAGAGTTACAATGTGTTCGACCAACCTTACATGGTCCAACGTCCTAAAGGTCCAAGAGACTGTTATTTATCAACCATCATCGTCGAAGCCGACTTGTACTACGAACTTTAACCAGGAGGCAAAGATCACTGCTCTTTGTGGTGGATGGCAAAAGATCAAAAATAAGGTAGAGGAGGCGAGTGTGGAAAGATTTAGCCAAAATGCAAAAAGGGGTCGAGAAGGCTTCGAGGCTGTACTTGAGATGAGTCGACGGGTTTTTGGTGAACAACGCGAGCTTGAGAATGGTAAACTACAGTCATGAGTTTTCAGTGTTCTGTATCCATGCGAGACTGGAGTTCCGCACCTTCCCATTGGGAATTTTGCATACACCGGCGTTAGTTCTGATTTTATCTCCAAGCGTATGGTGCGAGTTGGCGTTCATAATTGTTTCTCATCCCATATAATCCTGCCTCCTTCTCTTGTTAACAGAGATATTTTGGCTTCATTCTTTTCCTTGTCAATCGTGTTTGATCAGTGATGACTGGCTGTATGGTTGCAACGCTCTGTTGCTCATGACGCATATGCTCTAAAAGTTCTCTTATTGATTTGTGCTGTGTTAGGCTCGTGGAACGTATATACCTGGAGGTTACTCGCAGAGTAACATCTGATGTCGATACACATTCTCTGCCATTACTTAAATTTCACGTAATTGAAAGGCTAAAGCCACAGGATTATCATAGGTAACTCCGCCTATTTGTCAACTAAATCTGTCCAGGAGTTATATCGTTTAGATCAAGTATTGCAGACGGTTCTGTCATTAGCCTAGCAGACCCCCGAGGACAACACGGCTGACCCCAGACACTTCATTTTTAGCGTTCATTCTGCTTGCGTCCTCAAACTCACGTACAACTCCTGCTACCATGATTTTCCGAAGCTTAGCATCGGCCTTGGAAAACATTTCACCCAGTGCAACGGTGCAAGCCGAGGGGGTCGAAACCAAAGATGTAAGTCGAGTATAGCAGTCTATTAACACATCGCACAAAGTTACGAACGTTTCGAAATAATCTGGTTCAAATGGTAAGGATGGGGTGAGGAGATAAGAATACTCCTCACCAGGGAGAAGCTCTGACGCTTCAGTGTGAGGGAAAGAGATGGCTGCGGCAGCTGCTGAAGCAGAGGAGGCAATATTTCCTGTCATGGCCTTCAGCTCGGAAGGGTCGCTTGATTGCATGGGTAAACCGATTTCCGTAGCAGAACTAGCCCTTCTCGTCTTCGTTCCTGCATGTGCTGCCCTTTTTAACATTTGCGGTATCCGTGCTCTGGCTAGTGTTGACGACGAGCTTCCATCAGGTGGGTGCACTTGCTGGTACGCTTCAAATTCAATCAAAAGAGCATTAAGAGCCCGAAGATATTCTACAGGGGTTGAGCTGACGTCTAAGATTGGTGGAAGCGATAAACCCAGTAGAAGATAATTGATCGCGCGGCGGGAGAGCTTTCGGGCTTCGAAGTAAGGAATTCGGCCGATGTCAGCTCGAGAGAAGTGCACAGTGTTAAACCAATAAATGCGGCCTTCGTGCCTGAAAAGCCGTCAGCAATTCATGTCCGGTTCATCTTTCCCTCGAGGTCACAATGGACTGACGCCTTTCTTAGGTAATCTAACGTAGATATTCGCTTCGTAGCCATATCGTGAATATGTTGGTAGATTGCCGCGGCACTCTGGGGCCCGAATGATCCACCTCCACTAGTTAGCGGTGGAGGGAGAGATCCGACTGTAGTCTCATGGCCTATACTCGATTTACCGGTATCTCTGCGAGTCAAGGTAGGGGCAAAGGTGGACGAGATCATGTTCGACATTCTAGGCGGCAAAGCTGATTAAGAAAAAAGAAACATCAATGCAGTCCTAAGTTTGCCCTCTGCTGGAGAGGAGACTGAGCGGAGTCAGTAAATTGTTGTTGAAGTTGGAGCAGTAAACTTCTGTACAAGTACTGTTGCTGGGCTTTCGCCAATAAATGTGCTTACGCCTGATTTTAAGATTTACCCATGCTCCACTACCCGACTGGTAAACACTGTTGGTAGGCGGAATGAATCAAGAAACAAGAGAGGGGGAACATATGAAAGAACAACCCTACTTAACTATTATGGTAGTGATCAGTCTTCGGGTATTTTGACCTGTATTCAACTAGTCTGTAGCGTGTACTTGTCCAGCACTATCTGTGGGCACGTGCAGTCACCTCAGTGGATATTTATCAATGACCAGAAGATATGAGCGCACATACCAATTTCCATGTCTCGACCACTACTATGTACCTAGTAGTGCTGTAATGGTGCTGTGGTACTAGCCTACTAGGACGTTCTCCGCCCGACTAATGAACTTGCCATAAATAAATCAATACGGAGTAAACCAATTCCCCCCCACCATTCAGCCCCTACCCCTCGTCGTCTCGACTTTCATCTTGTTCGATAGCTCCGCTTTGAGCCCGTTCCCATTTTCGAAGTGACCTCTTGTTCACTTCTACAATTTCCCGACCTTCCAACACATATTCCGCACTCTTTCCGATTAGAAGTGCATTCTCAAAGAATAGAATAACAGGAATAATATCAATAATCTTTATCATCGTCAATCGCTGATAGAAAACGCTGCCCGCCTCTTCCTGGTACACTGTACTTCCAGAATGAGTAATTCTAACGAGGAGCTCGACCCTGTCCCTCTACCGGGGCAATGGCCTGTTGACCCCCAAGACGATGTACCGATCGCAGAAGACCGTATTTGGGTGGATGGATGCTTTGACTTTAGCCATCACGGTGAGCAGCTAACTCCTGATTACCGGCTAGAAGTTAGACCTCTAATTAAAATGAGAGTTGCAGGACACGCAGGAGCCATGCTTCAGGCACGTAGGCTGGGACGGGAACTCTATGTTGGCGTACACTCCGATGAAGCGATACTTGAGAACAAGGGCCCAACAGTTATGACGTTAAATGAGCGGTGAGTATCTTGAATCGAAATATCATTGTCGGCTTGGTATACTGAATGTAATTTCCCGCATGTCCAGCGTATCTGCTGTTGAAGCATGCCGATGGGTGACTTGTTGTGTCCCCTATGCTCCGTATGTGACACAACTACCATGGGTATCCCACTATGGCTGCAAATATGTCGTCCATGGAGATGATATTACTTCCGACAGCAACGGGGATGATTGCTACCGATTTGTGAAGTCTGCAGGGCGATTTCGTGTGGTTAAAAGGACCCCCGGCATCTCTACTACTGACCTAGTCGGCCGTATGCTCTTGTGCACGAAGGGACACTTCATCAAAAGCGTCAAAGCTACACTTTCTGGCGAGGAGGGATCCGGAAACGAAGAGGAGCGACGGGAAGCTGCCACGAATCTTATGCAGAGGATTCGCGACTATGCCACTGATGAGACAGGATTGCACCCCGGCTCTCATGTATGGATCTGGACTGGTTCGAGTTCCGCGAAGCTTGACAACACCACAGAAGAGCCTGGATCGTTTGAAACACTTGTAGGTGGAAGGCCGTCTAGACCAGGACAGCGGATCATCTATGTGGATGGGGGATTTGATCTCTTCTCTTCTGGGCATATCGAGTTCCTTAGACAAGTTTTGGTACGCGAGGAAATGGAAGGTCGCCATCGTGGCTGGTACGACCCCGGAATGAGAGAGAAGAGGCTCAATGAACATGGTGAAGACTATGGCCCGGCTTATATCGTTGCGGGTATTCATGACGATGATGTAATCAACCACTGGAAGCGATTTAATTACCCTATCATGAACATATTTGAGCGTGGACTTTGCGTTCTCCAGTGCCGTGTAAGCCATATGACCCCCTATTAGTGCTGGTGACTATCTTGGCCACTCTGTTGACTGCCTTTTAGTATATCCATGGCGTCGTATTCTCCGCCCCTTTCTCGCCAAGTGAGCCCTATCTGAGAGCCATGCCCTTGGGTGTCCCGGATGCTGTTTATCATGGACCTACCACATTCATTCCACTCACTTACGATCCCTATACTGCCCCCAAGAGAATGGAGATCTTCAGAGAAACGGACAGACATGATTTTCAGCATGTAAATGCCGGCGAAATTGTTGAGAGGATATTAAAAAGCCGTGAAGCTTATGAAGAGAGACAGCGTGCGAAGTTGCAGAAGGGAGCTGTTGAGGAGCTAGCGAAGTCTAGAGAAAATACAGTAAACTAGGATAGTGACATTACTCGACACAATGAATTGCAAAAGATGTAGATTTCTTTAAGAAATTCAGTGATATAGAGAACTGGGAAGGATGGTTAATACTACACGACGCACCGGACATCTGGACATATGAGTTCTTGATTAAATTATGTGCTTGGCTCTTGCTAAGATTGAGGTCGGTAGGTGACACGGCTGATAAAACATTGTACCCTCATATCTTAGGAACCTGCTTTATGTAAGGAGAAAAAAGTAGTCTTCTTCTTTTCTCCCCGGGCGAGGATGGTGCGCTTCAACTTAGTCAACCGCTACCAGAACTCTCTTTTCTTCAAGCAACTTTGCAAGCTCCCCGTTTTGATGCATTGACATTAAAATATCACAGCCACCGACGAATTCCTTATCTAAATATAATTGGGGGATGGTTGGCCAGTCCGAGTATTCCTTTATGCCTAAACAGAGATACAGGTTAATGGCAATGAAATTGGGCATCACCCTTCCGCGAGTCCAGATGTCAAAACGTACCCTGACGCAACTCAAGATCTTCCAACACATTGAACGCGACAAACTTTTTGGGGTCCACCCCTTGCAAGCCCAGAATCTGAATACTGGCTCGAGAGAAGCCACACTGAGGAGTCTCCGGGGTACCCTTCATGAAAAGGACAACCGGAGCAGATGCAATTGCTTTATCAATGGCTGACCTAGTTTCAGAGGACAGTAGTCGGACGTGAAGGGAGGATGGTATCTTAAAATCATTGGGCCGTAGTGGTAAGGAGTGTGGGCGCGAAAACGGTCGAAATGCCTAGATCATCCTGCGTGAGCTTGTAAAAGGTCAAAGGGATTTAACCCGGCCTAAGGCCTAAGGCGCATGAACAGGAAATAAGACGGCTAATATAGACATACCGATGAGAAGGCTGCTCTTGCGAACATGTTTAGAGAGTACTATAGCACAGCAAATACTTGTCTGAATTAATAAAATGCAGTGTCCGCCGTGTATAGGTAGTACCTCACCTAGTCTCCGTCATGTATGGGACCCACTAGTAAGTGACCAATATTTTAGTTGTCATGTGATCGTTGTCACGGCGCATCCAATGTTCTATTCTGTTTTGTCAGCAGCAGGTACACATCTGGTACCACCTGGTACTAGGTTACATTAGGTAGTACATACAGGAATCACTGCATAGTATATACATACCTACCTCCAATCTAACCAGTACCTGGACCTACGGTGACTGGATAGAAATACAGGCAAGGTAGTATCCTTAAGAATTTTAACTACCTAATCGAGGATTTCCTTGCCTAGGGCGATGAGTGTCAAGATTAGAAAGTCTTGACTTGTAGGTTTAAACAAAACAGATTGCCCAATATAGACAAGGCGATACCTAAATGTACTAATGGGATAAAACCCTACTTAAGCGGTTAAAGTTCAGCTGGTAGGACCCCATATCTTCGATGTCTGAAATTATGACCTAGAGCCCAGGATAGGTCATTGACTGGTTACTACAAGTATTGTACTAACCAATCAGCTAGGCTCCTTAGAGGACTAGAACCTAAGCTTCACTTGTGATCACTTTGCCCGGTGACTCTGCATCCTTATATAGACCAGTTGCACGCGCCATGTAGTCAAGTAGCATCCCTAATGTAATACCACCCCCAGTGAACAAACAGCCGTTCTTAAACCACCACCAGCAGCTCTGCACATTTTTTAACTGAACTCTCCAAATCATGATTCCAAGAGAAAGGATAGCGCTGCCGCAGCTGCCAACAAAGAAAATCGGACCAGCACCAGCCGACACTCCAGCTGCAGCAAGCAGCGACACCTGGACAGTTGCTAGAGCGGAAAGAACTGTTTTTGTGTTGTGTTCATAACGAAGGGCGATGGACTTTATACCCGCCGCTACGTCATCCTTTATGTCCATATGGGCGTAGATCATATCGTAGAGTATTGTCCAAGCAACACAGCTAGAATAAAGTGCTGCTGCAGACTCTAAAGCAGCATGGTTGCTAAGCAGATCTATACCCAGTGCTGGAAACCCCATCATCGCACCCCACGAGAATGTTAAGCCTAGGACGGCTTGCGGGTAGTAGGTGATGCGCTTGGCGAGAGGGTAAGTTGTCACAAGAAGTAGACTAGGTATCCCAAACCAAAGGCATGATGTCGGAAACTGAAGGAGGACACCTAGTCCTGCTAGCAACTGTACCCCAAGAAACACCACAGCTCTGCGCGGGGATACTGCCCTTCTAGCAATTGGCCGGAACTTGGTGCGTTCGACATGTGGATCCAAGTTCCTATCCCATAGGTCGTTGATTGTACAACCGGCGCCCCGCATAATCAAGGCTCCAGTGAAGAACAACCCCATCGTTCCAAGTACTTGCAAAGGGGGCGATGATGCTAGAGGGGCCGCCAGAAGTGTTGAAAATGCGCATGGAAAGAAAAGATAGTATGTGCCAGTGGGTTTGTCGAGGCGTACTAATTCAGCATACGGTATCCACGACTGAGGAAGGGAGGCAACAAGTCCAGTCTTAGGTGGAGTATAACGAGTTGCAGAGGTCGGCTCTGCTGTGCTGGGTGACTGGACTGTCAATGGCGATGCGAACGGAGCATGTGAATTATACCTCACAGTTGCTGTGCCCGTGTGAATAATAGACTTAGACCTAATGGCGATTGTAGACCTCGGTCTAGTATAGCTGCTCGTCATAAAGCGAGGGTGGAAAAGATGGGTCAGATCACGGCCATTGTGACAAACTGATCTTATTTCCAAGCATCTGCGCGGTTGGACATGCTGATGCATGGCGGAGAAAGTGAAGAGTCTCATTCCATAAACCAAGATAGTAGTTTATAGGGCAAACTGCGGGGAATTTTCAAAAGCCGTGTGTTGCCAGTCAATTGAAGTTCATCTGAAATAAGTAAAGGTCAAACTAAGGGAGCTGTACAAAGTCGAACCCCACAGCAGTTGATCTGCAATTTAACGCTGGAGCCCTCTCCCAATATAATTGTCCAATTTCTTTTCCCTTGTTGTGCGCACCTCTAGTAAGTTAGATTGTGCTTCTCTTCGCGCAAGAGTGTTCCAGGAACTTTTCATTCCAGGGCTTGAAAGGAGGACCCACAATGACCCATGATTTAATTATTTAAATACATAACTTCAGCTAACTAAAGGCGGCATGGCGCCTGCGGGTGCTCAACCAGCTATGCAGAAGATCTGATCTGAGGACAAGAACCATGTTCCACAGGTTGCTGAGCTTCAAAATTCTTGCCTGTCTCTCATAACCTTTCCTCACTTTACTTTGTCATGTTCCTTGACCTCCACACCTCCAAGCATGCGTGGGTTCCCTGAAATACAACTCGGAAGACGATCGCTCCTCTATCCCTAGTGTTACTCTGCTCGGTGGTGAAGGACCATCCCATTCACTGCCCTAGGAACCACACTTGAACAATTCGAGGTTGTCCCTGAATCGTAGAAAATGCTCTACTGTCAGTCCTTTCAGTGACGCATTTTGAGACTTGCCGATGGAATCTTGCACAAAGGCGCCGAGTCTTTCTCCTGTTACTTTGTTATTACAAGTTCTCTTCCCTCGATATTTATCAAAATGCCCGCTCAACGGCCTTGCGCAGCCTTTGAGCCTCTTTCTCCAGACTTGGACCTTGCGGCGCTAGTAGACTCGACACCAAATTTTGAATACGTGGCAAGGATTCATTGCGATGCGATTGATGAGAATGGCCTTGAGAGCTTCGAGAAGCTTGTATGGCTTCATGTTGTTCTGAGGGGAAAGCCTTTGGTTGTGGAAGGGTTTAATCAGAGGTTTGACAGATCCATATTTTCAGAGAAATGGCTAAGGGAACACTATTCAACGAAGAGTGAGTAACCCTTCCATTTCTTGTGTGCGTAGCTTCTCGTCTAACTACGAAATCTACATGAAGCGGAATTTGCTCGCAATCTCACGACAAAAACTGATCTCCCTCTTACCATTGGGCATTATTTGAAGAATATGCCTCTCCTTGCAAATCAGTGGACTGTTCAGAATTACAAAGATCAAGATAGGCAGAGGATTTATTTGAAGGATATTGACTGTCCCAAACAGTGGCATGACCATCTGAAACAACTGATTCCCCCTTCATTGTTCTATCTGAACAAGTTGCCGGAGATGTTCGATGGCCCTGGAGCGAAGATGGTACCCTCGCCCGACAAATCTCTGGCACGCTCTGCTTCAGAGAGACTTATTGCCAAGGCCGGGGACCTTATGAGCTGTCTTCCGCCCTGCATGCGTGCTGAAAATTTGATGTGTTATATTGGCCACGAAGGAACTTACACGCCAGCTCATCAGGAGATGTGTGCCAGTCTTGGGCAGAATATAATGGTGGAGGCCTCCGACGGTTCCGATGAATACGGGAAAGCAACCATGCCAGGCTCTTCCATCTGGTTTATGACTGAGAGTAAAGATCGCCGCGTTGTAGCTGAATACTGGATGTCTACGCTGGGACATGATATTGATATTGAGGATCATTTTGCTCAGGTCAACGCTTGGAAAGCGGCGCCATTCAAGACCTATGTTGTCGAACAAAGACCGGGAGATTTTATTCTGATTCCCCCACTAGCGGCGCACCAGGTGTGGAACCGGGGAACGAGAACAGTGAAAGTAGCGTGGAATCGGACTATTGCGAAAACTTTAGAACTGGCCTTATCTGAGGCGCTCCCGCATGCTAGAATGGTATGTCGCGACGAGCAGTACAAAAATAAAGCCATCGTTATCTACTCACTCGAACACTATTCTGAACTGCTCAGTGAGGTGGGCAAGAATGACCTTTGTGACACACGTGTCCAGTTGCTCCTTGAAGATTTTGAGCTCTTATTCAAACTTTATACCCAGATCCTCCTTTCCGAGAGCTTCTCGCAGCACCCACCGAAGGAAAAGGATATCGAATATGTTCCCTTTGATAGCAATATAACGTGCTCCTATTGTCGAGGTAATATATTCAACAGGTTTTTGACTTGCCCCTGGTGTGTTGGCGAGGGAGACGATACCTACGACATTTGCATGGAATGCTATGTTATGGGAAGAAGCTGTGCCTGTATATCTAAGTTACAGTGGGTTGAGCAATTTCGTTGGAGTGAATTGACTGGCAAGTATGAAAAGTGGAGGCAGCAAATACTTAGGTTCACTGAGGATAAAAGTGATAAATATTCATGTCTCCCTGCCAAAAGGGCTCAACTGGGCAAGAAAACTCTAGCTGAAATATGCCATGAACAGTTGAAACGCCGCCCCTGGGTCGATATCACAAAGCCGCTCATCCAACGAGTAGAGCAAACAAATAGCGATTCGGAGAATGCTACCCCTACTCGAAAACGAAGGAAAGCCCAGAAGAGCGACACGTGCAAGAAAGGTGGCCGATGCCACATATGCAAATGCGCTGAGCCTATGTGGAAGCTTGCCTCATGCTCATACTGTAACTTGAGTTACTGTTATGGTAGTCTCTTTAGGGCTTTCAATATCCAACCTCAGGATACAATGGAGATGTATCACTGGATGTGCCCTAGATGTCAGAATATCTGCAGTTGCGCTGCATGCCGTCGAGATCCTACCATGAATCCTTATGAGCCTACATGCACGTTATTGGGGCATGACACCAGGAAGGTAGCAGACCCGCGCAGCGTGGAAAGTTTGGTGGATTTCCGTCAGTCCAACCTCCGTTGGCTGAAGAAAGCTGGTGACGATGAAATAGGCCGCCTGAAGAAGCATCAGAAAGAGGCGGACGAGAAGCGCAATAAAGCCTTAATTGATAATTGTATTGAGCTAGAGTTTCCTCTGGCGATGGGTGAGTACACAGAGAGTGCCCCAATGGGTTCTCCTGTGGCTGGCTACTCGAAAGACTATGGAGACATACCCGTTGATCCTGCACTGGAGAAGTTAGATGGGTCCTTCCTAACTCCGGAATCTATCTGTCAATGAGAAATGTAGAAATGCTGGGGAGTGCATAATGCGACGCATATACGACTAGAAAGGCATATGTAAACGGTGACATAGGCCGGATAATTCTACGTTCGTGGTAATCTATCTACGTACATCTTCTTTTCTTTTCCATTGCAAAATCCTGACATTGGCGGGCGGAGAAACTGAAAGTGTTGAGCTATCTAGCGTTATTCAAAATAGTAATTATTGAAGGAGATTGGGAGATGAATAGCCTCGAGCATCCACGAAACGTCGGTCTTGGGCAAAGAGAGTCAGATAGCTGGCCAGTTGCAGTTGTAAAGGATGAATAACAGTAACAATAGTATGTAGTAAAACAACAACAACAAGAAGAAGAAGGAATGTGCTAAGGTATATTGGCACATACATAACTCCTAAGCTCCCTTGTATCTGTACTGGAGATTCTCAAGATGTTTTAGATCAATGGAGACCATTATCTTCCGTGCAAGCATAATAATTGCAAGCATGGCTGGATGATAGAAGGTTATTGTGAGTCCTTGAAGAGATCGCTGTGACCTTACTGAAAGGGTACAGATGTGAGAAAAACTCACCTCCCGGAACAATGTATGTTGTCGGCTGTTTACTGAACGATGATTGCACCGGGGAAGAGAAGATGTACACTAGTAGCAACAAGCTACAGGCTGCAGTATTTATAGGGAGAAGTAGTTTCTGAAAAAGTGCTAGAAAACCTGGACTTTGTATCGGCCTCTTGCCCTTAGGATCCGGATTCTGGAGAGGGAAGGATTTCATAATGTATGCCGTTGCTATTAATGAAAGAGTGCTTAAGAACGAAAGGAGACGCTCCTGCATATCTGAACTCCGTGAGCACACTGATGGGATGAACATCGAAACCGATAAGAGTGGGATGATAGCGAAAAGAATCTAAATGACGAATGATGTCAAGTTGTAATTTTTTGTTAGCAATGCTCAGCCTTTTCAGATTTGCGACAACTTTGGGAGAGAGATGATATACACTATATTCCGCATCGCGCTTGTCATTTTGTGCTCGCAAGCGTTCTATTACTGATTCCTGCTCTGCAACGTTGTCAATGGGAGAGACCATAATGAGTTCAAAGATTCATACATACCCTCTTCGTCTAGCTCTTCGCGCTCATGCTTGTCATCATCTGAGTCTTCAGGATAGTGGAAGGCCTTGCGTAGTCTTGCAGCTGCCATGATCCAGGTGGTGTGCCGTGCCTCTTCAGTCTGCAGGGAAGGAAGAAAATCAACATAAATGACGTTACAGATTTTAATTTATTTCTTGGATTAAATTAAATTCATCATTTTATTTTATTTAACACACTACTGCACTCTTTACTCCGCAGTTTGTCTTGTTTGGTTTGTCTGCCGCCTAGCAGCCGCAAAAGACTTGCTAACATGACATTAATGGTGCAGTTGATGAATTACGACAACGCTCACTGTATACTATTCTATACCCAAACCTTCGAATTTCCTTCCCCGCGGAAATGACTCTGCACATTGTGCAGCGTCGCACTGGCGTGCTGCGAATCTCCCTTTTTCGTGGTTGGGCTCTTCCTCGTCGCAACCTCATTCCCGCCCCGCACGCCAACTCGGGCCCTTTAATGGAACGACGAGCGGATCGAGACCTTCCCTCTGTCAATAAAGACCGACGATGGATGCGGACATTACCTATATTCGCTATTGCCGTAGGCGCTGCGATGCTAGGGATTTTCAACTATCAGAAGTCGTCGTCAAGCGTGGTCAGCAGTACTCTCTACGCTCTTCGCACTTCGCCGCGTGCTCGTGAGATTCTAGGCGACGAGATTTACTTTGCTCAAAAAATACCGTGGATTAGCGGGGAGATGAATCAGCTACATGGGCGTATCGACATTTCCTTCGGGGTCAAGGGAACCAAATCTCAGGGTAAAATGAGGTTCCGAAGCATCAGGCCAGACCGAATGAGCTATGTTCGTTATGAACTCCTTGATCCCTTCCTCGTTTAGACATATCATCTAACACATCTCTGAATTGGATTAGTTTCGCACTGAGGAGTGGAGTCTTGAGATGGAGGATGGCACAATCGTTCAGCTACTTGACAGCGAAAGTGACCCATTTCGTCAAAGTGGCTAGGTGAATGAATGTAAAGTTCTCTTCGAAGTAGCATTCCCGCATATGCTCAGCGTTACACAGTATCCTACTTACGATGCACCTCGATGCTCTCTGTACATTGACCTGGGCGTTTGGAAGCTGTGGCTATAGTATTTTTCTTCAATTTTCTTCCTTCTCTGCGAATTTTGGCATAATGACGGTATTGCAGGAGATCATAATGTCAGTGAAGGCAAGACCGATGGGATACTCATTGAAGAGAAAAAGAAAGATAAAAGGATATCATTTATGTATCATATACAGACGCCGCTTTGTAAAACAGGATAATGTAATAGTACATTTTCAAAAGCAAGACAACCATCTAGTCGGTTATACAGCTGAATCAGATAGAGATACGACTTCGGGCCATGGTTTCTTGATAGCATCTTGAATTCTGACAATGCAGCCTTTAGGTCCACTGACAGCGCCTGACGAAAGAAGCACTCAATTTAGCCAATCCGATGCATTAGGGAGCGAGGAGAACTCTTACCATTAACAACAACTATACCATTTTGCGAGTCAACCTTGAGGATCCTTAAATTTTGTACCGTATTCTGCTCATTTCCCATATTTCCCGCCATCTTCTTTCCAGGATATACCCTAGATCCACCACCTTGGCTAGGACCCGCAGAACCAAGCGACCGATGTGTTAAACTAACGCCATGACTTCGGTCTTGGCCACCAAACCCATGTCTCTTCATCACACCAGCGAACCCCTTCCCCTTTGTGTTAGACCGAGCATCAACGTACTGACCTTCCTGGAACCAATTCGCGCTGATTGCCTGGCCAACGGGCAAGAGACCATTTTCGTCCTGCACTCGGAACTCGAAGATATGCCTCTTCGGAGAAACACCGTTGGCAGAGAAATGCCCTAGGAGTGACTTGGTAAGATTACTAGGGTGTTTCCAACCTGAGCCCACTTGAACAGCAAAGTAACCGTGCTGTTGCCGTGTTTTGTGCGAGATGACTTCCACTCGGTCCAACTGAAGGACAGTGCAAGCAATTCGTTTCCCTGTCTCTGTATCGTACAAGGCAGTCATCCCTTTCTTGATGGCAATGGCACCAGTTCTGGGGGGTAGCGTTGCTGCCTTCCTTTCCAACGCCGCCGTTGGCGTTGACTTAAGCACTGGAAGGTCAGGCCCAACATTGAACCGGGAAGTTTTGGGAGGGTTTAACGACCGGATGCCGAATGCCCTGATTGGGGCATTAATATTGCGATTGGTCAGTTGAGGGCTCCAGAGGGATATGGGTGACTGTATCAGTCTACCGGATAAACGGGGCGCCATGGCGGACTTATGTTGCCTGGGAGGGGAAGTTCTTGAATGAACTCGGTGGACTTTGTCTTCATCCGAGATTTTTACGATCGCGCGAGTTGCACAGGGCGGTGAGTGCTCCCCTTGGTGCCCTACGTTTGAGGCATAGTTCCTCAACCACAACCACGTGTGTTTTACGGTCAAGAAAGGGCATTTAATCCAAACAGATGGCGAGTGGACTTTGGATAACCCCATGTTAAGTGCTTGCTAAGTATACAATATTATGAAAGTGATGATCCTTCCCCCAGTTGTCCATTCCGTGCACCTCACCGGATATACCGGTAGGCCGACCGCCGAATAGTTATGGACCAGTCCAGTCCAAGAACAATAAATTTTATCTACTCCCCGAGACGTCACCATTGCCATCCCTACTGTTTTCTTTTCTTTTCTTGTTTTCTCCATCTTGCAAATCTCATCATTGGTTCATCGTCGATCTGATAGACCTGCAGATCGAAGATCAACCTCCATTCTTTTTATTTTTCTTACCATCAGCCGAAATCATTTATACAACCAATCCCAAAATTCTTGGTGTCTTTATAAGGATGTCTCTGAGGCATCCTACAATCTCACATTGGTTCTCCCAGGCCTCTAGTTTTGGTCGGCATGTACTTCTACCATCGACAATGAATAGGACTGTTGCAATGTCCCAGCCATCAGCTTCCTTGGCCACATTCCGCCGTGCTTTCTCCCTCTCAGCCGACAAAAGCAGGTTCCTCCCCAGCCAAATGAAGTTCAGGACCCGTCATCATATTAAGGAGTTCTCTCATACCCAGCAGTCTCCGGTGTCTCGACGATTATTTAGTTCGTCCCGGTCGAAGAGCTCGCCGAAGTCGGAGCAATCCGCTTCGCTCTCGCAGCGGTTAAAGGCACTTTCCCGGGAATACGGCTGGTCGGCTTTGGGTGTGTACCTACTTTTGTCGGCAATGGACTTTCCGTTCTGTTTCGCCGCCGTTCGCTTTCTTGGGGCGGAGAAAATCGGTCATTATGAACATGTAGCCATTGAGTCGTTCAAGAGCGCAATCGGCACTGTGCTCCCTAACGTGCAGGAGGCACAATCTCGAGAAGAGACTAGGACAGATTCTAAAGATGAGACCTCAAAAGGTAAAATAGAGGGAAGTGCAGTGGAGAAGGCAGATGAAGGGGCCAGTATGTTATCCTTATATTTCCTGGATTATAATGTACTCTGCCTGGGGTATTTACTAATTATTGTCTGTGCAGGCCTATGGACACAAGTTGCTCTCGCCTATGCGATCCACAAAAGCCTTATATTCATTCGCGTTCCTCTGACCGCGGCCATCACCCCCAAAGTTGTCAAGGCCTTGCGGCAGTGGGGCTGGGATATTGTTAAAGGTAGACCAAAGGGTATGTAGGTAGGCATATGTTCAAGGACATGGATGGCTGGGCTATAGGGACATAGATATACTTGGATATCTTCTCTCCGCTTTCTTTTTGGGACTTGTGGCATAGCGATGGTATAGATTATATTCACGGTTTGATTGTACATTAGCTGTTAGATCTAGATTCCCAGGGTGCATACCATGGAGTTCCCACTCTCGTACATTTCCCAAATGGGTATTTATGCCAAAACATATGCATTAAGTAGGAGACAGCAGGAACGGGAGGAAGAAAAGCAGCAACGATGAAGTCAGGAGAAAAGGGAGAGCGGTTAGGAAAATGAAGGGGAGCGGCCAGATTTCTGAGTCAAAGTAATAAATAGAAGTATGCAGCTAGCGCCTCTAACCTCTGTCTCTTTCTCTTTCTCTTCTGCTTTTCTTTCTTGTGGGTTCGGTGTTGCACGAAGCCTCGATGAGGATAGTAGGATGATGGATGCTTGTCAGGCGTAGGTAAAAGCGAAAGAAAAAAAGGGATTGGATCACCAAAATGCAAAGGACACTTGAGGCCGAAATGCAGATGCCACTCCCTAAAGATCTTCATATATACCCAAGTTAACAATATCAAAAGTTGACTGCAAGAGTGAGGCATGTCCTTAACCATGTCTCACATGTCAATCGTATCGTTGAATCTCAAGATGCCATTGGCTTTCATCACACCGTTCACACCATCAGGCATTCGGTATGCCCATTCAGCTACACCCATCGCGGTCGCCACGCCCAGAACTTCTTTGTGGGCTGGGGGTTCAACTTCGTCAGATGTGTCCGCCACAAGTACAAGACCGAGTTCTTTGATTGTCTCTACAAGCGCTGGCACAACATTCTGGGACGGCCATAGAAATTTCATATTAGTAATGATCTCGTTGCATTGTTTCACAGAAATCCGAAAATGGCGTAGCGAAAGGGCAGGGAGAGGAAAAGGAACATACCAAGAGGCTGGACCGACATATTAAGCCCATAAAGTTGTTACTCTGCGCTATCCTTGCCGATTCTTTGATGGACAGTGATGCACGACCACTACTATTGATGTCTGGAAGTGAGCCAACGTCACGGGCCAAATCACGAATTTGGCCAAGATCATTGCAAAGAAGAACGGGATCTTATGAACGAAAGTTAGCAAAAGCCATGTACCAATGAAATTTAGGAAAATACTAGACGTACAATTCGGTTGCTTCCAGTTCAAAGCAACGCAAATATTAGGGTTGTAAGAGGTAAATACGATAGAACGCATGAACTCAGGGTTCTGATTTCGTGACACACGAGCATGATCGAACACCACAGTAAGGATGGCATCAGCAAAGCTATTGACATCCGCTAATGATACCATATGTAGCGCTTGCTCCTCGGCAGCCGACGGATAGAGTATAGAGAGATTAACATTGATGCTAATGGGCAGATGCTGGAGCATCTCTTTCAGGGAGAGAAATGAAGATGCAAGTAGACGGTGTGCTTGTGCCAAGTCGTCAACGGCACGCGTTTGAAGGTACTGGAACAACTCGGAACGACTCGCACCCCTCTCGGCACCAATAACTTGGAACTGCGAGTAAGTGAGATGGCAGATGGGTATTTCAATACCATGATGCTGAACTGTAAAACACGGATAGAGCACAGGGATTCTGTCTCTGGTGAGCTGCACAAAAAGTTGAACATGATCACCAGACAAGCTCGAACCTGTGACCAGACCGTTGTGTTCTGAGTCGATAGCACTCGTCGCCTTCCAATAGGTAGCGAAGTGGGTGATCTCTAAGGGATCACCATGGTACGGTTTGATGACTTGGAACCCAAACCGCAACTGCCCTATTGACCGCAACCTAGGATCAAACAACGGCAAGCAACACGATCCAGTGCTAGAATTCTCAGCCCTAAATACTGTGGGTAGGGCGACCGTCTTCGCTATCACTTTTGAACCAAATGTGGGGAAAATCTCAAAATCCACAGCGAATGTCTCCAGGTTGTCTACCTGAAATGAGATCAGTCGCGAATCTTCTTGGATGGGAAGCATAATGGTGCGTGGGATCAAGTCAGAGAGTTTCGAGGAAATGGTTAGCCGGGCTGCAGGATGACGTCCTGCTTGATCAAAGGTAATGGAACCGTAATTTCCGGTATCAAAAAGAATTTGCACGAAGACTTTCTTGTCCAAAAAGTTATGGCCGTAACGACGTAGAGGTATGATTGGTGGAGGGAGAGAAAGATCGGGTATGCCATCCGCTGTCTCAGTATTTTCAAAAGGCGAGGTATCCTCCATTTGTAAACCAGGGACATGACTTGCTTCTTGTAGCCTTAGACCATTCGGGACATCGAATGGCTTTTGCGGGGTACAGGAATCACCGCGATGCGACCAAAGCAGAAGCATGCACTCCAAGTGGCCTTCCCACGCTGCGTAATACATTGCAGCGAGACCCTTCTCATCTACAACATCGGCATCCACACCCAATTCGAGAAGAGCGCGCAGGCAGTCAACACAGCCTTCACTAGCAGCATGGAAAAGTGGCGTCCACTGATACAGTTTATCTCTCTGGTTCAAATCGGCCCCATGTTGTTTGAGCATCATCAGTAGTTGCGGAGACTGCGAGGCCCTTGCGACCATATGTTGAGGATAGAGACCTTCTGCATCTGGGAGTAGTTGTGCGTGCCGTTCGAGAAGCATTTTCACAATCGGAAGTGATCCATGTTGGCATGCCAGGTTCAGCGGAATGTGATCTGATTCAGAGGCCGGATCAATGCGAGCATTGCTGTGAAGAAGCTGCTCAGCACACGACAGCTGACCTTTTACAATACTGTGAATCAGCGGCGTGAAGTTGTCATGGTCCATTACGTCGACAGTGTGGGGGCCTGCAGCTAATAGATTTTTCACCATTTCCACCCGGCCGTGTATACAAGCATAATGTAGAGGAAGTCGGCCGTAAACATCAGACCTTGAGATATCAACACCTGCCGCGAGCCCCGACTTGAATACAAACTCTCGACCTGAAATGGCTGCTTCGTGCAAACAATTGCGTTCATTAATGTCATCTTCTGCGTAGATATCGACTAATCCACTCTCGAGAAGAACGGCCAGTACATCGTCTGAAAATTCATTGATAGCAGCAAGGAAAGTACGAGTCGCGCGCTCCCGAGCATCAGGTGATGATTGGAGTTTTGAAGTCCACTCGCGCAATGTTTGGAGATTACCAGCAGTGGCCGACTGCAGTATTTGCAGGTCAAGGTCTTCTTCATCCGGCCCAAACGGTTGGACAGCCACTGCGCGATCCACAGGACGGGCAGCGTCAAAATTAATATTCTCGCCCTCCGCCCATGCCTCAAGTTCCAGCCGAGCGGTCGTGGCCCGGTCTGACAGGTCGCGCAAAACGTCACGATTGAAACAGGGTTGTACTTCGACGGCCCGGTGGAGGTACAACTCCTTCATACGCGACTAAACTGATGAGTAAGTACAACTGGAAGCGTAATTTGAACAAAACTGTAATGAATGACTCAAACCTTTGATGTTTTGTCCCACTACCTAACATGTCAGCCGTTTCGAACCTAACAATTCAAAGAACGAATCTTTTCTACGCACCTTTTTGAGAATCTTCGACATAGCAGTCTCATTGATCTCGACAAATTGCTTTGTTGAGGGAGATATAATCAGAACCTTACGCGCAGGGTATTTCGAAGCATCATGCTTACTTGCAACTTATTCAGATCGCCATCAAATTGCTGGAATCCTTCAAACAAGGCGACAAAGTTGGCTGGCGCCTTAGAACTGGGTACTGTTCGTGACTGGATAACTCTCTTCTTGTCGACTAGCGTTTTCAGTCGCAAAGAAAACTATAACACCAAGTCAGTATACACCTTAGGTCGAGCGGCTATGATATGGTAGCAAACCTCGGCTTCTTTTTGTAGATAGAATGTGTTGACTTTCTCTATTTCTCGCTCCTGTTTGGGTCATTAACTTAAGAAGCCTTCTCCTGCACCCCATTAATCAAGGAGCCCATACCAACCGAAAAAAGAAAACCTCCTTGTTCGCGCGAAGAGCGGCTTGCGCTTCTGGCACATCTTGAGCTACGCCTGCAGAGCACTGAGCGGGGATCGTGGGTGTAGCACTTAGTTGCTTAATGAGCTATTATGTGGATATTAGCCACAGAACACTGGGTACTGTATAAACACCAACCTTCTTCAAAGCCTTGTAATTTACGAAACTGGCGGCATATTCAGGAAGGTCAAGTTGTCTGCGCTGGATTTGTTTGCCAAACTTCCTATAGGCCGAACGATCAGCGCTGTAGAACGTTGTAGGTCGAGAAGAGCTAAGAACTGATTGCAGATAATGCCTTTCGCATGCGAGCGTTTGTTCACTTACATCTTGGTAAGCTGTTTGAGGAAGGTGAGGGTTTCCCAGTCCCTTGATGCACTCGCGCCTGGTACGGCAAAGGCTTAGGGTCTGGACAAAAGACTGTGTTGGTACGAGTTCTCAGGACGTTCAATGTTCCAACTGTAGAGAGTATGTGAGAGTGAGAATGCGTGGGAAGGGGGGGGGGAGATGAAGAAAAAAAGAAAGCTATAGCAATTGCCCCTCTCGAAAGCTTCCAGGGAATAGAAGAGAGACGGGCAAGTGAAAAAGGGACGTAGCCCGAAGTGGGGCGAAAGGGAGGGGAGAGAGAGAGAAGAGGCAGAAAGACAAGTAACAACCGTGGTGGTGGTGGTAAAAAGGAAAAGAAAAGACGTGTACAGGGTAATCGAACCAACTTCCGGTTCAGGCGATAGGATAGTTGGATAGAACAGCTAGCCACCAGTCTCAACCGAAGAAGCAAAACAAGAAGAAGCAACACATATATCACCTCTGGGGGCCTTTGTCAGTCCGCAGTGAGAAGTGTTCGCCTTCGGTATTTAGTGTACCTCTTAGGCTATTGCTTTCACCAATGCGGGGCACTTGATCGTATTGAATGGTGAGAAACAAATAAGGAAAGCCCCCGGTCGCTGGGCGCCGTTATAGTAGAGAAGGAGTAATAGATAGACACAAGCAGCGAATGAGAATGGATTATCAGAGAACAGCATGAACAATACTCTTAGGACTCATGGCGGAAAAAATCACGTCAGGTCAGAGGTCGAGCAAGGGCGAGTGGAGAGCTCTGGAGAGCTGGCTCCGGGCCAATCACAGATGGCCATCCGCCCACGTTCCCTTCACTTGGCCTTGCGCAACACCAACCATGACCTCCACCGTCACAACGTGTCTAGACTAAGACCGCATGAGGCTAAATGGGTCTTGGCGCTGTCTTCACTACGTAACCCTTGGACCATCAATCATATATGTTGCACGTCTATGCAACTATCGATCAATTCCACAAAGGACATGAGCGATTATTTAAGGAAACAAGACGGAAATGTCCTATGTATTCAACCAGCCTGCTCTGAATAGAGGCACAGGGTATAAGAGAAATGAGTATGAAGAATAAACGACCAAGGTCATTGTATCCAGATATAGACAGAGATGCACGCGATGTACCCATATATCACAACCTATCCAGGCCCCAGCACATTTCAGGGCTAACAGTAGGTAATAGTTTTGAAGGGGGGAAAGAAATGAAATGAAACGAAAAAGTGAACCACACCAGATCTCAGCGCGAGAGTAGGGAAAGTATACATTGAAACCTGACTAGCTCTTTGAGGTGGTCACAGGTATACAGATGCAAGAATGACTATCCAGCACAGTGGAGAAAGAAGGCAGAAAGGAAAGAAAGATACGGCGAACTCGGGATATAGCTAAGAGTACCAATGAGAAACAGACAATACAAGAGCACAAGGTTCGAATGAAACAAGGGAGAACAACCAGACCCAAAACCACAAAAGAAAAACAAAGCGAGAGCAAAACAGAGACAGCCGCCATCGGGATTTATAATAAGATGAGACAAAGAAAAGTCAAAGGAGATATTAAGAAAGAAAGGAGTTTATGGCAAGGTTTCCATTTGATGGCGTAAGATCAGTCACGGGCAGGCCATGGATCATCTAGAGGCGATGGTAAGTTGCGGACAGCTGAGATTTCAGCTGTTTGCTTTCTTCGGTCTACTATGAAATGAGCAGGAGCCATTACTCTATCCTCACCAAATCCACCAATATTCAAGACGCCATCAAGGAATGTATGGTGACTTTAGCACATTTATTGGGCTTCGCTCAAAAGTTTTGAGCGATTCCGGCATTTCCTTGTCTAGGGAAGACTGCGGGGTTCTCAATACGAGTGTTGCGTCGTGCTTGAACATCTCGAATCACAGGTGGACTTCCCCCATATGGGCCATCACCATACGCCCCATACTGTGGTTGCATCTCATTGTAGTAAGGGTTATCGTCGTAGAAAGGACCCGAAGGGTGGGTAGCGGACATGTGACTTTCGTCCGAAGCCTCCGAACGGTTGGCGGCAGAATACGCGGATGAAGCGTTAGACGGGCCACGATGTATACCTGTGGTACGATTGTTCGCCGCAGCCACCGGGGCAGCCCCTAAAACGCCGATAGGATCCGTCTCACCCACTGCCGGGCCGTCTGAATATTGAATGGTGCCATCGCTTGGGGTAGCGGCATGGTGATAACCAGGAGCACTTCCTGCCTCGGACATTGCTAGCCCAACTCCGGCACCACTCGACAAGTTAGTAGATGCTTTGCGACCAGCTGACGTGGTCCCCCATCCTCGATAACCTGAAGTATCATCCTTGGGCTCGAAAGCACCACCTCCCATAATAGGCGGAAGAGTTGGGTCATTATTCGGATTGAACCCGTATTCTTCCACTTCCTTCCTCCGTTCCTCCTCCGCTGCTTTCTTTGCCTTCCACTTCCTCCAAAAATACAAAGCAGCTAAGATGATAATTGCCACAGAGGCGACCGGTACAACTACTGCAACCGCTATCGTCCCACCAGGCGAAAGCCCAGAGCCACCACTTCCACTTCCGCCTGTGGCAGATGCTGTTGTTGACGAACCTGTTGCTGTGGCAGATATACTGTTGGCTGAATTTCCAGTTGATCGAGTGGGTAACGAAGTATCTGTGGATGTAATAATAACAGTTTGTGGTCCTGTAGTGCCATCTGTTGCCGACGTTGTGATTATTGATGTAATGACAGAAGACGCATCGGTGGTGCTGCTTGTGGTGGAAGTTTCTGGACTTGTGGAAGTGCTACTGGTGCTGGTCGTTGTCGGTGGCTGCGCCGAGGTAATTGTAGAAGACGTTGATGAGGTGGACGATGTAGAGGAAGATGTTGAGGAAGAGGAAGAAGAAGTAGTAGCAGTAGCAGCTGTTGGCTCGGATGTGGTTGACGTATCGGTTGGTGTTGCGGTTGGCTTTTCTGCGGTCGGTGTGGTGACTTCTGCAGTAGTTGCCGCTGGCGCTGACGGCGCCGCTATTAGAGATTCAGCGTACTGCTCAATTGTTACACTGAGTTGAAAAGTGCAGAACAATGATATAGCGCAACATATTAAAAAAATTTTCCATCATACCTGCTGAAGACCCGGGCATCTCAAGATCTGAACTGGCGGCTTTCTCTTCCAAATTTCGAGAGGTATCACTTGACTACTTGTCGCAAACCTTATACGGTTCCCAGATTCAACTGGCTGGATAGTTTTGTTATCTCAGAGAACGCGTGGGTGGCTGGAGAATTTCTGAAAGTCGAGTTCCCAAGAAGCAATTTCCGTAGCGGACCAAGTTGCTCAAAGGTTCGGGGACGTAAAGGAAAGGGCAAGGTAGCCGTAGCATCCGCAATAGGAGATTTGCGCGCGCCAAAGAGGTTACCAAAGTGGTCCGCTATAGTAGGATGGATGATCACGGAGAAAGGAACAATCGTTGGATTGATTGATCTGTCTGGACGTTGGTCAGGGGGAAGCCCAATTTGGTACGACAGAAAATGAGCAGAATAGCGCTCGGACACACACACACACAGAGAGAGAGAGAGGAAGAAAAAAGTAGACTATGAAATTCAAGGCCTGCTTACCCGAAGAAATGAATGGGATGCCATCAGATAGTAGGGGAACGAAGGAATAATGTGAAGTGAAATCAAGGTTAGAGAAGGGAATGAATTGAAAGGATCAGGGCTAAAGGAATGAGAGGAAGAAGTGGAGATAGTAGAGAGAACGTCGAATCCTGGATCACAACTGCAACCGGATGGGCGCCCTAAGTGGCACCGTTCGTATTTTTGTTCTTAGTGGTTACGGACTTTCAAATGCCTGAGGTTTTGGTGCAGTGGGGTCTGCAATATAGAGTAAATTTACTCATTTCGTAGGTCTTCGTACGGAGGATTCTTTAGTACAGAGTACACATCACGATACATGTAGTAGGTATATATGATTTGTATGTATGTGTGTGTGTATAATCCTCTCTATATACTCCATATAGGTATCATACGGTACCGAATGCTCTGCTAATCATTCTACAGTATCCGATAGGACAGCCAGGGGAAAATCAAACATTGACGAGTGCGGAAAGGTAACCTTCCAACTGCGCCGCGATCGGCAACTAACTGATACAACAGCACCTAGTTATCTTCCCCTCCCCCCCTTAAAAAGTGCATGCGGAATGAGAGCCCGCATAGCGCTGGTTATGGTGTAGCTTATATCCTGGACCGGATCTGGACTCAATCATAGGCATTAGGCATTCAAATTTTCCATGAAATCCTCCCCATAAGATTAGGTGATGTGTGTACGAAGTATGATAGGTACGTATACTCTGTATGTACACACTACTATGTAGTAGTCCAACCTCTGTACATGCATACTTAACCTTTAGTGATCGGGTACTACTATATCTTAGAAAAGTCCATAAAGGATTGCACTCTGAATCACGATTTGATGAAGCTTGTCTTACGGCCCCTACTTATTACCATTGGTGTACCGAAATATTGATCCCAATGGCTACAAGTTCAGGCCCATCGAGGCAGTGATCCTAGTTGAGCTAATCTGTCTCGGTGGCAAAATTGACCCAGGGCGCCTTGTCTCAACACCATATTATGATAGCTTTGAGTGCCACCCGCTGAGTTAGGGAACAAATGGAATTCGCGGGTCATGTTACCTTTTCGACATTGAATAGATCCCGAATTTTCGGTTGGTTCTAGTGCTGTGCTGTGGGTCTTTGTCAACTTCGTCATATTAGTGGCGGACCTGACCACCCACCGCCTTCGCCGGATGGGTGGTCGGCGGCGTAGAGGCATTTTCACCGTAGAGGCAGATTTTGAAATTCTCATCTTTTTGAAGCTATACAAACCATCTAATATGCCTAAATCATCAGAAATTCATGATGGACGCGTTGATAAGGCCGTTGAAGCTATACAGCAAATGAAAAATCCTAATATCGCAAAAGTTGCGCAGGAATTCAGGGTTTCCTACCGCACACTCTATAGCCGTGTACATGATTGAAAAAAGTCTTGTTTGACTCGCATGCCTGTAAATAAAGCGCTAAATCAGTATCAAGAGGCTGCTCTAGTTTAGTGGATTATTAAAATGCGTGATCTTTATCTCCCTGTCACTATTTAACTCCTTCTTGACTGGGTAAATTAAACTGTGCAGTGTACTAATCCTGAACAACGCGTTAATTGATTATGGACATATTGCTTTGTCAAAAGACTTCCTCCTCATCTAAAAATTAGTCCAGAGATACAGAAAACGAAGGAGAAGAAGCATATAGAAGCAGAGAATATTGGATAGCTTTAATTCTGGTATAATCAGCTTACAAACTTGTTTAAAGGGGTCCCCGCTCGCCTTGTATATAACTTTAATAAATGCGGATTTCAACCAGGTAAAGGAAAGTCCCAAAGCGTGCTTAATACAAAGAAAAGAAAGATCCAAGATCTTCCTAAAGCAGAGTATTCAGATAATATAACTGCGCTTAAATATATTGCTGCAGATAGTTGGATTATGACACCGCTTTTCATCTTTAAAGGCAAGAAATTTATGGAGGCCTGGTATGATGAAGAACTACCAGATTTCTACACTGCAGTCTCTGAAAAGGGCTATATAAATGACAAATTATTGATTGACTGGCTTTATAAATTTTATAAAGAGATCAAGAATTATATAAGAAGAGAAAAAAAACATGTTCTTCTTTTTGACAGCTATACTGCTTATAAAATACTTAAATTTCTACAACTCTGCAAGACCTATAAGATTCTTTTCTTTTGTTTTAGGCCTTATATAACTCATCTCTGCCAACCGCTTGATAGAAAGCTATTTCTTACATATAAAACGCACTTTCACAGTGTAAATAATCTTATCGCGCAGTGGTGTAATGTCCCGGAAGATAAAAGGCGCTTTTTAAGTGATATTATGGTCATATAAGATAAGACCTTCAACTCACGAATTATTTATAACTTCTTTAAAGAATGCGGCATCTTTTCTCCAGATAGATCCTCTATAATTAAAGCTATTCAGAATATCCTATCTCCAGTGCCAGAGATCTCCGCGCCTGATCTACACGCGTACAGAGAGACTACACCTTCTTCTAATCCTCTTTCTTCAAGTGTTGAAAACACGCCTCCAAAGATCTCTCTACAGGTTGAAAAGAATTAAAAGAAGCTATTTTATCTACTAGATTCTATAGAGATCTCTCCGCGAGTTAAGCGCTGCCTAGAATATCTATTTGATTAGCAGAAACTTCAATCTAAGTAACTTGCAGTCATAAACTCTACTTTAGAGTAAATTAAATCAGTCCAGGCAATATAATGCTGTAAATCTACTAAATGAGAGATTCAGTGCCTTAGAAATAGTGGTATACTGACTGTACAGGATGCAAATCAATCTATTGTAGATAGAAGAGTCAAAGAGGAGTTGAATAAGAAGAAGAAGACAGATAAGGCATATAAAGAAGTGTATGGTCATCTCCTACCTGCGCCTCCTGTGGAAGATCAAAAACCTGCTTCATATAGTGAAAAGGCAGCAGAATCGGGTAATCAGTTTTATTTTATAGATTCTATAGGATCTAGGCGTTGAAATGCGAATTGCTTCAAAATCTGCCTCTACGGTGAAAATGCCTCTACGCCGCCGACCACCCATCCGGCGAAGGCGGTGGGTGGTCAGGTCCGCCACTAATACCTATATACATTACACCTATTTATAATCGAGAGCAGCAAACGAATAATAATAATAGTAATAATAATAACAATAGCAACTCTCTCCCCACATAGCCTTGATAACTGCTTTCCTTTCTTCAGTCCCGCAGGGCTAGGCCAGGCACATCAATACATGCTCTCTACCTACGGAGTAGAAACCAAACCAAACCAATATTATATCAATTAGCTAATTATTCCTTTCTAAAAAGCGACACCTGGCTCAAGGTGTTTTGATATCTCAACCAGAGTTCTAGTCCGACTAGTTTGGACTATAGGTACGGAGTTGCATGGTGTTGGTACACCAAATGACTATTGCTTTCTGCCTATCTAAATCTGTGCTATACGCGGAGTAGATATATCATACTCATCCCACACCAGACAGAATAGTTCAGAGGAACACACGAAAAAAAGACGATAATGGAGGGAGGGGGAAGAGACAATATACCAATCATAGTTTATCGGCACCTTAAATTGAGAACACTAATTGTCTATCAATAACCCAGGACATCAGAAGATATCAAGACCAGGTCCCCTCTATTGAGTTGTTGCTTTCGAAACGAACAATATTTGTAAGTGTGAACTATAGAAACATAGCCACGGAAGCCCGACGCTCAGAAGAAGAATTAAGATAGAAAGATAACTGAAGAATAACAAATCCCTTATATGTTATGTACGCCACCGACGTCAAATGGTTTGCTAATTGACACAGTCCTCTTAAAAAGGACCGACGTATGAGACAAAGGCAAGTGATAGATCGTAACATAGTGTTTGAAGTCACCTCAAAACTGTGGGAAATGGATTACGAAAAACCAGAAATTGAAGAATTGACTCAATCTATGTTTACTTCCGCATGTCCCATGTTGGACGAAGGTTAGATATCAGGTCGTCCTTGGTACCCACAGTTTCGGGGGGGAGGCGGCTGACACGGTACGCACCAGTGCGTATGTTCTGTAGATGGGTCGTCGAGATACCAGTTCGGTTGCTGCGAATACTTCCGGAGTCACTCGCAGTTTCAAGGTTCTTGAAGCGAGGTGGAGGAGCAAAGTCAAGGTTATCGTATGTTCCCGACTTTCGCAATGCATGCCTAAAATACAGTTAGTCCCAATTTCTGATTTAATCGAACTCAGGTGTCTTACGGGCTTGGCATGGCAGCAAGTTCATTAAAAGCTGAGACGAGAGGAGTGTGGGCTCGCATTGTCGGGCTGAACGGTTGCAATCCCCCAAGAGGAGTCCCTGGGCGGCCTTCTCTCTGATCTTTATAACTTTTTCCCGGCGCGTAGTCAATAGCTCCCATTATGGAATCATCCTTCAACATATGAGGAGTGGGAAGAATCTGAAGTGGAGCCGGTGGAGGTGCAGGTTTGCGGGATTTCGGAGCACCTGGAAGTCTGCCAGAAGCTGACGAGAAGGCACGCGGGCCTGGAGAGTTGAACCGATCGCTGAAGCCGCCGATAGAGCCTGAAGGCAAATGTCCGCCTGCTCCCTGGAAGCGCGGAGGCGCACGGGGTGGAGGAGTCATAGCTCGACGATTTACTGGCTCAGCAAACGGTGCCGGAATACCGTCATAATAGTCCCCGGTGGCGGGATCATAAATATAGCCACCGTCCTGATATAAATCTGGACCATAGTAAGTCTCCCTGCCATTCTTGTTTTCATCAAAATACTCCTTGTAAAAAGATCGGATACGGTTGGCACGCTGCTCCGGGTTGTCTGAAGGATCCTCTGGCGGCAAAGGACGCAGACCGAGTGTCAACCGACGGGTATCACGACGAGGATCAACGGCCAAGTCTTGTGCTTGTGAAGTCCCCCGTAATGTATGAGAGATAGCTGGGTGGCCAGGGTCCTTGTTGTCTTGGTCTGGGCTGCTCTCCATTTGAACGTTCACAGCCGGTATGGTAGTGTCGGAATTTCTATTGTCATAGTTGCTCGCCGCATCGCTTAAAGGAAGTGAAATTCTAGGGGTCACCATAGCATCTGGTAAAGCAGGGTTGAGACGTTCTTCTGGAAGACTATGGTCGTCCTTTGGAGACTTCCCAGTATCATTACTGACGCTATTCACGGAAACGATCGGTTCTTTGATACTAGGAGCTCCCGGGATGAGAACTGGGCTAGGGCTTCTGGGCAACTCGAATTGAAAGCCGTGATCCGGTTGTGTATCATGATCAATTTGCCTTGGTGCGCTATTTTCGCTAGGAGACGTATATAAAGGTGGACTTGATCGCGACATCCTTTGAGCGTTTCGCAATAGACCCTGTTTCATATCATCACCGAGAGCGACCTTGCTAGTTGAGCCTGTAAAGCTTGACGCGTCATCTTGGACCCCTCTTGAATGCGATCTGACAGATACATTGTCACCACCCAAAAATGAAGTCGCGTGCCGGTACTTATCATCACCACCTATGGATCTGGATAGGGAATGCAAGGAATCCCGGGAACCGTGCAGGCTTGGGGGGAGCAGGTAAGGACTCGGTCCAATATCCAAGGAAATCCCTTTGTTGTGGTTATGATTTCCGTTAGTTTTCTCAGTCTGCCGCATGGCTCTTCCCCCTCCCGTTGGCTCTAGGTCCAAGCCGAAATCGAGGGATTTATGCTTATCATTGGCATCTTCGTTTCGGAGCTTCCTCACATTCCTCCGATGAAGATAAATTAAAACGATTACGGCACAAAGAATCGGTACCCTATTCTTCGATCAACTACTGTCCCCATACACACACGAGCAAGTTTCGACGGGGGGAGGAGCTTGAGCCTTATGGGAAAGGGATATTGTGGGATGAGGGGGAATTCACATACACTGCTCCTAACACAACGGGTAAAGTAGTGGTTGAGGTTGTGCTAGTGGGTTTCTCGCATTTACTTGAGCTGTCTCCGGCCGAGCAGGATTGGCTGGGGTCGGAATCCCTTTTCACAATCGTCGAAGTTTCGGGTACCAAAAATGGCAGTCGATGGCTAGGTATGATATCTGGGCGACGTGGGGGAGATCGAATTACCATATGGATGTCATGGTGAGCTTGATGTCGTTGGTGATAATGCATGGTCGCACCAAGCCCCAGGAAGTGCGATCTGGGCAACAAACAGGCAGAAAAGGTACGGGTAGAGAGGCAGCGCTATCTTCCAACACCTTTCATATGCTATTAAAGCTCAAGTGAATGAACAGCAGCAGCCCCTGAATATTCATACACGTGAAGCATGGGAGATACAGGTTGAATGAGGCAGCTAATCAACCAGTAAATAGATAATCAGTCGTAAATATAGAGAGCCCAAAAGTAGTTAATAAAGTAGCTGGTAAGGAACAACGAAATCAACGCCGAGATACACTTTTCATGAATGAGTGAACAAGGACTGATTCCCTTAACGAATGGCGGCCAACGGCTAGGATAAGCAAAAATGAATGTCGATAATCTCCGTGGCGTGTAGCAGCTGGAAATGGACGTAAAAAAGACGATGATGAACAAGAAACAATCGCAAAAAAAGACCGGCAGGAGACAAAAAGGGAAAGACGGAGTAGGGACGAAGGGAAAACAACAGGGAAGAGATAAGAGCGGGTGAGAGGGTACGAATTCTAGTAGAGACTACTAGTAGGCACCTTGAGTGAGCAGCGGTCTAGATGGCCTGTTTTGTTCTGTAGATGTGGGGAGACTCTGAGATTGGGGCGTATCACTGGGTTGGAGGAATGGCGTATAGTATAGATGTGTACTGTATTGTCCCTTGGACGGAGCACCATTCATGAATTAGACCTATCTAGGTACATGGATACATACGTATATAGTGACCAATTAACATACATAAATACATACAATGGCAGTCAAACTGCTAGTAAGTGTCTAGTGGTAACATTGAACTAGATACCACTAGTAAGGTACTACTATCCATAATTCAGGTAATATGTACAATGCTTGTGGAGCTGTATTGTGTAATTGGCTTACTAGGCAGGCAGTATGAAGGCCCCTTAAATCGGCTCGGGGAATCTTCAAATAATAAAAAGCGGAGTCGAGAGCCGTATTAAATTGGTTAGAACTCTCCAATGTGCTGATATATACTCAGTATTAGTATTTATTTATGCCTTCCTTGCCTTACATGTTAATCTGTTCTGAAGGTAGATTTTTAAGGGTCTCTATTATGATTATGAAAACTTTCTTTGAATAACTCTAGAAGTCTGCCTATGAATTAACTGATTGAAAAGTCCAGGTGCTAAATCTATCTAAAATAAGGCAGCCGCGGTCCCCTGAGCAAAATTTCGGGCTCGGTGGGGTGTGCAGACTTTCTAGCGTCAGGAACCTGCTTAACCTCTGACCAATTAACGTAGATAGCACTTCAGCCGTCCCACTCCCTTGGCCCCACTGGTGGTACTTACCTTCACTCCGTAACCGTCCCTTCAAGTAAGCAGACCCACCCGCCCTTCGGCGTGTAGGTCTGCCACACCCCAACGCAAAATCCCACGTCAACGCAGAAAATGAAGCAATTCAGATAATTACACAACGTCGCCTTGGCTATCTAGCCAAAAAGGCAGTTTTGGGCCTTCTTCAACCGCTTAGCCATCATTTCTACTAGGTGAATATATATTATCTTTGATATAGTATTGGTTAATCGCATCTTAATGTTGCCGCCTTTCTCTGACGTTTGAGATCTTGTTGTCTCTCCAACTGAGCACGTTCTGTAATTTGATGATTTGTATCATATACTGTTAGGGGCCCTGTATGTGTGATCTGTCTCTGTAACCCTCTCTTAAATTGAGGCTTGCGACGATGCAGGTGTTGTTGTAGATTGCTCTGAAGTTAAGCAGCCAGTTCTATTATTTCTATAGAGCTTCTGAATAGACGGTTAAGACGCTGGGTAAAGCTTCAATTCAGCTCTGGGCTGTCATTAATATATTCTTAGGCTTTATCAATACTTTAATGAAGGCCTCTTATAATAGAGGGGGTAGTGTTGTCAGGGTGCAGATTCGAGCAGGCAGGCTAACAGAGCTAATACGCAGGCAGGCTACTGGTCAGGCTATATACAGGCAGATAGACAAGACGTAGCTTAAGAAGCTACAACAGGATCAGAATCAGGTGGAAAGATAAACAGTCAGAATCATGACGAAGCGGTGGGGTCAGGCAGAACGATCGGTTCGGGCTGGCACCGCGACAAGTGTAGTATATTTTCTAAACTCTAGAGTAGGATCTTTAGCGCTATTTAATGACTGTATTACTATCTTTGGATTAAAAGAATAGATATCCTATTTTTGAAGATATCTCAGATTATATATTACTTGAAGGTATTCTCTTAAATAGAATAGATCTCTCTAAGAAAATCACTTTTATTATCTGTTAAGATATCTAAGATAAGGTAGTTGTTGTGCTGGTGATAGAAGTATTTATAGACCTGAAATAGCTGTCTATCGAGAAACTGTACAAGGTGAATTGTATGGGATGGAAAGTAATAAAGAATAATATAATTTAAGATATAAAACTGAAGAAATTTATAAGTAATGTCCACGATAGAGGTTTAGGCAATCAGTGAATGAGTGGAAGTCACGTGATTCTTTGTCCATAACGGCAACACAACAAGAATAGCTTCATGTTTTCTTTTCTTTTCCTCTCTTTAGCTTAGTCTCTTGGTGATAGACTGCCCAATCAACTATTGGTTCAGCTGAGTCCCTTACAAGTAAGATAAAATCTATAGCTATTAAAAAGTAGTAATTGGAGTTCCTCTTTCTTTAAGAGACAGTATTTTATATAATCATAGAAATATTATATCCAATCAAGCCTAATCAGATCTGTAGAGTATTCTTTAGGAGATACAGTGTTGTGATCTCAGGGGAAAGATGGGCAGAATGATGCTGTATCAGCTACACGTACGTAGCCTACTGAGGACCGGATGCCATTCCGATAGATACTCAATTCTATGGACGACTATATCAACTATCTTTTTTTCTTTCTTCTCTACTAATGGGTAAAGCCTTCAGGGGCACAAGAGTTGGTGATCCGGCCAAGCCGCTAGGTGATCACGTGTCCCGTATAGATTCATAACATACAATAATACAATATTCATCTGCTATAGCAGAATTATTGTCACGGATCGAATAGCAATTCAGCCGGATGACTGTACAGGATACCCTGATTCAGGTGCATGGACAATAGAGATTCGGCCTGATGAACGTACAGGATACCCGACCCAGGTGCGTAGACAATCAGCCACCGATGAGGAACATCAGGCTACACGACTGATTGGGTTCGAGGGGGATTCTGAATCCTTTAGGCAAGGAGCCTTCAGCTATAAATTAGCGAATCGTTAGTAGTAGTAGGAGATCAAGAATCAGTATCCAGTCTGAATAGTATCTACTGCCTGCCTTTGACCTTTTTCTTTCCTTTAGCCTACGTACCCTTACCTAGTTGACAGGTCCTCTACCCTGAATATTAGATACCCTTGACAATTATACTACCATTCAAGGTAATATATGCCTTTAAAGAAAAAATATAGTATAACAGTAAGACTATCTACAGTAATATATTTAATTATAGATAGATACCAGTTCTTCCATATCTCCAGTTAGATTATTATTAGTAGCTTGTATAGACTTGGTAGTAATAACTTTTTAAGACTTTCCTGGTCCTAATTGGAAGCCAGTTTTGTCAAAGTTATAGATATTCTGGAAAGGAATCTGTAATAAATCGCTCGAAACATTTAAATCAGTGCTGGAAAAGGTCTATATTCTCTATATTTAGGCACTTCTTCTCCTGCGGCTTTTGCTTTACTAACTTAAACTCCTCTGGGAGGCGTTTAATGAGGCAATATACCCAGATTTTATTAACTGTATAGAAGGCTGATTCCTCTGTATTTCGCTGAAGGATCTGGTTAGTACTCAACTCAATCATTCTTGGTGTAAGTGGTATATATAGAGGATCCAGGTACCGAATCCAGCGGATTAGGGCCTTCTCTTGTATCTCATCAAGGGTCTTGGTAATAATAGGACGTTCGCTTCGAGTCAGCCGGCCATTCAAATGTGCCCGGGGTCGGTGATAATGAATATTAAATTTTAGCGCCAACACAGAGATATTGGGGGTTTTCCTGGCTTTTAGCCATTTCATGGGCTTCAGAGACACGCTTTTCGATATCAGAATAGGAATCCGGCATGGTGGTGGTGGATAGGACGTTGAGTTGTTTTACTTTTTTGCGTTGACGTGGGATTTTGCGTTGGGGTGTGGCAGATGTCTGCTAACTTGAAGGGACGGTTACTCAAGTCTACGACCTGATACTACTGGTACTTGAGTACTAAGTATCTATGTACTGGTACCTCTCTGTATACAATTGACTTTCACTCCTCCCAATTCAAGGTGCTAAAATAATACATCTACACAGCGGTTAATTTAAGGTAATCCCCCCCTACCGCCCGCATCACCGGCCTGCTGTCCATGGATGTTACTCTCTCAATACCATCTATCTGCACTAAGTAAAGGGTATCTATCTATCTGCGGAGTAAGTCTTCCCTTCATCCTTATATCAGGCAGTATAATTAAAGATGAGACAACGGCGCGCCGCACTACTTGTTCCTATCTAGAAATGAAGGCACGATCATATCTGATTGTCGCTTCATTGTGGGATACAATTACCGGCAACTACGCTGTCCTAGTTGCCAACTATAGGGAATTACCGCCGGTGGGGTATTAAATGGAGTAAGGAAAGGGCGTTCCCTGGACGCAACGACCCATGACGCCGTTCTACGTGCTTACAGCTTCTTCCTCCCCAAGACTGCTCCACGGAAGAACGATAATAAAGCCTCGGCTAATGCTAAGCTTATCTGCGACGTGAGACTCAGTAGTTGAGAAAAAGGTAGGCAATGGATTAAATTGGTTCTAACAAACTTGTATCTTTCAATTCTACGGGAGCACAAAGATGCATATTATAGAATGGGATGGGAGAGCAGCTGCCCGCTATCTTCTGCAACTGACTGCTGGGGCTCGCTTTCACAATTGAAAGCCTTGAATGTCTGACTTCATTGGCTCATACGATCAAAAATATATTATTAAGAGCTAGGTACCCACCCCCCAGCACACAAAATATCCTCAGAAGCTTTAGCTAACGTTCACTCATATACTTCCTAGCAACGGTGGACATAATTAGAGATGGATAACATCACTTCGTTGCTTATTCACTGCCCTGTGGAAGCTCAATATAATCCAGTATCAACGCGCGCCATGATAATAAGCATACCCCTTCACTGTTGCTTGTCTCACTATTTGATCTCTGAGACGCTCGAACGAGGGTATTTAGATAGGGTTACTACTCAATACTATGGGCCTTAATCCCAAGGGATAAATGATTCGCTGCTTCTCGTGCGGTCGAGGAATACCTGCCACGTTTCGAGTTTAGTTGAAGCTGCGAGGATATACTTAGTAGTTCTTGAGATAGCACCTAAAAAATCCATTATTACTGGTAGTAGTATAAGTATCGACCGCCCGTCTTTGTTTCACGAATAGATGTCGTTCTTCTTTGATGAGATTGACCCACTAGGTATTCGGTCACATATTTCTTGTCGCTATAACTTCACCATAAGGGACTATACCGGTTGTCTCTCTTTTCCTTATCCACGTGATGAGATACTAGGAAATCTATTTGGACTAATGCTGGACAGCCTACTGGCGTTGTAGGCTTTTGTGTTGGGCCGATTCTTTTGGTTATGTGGCCTTTCTTGCCGAGAAAGCTGCGAGATCACCTCGACGAGCGGGGGAAACATGCCAAACGGAAGAGCTCAATAACGGTGGCTCTAGAGAGCGAAGTTATATGATGCTTATACGGTCTTTACGAGCTCTCCTGACAGAGCCAATCCTAGTACTGTTGAGCACGCATCCGACAAATTTTCAATGTCTTGCCATACCTATTCATGGTTGCAACCCTGAGAGGCACCCAGAATGAAAGGGGGAAAGCAAAACACGGACTACGTGACTGGAATAGGGGGTAGGGATATTCGCTACTACTGTTTGGTTGAAAGAGTCTCCCTCATAACCCCCACTATCACCGCCAAAACGGAATCATTCGGGTCGCCTCTGAAGAGAGAATATAGCTTTAAACATGGACACAAGGCGGATATCCATCAGTTCGCTTCTATCTCTCTAAGGAGTAAGGAGTGGCGAGTGGGGCTCCTCATTCAGTGCTGTCTCTGATTTGCTGCAAATCGTATTTGGCAATCGACAGCTGGCTTTACACTTTAGATACTCTTTTCTGCACAGTACGTTTTACCGTCTACTTCGATTACAAAACCCACGATGGTCGGTTATATTTACACACTGGTGCCTCTAGACTAGTGCTCTCTTCGCTCGAGTCATTACTGTCATGGTGGCTATTCCTCTCCCTTCTTCTACCTATAGAAACATGGTGCTAGCAAAGGAGTGACTAACGTCTTTGTATATTATATGGACCTGGACCTACTACACTCTCGAGGACTTTAGAAAATGATAAGGTGACACGGGAACTTTTTGACAAATGACATTATTTAGTCTCTTCCAAATCTTGCTCTAGAATTGATATGGATCTTATGCTGTGACAGAGCATTATCCATGTTTTGTCTCTTCCCTTTCCATATAACATAGAGACCCAATATCCATACACATGCCTTTGTAAGAGAAGGCAAAAGGGGGAAGAAAAGGTAAAAAATAATAAATGAAAATGGAGGGAAAATTAAAGGATAATAGGAAAGAGAAGAACAACCAGTAGTGGACCGCCAAATTAGAAAATGCGAGCCAATAAATCTAAGCCAGGGAAATCAGGAAGAAGTAAGAGACATAGGACCCAACATTGCAATGCTCTCGCCAAGGTGCACGACGCAACGCTTCCAGGGAAAAATATACACCAACAGTCACACTTGTACAAAAGAGATCTATTTAAACAAGGAAAGTCTCTTGGGAGACAACTGTCTCGAGGAAGAGCGGCTGAGAAGAAGATAAGAAATAATAGGAAAGTAAAAGGGAAATGTTAAAAAAGAAGGTTGACACTATATCTGGTGCCCTCCTGTACGTCAGTCATATGACTAAGACTTGAAACTTTTAGAATAGAAAGAGAAATATCGTGGTAAGTCTTGAAGGGTGAGTTCATCATAGTAAAGCATGGATCTGGACGTGTGTTAAGCAATGCAACGTGCTTCAAAGGTTGACACATTATCATTAGAAGGTTGGTTGAAAATCCGGCTGAATGGAGGAACAGAATGATGCATATTTTCACCGGACTCAGGAGCGACCCCCTCTGCTTTGCGAATGACTTCCTTGAGCGCACGGGTTACAACACCGGCCCGGACAACAAGATCACGAAGTGACTGTGTATCGAAGGGGAGCTTCTTCGATCGCGGCAGGTGAGAATTGGGGAAGGAAGAATCGTGAGACAGTCGTTGTTGATAGATCAGATCTAGCACAGAGCTTGCCTTAGTAGCGAGTTCTCTGTGGCCAGGGTCCGTAGTAGTTTGATCGGGGATTAACTGTTGTGAGAGTGAAGCTCGCCAAGACTCCCCACTGGCTCGTTTAGAAGGATCAATAGTGTTGGCCGATTCTTCTTCGGAATCATCAAAACTGAAGGTGAGGGAGGAAGGAGAACCTGGCGGAGAATGACTATTCTCTTCATCGTCGAGGGTGGCCAAATCGACAATACCCTCTGCCTCTTTCCATAACTCATTTGTTGGCCCACGTACGATACCCAAAAAACTAGCTTGGTGCCGAAGGCGCTTTAACTCTTCAACTAGCAAGGTCAACTCTTGAACTTGCCCAAATTGCCCATGAAGACTGGCTTGACGTTCCATGATAGCCTGAGGAACTATCATACCACGTCGGGGAACGTTCTTGCTTGTCTTCATGGTCTCGCTGACTGTGCTTTCATCTGCGTCGTCAAACTCAAAGTCACTATCCCAATCCTCGCTAACGCCTTTGCTACCCAGGCCCCAAGTTCCGAATTTGCCTGATGTTTGTCGTGTCTCGTTAGGAGCTGTACTGTCCCTCGACACCGGGACGCTTTGACTTCGGAGGTGTAAAGTATTTGGTGCTTTCCGGCCTGGAGCTCGACTACCGCGAAGCTCGGGTCCGTGCTTGCCATGAACGGTGCGTGGGCGTCCATCGGCCCCAGAAACATCGCGGTCATTTCTGGGTTGTTCAGACCAGTCAAAGATATTCATTTTGGGGCAAAAGTCAAACGACTCGTTGGTTAAACTGCGCGAATCAGACTTGGTCAAACCAAAAGGGATTCCTGGCCTGTCATGAGTAAAAAAGACATCGCGTCCGACATAAGCTCTCTCATCACTGTTGAAAGACATGGTTGGATATTTCGATTGTCCATCCCGTGCAATAAGTTCTTCAGGTAACGCGGCCACAAGACTGCGGGCATCCTCATCATCTGTCAAATCAGATGGGAAGGATATTCTACTCTCTCCTTCATGCACGTCCTTTTTCAGAAGCGCAGGGACAGAGACAGACATGGGTGTCAGAACTAGGTTAGGACGACAGTGATTATCCCCAAAGGGTTGGGGAGCGACAGTGCGATGCGGGGTGAGATGTTTTAGAGGTAAGGATCCTTTGTCCATCGTACTGACGGGTAGGTCTCTATCAAATATGGTATCCACTCGAGGAGCACGCAAACCCGAACTGCTGCTAGCGGTGATATGTGTGCGGACCGAATCAAAAGCAGTGTCGCTCAAGAAATCGGTCTCATCCTCCTCGCCCGAAGTGAAAATACGAGTATCATCAGAACCAACGACCGTCGAGGCAGGATCAGATGCCGCAATTGAGTGCCGTTTAGGACGCTGACGAATTGGGTCCTGCAACACGGACAAAGCCACGCCGTCTGAAGTCAGTGGACGCTGGCCAGCCTCTCGAAGATGACCAATATCGGTTCGAGAGTATGAGGGAGCTATCTTGCGCCGAGGACTCGTGATTCCAGACATCGTGAATGCTTCTGTATATGAAGAGCTTGGAGGCCGGCGAAATATATTCGGGTCTGTAATGTTACGCCTCCCATACGATCGTGGGGAGACTATGATGGCTCCTTCCGATTTTGCAAGAGTCGGTAGAGGGGTTGAGGTTGCTCTCCTTGGACGGGAAAGTGTCGTGTTACTGGGCTTCTGAGCATCTGTATTGCCCGGTATCGGCATTGGTGACTTGGGGTCATCTCCGGCCGAGACCGATGGCTGGCGACCATTTTCCTCTGGTGCAAGGGATGCTCCTAACTTTTGTGGAATAGTATTGGGCTGGAATGGGTCACGAAACTGCACCGGAGACATGGGTGTTGTCTCGTGCGGACTAAACACTGTTAGAGGTTCCTTGTTTGTAATTGACTTCGCTAGAAGAAGAGCTGGAATTGTATCCACAGATGGAAGAATTCGTCGCAGTCCGTGCTCTTTTGGCCTTGTTGCAGTTGACAGCCTACGCGCCAGCTTGTCTGATAACCCATCATGGGTATTAGTTATATACGGCTGCCAAGCTATGTTATCCGTAGAGGTTTCTACGTTAGTTGGCAGCACCGGGGTATTTGCGAGTAGACTGGGCTCGAAGTTTAGACTATGGGTTGCTTTGTGCCTTAGGTATTCGGACCGCTGGTAACTCGTGGTTGGTCTGCGCAATAATGGTGTTGCTGAAGGGGATGGAGGCGCGTGCGCAAATTGGGAATGGGCGCTCGATGGTTGCGATGGAGGCCGCTTGACCAGTTTGTTGGGCGCTCGGCGCTGACTGGAGGGGCGAGAATGGACAGGGCTTGTTGGTCCATTCGACGTCGGAGAGATAGGACTTTGGCATGAGGCCCGATTTCCTGGCTGAAATGATAGCCGTCGCACCCAGGAGGAAGACGGTCGTCGGATATGGAGAGCCGTTGAGCAGTCCTCCTCGACTCGAAATGGTGGGCTTGATAAAGTCTGGCCACGGCGTCGCAGTATTATCCCTGCAAGGGACGACTTTCTCCGGTGATTTGGCCTCTGGGAGTTAAATGCACTGGTAGAATCGTCCCCACTCACATTAACGGGCTTGAAGTTCGAGGTAGCTTTCCTTTCCGCTGTCGCGAACGGGGTGGGAGGTCCTGTGTGTACATCGCCGGTTAGTGGCGATAGAGGAGGATCCGTCGCGCGAGTGCACTGATCATGACGAGGGGAGGCCTTTTTTCGGAAACGCGCCGGCTTGGGTGAATCTCGATCTACGCGACCGAGAGCAAAGCCAGTTGCTGCAATACCAACAGTGCTAATTGCACAAAGCTAAGTGAGATGATGTATATCAGTCAAAGAAATTTACAAACCACAAAGGCCATGAGAGGCTAGTAGCATAAGTAACAAATGAGAGAGAGTCGCCAAAACTCTCTGCGATACAAGAAACAGGAAAGATGTTCAAGAAAGATAAAAAGAAAATTAAAAGAAAATTAAAAGAAGGGATCTCACGGTTGATACATGCTCCATACTTAAGAGCACCGAAAACAGTGTCAAGCACCATGAAGCTCAAAGTAGCAACATCGATATTACATGTAATTGACATCCCATCTGCATTGTCATGCACGAGGAGGATCATAACACATCTAGATTAGGAGCATATCAGACACTCGAGGTGGCTTGCAAAATCCAGCCAGGTATAGTCGATCAACTTGAACTATCGCTGGACACAGTTGTGGGTGATTTCGGGAGTCAAGCACAATAAATAAAGTCGATGTGGTTTTAGAGTGAGGGGGAAAGTGTGTTGCTGCTGGGAGGAGTGAAGCAAAGGAATGCGAAGAAAAAGACAAAAGCTAGAAAAAGAATATAGAAGAGGAATGAGGAGAGAGTAAAGAAAACATAAGAGCTGTGCACAGGTCTCCAGCAATTTAGTAGAAAATATTAACTGACTATCTAAAGTCAGCTAGAAAGAGAAACGAAGTAACATGAGAAAGGGTAGCAAAGGAATAAGAATAATAATAGTAGTAGTAGTAAAATAATAATAACAATAACAAGAGGCTATTGATCAACAAAGGCCTGCGGAGTGGGACACGGCCACTCTCTTTCCCACTTCTTCTGGTTCGAGTTTAAAGGAATGGATCACGCTAGGAGAGTGTCCACCCCCAGCACACACCTACCCAGGCAATCTATTCAATAGCTGTGCATTTATAGGATTATGGATCATAAATTTTACCATCATAGTAAGGAGTAACTTTAGAGAAAGGGAGGAAATTCTCTATTTCATTCCAAAGGGACGACAATAGTCATGGATTCTATTAAATTTGATGCTTTTCCTATTTTGGGGCAAACGAAAAAAATAATAGCAGCAGTAATAATGATAAATAAACAAGAAAAAAGCGAAATAAAAGACGAGGAAGAAAGAAAGAAAGGGATCTAGATACTATAATGGATGACGGGTAAATATGTAGTCCTTCAATATCAAAAAGAAGTATTATGTTTACATCCCGAATAAGTTATTTTGTGCTGCTTCGATGCCAATCAGCAGTCTAATTATAAAATATCTGTAATGGTAATAACAGCCAGCAATCAAGAGGGAAAGGATCGTTATCTCTCTACAAATAAACGAACAAGGATGATGATAATGACATGTGACTATTCATCCTTACCGGCAGGGAGGAGGCACAGACACACAGTCTAGGATGTATACAAAGTTACAAATTTAAATCTCGATGAATGATGGGGGGCCACTCACCAGATCCTTGAAGCTGTGATCTATTCTTGTATGTCTGAAGTACCTGAAACTAGGGATCTTTCAGCACTTTAGCCTTGTCATTATCCCTTACGGCTTAACTATTAATCCAGAACATCTGACCTACCAAAGCTACAAAAGCGCTTTGATACTAAGTTAAAATACTCATGATTAGTTAAGTTGGTTAAATTAGAAGTAGGAAAAATTCCAATAGATTCTTCCTGTCATGAATTTATCTCAAAGCTGTGTGTATCCTTTGATGTCACCTACACCATTGCGAGTATGGCGGAAATACTCGGCTTCTGCTTGACTAGAATTTGCAACTACGTTCGGAGTAGACAGAATGGTTGAAGGAAGGACTCGGTGATCAGGGCAATATTAATAACGCAGCTAAGCTAGCCCCCACTCCAGAGATGAGGTTCGTATCTCATTGCCCCCTAGCCTGCCGAAAAGCCATTTCTAAGATATCCTTTGACGAGATCAAATCTATCTAGATCGTAAGGCGACGATCTCTTGGAACGCTACGGACCACTACTAATGATTCCACCGGTTACCGACGTTTCCAAAGCTTCCTAGGCACAAGTCTGGAGGGAACCGGGCGGGACACACTTTTCTCCAGTTCCAGAGCTCCCGTGTGGATTACCCAAAGGGAAGAAAAAGAACAAAACCAACGATTTTTCTCGCTCTTCAACAAGCGAATGACGACAGAGAGCGGAAATGATCTCATACCCACCGTGAGGTCTCATCGCTTTTCCGGTGAATCGTGGATGTAGTCTCCGTATTCCGTACCCTACAGGCCTATAAAATCTACAATTGATGAATCAATACTTGTATAAACGAAGGCTTCGAATCAAGGCGAAGCCATAGAACCCGAAAAGAAACTGTAACGGGGCTTGTATCTTTCAAGCGTCAAAATGCTGGGCCAACGGTATGATGGTAAGCTTATTTGGTAGGACCAGAGGCAGATCGTAGCTGATAGATCCATTTTCATGGAGGGGAACGTGGCCTGCGAGTTTCTTGGATGGTAATAATTCCGACCTGAACTGTCGGTCTACTCCGTAGACCAGGTGGGCCTCCTAATCCGAAAAAAGAAAGGAGTGAGAAAATTGAAAAGTCATCTCGCACTTCAGCGGTACATACAGTACAATACTTGTCTCGTTTATAGAACACACATACACACACACACACACACACACACAAAAAGAAGATAACCTGGTCGAATCTGCCATCATATTTGCACCTATTTACTTAGAAGCCTTTCATTTCATTATTCCTATAGACGGAGCATACATGTATATATCGTACTTCACTCCCTAGAAATGCTCCCTAGAACATCTAGGACTCCCTGGGTACTGTACCATTCCAATACTAGTAGTAGCCGACCAGGTTGAACCTTATACAAGCATCACTTCTTTATTTTGATTGGACCAACACTCATATGCTGCTACGGACTCGGACCACACATGACCTAGAATGTACAGGGATTTACTAGTACTTGTACTAACAACCAATGACTGTACCTATTACTTGTAGTATCCATGGTGTAACTAACTCCTTTGCCGTCATCGTGTCGATTTTGCGCTCTCCGCATGTTTCAGTTTGGTCCCTTGTTCAAAGCCCTTGCCGTTGGTGTCTCTCTGTTGAATCCTTCTTGAATCTATCCAAAGCAGGTACCCTTGTCTCCCTTACCTAGCCGCACTGTATCAATTTATACTAGTACAGACTGCTGCAAGACTCATCACCATGGACAACATCAATCCAGGGACACCCTTAACACCCTCCCTTTCTCCAATTCCCAGTCTCACTCGTTTCCTAGCGACGCTACTAGACAAGCCCGCATGGTTTTGTCAAAAACTTAACCTAATGCTGATCATAGACGACTTAAACTAATAACCCCTGCAACGGCCTATCAAGTGTATCGAGACTACTAATAGTAGTATATAGATTGTATTGTCAACCACAGAGTACCGTCTGGTAAACAACAAACCATAGTAGCTGAAAGAAGTCAATTAGTAGTCCAGTATTGACTGACTACAGGAGAATTACAACCTGTTTCCCCGTTATCCTGTTTGTACTTACCCTGCCAACCAGAAGTACGCCGCTTGCTATTTCAGGTTCAGCCAAGCTCGCCTAATAATACCTAAACTAGTATTTCGATGACTGTCGGATGCATTGCAACTTTTGTCACTATCACCAGTATCATTACTGTAGCTCTCTCCCTCCCTCTCTCTTGGTTCATTAATACTAACAAAGCCAGTATTCTGGCCGAACCTCATTATTTTTATACAAAGAGTATTATCTAACAGAGTTAATGAAAAGAAAGTGAAAAGGAGCCGAAGCCTATCAGGAGGTAGAATACTTCTCTGTACTTGTAGTTGGAAGATGGTTTCATGATGGAGAAATTCAACGTACTTTGGAGGTCCTTACTAAGGCTGATGGTGAAGTACAGGTAAGTACAGACACCTTTTAGGTACTTTTCGTAGGTATCTATTATGGAATAAGTCCTGTTAATTAGGAGCTATTACGGGAGACTAGCCAATCCAGAACAGCTCCGGCTCCACCGTGGACTAGTATTTCCGCCACTCCGCTAAAAGTCATCCATCCAGAGAGGAGGGGAAAAAAGGGAACGAAAGAAAGAGCCTCACTACTCAACGTATATATTGGTACGCACTTACAATATTACTTAGTGCTGTGGCTGAATTATCGCCTGCTATTATCCTTCCATTTCCCCTTGCCTATTCTCTCTTGAAGGAGCCTTGCCCTTTAGTACTGCGATATCATGGAGGCAGAACTCCAGTCACAGATCCCAGGCCTCGACCATGTGATCTCAGAGTACTCTGTGGTAAGTAATTCCATCAAGATTTTATGTTTCATACTGGATAGAGGAAGCTTACGGACCATAGGGCTACCTGACACATGCTTCAAGGGCATATGTTGAAGATGCGAATGCTCCGTCGCCCTTGGCGGAAGCCGCCGATATGGTCACTGATCTTCTGGTTTCTGCATCAGGAGACTTCTCTGACCAGAATGAAAAGGGTATTCGAAACTTGGTAACAAAGTTCATTTCCTCCTTGAGTTCTTCTGACGGCGTCGATGCGGAGCGAAGGCAAATGCCGTTCACCGCGAAGAAGCTAGACCAAGCCATCAATGTTGGCTCCCAAAGAAACATTTCCTCAACTCTGGGTCTTGCCGGTGGAAATGTTGACTTAGAGTCTGCAAACAGCAGGAAAGTAGAGTCCCGTGTAGACCGCAAGAAGCTTGAAAAGGCAGAAAGAAAGATCCGTGCCAAACAGGAGAAGAAGCAAATGAAGATGGTACAATACGAATCATCCCGTCTGCTCGACCAGCCGGACAGCACTATGTCTTATGAGGAATTCTACATGGCTGTTAACCCGCTCCAGCTAGGCTCGGATTCTGCGGCAAAGAGTAAGGATATAAAGGTCGACAGCATTGATATCTCTGTTGGTGGCCATCGCATCTTAACCGACGCTTCTCTCACTCTGGCGTACGGTCGTCGGTATGGTCTTGTTGGTCAGAATGGTATAGGAAAGTCTACTCTTCTACGGGCTTTGAGTCGTAGAGAAGTGGCAATCCCGAGCCACATCTCGATCCTGCACGTCGAACAAGAAGTATGCGTGTCTAGCTCTTCCCTTTCCTCACCTCAATTCCATCTCAAATCATTCCTGATCGGTTTACCGTACTTTGCTGACAATGCTTTTTAGATCATGGGTGATGACACCCCTGCCATACAAGCGGTTCTGGACGCCGATGTATGGCGAAAGCGCCTTCTTGCTGACCAAGAAGTCAGTATTTCCTCTCGGTATCTTATTTTTTTGCCAGCATCTTAGTCCGTCTAACCAATTTCTTCTGGTAGAAAATTACAAAGCAGCTGGCCGCTCTAGAAGCGGAACGATCTTCGATGGCAGACACCTCAAAGGATGCCGCCAGGCTTGACCACGAAAGGGAAGGCCTAGACATAACCTTAAGTGATATTCACTCCAAACTTTCAGAGATGGAATCGGATAAAGCTGAGTCGCGTGCTGCCAGTATCTTGGCGGGCCTCGGCTTCTCATCCGAAAGACAACAGTTTGCAACGAAGACCTTTTCTGGTGGTTGGCGAATGAGATTGGCCCTAGCACGAGCATTATTCTGCGAGCCAGATTTGCTTCTTCTGGATGGTAAGTCCTGAGTGACATCTTGTCGACTGTGAAGAAATAGGAGTCTAACACGATACAGAACCATCCAATATGCTGGATGTTCCTTCCATTACCTTCCTATCTAACTACCTCCAGGGATACCCTAGTACTATCCTTGTTGTGTCGCACGACCGAGCGTTCCTGAATGAGGTTGCTACCGACATTGTACACCAACATTCAGAAAGACTGGATTACTACAAGGGAGCCAACTTTGGTGAGTCTATTGGCAAAACGGTTGTCCAGGTTGAATTAACTGATGTATTGCAGACTCGTTTAATGCGACCAAGGAAGAGCGGAAAAAGAATGCAAAGCGTGAATATGAGAAACAGATGGCGGAAAGAGCACACCTGCAAGGTTAGTGACTGACTCAATAGGGCATGTCCTGACGAACAGAGCTGACTGGGATCTAGCGTTTATCGATAAATTTCGATACAACGCGGCTAAGTCATCTGAGGCGCAATCAAGAATCAAGAAGCTCGAGAGAATGCCAGTCTTGGAACCCCCGGAGAGTGATTATGTTGTGCATTTTAAGTTTCCGGAGGTTGAAAATCTTTCTCCTCCGATTATACAAATGTCCGAGATTGCTTTCGGTTATTCCAAGGATAAACCCCTTCTGAAAGATGTTGACCTTGATGTGCAGCTTGACTCTCGGATAGGAATCGTTGGACCAAACGGCGCTGGTAAGACCACGGTGTTGAAGCTGCTGACCGGCCAACTTCAGCCGAGTTCGGGGCTCCTTTCACAGCATGCTCGCTTGCGGATTGGATACTTTGCCCAGCACCACGTCGATGCTCTGGATCTGACGACCAGTGCGGTAAGCTTCATGGCAAAGACCTACCCAGGAAAGACAGACGAGGAATACCGTAGACATCTAGGAGCGTACGTTGAGCCCCCACCCACCCCCTGTTCAATTAACATAGATTTGTTCTATATTACTAATGAGTGACTCTTGCGTTGATTAGATTCGGTATCACTGGAATGACTGGACTTCAGAGGATGGAGCTCTTATCCGGAGGTCAGAAATCTCGTGTCGCATTTGCTTGCTTGTCATTGACGAATCCGCACATTTTGGTCCTTGACGAACCTTCCAACCACTTGGATATTGAAGGCATGGATGCGTTGTCTGAAGCATTGCAGAAGTTCGAAGGTGGTGTCGTGATGGTATCCCACGATGTGACGATGTTGCAGAATGTCTGCACCAGTCTTTGGGTTTGTGACAAGGGAACAGTAACCAAGTTTGATGGCACTGTTAACGCCTATAAGAAGATGATCAGTTCACAAGCCAATGAAGCAGGTGTAGCAGTGGCCCATTAGTTAGAAACTGTTTGATACCCGGTGGGTAGCATACACGATTTGTGTCGAACTGAATTTCTATCAACAACCTACTATTATTACTATTGTCACTGCACAAGAAGAATGGATGAATGTACTATGTACCGATATTGTAGCCTTAGGCAGCCCTAGGTGCTTTCTGTCGCTTAAATAAAGAGGGGGTATTGCTAACTGCGTGGAAAGCTAGTCCAAATAAACATATATTTTAAGCAAGTAATGAGGTGCTATGGTACTCGTGTTTGCCTCAGGAACCTAGCCCCCAAAGTGGGAAGTGGGTCTCGTGATGTCAACTAAGATACCCTATGTTTCCTCCTAGTTAGTCAACTTGTCTACCTGAGATGGCCCCTAGTGTATCTACCTAAGGGTGAAGAACATATAAACATGGTTCATAGGCATGAAGGCGATACATTAGGCCCTAATGCTCCTCTACTTACTCTATATGGACATGCCACGCACAATCTCCCCGACAATGAAGAAGACAGAACCTCCGACCGGAGGTCAAACTATTCTGGTAGTTGGTTTATATGGGCATTGACATTCTCCGCTGGTCTCAGCGGACTGTTGTTTGGTTATGAGTACGGCAAGGCTGCTTTAATTGCCCCCTGAATGAAAATAGTCCTAGCGCTGAAGTACAAAGCTGACAATTGTGATTCCAAAGCACAGGAGTGATTTCCTCGACGCTCGTATCTGTTCACATGGATCTCTCCAACCGCAATCTTACAACGCTCGACAAAAGCCTGATCACTTCTTGTACAAGCTTGTTTGCTTTGGTTGCTAGCCCTCTTGCGGGGGTCTTGGCTGACAAGTTCGGTCGCCGAAAGGTTATATTCGTTGCAGATGCGCTGTTCGCTCTAGGTGCTTTCGTGCAAGCTATTTCTGATAAAGTATGGGGTATGATTGCTGGCAGGAGCATTGTTGGTCTAGCTGTTGGTGGCGCAAGCTTGGTAACACCATTGTAGGTCAACCTATCTAGAAGAAGAATAAAGAGCCTAAGTCGGAAAACAATAGGGGGCAGGCAAGCTTGCTTAGAAATTCACAGGGTTAGCTAACTCCTTTGCCTAGATACATCTCCGAACTAGCGCCATCAAATATGAGAGGGAGGCTTGTGACAATCTTGTCCTTGTTTATCACCGGTGGTCAGGTCGTAGCATATATTGTGGGTTGGCTATATTCCTCGGTTGGCGGAGGCTGGCGCTGGATTGTTGGCCTTGGGGTGCTTCCGGCAGCTTTTCAGCTCGTTATTCTCCTCGCTCTACCTGAAACGCCTCGGTGGCTTGCTCAAGCGGGATCTGAAACAAGTGCTATGCATGTCCTGAGGAAGGTCTACCAGGGCCAGCCAGACAGCGATTGTATTGCCAAACAAGTTTTACGGGATATTCAACGGGAGGTGGCAGCGGAAGGAGAGTTAAGTCGCTCCAGTGCATCCCTCGGAGCCGGTCAAGGGTGGCTTCACAACATATCGCAACGCACAAAAGTCCTATTTTATCTCGATGGGAATAGAAGAGCATTGACCATAGCGATGACGCTGCAAGGCCTGCAGCAGCTCTGTGGGTTCAATAGTCTTATGTATTTCTCCGCCACCCTGTTTTCTATGCTCTCCTTTTCGTCGCCGACGCTCATCTCACTGTCAGTGGCCATAACCAATTTCCTCTTTACACTGCTTGCATTTGCCTACATCGATAGGATTGGCCGGCGCCGCATCCTCCTCTACTCAATACCCGTCATGATAATATCTCTCATTGTCTGCGCGTTGATCTTCTCTTCTTTCGAGTTGCCAGATCCGCCCTCTGATCCCCAGGCGCATGCAGAGCCCAATGACACCGTGCTCGATAATTCATTGCTCCCTATATCTATTCTCCTCTGCTTAACAGTTTACACCGCCTCTTACGCTTTCGGACTTGGCAATGTACCCTGGCAGCAGTCCGAGCTGTTCCCTTTGAATGTACGGTCTCTTGGGTCTGCATTTGCTACGGCAACTAACTGGGGTTCAAACTTCATTGTGGGTCTCACCTTTCTGCCTATGATGGAGAAGTTGTCTCCAGGGTGGACCTTCGCGACTTATGCTCTCGTATGTGCAGTTGGCTGGCTTGGTGTATGGGCGATCTACCCTGAGATGAGCGGTCTCAGCTTAGAAGAGGTCAAAGAGCTCCTCGCGGATGGTTGGGGTGTCAAGGAAAGCCTGGCGAGGACCCGCAGTGCCCCTTAGAAATCAAATTGAGAAACTGTATATGAAATTGCTAGAACCAAAAGATAGAGAATGGTTTTCTGACTATGGCACAGCGACAATGCGATCTACCGATACACCACCTCTGTCAATTTAAGGGGCTAGAATGGTTTCAGTCATTGTCTTTCTCATTGAGTCGTCCGCCCATTCTGGTGACTCTGAAATAGATGTCCGAACCGCAGATCTCCGCCGCTCGACCGTAGACTTCTTCGGCAGAGATCCAGGTACCTTTTTGACTACCTATTGGCCCCGTTGTTAGTTTGTCCCCAGAAGATTGACCTTGACCTTCCAGTGCAAATTTTTGGCTAACTCACCGCCCATCGCGAGACCAATACCACAGGCTGTGTTTTGAGTGGGTTAATCACTGGTTATCGGTTCATGGTGGGTACTGTACCTCCACCAGTGATGACTGCAACTATCATCACTAGAGTATATGTCCCAATACTATAGTCGATTCGTTATAAACAAGAGGAGTATCCCGAAGCCGCTCCAAATGAATGATTTCACTACCCAGAGGACAGAAGGAAAGTTAACTCAATTACCAGTAACAGGTCCCGATCAATAGATAGATATATATGTATTCAAAGAGAGCCTTATAATGTCTGGGATGTATCCATAGTCTGTTAAAAGATACTATCCCCATCATTAACCTATCAAATTCAATTTGTTGCCTGGATTCATGAAGTCGTCTGTGTCAGTGAGAGCCTCTGTAGGATAGAATTTAAGCAAACCCAGATATTTCCAAAAAAAAAAGGCCAATTTTCTTAGGACGAAAGCAACAGGTTTCACAGATAGATGCTGGCCGGAGGGCTGAATAAGTCCCTCCTCTAGGCCTAAGATTGGCGATTTATACGATGTCCGTTAACGACAGATTGACTTCATAAGTCAATTGAACCTCAGACATTCTTCTTGCATCTGTACTGTTTGCAGTGAGCCGGACATTTCTCTGCCTTCTTTAATAGTGTGCATGCATGATTACAAAGATCATCCCAACTTTTACTCTACAGTGTTATATAAAACCAACTCTGATCCCCGGATAACGGCCTAGTACGCCCAAGAGTTATCATTGCAACTTTCCTACTATATATGCTAATCTGTGTAAATAACACTTCTTCTTAATAGACTAGGATTCATATTATCGCCTAACCTCACTTCTCAACCTCCAGTCATTTGAAGCCTACAAAGGATGACATAGTAAGGTGCAGTGGTTGCCATAGTATATTAGGCTCTTAGCACACCTCTCCTTGTGCTGCAACTCTCTAGTCCAGAGGATCTTACCCGAGCAGTCTTCTATCTGACGATAACGACTTACGGATCTGTATGGCATGCCCCCGAATCAGAGCTCCTCTGAGTTGATGATCGAGTATCAGGTTCGTTCAATCGCTCTCTCCCAGAAAATAAATTTCAGATGTGGTCAGAAAGAGGAGCAACTATTATGGCTGACGGTGATGCAAGACATGCTCCTAGAATCTTGGACCCTACCTAGAATGACTGGACAAAGCTTTTCAAGGCCATTCGAGCGCATCCACGAGACACTTCAGGTTTCTACCCCTGATTTGCTCGACAGGCAACTAAGCGGCCATGGCAACAGACAGCCCGACCTCCCTTCGGATCTATTCTGCGGTCTTCAGCTGGTATTGCATTAGAAAAATTATGACTGAGAGGAAATCGTGGAGCTGATAATGACTATCTTTTTCGTGATAGTGTTACCGGCCTAGCGCTTGACCCGGAAATGTCCGTCCGCTGCCTCCGAGCAGACTATATGACATTGCGGCCGTCTACTCATACCAAACTGAGATTACTAGACCACTCATTGACTTGGGCAATCTAGACCTACCAACGATCCTACGCATCCGCAATTCCTGGCTTCATCACTTTCTGTACTCCTTCTGCCAAGCTATCTGCAGACCAAAGTCTCGAGACAAGCATATATCAACGAAAATGTGGAGATTAACACCAACTGGTTGAGTTACCAGTGTAGGTCACGGCGCCAAATGATCACCTGCATGCCAAGTTGAGAGGAGTGTCAAGCAGCTAAACTGTCATGAAGCATGCATCCATCCCTACCCTAGGACACTTATCGAGCTCGAAAACCGGCAAACATGCGCTGATCTGAACACACATTGGATACAGGGGTTGCTGAGCCATTGGTATGTATTATAGTCAAGGATATCAGGAGGCTAGATCGTTTCCTCAGTTCCTTCGAATTAAGTCAGACCCAGATATCTTGAACTGGCCACATGAGCTCAGCAAGTAATCCCAATGGTCGGCACAGAACCTCATCGCTTATATTTCCGAGGAGTTGGGAGACTTTCTGATGAAGTATATCCAGTGCGCGGCTTCACAGAGCCCATTCGAGCACCCCAGGGTGGCCTCCCGGTTGGCAGAGTATCTCCTTTGCCATCTATGCAGCGGACCGCGAGCAGCTCCCGTTGCTCCTCGATGCTGGCGAATCGGAGCTGGCCAACGACGACACTGCACGGTTTCTAAATGAGTTGTGGCTACCAATTGAGTTGGAGACGGATTTTTTGAGATTCAAGGTTACGAAGACGTGATCTTTCTGGGAAGATCATGTTAGGGCAATGGGTCACATGCTTGATACGACAGAACATGGTCCATTATTTTTTGGGTTTCTAACGACTCCTTTCCGTTTTTATTTTTTCCTCTCTCCTGGGATCGGATCATCTTAGCAAGCCCAATATGTCCATCGTAGAAGGATAAGGTATAGAAAGATAGGGTAGGCTCTTTTATTAGAAGAAAAAAGGGTAAAAAGAAATGAAATATGTAAATAATTACTCCTCAATATCCTTCACCTTCTCCCATTGTCCCTTGAGGTTTTCCTTCCACAAACTGACCTTATTATCACCTCCGCTCACGGCGAGAATGTTTCCGCTGGGGCTCCAGCTGACCCTCCAGAGCACAGTATCAAACTCGATCTGCTGACTGGTCCACTGGCCAGGATTCGACGCATCCGAAGTCCAAATACGAACACTCTTATCCTGAGAGGCAGACGCGATGTAGGACTTGGAAAGTATGCTCGGGGACCAAGCGACATCTCGAACCCAGTCGGAGTGGCCTTCCAATGTCTGGGATAGATTGTAACACTTGGATTCCGGACTACATGTTTGGATCATATGATTAGCATACTTCCCCATCTCGGTAGTGTTAAAGCATTTGAATTTCAACATACTTATAGTCCCAAATCTTAAGCAGATTGTCGCTTCCACCAGTGACGAACCTCCGCTGCTGGCCCGGTCCAGGGTTGGCACTGACCAAGCTACCGGGAGATGCTGCAGGGGACCAGCTAATGGAATTCACGCCCATCCCGTGGGCATGGAAGATTTGATGAGTCCAGCTATTGTCTCGGAACTCGAGGACGCTAACATGGCCGTCGGAAGAAGCGCAAGCAAGGAGACACCCACTCTCGTGGGGAGCCCAGGAGACCATGTTCACCGACGCGGTGTGGAGGGAGAAATCAAACACCTTCGTCCAGGTGCTACCAACGACAGGGGATGTGGTGGTTTGATGTTGTTCGCGCCAGATGAGTACCTTTCCATCGTAAGACGAGGAGGCTAGGATGGTGCCGAATTTAGGGTGCGCCTAGAGTCGCCGAGATGGAAAGCTGTCAGTTGAGAGACCATTCACGATGCGAATATATCCATAAGAAGTACTTGAACGGGCTGGTACACACCCATGCGACACACCAAACTGCACCTTCGTGTCTATAGCATTTGTTATTTCCCATGTCAGCGGTTGCGCATCCGGTCACAGGAAGGGGGCCATCCCTCACCCCTTTAGAGTTTCCACCAGGCGATGTGATTCGCCATCGATCTCGAATATCTTGATAGTCTTATCCGATGAGCATGTCGCCAATCTCCGGCCATAGTAATCAAGGCCAGCATCATGCTGTACGACATAGGCGGGTTAGCTCAGGAGGGGCACACAAAATGTAAGCGATTAGGTAGATAATGTCTATATCACTTACAATCATGTCATCGTGTCCGGAATTGGAGATGATCTGGGCAGCCGCCTAGGTCGGTACGTCAGGTATTGAGAACGAACATCAAGAGGATTAAAAGGGAAAGCATACCATATTGTCCAATTATATGCCCCTCAGTTAAATCTATGGGACGATAACAGTAGGCTAATGGCTTCGGTTTCGCGAGCGCGGCTTGGTATGGGTTTCAAGGAAAGGATGTGGAGTTCAACACGCAAGCAAACGGAGCAAAACACCGCCAACTTGTCCGTTTCGCAGTGGGAGAGAGCCGCAGACCCAAATCTTATCTTATCGCCTCAGACAGTCCCCTGATCACACCCCTTGGCACGTGAGACCGGCCTCGGTAGTCCTCGGTTCCCCCACGCCTTCCATATATACATAGTACTTTCTATGCTTCTTTCCCCGTTGTTTTCTGAACCACCTAAAGGCTTGCTTTCTGTCAATAACATTTATCATCTACTTCCCCTACATCCATAAATATTCATCATCGCTTCCGTTAGAGTTGTATATCGTGTCTAGTATTTACTGAGGATCGTGATTATTTCGAACGAAACCATGAGTGACGCTCTCTGTGGCCCATCCAACGCCTTGCAAAACTTTCAGAAACATGCCTCCGTTGATAGGACACTGCAGCAGGATAGACTGATTTCGCGGCGATCACCTTCCCAGGTGAGTTGGATGCTCGTCAATATGGATCGCTTTTACACTAACATTTGCCAGGGCTTTCGGTCACAAAATTTCAACGATGGTATCCTGGACCCTGAGTTCGCTGCCTTCGAATCCAATCTAGCAGGAACGCCGCTCCCTGATCTACAAAATCCGGCCCACTTCCTTACGCCCTCACCCCACTTCGCAGTGCACAACCATGCGGAGGACCACAACTGGGCAACGGACTTCCAGAATTTGCAGATATCAGGTCCCTCGCCTCTAGCTCATCAGCAAGCTAGCATGGCTTCGGCTTCGGCACCCACACTTGCACAGCATGGTTGGCAAGATGATTTCATAAAGCAACAGCAGCAACCGAGTCCTGAGCAGCAACACCAGGCTTTTGCTCAAAGGTTTCAACCTTCCTTTGCGCCTAGATATTCTATGCATGAAGCTACAGTGAATTCTTCCCCATCGGTACAAAACATGACAACTAGTCAGCTACTACCGACGGAAGCGTTCGATGAGTCTGCCTTTGAGGCTGCGTTCGAACAAGCTAGGGCGGATTTAGCGTCACAGACAGCTGACCACACGCAAGAAGTTACCCATGAGATTACTCAGCTGGATAATACTGCTACTTCTCAAGCTCAAGAGCCTATCAGGATTGGGTCGGATACCATACTTCAGCCTGTCAAGGATGACGCGCGAGTACATTTAAATGATGCAGATGAGCTTGCCCGAACGGCAGGGCAATTACTGGAAAGCGTCAGCCACGATCACAGCCGGAAGTTTCGCGAGAGTAATTTTCTTGCTCTGATGCGCCGTATTCGAGACCGCGAGGTCCACATCGAAGGAGATGAGTTTCGTGAAGTCAGTACCAGTCCGTGATATCTAGAATTTCGGCTGGCGTGACACGAGCGCTGGTATAATATCGTCTATGTATGGTGGCCTTTGTTCCTGCTAATCGAATTCCAGAGTTCGCAGCCTCTACATCCTGGTGGCAAGTATTATCCCGAAGGAAAGACACATACACAGCAAGAGCAAAGTCCGTCTATGATGACAAAGAATCATAATGAGAGGAGTAAGTTGTGCGACCTCAAGGCACTTTACCTCCGGCTTAGCTTATGGAACACGGAATCTAATCAAAAGGATATGTAGAGTCAGTCTATGGAGACTCGATTCATCCACTACCTATGGTTACAGAAGATGAAACACCCAATATTGCATCTCATGCGGACATAGTCAACGGCTTAGGCACAGGAGGGGAGGATCAATCTCTTCATGAAAGCTGGATGTTTGGTGATCGCTGGGCCTGACTGATTGCCTAGTTATTTTGGGTCGACGTACCGGCTGGAGAGAAAAAAAGCTTGTTTTTGGAATATGGAATATACCACGCATAGCGCATAGACCAGCTTACCTTACATAGGCTCCTACCGGCCATTTTCTCTCTTTTTCTTTTCGCTCTTTTGGCGTTCATCGACAGCTCAATTCGAGTCGCCGGTGGGTCACGTGACACTTATTCCCCCGTTGATGACCTAGAACAATACCAAGCCTGCCGCGGGTCAATAAGAAGACCTGGGGCATTGTTTGCCAGCTTCATTGCCTTTTTTTATTGATGCCTTCATTCGTTGTTGGTCAGGGGACACACGGTGTGTCGCATTATATATATATGTATATGTGTGTGTGTGTATAGATGCATACTAGTCTTGCTACTTGATCATGTTTAACTGTTTAGTGGAGTCCCGGTTTTCTTAAATTGCATAGCGTCTCTCCTTCTCCTTCCCCCGTATATAACGATCGACTCCCATCGACCTCCAGCGCTCCCCTCTCTTACTCCTTGTTCCACCAGTTGCAGAAACTAGCAGAAGCAAGATCAGCCGCTCAAAACCAAACAAGGGCGTCACCCTCGCCTCCATATTCACTTAACAATCCTCGAGTTTCACCCACGAAATGACCGACAATGATGATGAGTTCGAAGATGCTGATGAGGTTGATGAGCGCGAATCTAGCCCTAGCAACAGGAACATTCACAACCAAGCCCCCATCATGATCCATATCGATGCGTCAATCAGCATTCTAGGCATCGGCAACACCCTAATCATACCGTCCGTAGCAGGTCCACAGCAAGAAAACAGCCAGGGCATACCGTCCTCCATGCCAAGGTCTACGGTGACGATTTTGCGATCAACTCAGCAACATCGCCAGGCCAAATTACGGACATGGTGACCTCCATCATCACTGCTCTCAGAAGGGCCGGACTGCTCGACCCAACCGAAAACAGGTCCACGCCCGTAAAGGTCAGCATCAACACGGGAATAATGGTCGAAGGGAGCCGGAACGTTATCTGTGCAGGTACCTGCTCCCCTTCAGGTCATTCGTTCGCGAAAAGGCATCCTGGTCAGACGGGTAAAGTCGGAAACTCACATGGGATAGACAGAAAAAGACGGGCTGAGTCGGTTTGCTCTTACTGTGAAGCGCTATCGTCATCGTGCAACTAAGGCAGGTATGTATGATGTTACTGACGATTTACTTATGCGCGGGAGCCGTCAGAGATACCCAGCTCAAAAAGGCTGTGATCCATGTTACCGTTACCTGTAGAAGTATCGCTAGCTCTCAGGACCCATTTACGCCCAAAATATCTCGGCAGGTGTCTACATATATTTAATATGATCATTATAAAGTTACACGGAAAAGTGCAGTCCTAGATGTCTGAATTTTCCAGGTATTCATACCAAATTGGAACCCATTCACCTACCTAAGGAAGTTAAATCAAAGTACTGTTCTTACAAAAGAGGGATTGAATAAATCAGCGAGAAAGGTTAGGGGAAGGAAAGGGAGGTGCCTCCGATAACATGTTTCGTGTAAAGGGACTTCCACTTTTGATCCGAACTATGTTGGGCGTTGAATAAGGATCCTATTGCGCGGGACTGATAAAAATGGAACTGGGGGACTTATCAGCCACACTCTCCCCTACAAAGGGCAACAAAGAACCTATACTGACTCCACCCAAGAGAGTCTGCCAGCAAAGTGAATGGGTGGATGTATGTACATACGTACTGTATACATAATAGTCAAGTAATGTCGCTGGCGTAAGGGTATTCGGATCAGAATACATAATGATAAGAGCAGATACTTACTTAATGCTACTTGAATGCAGTACGTTCGATTTTCTAAGCCCTAACTTTCTTTTCCAGTCCCTTTGTGCTACGCTGCACAATGTCGCTCTTGAAATGAAAAAAGGAAAAAGAAAAGAAAATAAGAAGAAGAAGAAGGAGAAGAAGAAGAAGAAGAAGAAGGAGAAGAAGAAGAAGAAGGAGAAGAAGAAGAAGAAAAAGAGATCCGCCCACCGGTTATACATGTTGGTAATACAACGACCCAGAATGGATATCAATCTGAAAAAAGGGATACGAGCAAGATCGAAGTAGATAGGGCAACGCAAAGACTTCAATCATTAGAACACACGCAAATCTGCAAGAAAAGATGCAGAGGGTAATAAGGAGAGAAAAGAAAACAGTTTAAAAAAAGACATGAATCACATCAAAGACGCCGAATCCTAATTGTGAAGGGTTCATTAAAGATATCATGGCCAAAGTTTTAAAAAGTACAGGGACTGTTTCCAATACTGAAGAAATTTAGATGCGGTCTGGGTTTCACAAAAAGTGAGTGTCAATCTCGCAAGGATCCTTTGCATTGAATTTATTGACTGCTAAGTGTCAGCTACGCTCGGTCTGTAGCTGTATTGATGTCTTACCGATGCCATATGAATAGGCTAGCAGCAAAAGATGAAGCAAGCATGCCCACCTGTTGAGACTACGCTCGCCCAACCGGTATATCATGACGGTGTAGATCTCTAGACCATTCCGGTGCGACTTTATCGCGTTCGTATAGAAGACCACAATTGTGACAAAGAGTCTAGAAGGCAAGAAGAAAAAAAGAAAAGAAAAGAGATATCAGCGAACCAAGCATAGTGCGTATCCAATAATCATATTCCACTTACCCTTGGACCGGTAGGGCCATCCCGAACAGCCCAGACGGCGGTACCCCATACCATGCAGTTGCTGCACCGCCAATTTTGTCGCTCCCTGAAAGGAGAAAAAGTCAGCCAATACATATACGTCGAGGGAAGCGAAAGAGGGCGATGACAAACCAATCAGACAATGTACCGCCACCACCGCCGTATCCAGCACCAGAAGAGGTATCTGGAGTTCCACGTCCACCAGGTGTACCTCCTCGTCCCAGTGGGCTAAGGCTGCGGAATCGCCTCTTTCGTTTGCTCCTTTCACCCCTGCCCAGAGGGGTTTCGCTGTCAACGTCAAAATAACCACCACTACCTTGTCGTGAGATGTCTGGAGTAATGCCTGCAGTGGACGAGAATCTGGCAGTTTCTCGTCGTAGACGCCGAATCTGCCGCTCGCGATCACCTTCGCGCTTCTCAATTTCCTCTTTTGACAGTGTCTCTACCTTGGGTTCCCATTCATCACCGAGTCCCTCCGGGTCATATCGCCAGCCGGCTTCAGCGCCATTGGCCGCTTGGTTATCTATCTCGTTCCCGTAGCCGCCTATACCACTGACCAAGCCACCACTTTCACAGACTTCTTTCTTCAACTTCAAAACGGCTTCATAAATACCGTGTGCAATAGCTCCGACCCATTCTCCACCAAGACCTAAGTCAGCACAAGTGATTTTGGCGAACTCCTCGGCCATACCCGGAGGATGCAGCAGAGACCACTCGAACTTGTCAGTGTATAATTTATTTTGCAAGTTAATGTTGAGATTAATCATGCATCGATATGCATCATCAGGATTTAAGATACTGTCGCTGACAAATGGCTCTTTGGTTACCGTCACCGTGTTGAACCGGCTATCAGGCGTCGCGGCATGGGTAGGAGCCGGAGTCGCAGATACATCGCGTGATACACCAGCTTGGGAAGTTGAGGCGGGCTTTGGCACTGTACTTTGAAATAGTGGGTGCAGCGCAACACCGGCATACTCTTCTAATTGTTGACGGATCTGATTGCTGATTGCCATCGTCAAGGCCTGGGGATTCGGCAGATCCAAGTCACGAACAAAGCCAGTAGCGAATTCTTCAGGGGTCGCCAGTGCTTCGTGAAGGTTCCAAAGAAATGTATCCTTGATTCTATAAGCAGGTAGCGGCTCGGGTCTTCTATACCCGGGAAGAGTAGGATTGATCCCGGGATCCAAAACAGTTCGTGGTAACGGGAAGGGTTCTAGAGGTTGATGCGCCGGCACTTCTAAATCAATGCGAATGGGAATCAGCGTAAGAGGAAGCTGCGCCTGGATTTGCAGTTGGTCGGCACAACTACATAGTAATAAAAAATTGGAGTCAGCACCCTCCACCAAATGGATATCAAGGAACAAATCAAGGGAATCGTGGTGATTAGAAGGGCATACACAGGCCGTAACATCCTCTTGATCATCCAATCGCGAAAGACCCCTTGAACCTCAACAGGAGCGTGTACTTCTTTCCCCAACTTCTCGGCCAGAGGAACCTTGTCAAAAGTCGACTCTTCCCGCCGCAGACTCCTCAGACCAGTGGGTCGCCGGGGACCTTCACTGTCCTCGAAATCGTCGTCGTCGAACCCATCTTCGGCATAATTTATCGCCGCTGTTCCTCGCTTCGTCGTTCGCGGTGTAGGGCCGGTTTGGCTCGGAGGGATGACGGGTGTAAGAAGCGCGTTTCCATATTGGCGGATTCGCGGAGGATAGGACGTAATATAACCTCTGAGAGGGGACATGTTGGCCATTTATGTGGACAGGAACATGTCCCTTCCTAATCTTTCCAGGGCGCTCGGATTTGCGGACAAGTAACTATTATCTTTAATGCGGTCAATGGAAGGGTGGGAACGAGAGGATGAAAAAGGCCGCGAAATTCAGCAAATAAGTGGGTGAATCGCTTTTGAAGCCGAAAGACGACCAACAAAACTGCCAATGCGGTGGATACACGACTTGCACAGGCTGATCTTTTAATACAACCCAAAGCTCCTCTGACGATGATCGCGGTCGAGCTTCCGCCTCTCTTCGCTTTGTCGCGTTTTCCTACCAGGACGGACGTTCCCGCTAATCCCATTCCAGAGCCAACGTCACGTGCCTATACCCGAGGTTGGTGAGAAGTATTATTATATTAGCATATCGTGCTATTACTTTTTCTTTTACGTGGAAATAAAATATATATAAAGGGACAGGGAAAGAGATGGAGAGGGAGAGGAAGAGACAGAAAGAGTATTGTGTGGTAGATGCCAAGGGATTCTCCTCGAGCAACAAGATATTCTCACTAATTAAACAAGGACAGGACATATTGAGAATCAAATGCCAATTATAAAGGGAAGGTGGTTAGGGAACAAAGAAGAAGAATAAAAAAAAAGGGGGCGGGGGGGGGGGAGAATTGAACAGCAAATATGGTAATAAGATGGATTGATCAATGCATGGAGTCCGGCCAGCTGGAAACTATAAACAGAATGACACAAGTACCCTCAATCCTTAATTGAATACGCCATTCCCTTTGTCTGCTTTGCAAACATGGGAGTAGACAAGGGATATCATGAACTCCCCCAAAGATGGGCAGAATGAAAATTTGTGAATAGAAAAGAAGAAGAAAATGCTGCCAATGATATGTATCTAGCATGCATCAAATGCGAACAAAAATGCAACATGACGAGAAGGACGGAAACGCTTGACAAATCGGTGGAAACCGGCTATCGAAGCCCAATGACACTCTGCAGCCATGTTAGAGTAAATTGTCAAATCAATAGGAGCTTGTAAAACCCTTACCATTTCTAAAGTCCATACCCTACGGATCCAGATTTTCACTTTTCCTTCGACGCCTTCGATATTCTCCAACTCAACACCCTCCCACCAACATCTCCTAGCCGGTTTCCGCCAAAAGAGGAGTAGCTTTTGAGCCATGCCAACTGCGTTATTATTGGAAATGTCGCCCCGGATATCAGTACGAAGTTTAGCCAATGCGAGGCTGCAGATAACTGCCTTGTTGGGCTCCGGGGCACGGTGGCCCCACCGGTCATCACGATCAAAGCCGCTATACCTGTCTTAGTACTTGGTGATTTAAAAAGCGTTGCGTGTCCAAGGAACTGAAGCTTACCCTGCTGTGAGCATCTCGATCAAGTGTTGCTCCGTTGAACCAGCCTCATCGCTCTTCCTCAACCCGGAAAAAATTCCGTCTTGTTTCAATAGTGCTTTGGCAGCGGCCCGTTTAACCTCGATCATTTCCAAGTGGTTGATTTCCGGTCGTGGAGGAATGGCATAAAAATCAAGGTCTTCTCGCAGGACGATAATTCCTGCCCGGTCTTGAAGCATGTCCCTGGTCGACCCTTGCATGGAATCGGGAGACACGTCCAAATCTTGCGATGCCGAGGCGGATGGCGACGATGGGATCGACTGAGCGACGGAGCGGAAGAAGTCTAGCATGTACTGGAGAGACACCGGGTCATACTAGCACGGATATGTGAGACATGTCTAGCAATGCAGGAGGGAATAAGGCGTGAAATAATCGAGCGTTATTAACTGCCCTACTTACATCGACGGGATAGATATCACCTTCGTGGAAACTGCCCATATGTCCATCCGGAAGCAGGCCATTCGGGAACAGCGAGAGAAGCACAAACTCCGGCAGTGTCAACAGTTCGTCCCGAGAGAGAGTGAACCTAGTCCCTCTATAAATCATGTTAGAACCATGTGGCTAGCAGTACAAGGGTTGTGAGTTCTCACCTGAGATCGAGAGTAATATGCTCATCCCCGCCGATGTCTGCATTGCAAGAGAAGTGAGTTAACGTAACGTATATAGAAGATCGTAGACCGTATCATACCTCCTAAAGTATTGATCGGTGGTCCCCCTGCCTGTTGTACCTGAGTAATGATACTCGACGCGCCCCCTGCCGCTGCCATAACGTATGTAAATGAGTTTATGGGGCTAGATCCTTCGGTGTACGGTGGAGGAGGCTCTCCCTCTTCCGCAGACTTTCCTGGAGAATAATCTTTGGGGTCTCTAGAAAATGATGCCTTGGTCTGTGCGACTACAGAAGATGAGGAATCTGATTCTAGAGGCTCTGCTTCGAAGAGTGGAGAGGCGAACGGCGAGACGGTAACTGGCTCGGACTCGGGAACGGTAGATTTGTCGCGGTTGGACTCAACTCCAGGAGGGTGAACAAGGGACAAGAATGGCGGGGGTTGTGCTGAGATAAAGCTGGATGAGGAAGCCTCTGAGGATGGGGAATGCGGCGGCGGCGCGGTATAGAAGTCGTCGTCTTCCTCCACTACGGAATTCGGGAGATGATGCGGCCGCGCCGTGGTAGGCGAGCCAGGAGAACTTGATTGCCACGGCAAGGTGTCGAAATGTGTTTCGAGGTCGCAAGAATGGTGTTTATTCTCGTATTCCCGCTGCGGATTGCGGGGAGCTGCCTGTGAGGGTTGTCCTGTAGATCGAAGAGGATCCAGACTCCCGTTTCTCTTGTCGACCAGGAGGGGGGTGCCGTGTCTTCAGTGATACATGGAAGTGAAAGTCAGGTTTTATAGTCGAGAAAAGATTCCAAAGAAAAATAAAGCAAAGGAAAAAGATCGATGGATAGCGGATACTATGGTCGGAAGCTGTAACTATCGGCAAGGCAAGGGCGATGAAAGAGGAGGTGTGGGAAGGAAAGCGCTTAGAAGGTGATGCTGAACGGTACATTGGCAGTGTCGGACTGTGGAGGACTACACCATTTCTTCATCACCGCCCCCAATCACCATTGATGTTACCATTAGCCAATAAATATTTCAAATATAATTTCTATTCTGTTTTCTCTCCCTTTTCTTTTTTTTTCTTTTTTTTTTCTTAGGGATATCTCCATGACAAGTTGTCGCATATACATCCACTCCCAATCACCTGACTTTGGTTCACTAGACATACTTGATATGCAATGCTTTACCGAATCTTTCAAATCTATAGAGAGACTATAAACAGATCTCCTCCATCCAAACATAAAGTAGGCTTTGATACTAGCAGGCTCATTATCTATGCACTTCCGTCTATAGTTCTAGACATTGCGTTCGACGAAGCTCTGAATCATACCCTCTGGCGTCGGTTGATACTCTTTAAAGGTCACTTTATCCCCATCCAGGATGGTATTACCCTGGACAAACACTTTACGCGGGACCTTGTTCTTCAGGACAATCTCGCGTACTTTCGTCCCCCACCACTCGTCAACCGATGTGATATCGTCATAGAGCCTCTTACCTGCTTCGAAGTCTGCGGTACTCTTGTAGACATGCAGCTTTTGCAAATATTTCTCCACAGCAGGACGCCCGTGCGTCAGGATCTTCGATCGATCTAGATGAATCTCCAGATCCGAAAGGTCTTCTGTGGTATAAGATAGCTTGACGAAATCATCACCAGCGTCAAGGAATGTTCGCAGAATACTATATCGAGCTTGCATATGGGCCTGCCCCCATTTCTGAGTCTTGGGGTCCCAGAATTCCAAGGCAACCAAGCCTGCACGAGCCATTTGCAGATATGCTGCGAACAAGACATCGCCAGCGTCATTTGTGAGATCTTCTTGTCCATCTCCGAACCCGAAAATCTTCAGAATGCCAAAGTCACATCCAAGTACCATAGCGACGCACTCTGCACGGCACTCTTCATAGGAGGAGGCAATATTTCCGAACACAGAGCTCCAGGTCTGGCCAGGCTTGTACCAGGTAGATACAGGCTTGCCTGTAACTGGACTAACAGGAGGATTGGAAATATCGAAGTTATACTTCCCCGGAGCGGTCTCCTGAAGAAGCTTGCCCGTTCCGTGCCCAAGAAGTTCATGGATACCTACTTGGACTTCAAAGGCGGGGTCACGGCATTTGCGGTAAACCTCCAAATCCTTTTCAGCAATGAATGGAACTGGCTCATTAGGAGCTTTGGCACTGAGAACGTTTCCCAAAGACACGTTTTTGAAGCCTAAGTTTTGACGTATATCATCATAATTGGGCAGGTTGATGCCAGCAGGAATACCCGAAGATTGGAAGCTCAAAACTTCAAGAGAAGTAAAGTCTGGACTGAGGAACTGGTCTTTTTCAAAGTCCTTGCCCCATGGAAGCTTTGGGATCATGCTCTCTGCACTATGTACCAACTTTCCAAAGGCTTGAGTGCGTTCCAGATTGACCTATCAAAGTAACGAGTTAACGGCCACGGCAAGAGTCATGAAAATATTATTGTGGTGACCTACTAAAGCAACGAAACCCTCCCATTCACCCCGCACTCCGTGAGGGTCTCTATAGGTCTCCACAAACCCTATATTTGTCTCTAGAACCGGTCTTTGATCCTTCACCCAAATCCGTTGACTCTCTTTGAATGCTTCAATCGAACCAGCACCAAATGACAATGCATATGCATCCAACATCCGTTTCTGGTTGTCGTTTGCTGCATTGAGTCCCGCCTGCTTAATCGACCAAGCGATCTTTGCCATTTCCTCTAAATGATCTCCAAAAGCCAGGCGCAGTTTCTTCCCAGCCAGGTTACCGTGCAGGTCCAAAGTGTCAACGTCACCGAGATCCCTATCCCGCGGGAGGGGAGAAGTAATGCCGGAGGCAATCAACAACTCAAAGTCACCGGATTGCAACTTCTTCAATCTCGTATTCTCCAATGGTAATCCTTTCTTTTCCATAAGGTCTCCAATCGCCGTAATCTCATCTTTTGTAATAGACGGTGAGTCAGGGTAATAGGTAGTCATATGACCACTGTCCGTATAACCAAGGTGCATAAGTGATTGCTCTTTCGTGGCGTAAATACCACCCCCAATCTTATTCGCTTTTTCAAAGGCTGCTTTTGTCTCTGACGTAGATGATGCCAAAGCCTCTAGCGCTTCTACAGGCAACCGGGGAATGAACTTCGAGTCACCAAACCCTTTGTAGTTCCCGCAATTTCCAAGAAACTGCGCAGAATACTCCAAGAAGTAGCGCAAATGCTCGTCGCTAACATTGGTTTTCTGAGCAAGGCCAATCCAATTCCCGTCACAGGCACGGTAGAGTGAGATGATGAGATCGTAGATGGGCTCAGATTCGGGAGATACCTGGCGCAAAGTGATACGAGTGCCTTCAAATGCCGCTCTGAATTTGGACAGTAGGCCCAATCGTCAGCTCCGTGTATCCCAACGGAGTAGGAGATCACATGTGCGAACCGCATAACTTGTGCAGCTAGGATTGGGAAGGAACTGACCTGCTTATGAAGTGGGCATATCGCCTCAGTTTTGCATCCTGAAGATTATCAAAATGGTGTTTGACCTCCAAGCGGACCACCGTGGGGGGTGAGTCAGCCAAATAATGCTGCGTGATCTTTTCATCCATCATGGCTACTGTTGGGGTTGTGAGAGTTTGGGAGGCAGAGCTCGAGGAAAGGCTGTTGGTGACAGATGAACAATAACGCGGGAGGTGATGTAAAGGACGGAGACGATTGAGGGGCTGGAGAACGGGTCTGGAGGGGCGGTGGAGCAAATGCTCCGAAGGCAAGCGCTTTAAAGCGCCTCGCAGAGCGAGCATTTTTTTTTTTTTTTTTTTTTCGAGATGGGCAGTGAAGTCACACTTTCTGACTGGAGCCAGCATCATGAATACACAACAATCCTTGGCAAAGGTGGAGACTCTATGGCAGCTTTATCAGACCCACTCGCTTATTTAATGGTAAAGTGGACTTTAGGACTCGAAGGCTATATGGGAAGAATGCATGAACATGTACATAGGATTAATTGGAACCACAAAGAAAGAAGATACGCTCTTCCATGTTCAACAAAGATATTTGGGAAGCGAACGACAGTGACAAAAGGAAATGAGCATGGCTAACCAACTGCGCACTATAGTATAGGTTCATCCCACTCACTCACAATAAACTCTCATACTTATCAAGCCCTTGCTTTGTATTCCCTTGGGATTGTGACACCCCGTTAGTCAAGAATGTACTCTGGGTAGTATTGGGCCCTAGGGATGGCGTGTTTGTATTTGTCAGGTTACCGGAATTTGGAAATGACTTCAAGGAGCCGTGAGAAGACGGGGGTGGCGGGAGAGAGAACGCAGAATAATTAGGAGTTGATTGTACGCTCTGCCCAGCCATGGAGACCCCCGGTACCTTCATATTAGCCAAGGCCCCTAACGAGGGGGTAGATGAAGCGTTCCCCTGATACTGATGCTGGTTATTCGAAGAACTCGCCGTATTATAAGTAGCAGAGGATGTTGCTTGTAAAACAGGAAATGTAGGTGTAGGAGAGGATTTTTGCCTAGCAGTAGGCTCCAATGATGGGAAGGCTTTTAGATTATAATCGGGTGTAATAGAGCGTATACTGAATGTCGAAGTACCCGACGGGGTGTTCCCTCTGCCAGCCAGTCCAACTACGTCTGTCGACCACGAGAATGCTGCGGAGGATGACTTTTGAGCAGACGTCTGCATGGCAGGTGCTTCCGAGACCATTCTGCCCCAAGGGTCAACATCCTTAGAGTTTGAAGTTGCAGGGCTTCGCCCAAGAACAAGACGTTCGAAATTATCTCTTATGGAATCGGCACCGGACTGTGTTAGGATATTGGGGATTCTTGAGGAACTTCCTGCGCCGTTCTGGAAGCCACTTGAGTCAGCTCCTGAAGAGAGCTCTTGAAGTTTCTTCGTCTGTTCACGCTCAATCTTCGAGGATATACTTTGTATAAGCTTCATGAACTCTCCAAATTGACGCAAGTCTAGAAGCGGCCCTAGACTAAAGCTCCAAAGGATAGGGAGGACCTCCAGAGCAAGGAAATCAGTATCAGCAATCGTACCGATCTGTCTAAACACAGCCAAGGCTGCCATCATAACAGCCGGCTCCTTCGTCTTGATCGCCTTGAGTGCTGGTACGAGTTTTTCTTGGATCGTGTACTTGTCCAAAATAGATGACTTGATAGGCTGCGGTTTGCCTTGCTGGACCAATCCAGACAAGTCATCTTCAACTGCCTCTCCTTCGCCTAAAGGGCCACCACACAGCGCCGTGAATGCTTCCAAGCAACGTACTTTAATAGCAAGACTGTTTGTCCGGCTGAAAGTGGAAGCAATCGGTGGGAAGACCTCGTTCTTGACGGTGCTAAAATCAAGGGTGGGAAGGATGACCGGCAAGCACTTTATAGCCCCATCTATCAAGGAATGTGTAGGTGAATCTAGTCCTAGTCGGATTAGTGGCAGGATATCTTCCTTAAACTCCTTCCCCGAGCAGTTCTCTGCCACAACTTTCATATTTTCAAGAACAACCATGAGGCCCGCGTCTTTCTTAGAGTCACGTTCTTGGGCAGTACCTTTGTCGGTTGGAAACACTTCCTTGAGTCGAGGGATGACCTTCTCAGGAAGTGTACGACGTGCGTTAGGGATCCGCTGCAGGATCACAAATATATTTTGCAAAAGGAGGGGTAAGAGTTCACGATCTTTCAGCTCGTCCAGCAATGCACCGAGAACCTTTCTTTCGAGTACAGAAATCGGAAACTCTGAAATCACCCGCTGTAGCCCACGCATGAATTGTGATTTCTCATTCTGATTCTTAGCTGGCAAGGATTCCAAGAAACGGATCGTTGAGACCAATATGTTATCGAAATATTGGGATTGCTGAAATTCCCGGGCATTCAAGCGCTGCGCCGGTCGTCTAGTTATCAGCCGGGGCAGTACGTGCGTAGCAAGGGACTTCGGGATACTGCCTGAGCAGAGGAAATTATTGCCTTGCGACGGCGTCGTAGATGGCGAGCTGAGTAATTTCTTATACGAACTCAGATTTGAATGCGCCTGTAGCGGGGAAACGTGGGGGGAGTTATACAGAGCTATGATGATGATCCCAAGAGAGAACAGGTCCGCAGATGTAGTCACATTAGAGTCCAATGCAAAGTCGGGTGACGTATAGTCCAGGTTCAACTGAACTGAGGAAGGAAGGCGGGGATCCTGATAAAGAACTTCTGACAAGGCTAATGGTGGAAGAGTAGAACGCGAGTCTGTGGAGCTGGGTGGACCGGCAAACCCAAGGCCTGATATTTTCCAGTCGGATTTGGCATTGATAAAAATGGCCTCGGGGCTGAGATTGCCGTGTACGAGTACCGCAGACTCGTGAAGGAATTCGAGGCCCTTTGCAACTTGCAAAAGCCCCTTTTGAATTTCTAGCTCGTCAATCTCAAGGTCTCTCCGTCTCCGTGTTCCGTCGGACTCTTCTACCATATAACGGCTAGACCTCGAGCCTACTGTCGAGTTGCTCTCTTGCGCATCTTTCTCTTGCAGAAGTCTGGCAAGAGAAGTTGTTATCTGTTCAGTCGCAAACATGAGACCACCACCGCGAGTCTCCTCCACAGGCTCTAGCACCTGGAGCACGGAGGGATGCCTGAGCCGCGCCAGGTTGCTAGCTTCTCGCTTAAGCCGTTCAATGACATCCTCATGCAATTTTTTCACAGAGACAGAGGAACGGCCACCTAGCCCACTTGAGCGTGACTCAAGGGCTTTTTTGTCAAAGATGAAAATGGAGGCAACGGTGCCAGTGGACTTTTTCTTTCCGTCGTGGACTTTCCAAGGACCAGCGATCACTGTGGGGTGTGGAGAGATTTGATAATTGGCTGATATGTTGGAACTTAAAGATTTCAGAGCTGACGAAAACATACTTCCTTGAAAATAACTTAAGAGCACGGAATCAAGTAGTATACCGGATTGAGTAGCCAAGAGCGGTTATTTTCCTTCTTCGGTGTGAGTGTTAGATTGCCTCTGCAGGCTATTGTGGTTCACACAGGGTGTCCCGTATATAGTCAAGTATTGACGACGCACTTTGAATGACCATTGCCCGGGAACGAAAATCACTCAAGTAAAGAAGGGAAATATGGAAAATGAATGCGTATTAGTTCACTTCAGCCCTACAGAGTATGATTAATTCTTCATCTCGAAACCTACGGCCTAAGTACTTATGCATACCTGATCTGCCATCTGGGCGGATATGGTCACGTGAATAGAGAGATTATAGCCAATGAATAGCTGTGCTACGGAGTAGCTCCGCCAATGTCACGTGGCATACCGCCTCGAGGTTGTTTACAAGGCTATTGCCGGCTATCTACGACGTTTAACTCCGACCTCGGACGTCAGCTCCGGATTGTCACACATTACTTATAGCCAACTTCCTCAAGGCGTTACTCGGACTCACTCCGGCGACAGCTATCAATATCAATTGCATTTCGCACTTGCAATCCCAAACTTCTCTAACGATTTTGTTCCGTGAGATCGTGTGGGGCGCATTGATTGGTTTCCGTATCGGTTCGGTTATCACTGGATCTTCTGGAGAGGGTCCGTGGGAAAAGAGTCATCTATTAAACGCAGCCGTTTCCGCCTCTCGTATCCTACCCTTCACCATTGTCAATCCTCCCTTAACAGCGACTCGATCAATTGCACTCTTTGAGGTGATCTTTGTGAGTGCTCTATTTGCGGCGCGCGGCCATGAACTCGCTACGTCAGCTCCCTCGCCGTAAGGCGCTACACAGTTTGGCCGTTCCCACGATCCAGAGTTCCAGCGCGAGTCGGTTATGGCAGAGATCTTTCAACGGCACTTCATCTATTGCCTCCCACCTAGCTGGACTTGATCCTTCAAAGCTCACAGTCACCAAGACTAGCACCCCTAAAGAATTGACTCCTGCTAAGGATCTTGTTTTCGGAAAGACATTTACTGGTATGCGCAATCCACAGCCTTGAGCACGGATTGTACTTATAATAATACGAATGTTTCTTAGACCACATGCTTGCTATTGAATGGTCAGCATCCAATGGCTGGGATGTCCCTCGCATCGTTCCGTACCAAAACCTTAGCTTGGATCCCTCGGCTTGTGTATTCCACTACGCATTCGAATGTTTCGAAGGCATGAAGGCATACAAAGACAATAATGGTCAAATCCGACTATTCCGCCCGGATAAAAATATGCAGCGCTTGAACAAGTCTTCAACGCGAATTGCCCTCCCTACCGTCGATGGTGAGGCTCTAACCCAACTGATCGGGGAGCTCGTAAAACTAGATAGCCGATTCATCCCAAGGTAAGGTCTTTGCGGGTCTATCACAGGCTTCACTTCGGCTGACTACCAACAGTGCCCGAGGCTACTCGCTATACCTGCGACCCACGGTCATTGGCACGCAAAATACTCTCGGAGTCGGACCACCAGGTTCTGCCCTTTTGTTTGTAATCGCAAGCCCCGTTGGTCCTTATTATCCCACTGGTTTCAAGGCCATCTCGCTAGAGGCCACCGACTATGCTGTTAGAGCCTGGCCTGGCGGTGTGGGTGACAAAAAGTTGGGTGCGAATTACGCACCATGCATTGTCCCTCAACTAAGCGCGGCCTCTCGTGGGTTCCAGCAGAACCTCTGGCTTTTTGGTGAGGAAGAATATGTGACTGAGGTTGGCACGATGAACCTCTTCATTGCGTTGAAGAACAAGGAAACAGGGCAGAAGGAACTAGTCACTGCTCCTCTGGATGGAACCATTCTTGAAGGTGTGACCCGTGACTCCGTATTAGGACTTGCTAGGGAAAGACTAGTGCCGAAGGGCTGGACTGTGTCTGAGCGCAAGATAAAAATGTCAGAGGTTGCTGAAGCAGCAGATGAGGGTAGGCTGGTTGAGGTGTTCGGATCTGGCACCGCAGCCATTGTTAGCCCCGTACGGAACATCAGCTACAAGGGTAAGTTGGTCGACTGCGGCTTGAAGGAGAGTGAGGAAGCTGGAGAGATTGCTTCCCAGATGAAGAACTGGATCGAGGGGATCCAGTATGGCGATGAAGATCACAGCTGGAGGTAAGTTCCCTTTCGAAAAGTATTCTGATTCATGACTTTGTACTGACTTTTGACAGCTACGTCCTCTAAAGGACGCTTTAGTCTCAAAAAAAAAAAAAAAAAAAAAAGGCCTATAGACTGTCTTGTAGGCTTTTCACGTTGCTCCGTGGGTCTAGACAATAAGAATCTTTTGCACTTTCGGGTTATTACACTGCTATTGCTTGATTTGATTCCGTCAACTAGCATAACCGCTATCTTAACATTATAGTGTAACCTGAAGTGAGTACGCAGAAAGCTTAGAGAGATTATAACTTTGCATATTTTCCTATCTACCAGAGTCCTGTGAGTCTTACCGTAGACTCGATTTAAGTCAGTACTTGGAAATCGAGCACCAATGGATAATAACCAATGAATGGCGGCATTCTAGTTATTCTCCCAGAAGGGGCAATGATCAACTGTGCAGCAACTATGCGCTTGAATCTCAAGTTCTCGCCGTCCCGCAGACACAGCCGCCATCATGCGGGAAATACGATTCAGCCTGTCTGAAGTTAAGAACCGTTGATCATCGTCCTGGCACCACTAACTCAACGCCATCCTTGGAGTCTGTCTAGTTCACTGGACGCCTGAAGAGCATGTTGTAAGTCTTGTCAGCCTGAGGTGTTTTAGTATACGACAATCCCGAACGTTTATATATAGTAGCACATAGCAAGTTCAATGCGTGAGCGAGCATGTATGCAGTATATTTAGCCATTGACAAATTAATAGATGCATTCACCGTGCCGCAGCGTCCACACCAAACGTCAATGAACCAATGTGGTGCGGACAAGAGACTAGCCAACCGTCCAAAGTACCGGTACGGAGTACGAGTGTTGATACAGAGGGAATCTGAGGTACATGCCGGTATGTTCATACATACATGGATACGATGGGTTCTTCTGCAATTTTAGGGATAACGGCCCCCAAACCAACAGAAAAGATACGTATCTGAAAGCCATAAGTGAGTGCGCATAAGCACCCCAACCATCTCTTTGACTATCACACCTATCACACTCCTACCAGGCAGCCACGAGGAATCCACAATGTACGCTACACGATATCCAGACTCCAGAATGTCGGCAGGATCCGTCCCGTCAAATTAGTACTCAGTATTTTGTCCATAATTATCCGAGACGGAAGAGTAACGGCAGATATCTTGACAAGCACATTGGATACTCCATGATCGCCATGGGATCGTCACATCGTCACGAAGGCTGTGTGCTTCGCAGCGGGACTCGGATACGATGAGGAGACGTGGAACCCAGGATATCGAGTCATCGAGACTGAGTCACTTCGCTGGACGGGAATCCCGATGGGCTAAGGTGAATTGGTGGGGGAGGGCGATGCCGAATGATGAGAGCCTCAAAGGGCATTTAAGAATACACACGCTATAATTTTGTTGAAGGCATGACGGGCGGCGATAGAGTGTCGGCTTTAAATTTATCGCCGGCAACCATGAATCCCCAAGACAATCTCAGTTACAGGGCATACTAATGCATGTCCCATTATTGTGTGAGAAATTGATGAAAAGGTGTAATTTTTAGTTCGCTGAGCTCAAGGTTTACCGTTGTCCCATTCCAACCAATTTAATTCAGTCAGTATATGGCCCCCTTTCCGTGTGATGGGGAATTTTTTTTTTTTTTTTTTTTTTTTTTTTTGCAAATATTCAGGTATACCTCATTTATTATCTGTACATTGAGTCTCTCCAGCCAAATTTAAGCATATCACGGCCCATTGACATACAGCCTAGGAAGGATTGAGCAGTGGATCAAAACAACAAGGAAGTGATCGCCCACCATGGCCTTAGGCGGCAGGTATAAACACTTCGATCATAAACCTTGCGATGCTTCCGAGCATCTACTTCAGAAGGACAGGTAAAGTCGAAAAATGGTATTTGTGATACTTAATCAAGATCTACGGCCCCAGTACAACCCGTTACGCATTTGGTTCCTCTATATACATACAATCATTGTTAGACACCAGCCTATCTTTTAGTAATCTCGGTACTCAAGTAATTTGTTGGCCCCTCTCTTACAAGGAAAGCCATCCTTTGCCGATTCCTTCCCCCCCGTCTTTCAGCGAATGAAGCCAATTGACATAGATAGCACCTCGGTGTATAACTTGATTCCGACCCCAAGTCTCGGAGTTGGTGAAGCAATCCTTCCGATAACAATGTCTTAATCAACGAATCGAAATGGAACATATTAGTGATATGCTAGCGGAGATATTAAGCTAAGCATGAGGCCTCCTCTCCATCGAAGTATATGCATTGAGTTACTTCGCCGAAGGATCTATACCTGCATAAGAATAGGGACAGGAGAGACACTGTACAGCGTACAGCGGAATATTTCCATGATTAGGAGCCTTAGCTCGTCAGATGTTAGTTACCACGTGCGTACCCTCTTCCTGGGTAAGCCGTTGATGCTCGTAATCTTCTCGGGTGGCACGGATGATCCTAGGGTTAGTCTGCCATTGTAGGGAGGATATTAATGACCAAAGCCTTATATCTTTCCGTCCAATCATGTAGAAGTATGCAATATGTTAATAGAGATCGAACAAATATTGCGCGAAGAACTTACCGATTAGTGACACCTGAAAATAGTCAAAATTATTACAGACATGTGTAATAGTAAATGATAGGTTTGTTTTGTTTTTGAAGGTAGTACTGACAGATTCTGTCACCATATGGATGTTTCCAGATGGTTACTGGAAGATTCGACATGTTTTCAAGAATGTGTGCCCTCGAAATCCCGATCCTTGGAAATATGTCATATATACTATCGACCACAGTAGTCAAACTGATCAATTAGTTGTTACTGATTGATGTACAGTTTTTGTAAAATAGACTTCTCTCTCCCTCTCTCCCTTTCTTCTTTCCCCATTTTTAGCTTTCTCGGGGGGCGATGGGTCCAACCAGGGGTGACTGCGTGGAGATGTATACGAGATGAGGTTACATACGATGGCGAACAAGTGGAGGGGTCATGGGGGCGGGTGTAAAATGTATGTATGCGTGTATATGCAGGCCTAGACCCCTCCCCCTAGGAAAACTCAGTGAAGGGAAGGGGGGGAACAATAAAAAGAGGGGGGTAAAAGAGAAGAAGGGAAAAATAAATCCCTAAGGGTCAAGACAATCCCTGCTAGACAATAACAAATTGACCGGGAAAAACATGTGATTGGCGTGTGACTCGAGGAATAGATCCTGAAACAGATAGGACATTCTCCGTTCTCGCCAATAGAACAGTGTTTCATCAGCCCTACACAAGGGAGGCCTGAATGCCACCTGAGCAACCCTTCGTATTACTGTTCTGTACGAAGAAATTGAGCCTCATGGTTCCCAGTACGCGAGACCTTGGATCGGGGTAAGGATAACAATAGGCATTATCATCTTGACGTATCCGCATATCCACGAAAGAACTCTTACTGTGTGTGAGTAGGTAATTCCTTTCCAATCATCTTCTTCCAAATTGAAAGGAGGTGAAAGAATCATACATAATAAAATTTAATCCGGATAATGAAAATGTCGAGGTTTGAATCCATTCTTAATCACATTTACGTCCGAGTGAGCCGAATCCTAAATTGACAAGAGACTTACAAGTGTTATTACTACTTTCATGCTAAGGAACACTTCTTAGCCACAAGTACCAGGGATAACGGAATGTTGGATAAGACCGAGCCTCTTACGGTGCACATAGGCTGATAGTGGGTAATGTAGATCACTTCTAGCAATAGAGGCTCTTTCCGCGTTTTTTAGGGTTGTCAGATGATCAATCCCTACCCGAGTCTCTATCTAGCACAGCCTTGTTACTTCTCTATCTTATATATCTTCTTTTTGGTGAGTTTTACTCGTTACAATCTCGATACCAAGCATCTGTCCAGATCTGGATTGGATGGGACTTTTAATCCCTTCAGGCGTTCTATTTGATGGACAAGAAGAGGTGGTATATATTTAAAGTACCCACGCCAGTCTGGTCAGTAACCACCCACTTGGAAGGGTGTGAGATCTTTATCCTTAGTGCGTTGCCAAGATCAAGGGGTACAAACGTGGCAGAAGTCGAGGCCGTGCACTCTCCAATGTTGGACGCTCAACATTCTTCAGAATCTGTCTGCTTCTGGTTTCGCGCTGCAGATGAAGTAATGCAGGAGGTCAGTCGGAAGTTGCCTAATCCCTTTTCTGGAAACTGGTGGCCCCAGGTATCATTGGTTAGAACTTTCTTTTACCCTAAAACCATCATGAGCACGCCGTACTCTGTCATACAGGTGGACTCCATTTGATGAATTTGTCATATATTTGAAATGGGTGGAAAGCAATCAATTACATCTCTCACTATAAAACCCTTCTTTTTCTCAAAAAAGGAAAAGAAAAGAATAGAAAAGAAAAGGAAAAGGAAAAGGAAAAGGAAAAGGAAATAGAAAAAGAAAAAGAAAAAGGAAAAGGAAAAAGAAAAAGAAAAAGGAAAAGGAAAAGGAAAAGGAAAAAAGGAAAAAAGGAAAAAAGGAAAAAAGATAATCTAATGAAAAAAGCATGTACAACCCTTGCATTTCAACTAATATAGTGAAATGGGGGCCGGCGGTTAAGTTCTTTGACTGACGTGGTATGAATCTAGAATAGTGGTATTCGTACCTCTAAACTACTAGAGATTGAAGTTAGTTACCGAAGAAAAGTACCAGTGGTGAAAACCACGTTTGTTTGAGAATGCTTTTGTCATATTTATTTTACTACTATTATTATTATTATTATTATTCTAGGCAGGGATATGACTACCTAGTCGTAGTAGTAGTAATAATACCCAGACACTCGGACATGGCTCATTGAGAGACGCTTTACCTCCATGAATGAATAATAACGAATTGATGGGATGCAGAGTCAGCCAGAATAGCAACGTATGCAAATCATCGGATGACCAACCTCAAATAAAGACGCTTATATTATCCTCGAGTCAGTACTACCTACATCCAGCACTCCCAGTCTAAGGATATAACTATAGGGACGGGGGTAATGAGGATGAAAACAAGTTACTGATCATTGTGTAACCCTACCTTTTGGTTAATACATACAATACAGCCATTAGTAGACACTAACTGATCTACTGTGTACCAAAGTTCTGCTAGCCCCTCCCTGCAACAATTAACTGAGGGTTCCGCCACGCACTTTCTTCATGTTTCATTTTCTTGGGGGTCTTTTTGCTCACAATGATCAAATCTAGATCTGGCTGGCTACTGCCGCTTTGTATAAAATACCTACTAATCTGATACATACATACGGACGTCAGTCCATGTTGGCGTTGAGATCCCCCCAGACAACATGCATGGAAGAAAAGGTAGATAGACACCACCGGCCCCATTGGCAGGCAATGCATGACGGTACAACTTTCTGCTGCCCTTATCGATCTTTGTTGGCTCAGTCGTGTAGATCCTGGTAAGAAGGCTTTACCAGCTTGAAAAAGTGTCCGTTGTTACACCTATTTCGAGGCTTTTTATGGATTGTTTTGTTTTCTTTTTCTGCTGCAAGATGAGGAATTTGGCGCGTCATTGAACTGCAGCATTATCCGTTTCTAGTACGCCGAATCACACTGCCAATTTCGTCTTCCCTCCCCCTTCTTTTTTCCTTCCAAGATAATAATAATAATAATTTGTACTTATCTGTCTTTGTTTGTTTCTATATAATTATATATATAAAGGGAAAGAAAATGCGATGATGTTACTATTTATTATACACTTTTACTTTTGGATTCCGGTCAACTTGTAAATTTGCAAGGCTCATTTTGGTCGATACGGTGGAAAAACCGCCCCCTTCTAGGAAAATGCACCTTTACTATCTTAGCGACATGCTAATGCAATATCTGGGACCACATGGCCGATGTGATGGTGTACAAACCCCGGGCTGTTGGTTCAGCACAGCCTGATCTTGCCCATTTTCCTTGGTTGTCAACTTCCCCCCGCCCCCCCCTTCTCGGTCTTTTCGGTCATCGGAGGGTCCGCTTCAACAGCCTCACAACCTGGGATTCCTTCAGCCCGCCAACCATTTGTGACGCAGCCCTGCACATCCGCGCATCCATTCGGGAAAAGTTCCCTACCAACACATGGTCAAGCCATGCATACTAATGGCTCCCTCGTCCCCCAGGCCCCCAGGCATTCACCTACTACGAAACACTAATATTACCAGACCAGAAAAAAAAAATATTATTATGTATTTGTTTCTTTTCTATTTCTTTGTCTTTTTTTCTTTTTCCCTTTTTTTTTTTTTTTTTTTTTTTTTTTTTTTTTTTTTTTTTTTTTTTTTTTTTTTTTTTATCCCCACCTCCTTCCTAAAAAAATAAATTTAAATCAATAAATAATAATAATGATGATGATAATAATGATAATAATAATAATTCTTCCCCATCGGTGCACGGGATTATCACTGTTATCGCTACGGCTCAATCGCTGTCATGGGTTGCTTTGGACTCGGAGACCGGGGCTTAGCAAGCAAGCAATGAGCTACATGTAGGCTGCTTCTCCAGCTGATTGATTCTCCTTAAATACTACGTGATTCCTTTCCGTGATTTAGGCTCTGACAGTTGATCATCATTGAACAAGTTTGAATCTATATAGTCAATATTCTTCCCTTTCTTTGCCCTCGTGCCGCTCTCCATCCATTTTACTTTCATACTACCAAGTCTCTCAACTGTATGCATACGAACCTTGTTCTGCTATTCCATCCTATATAGTTTGCAGTTGTTCCTGCTATTACTTCCCGTGTCCTATATATATATCCACCATGCACCGATCTAGCAGTCATTCCTACCAATCCACTGGCTCAAGAGCCTCGTCAAGTCATGCCAGCAGTAGCGCGTTCAGTCCAAATGCCAACCCAAACGAAGACTGGACAAAGATATCAGATCTTGCTGAGCGACGCCGTATTCAGAATCGAATTGCCCAGCGCAATTATCGTGAGTGAACCATTATTTGGCAGAATCTATGTGCCTCTGATCTGACTCGGTCATCGTATCAGGTAAGAAGCTCAAGCGCCGCCTCGAGGACCTCGAAAAGAGGGCTGCTTCGGCATCAGAATCTCCAGAACGGTCCAACGAGAACGAGATAACCGAAGCGCCAAAGACTGCGCATCCCGCCAAATCTCGCGCAAAAAATCCTCGCACTTCTAAACCGAACTCGGATGCTGCTAGGCGGACAGCAACAGAAAGGGTCCCAACCTATGAGGGTTATGCAGCTCAGGAAGACCGGGTGACGATGTTCTCTCAGCAATGCACGCGCCAGCTCACCGCATCACCCCCGCCTGTGTACTCCTATACCTCGTATTCCCAGCTGGAACCTTATGGACAGTCCGCATATGGACAGCCACACCCCTACCATTCTATCCCGAATGCCTACAACGACATGTCGTTTCAGGGAGAGTATGGAACGTCAGTGCCATCGATTCTCCCCGTCACGATGACTACGACAGGGCCCGTCAAGAGGCCGCATGCCTACGCGGATGAAGAAATTGTCAGCCCGTTTAGTATGAGTTACGCGTCTATGGCTGGTATCGATTTGTGTCCGAGTTCTCACCATCTTTCGGATTCCAATATCCCTGTACATACCCCTCCCCGTTCATTGGGCCGGTCTGCAAGAAATCCCTTATTCAGCAAGACTAATTCCCTTCCTTCAGATGCCGCCGTTGTCGCACGTGTGCAGCGATGATCATTCCTCTCCATCGACGCCTGCGGAGCCTTCCAATCTGGCATGCCCCCTTACCCCCGAGTCGGACTCGTGCTCTCCTCACTCGTACCCTCTGTTTTAATGGCGTGTGATTTTCTTTGCTTTTGACGATAATTTGTAGTAACGACTGGTATGATAACTTGGGTTGGGTTATGTATACGGTGGAGTTTTATTCTCAATTTCCCTTCTTTCCACCATTGTATATATATATATATATATATTGGTGGGTATGGGATTACATATGCTTTCAAGAATCACGATATATGGAGGGGCGCAGTTTACAAGGCCTTGGGTTCGGTTTTATGCGATGCATTGCGGTTGGCGTTCAGGCCGTGGTGAGAGCTTGATCTCGGGGGTAACCTGAATGGGATCTTTCCTGCTGTCATTTAATTACTATCACTAGATTTTTTTTTCTTGAAATCCTCTTTCATGATTCACGACTCTACCATGAATTACGCTTGAAGTACTTTTTGTTTTCCGAGGTGAAACCATTCCATGAAATGGATGGTGATCTGTCTCAACCAATCGGTGGCATCCTTTGGGTGTTAGTTGGCCTAAGGCCATCTATGTATCCATGTACAGCACAGAGTACGTATACTACTATACTACTATTGTCCAGCTTGGCCCCCAAACAATTAGCGGGCCTCGGGCTCGAGTTTGACTCTCGTTTACTCACTAGACATGGGGCTAGATTGGAAGGGGAGGTTTCTTTTTTGGTTGGAATTTTACCCTCGTTTCGATTAAGTCTCTTTTTGTCTTCTACCTGGGAAGGTCTAGGACGAGTTACTGCTAGTTTCCATCATTGCCAGAGACCTCTCTATCTTGGGCAACAAAACATCACTACCAAACTAAGCAATAGTCGAAAAGTCTTCCGGATTTGGGTATGGTTGCCTACAGGCTGGTGGTTCGAAAAGGAATCATACCTGGACGATATGCAATACATTAATCTGCTCAACCATCTTGTACCTAGGGCATTAGCCTCCATTTACCCATAACGGTATAACCCATGGCAGGACCCATTCCGGCGCCATCCGTCCGGCACGCGGCAACAGCAGAAGGGCTCCTTGCAACGCCCGGGCCAGTACTGAAACCTCCCCCTCCTCCCACATGCACCTTGCGAGGATTCTTTTTTTCCTTGTTTTTCTTTATTCCTCCATTTCAATTTCATTCATTAATTCATTTATTTTTTATTTATGTATTTATTTTTTTGGTTCGGGCCCGTCGATTTCGAGAATGGACTCTGAAGAGGCCGCCTGCAGTGGGGCTCTGCGCGAGAAACGAACATGCTGCGCCTCCACCACTCCATCATGACGTGGTACGGGTATAGATAGGTATGCATGGGGGCCATTCTCATGAGTTGGATTAATCAAATTAATTACCTACTCAGCTAGTAAACTGGATAATTCAATTGCCAAGAGCGCAGCTCTCCGTTAGACTCTAATATATTTATTGACCCTGTGTGCTACGTCGAAGGACGATAAATGCCCCCGTCAATCTACTACTTGTAAGGAAAATATGCGCTATCATAGTCTGGATGCGGTACAACCTCTCCCGGTAGCTCGGCCCTAGCTCTTCGGAGGGTAGTAATCTAGTATAGAATAATATATATGATTCCCACTACCCAAGGTACAAATCAGAATGATAACGGTGCTAGTATGGTTGTTATTATTATGATAGGGGGGGGGTGACGTTATTTGAGCCTCTATCCTAACCCATGTCTCCCTGCCTAATCTCGATACCGTCTCATTCCACGAGACTTGAGCCCGCCCTACTTCCAAACCACGGGACAAGCATGATGGGAATCTCGGCGAACATCCCGGGCTTCAGCACGGGCAACCCGGTCTTTCAGAATCCGCAATACTACCATAGTATGTCAATGAATCGAGATGGGGACGGGGAACCGCTACCAATTGCCTGTTCCGGCCATCTCGCTACAATCTTAACATACATCATTGGCGGCCGGAAAGCAAAATGTATATTCGTTCAATACTACGCTCTCGTACGGAGTACTGTATCTGGTAGTTTCGTGGCTGGGACATCTTTTCTTTTTTGCTTTTCTTCTTCTCGCTTTTTATACATATATATTTATTTATTTAGCTGTTTATTAATATATTCATTTGTTATCTACATTTTCTTTCTTTTCTCTTTTTCTTTTTCAATTCTCTCTTGCATTCTATGGACGTATTCGATTTTCAATTTCTCTTTGGTTCGATCCACGCCATGGTCAGCCTTATACCATCTAAAGTTGACACAAAGCAATGGATGATCAGCCTCTTGCTTCGGCCGATAGTGGACAGCTCCATTCAAAAACATACGAGCGGACCAATCAGCGTACGGAGTGGGAAAACTGAATGCTGACAGCCCGCAACGGAAGCGGGTTCATAATTGGGGGGTCCCGAATCCCCACCTGGGTACTAAGGTACATACGCAGTACAGACGAAAAGAGCACAACCACCTATACTTACTACTTTTATCGGGACGTGCCATTTGCTGGCCTTAGCAGAACCCTCTACTAGACAAGGGTACCTGGAGGTACTACAGATTAAGAAATATGGAATACTAACTCCAAAAGGGGGGGGGGTATTTAGCGCGTACTAACCTGTTACATACCAACCGGCAATCGGAAAGAAGGGAAACCCGACAATCTATTATTAATACGCAACTATCCTCTATATATCTCTTCGAAGAAATGAAAAAAGGAAAAGGAAAAAAGAAATTAAATTAAAACAAAATTTCAAGGTGAGGTTGTACCTCACTCGATAGTCACTCGTATTCCGGCTAAGCCGTCACTTTTTCCTTGCGTTAGTGTGGAATTGGAAATCCCGATCCCACCCTTGGATTCGTCAAGGAAGGTTACACAAGGCGGCTCAAAGGAGGCCAATTAATTCGTCCCTTGAGACACAGAAATTCACAAATCTGTCTCTGCCAGGTGTTGAGCTTGACGCCCATATTACCGGCGAAACCCGAGTAACATTCTCGGAAGTTTTATCAAGTATTTGGCCTTGCCCCCATGTTACCATTCAAATAGAATTTATACTCTTCGACACCCTGTAGGGGCAAACACTGGGGGCTTGTCCTACTTGAACACGAAGATACGAGACATCCCTGTTGAGATGGAGATGGAGGGGGTCTTGACTATTTGGGTAATTCTCAACGAGTGGATGTTTCGTGACTGCATCATACTTTAGTGTGCATTACTAAAGTAGGTAGTAGTAATTAGATAGCTATTTGGTGAAGATTACGGGAAGGGCTAAATTTCCGGTATTCTAAAATCTAGACCCTTATGGCTTGGCGGCTCTTGTTCTCAAGCAAAGCAACCCGGATTAGGTTTTGGTCTCATACAAGATATAAGCAATCTATATAATTATATTGACAAAATAACTCCCCCCCACCCCCTCCCACCAAACCAAAAATTAATGTGGCGAATAGAAAAAAAAAGAAGAAGGAAATCGAGAGTTTCATTTATTGAAAACAGATTTGGATAGTGATATATCTATTATGAAGAATTGAGAAAAAGAGGATCTTCTTGTCCATCACGCGATAGATCGCTGGCGACAACATGATCGACCATTTCGGACATTCCCGAGCCAAGTAAAGAGGGAACTCATTTGCATTACCAAAAGTGAAATAGCAACTCTACATCAGGTGTGTGAGAGTGATCTTGAAAGCACTGGTTATGTTAGCGCTACGGACTAGTACCTATGAAGAGAATATAATCTCTAACCTTGACTGTGTGAACCTGAGATCTGAGGTAGCTTATCCGTTTTTATGAAGGACATTCATGCCGAGACTTTGTGAAGCTCAAGGGATTGATGGTAACCCAGGTAGGAACTAAACTTCATGACTCTGGGCAGATCCAAGAGTAATCTGTGATGGCGTTAGATTCCAAAGGGAAGCTTGGCTAAACCGTACTGCAATAAGGCCCAAGCATGAATCATGCTCTATCTCTGCTTTGGGCCTAAATGAGTCATCCATGAATCAGGTACTTTGATGATCTATCACGTTTACGCTATGCTGTGTATCATTGTTTGGCCATCACAGCCTTTAGACATACACTAAAATCCACACACAGAATAGTCTGTTTCATACAGGGAAGCGGAGTTGTTCCGCGAAAGAAAAAATGCTCTGCACGGATCATTACAGATTCATATCAATGAGCTTAGCGTCATTGCACACTACCCGTTGCTCATCTTGCTTTCTTTTTTTCTTTTCTTTTTAAAAACTCGGCGACGCTTATTCACTCGCATCAGAGGTATAAATCTCCAATATTGCATGGTACACGCCACTTGAGAGTCTCTTGCACGGAACCGATCATAGTACTGATGGGTTGACTCTTTCATACTCTATCCAGAATGAATACCGGCGTTGAATACGTCAAAGCCTCGCTGGCGCCATAACACGCATGAGGCTTTCCAAAAATACCTACTTATAATGTAACTCTCCATTGATGCAAACCTACCTATATTGCTCGTCTGAGCAATGCTCTCTGCATGTTAACACCCTGTCCTTACGTATTATCGTAGAGGGCAACCGGATTCAGCCTTAGAAACAGTTATTATAGTCATAACTTGACTGGCTTAGCCGCCTTACTTCTAAACAAGGTATTGTACACCCCATTGCCATATGTATATATGTGTGTGGGAGGATAGAAGAAAAGCAATGGAAAAAACTGCTGCCATACTTCGACTCATATGTCTCTCACCTTTTGAAATGGATCCCTGTCATGAAGAGACAATTCTCGAGCTGCTTCATCATGCACGCAAGATAGGAAATAGGTCAATCAATAGATCCAACTTCAAGGTCATTCTGTATTGCCTTATTCTGTATACTTGTGGATACAAAGCTGGAAATGGGTTTCACTCGGAGGAAAGTCAACACCTTAATAGCCAAATACACTACTGAAATCCTATGCTTCAAAATGGTATATCAAAGTATTAGGACATATCCACGAAGAAAGAAAGAAAATCTCTAGAGAACTTTACCTGCACAATTGGCATAACTACAATCCTGCCATATCATGTTTAGGATGAGAGCCCGAAATGAATCTCGCGGACCTACGCGACTGCAGTAAGGGGTTGTAGATGTTGGTTGGGCGTATATTATCTCTTTGACGGTTTGTCTGATATACCATGCGGTTATGTGGAAGTGTATACGTCGGATGAAAGGAACATTATATCATATCAGGCCTTGCACTCTAGATGTCTATCATGAGTCTGCGAAGACAAAAGCCAATTACAGCCAGTCAACATTCAAAGTTGAATTCCATGATTGCTCTGTGTACTGTACTCGAACGAGATCTGTACGCCAGGAAGACGGAGAAGTCGACCCGAAGACGCCTTGATGCAGTCAAAGAAAGGAGACATAATTCAATGAACATAAACAAGACATAAATGAATACTTGCTGAAGAGGGGCGTTGTGGGGATGATAGGCGAAAAGAAGACACAAAAAGAGAGGGGGGAGAGAGGAAAGCGCCAGTAGATGTGAGAGGACTGAGGACCAATGAGGTAAAAAAATTCACAAAAGTCAACACATGCGCGCTTCCATCACGTCCACACTATTTTTTTTTTTAAATAAGAGATCTGTTGCTCGTTTATACCGCCTCGGCGCCGTTAATGCTCATTTGATCAGGGTTGTACCGCCGTCTCCGCATAGGTGCCTTTTTCCTTTTTGCTATCGCTGGGTTCTGCGCTCCTCCCGCAGGAGCGGCGCCCATTTCTGTATCGCCGTCATTGTCGGCATCCCTATGAGTTGCTTCAAATCGAGCCATCTCATCGAGTTCTTCAACATTGGTGGGCTTCATCCGTAGCCATTTCATGCGTGGTCCTGTCCGAGACCTTTCAGAAACTCGGAATCCGTAAATCCGCGACTCGTAGATCTTTCCCGGTCCAAGCCCGGGGCAGAAATTGGCCGTCCGCACTCCGTTGATCTCTGTCGGTTGATGAGCAGGTGGGACATCAGGCGACACCTGGTTATTTGCGGAGGATGACCGCGGCGGCGATACGAGAGGGTTGTCTAGCCGAGGACCGACGTCCAAATCAGGGAATGTCATGAAAAACAAACATCCAAAGGTAGTCCCAAAGAAGGCACCGTCAACAGAATGGAATCGACTGTTCGGCGGCGTATACAGATCCTGGCAGCTCGGACAAAAGAGTTTCACTGTTTCTTGGCCTGGAGTATCGGATCGACCAACGGGTAGAACTTTGCATCCATTGCAGTAGACGCGGGGGCAGACGCCGAAATGCTGCATTTCGTACTTCTCCAGCATCTGCTGGATTCCTGGTCGCGAAGTGATATACCTCTGATGAATTAAACCGTAGAGCAACTCAGCAGAGCTCTCAATTACGCTCAGGTCGCTAGCCACCCGTGCGTGCCTTCGATCTCCCGCTCGCCGATATCCGGGCGGCTTTTCATCTCCCAGTATTTCATCCTCGTCTTCCTCTTCCTCCTCCTCTTCTTCTTCTTCATCATCCTCCTCTGGTTCCACATCTAGGATCATCTCCAATGCCTCCTTGTACATGGGCACCTGCGACTGCAGCCCCGTCAGATTGAAGTCATCTTCGATGAAATCCTCCGACACCTCAGCGAAGAACTCGTGGCCCATCAGGGAGCAGAAAGAGGAGATCCATGACTCCGGGGCGCCTTCCGATGACGACATATCGAACGAGTCGGACGCAGATGACGAGGGCGTTGATTCAGACAGTTGACTCAGATCCAGCCTGTCTAGGCCGTCGGCCAACGCCGAACCTGTCTCTCTCGACACGTTGCCGAGCTACCGGTAAAAAACCGTTCTGGGATGATCTCGTAAAGAGATAGGCCGCGGACAACTTGCGCCAGATGACACTGCGTTCTGGCACAAGTCGATTCGCTCGGGAATCCCCTGATACAGGAGATTAGGGGACTTACTCGGTGAGAGCAAGACTGGTGAACACTATGAGGCCAGGATCAAGCGAACGAGCCCGTCTGGAGGGTCATAACAATGCGAATTATTGTGCGATTAGGAGGTGTTGACGTGATAGCAATAAATTCCCCCACCAATGGGTCGTCTTCAGAAGATCATGGAAATTGCAGATGGGAGTCAGTACGGAGAAGAATGTCGAATACTGGTAAAGGTCTACTTTCAATGAAAGAAGTGTGTGATTAAAACTGGGAATCCCTGTATCTCCTTCCCTTCCTTGACTGTGCAGTGATTGATCGCCGCAGTCGAGGGGTTCTCCGAAATTAGGTTTCGTGGGGCGGTGGAAAAAGATGTTTGCTAGCGGTCCAGTTACGGGGGCCGTTGCGGACTAGAGGAAAGGGGAAATTTTCCCTCAACGTCGAAGGTATGGTATCACAAAACGTAGTTCATCAGTTGGGCATGGCTTCTGCTTTGATCGGGGTTCAAGAGGTTGGTGGTTGGCAAGAGAATCTCTCCAACGCTCCGACGGACGGGCAGCCATGGGAACGGTCACGTGCCCGAATCGGAGTGAGGGCAGGGCTTTGACCACTGATGCGAGAGTATGAAACAATTGTAGGAGGGAGGGATATTTTAGCGAAATATTTTATTAGGACTATATTTCTCCATTCTAAACTAGCTTGGGTGACTGTAGGGAAAGAAACTCCCCTTCATTTTACACACACACACAGACACATACATATATATACACACATGACGGAGTATATACACAAAATATCGAGTCTTAGATCTATCCATACTGTATCGTAATAATTAAAACAATTCCCTTATGGTTCGTGATAGTTCACCGTCATCTCCGAGGATACCAGAAAGGCCCTCTCCCGTGTTTTGTATTTCTCCATCGGGGCCTACAAATCCACTTAACCCGTCTTGTGTGGTGCTAGACGCGATGAAGTTGCCAAACCCTCCCACAGCCTCGAACAAGGTTGTCAGCTCATGGCTCATTTGAAGTCCATTCAATGGGCTATTCCCGAGCTCATTTACCCCATTCATAGACCCATACACCGACAGATTTTCGATTGGATGGCCGGCTAGGCCGGCCATGGCAACAGCCGCCGTGGAATGAGGGTCATTAGAATCTGACCCGAACGGGCGCACAAGCACGCCCAATCTTTCGCCAATCTTTCGAAGACCTTTGATGGCCTTCCACAGCCGCTTCGATACGTACGATTTGGTACTGAAGCCATTGACCAGGTCGAGGGCCATGTAGAACTCGTCTCGCACCTGCCTGTTGAATTCGGTCGGTGCATGGCAGACAGCGAGGAAAAGAACAGCCAGAGCGGCGACAAGGAAGTAATTGAATGTGATCTGTTGGGTGCGGTAGATGTCGGAAGTTTGATTCAACCTGGTAAGCACACGAACCGTGTCTTTGGCAACATCTACCACGGTCTGAGCATGGCCCTTGTCTTCGGCGATGCTAGCTGCTGAATGAAGGACCGGTCGGTAGATAAGAATGCGAAGCTGGTTCATACGCAAATATAACAACACACGCAGTCGTCGAAGACCCCGATTAACCGACCCCCCATGCTTTGGTGATTCGACCGGGTAGAACTTCAAGGCATCTGGGACGTGTTTGTACCACTGGAGAATTTGGTAGTCTAAATAACCGATTTCATTCCGACGTATGTCCGTTGTACCCTCTGAACCAAGCCCGGAGTACCATATTTTCGAGCTAATGCGGTTGTATGAGACCATGCACCTTAGATACGGCAGAGATGCATCCTAAATGCCTCTTAGCAGTGGGCAAGCCTAATGGGCTAGTTGCAAGCATATCTCACCGGCTCTGGTAAATTGGGATCAATGTCCTCGTCCTGAATGACGAAGGGTAGCCCAGTGCCAAGGCTCCAGCGCCTATCTAAGCTATAAGTTGCCCAGAAGATCTTGATGATCTCAGGCCACTGATCTTCATTAGGAAATGACTTGGCCAAGGCATCCCGTCGATGTAGGCCCAATTCAAGGCACATGCGAGCAGCTAATCCAATGAGACGGTATGCCATTGCATCATCGTCTGTGTGAAAATGGTACGTTGCCTATGATAAAGAATCAGTTACCAAACCCCGCGCTACGGATCAAGATTACATACCACGATGCCGAAGAGCTGAACAGTTCTGATATCCAGTGGATCCCAAATCTTGGACTCAATGACTGGCTTCACACTCAGATAGAGCCGTTGACCAAGTTCGCTCTGACCACCTCCCTCAACGACCAGCGTTGTGGCAAGGATCATCTTTATAAGGTTCGTATTGTCATCTTGGAGACCATCTGAGCCCGGTAGCGCTCGTTGCGCAAACCCAGTCCGCGTTGCAGCCTCCATGAAGGTATAAAGCAGGTTGATTTGTTGAGTCACCTTTTCAATCTCGAAGAGAGGATACATGATTCCAATTTCTTCTTCGTAGATCTGACACAGTCGCAGAGCATCTTCACGTTTGATTGCCCATATAGGATCCTTAGTAGGATGGACATGAGGTGCAAATGGAGTGACAAGGGGAGGCGAGCCAGCAGGTGTGGCATGTGCGGTGGTCAAGTCGTCTGTTATCACTTCTTCTGTTGGAGCGAGGCCCATGCTTTGAAGACTGGATCTTGCTACATTGAAATTAAAGGTAGAGCTAGTGGGGCCATGAAACCGGGGGTGCCTCATGCGTGGTTTGGCTAGCCCAGCATGCATAGGAGTAAAGACAGGCTGCGATCCATCGCGTGAAAAGTTATCGAAACTCGGTGAATCAATGGAAGATCTCTGAGAACGCAGCTCATTCAGACTACTGAATAGGCTATTGACTTGATCTTGCAGAGTAGTAATTTGATCTTTCATCGAGCGGAACTCCCTATTAACGGTAAGCAAGTATAGATTAGCAGCGTGGGTCGGAGGCATCCTTGGGGGGGGGGGGGGGCCGGCGATTCGACCAACGTACTCGGAGTCCTTGAAATTATTATTGCAGCAATTAGGGGCATATCGACCTATCGAAACATAATTCAGCATATGATACGCGCCAGTATCGCTGTCACTTGAAGTGAGTTGTTCCGTCTACTAACATTCAAGATTGAGGTGTCCACAGCGTTGACACGGTACTTGACCGTTACACTTGATCTTCCGTCGCTTGCATTCATTGCTGTAAGCACCAGCACTAGTCAGCTCCACAGCCCCAGGATTTCACGAGACAATAGATATGGCATGTTTTCAGAAGGGTTCAAGATCGGACGATGCAGATCCGGGGTCATACCATGCGATCGAGATATAGCGATTCCGCTTTGTGCGCGTGTGAGTTCCGTTGGTCTGTTCCGCTTTCCGCTTCGCACTATCACCCTCTACTGAGGCATTCTGATCCCCTGATATTGGCTGAGATGACGTTGTATCCACCGGAGTGCCCTCTGAGGCCATCTTGACTGCTTTTTAGGGTGCTAATAGCCGATGTTGAACTGAGCGATGGCAGTAACTGGTGCGGAGGGATTCCTTCCGACATTCATTCAATTGGGTGCGCGGGGTTTCCGTTTCCCCAGACTGGGCCTGACCTGAATAGGAAATGATTTGCACGACTCTCCCCTTTCAGTCACTGTCATGATCATTCTGACTTAAAAAGCTTTCATGTTAGTTCAAGCTACGTACTTTCGTATCTGACTCAGCAAATCAGTTTTTTCTTCTTTTGGGAGACGCGATTCATATACGAAAAGGGAAACCAAATTCTCCCCGATCGATCGTGTTTAGTTCTAAAAAGAAAAAAAGAAAAGAAAAGAAAAGAAAAGAAAAGAAAAGAAAAGAAAAGAAGCTGTCCCCCACCCACAATTCAACAAAGCAACATTGATCTTCTGAATGAAGGTCCCGCGATGGCTACTTCATGGTAACCAATGGATCTGGTACCGCAAATTGCCCTTTGTCGCACGATCCAACAATCCAAATACGCCATTCAGCACCCTGAACAATTCCTCTACCGCGACTCCTCCTTGCGGCTATCACCCTTTAACCCTCCTTGAAGATGCCAGCATAGAACACTTTCGAGAGAAACACTTCGTCCCTGAATTACCCGTTATCCTCCCGCGTCGTCGTTTTTGCGACCTACCGGCCTTTGAACGCTGGTTCCGATCCTCCCGATTGAATACTGCATACCTTGAGCAGCACGGTGCAGAGGCTCTTGTTCCTCTTGAACTTACCCTGCCATCTTCCGACCCAGGCGAAAATGAGGTTCGTTTTCGACAATTCCACGCACCTCTCAGTCTTTTTCTGAATTGGATGCGCACAGTAGATGGAGAGGAACCATCGCAGTTAATGCGACTGTACTTGGCGCAATGTCAGCTCTCTGATCTGCCCCAGGTGCTTCGTGACGACTTCCCAACCCCCGAACTCGTGTCTCAGACCGGTAAAGGCGATGTCTACGATACCAATGTGTGGATTGGCTATTCACCTACATACACCCCCCTTCACCGAGATCCCAACCCGAATCTGTTCGTGCAACTTGCTGGGCAAAAAACTGTGCGGTTGATTGCTCCCGACGATGGACAGGTGCTGTTTGCGTCGGTAAGAGAGCAATTAGGGAAGAGCGGGAACCGCGAAGCTGCTGCATTTCGAGGATCGGAGATGATGCAGGGGCGAGAGAGGACATTGTTGGAGAAAGAGGTTTGGGACGATAGTGGGGGGTCGGGACATAAGAGTATCGGATATGAAGCGCAGCTGGAAGCTGGTGATGGGATGTTCATCCCTAAAGGATGGTGGCATAGCATTAAGGGGGTAGGACACGGTGTCACGGCTTCGGTATGATCCTTTCTTCATCTACTTATTTCCTACTATACGTATCCTTACGCATTTATAGGTCAACTGGTGGTTCAGATAGATACCAGGAGATAGGGCTGATAATGGACCTTAGGACTGTAAAAAAGTACCACTATAACCTTGGCCTTCCAAAACTACAAACATACAAAACAGCGAGGCTGAAACTATATGTGAGATCAAGTTATATGTATACTATCGTATTTTCGAAAAGGTGAATTCTACATGTGTATACACCTTTATCAACAACGTCATACCCGTAAACGCTATAATTTAATTGTTCTAGAATCCTCCGTCAGTCCCACCAAACTACCGCCAACCCAACCCAAAATTTATTTACTCACCTCAACCACCCTCGTTATCCAGGAAATCTGAAAAGTCACAACAATAACAAAGAAAGGATATGCACAGATCTATTCTAACACGCACTACACTTTTGCATCTCATCCTAAACCCACTCCTGACAATCCCGACTCGCGCATCAACCACAGTTGCACCAGTGACAATACTCAACCAAAGACTACACCGCACACCAGTTGCCTATCCCCAGTGTCCCTCCAATCTCTACCAGGGGAAACCTTACTCTACAATGTCATCATCTGCTGAGCAAACACAACAGCAGCAACACGAAATTACCACTACCGATGCCAACACCGAAAAGAAACTAGAGCCGTACCTTGCTCTTCCCGATGCCGAGAGCGCCGATCAGACACATAAGCTTGACGTCAGTGGGGATGGATCAACGGTGAAACTAGATCATCTGGGGCCCTTGGTTGTTAACCAGGATGGGACGTTGGCGCGAATTGCGAACTGGGAGCAGATGACGGAGATCGAGAGGAGAAATACTTTGCGGGTGCTGGGGAAAAGGAATAAGTTACGGATGGAGGCGTTGAATGCTGCTGGGGGTGCAAAAGCGGAAGAAAAATAGTTTTTTTGTGTAGGGGAGTGGTAGAGAGGCCGCCGTTACTATTATAACGAAGTTATAGGTTTATGTTCTTGTTGACGGAGAGACATCCTTCCTAGTCCACATGGCCGCGTTTATATCTTAGAGATTAGGACTTCTGCATGATACACATACACAAATATAATTTTAATGGGATTTTACAACGAGGGTTGCTCAAGCGATATTGACATGCCACACCATTCAATTCGTAAGGTCATACAGCTGAACTTCTAGAACAATAGGCCACCCAAGAACATAGGCACTTACCGTATGTACATACCGACTTAACCGAAAACCCAATCAGCAAACCTCGAGAACACATTGCTATGAGAATGCTTAGCCATGCAAGGAAAAGACTAAAACAAAAATGGAAAGGGACATACCTTGCGCGCAACGGGATATAGTTTCTCTCATACTCCTCAATCTCATCGAGTCCAGTTTTGAGGTCAATTTCTTCGGGCTTCCGAAATTGGGTTTTGTGCCAAAGCTTCCATCCGACGAAAATGAGCGGGAATACTCCAATCATTGTATATGAGAAGAAAAATGTCGGAATATCCCAGTTTCCAGGTAGAAAGACGGTGTAGCCACCTACGAATGCCATGACGGTCGTACAGATCAGGGCAGTATAGGCAACGTATGGCTGACCGACACTTTGATATGGGAGTGAACTGCGAGGGACGTTTTGCGCTATGAGCGCTTTCCTGAACCGGGTATAGGAAAACGTAACAACCGAGAAATTAATCAACTGTGAGGCAGTGACCTAAAACAAGGGTTGGTAAATTGTTTTGTGTTGAGATCGCAAAAATAACCTACCAAATTGACGAACCATTGAAGCACGACTGCTGCGCTGTTAGAGACTTGCAAGAAGGCAAGCAGCGCAATCAGCAAGACGAGTCCCACACAGTATATGGGAACACCATTTTTGGTGCATTTCCTGAAAAGCTTCGGTGCTTTGTTGTCCAGCGCAAGACCATACAAGCATCTACTGGCGCAATAAACATAGCTATTTCCGGCACTGAAGGCGGCCCCGAGGACCATGGTATTGACAATATGGGGTAGGACTGGAATGCCCAGTCTGTCCATCGCAATGACATATGGCGATGCGGCTGCGCCAGGTAGATCATTTTCGAAAGCATTGACCATAGTCGGGTCATTGTAAGGGACCAAAATACCCACGCATAATGCTCCCAGCATGAAGAACGACGTGAGTCGGTAGAAGACGCCATTATATGCTTTGGGCAAAACTTTTCGCGGGTTTTCCGTTTCTCCCGCAGCCATTGACACATAATCAGGGCCGGCAATAGTAAAACTGGCCTGGATCAAGCAAGCAAGGAATCCCATCCATCGTCCTAGATCCCCTGTTTCATAGAATTCTGCAAACGAGCCAGGGCTTTTCCAGTAGCGAAATCCGAATCGGTCATTCTGGGGGTTGCCGCCCAGCATCGCAATGAATGTGAAAAAGATCAAGCCTATACTAAGTAGAACTTTCCCTAAGGCAAGCCAGAACTCAGATTCGCCATAGTAGTTTACGGCGAAGACATTCAGAAGTCTAGTCTCACAAGTTAGAAGAGAGACATCATGAGGTTTCCCATCACTATACAGGGAATGACATACATAAACAGCACAAGCACGATAAATATGATTGCAACCGTTGGGACCGCATCGCTCCAGTAGGTGATAATTATATTGCACGCGGTGATTTCGAATGGCACCATAGCAGCTTCAAAGATGAAAAAATTCCAGCCGGCTGCTACCCCAAAGGCTTCGTCGACATAGCGGCCAGCGAAATGGATAAAAGGAGAGGAGACGGGAAGGTATGTAACCATCTCGGCCAAACCTAGGAGTCCTTGCTTTTCAGTAAACGCTACATAATAGAGGGCACGAAAGGGGAAAAGCGCATCAGGCAAGACCAGGATAGCCGCAATGGGGGGATAGAAATGTGAAAACTGGTGGGACTTGATGGAATCACTGGAAGATTTGGCGCTTTTGGAGATATATTCGTAGCAATCCGCCAAGAAGGCTGCTTTGGGAAGGAGATGCTGCTGACGGCAATATTGGAGAGATGCAGGGGTTTCGTACAAACAGTTATGGCTAGAATGACAGCGCACCTAGAAGAAATGAATAAGACTCCACGACCTCAGATAAAGTAGCAAAAGGGATACGGGTAAAAAAGAACGCAGGGCCTGGACTCTGTCTGTCTCTTGACAACGCGAGGTGCATATCGTAATGACTAGTGCTGGAGTGGTGTGTACTATGCTTTCTTATATTTTTTGGCTCTTCTTCTTTTGCTGGTCATTTGAATTTCAATCGAGAAGTAGCATTGATTTTCCTCCCTACCCGTATAGACTCACCCATAATCAAGGTTGCTTGAGACACAGCGACCCGAATCCAGATAAAACCATGACGAGAGGGAGAAAAGTACATCAACAGGGTCACGGATACTAACCATATAGTAAATGCCACAAACAAACTGGCAGGACCACCACGAAGCAGACTTTTACCAATCTGGACATAAAGCGCCGTGCCGATTGTGCCTCCAATACCGATCAACTGGATATGTCGGGCCTTGAGATATCGATGCGTGCCATCTTTGGTGAGCATGTTGGATCCGGCACCGAGTGACTCTTCACTGTGGTTCGTCGCGGAGCCCTTTTCGGGGACATCCATTGAAGCACCCGTCCGCTTCGTCAGTTTATCTGCCGTTAATGAGGAGGAAGGTTCTCCATGGCGGATGGAATTTGCGACGGGTTCCCGGGCACGTTCAAGATCTGAATTGGAATTGACCATAGCCAATCGCTACTGACAATGCGAATGGACAATATTCACTCGTGCTATATATGATGTTAAGCGAGAATAATAAAACGCAGATTGGAAAAGACGAAGAAAAAAGAGGGAGAAGCACAATATTAAATAAGGAAAGTAGTAGGAGTGCGTGAGAATTTTGCAAACTAGAACCGATCCAAAGGTAATATTAGTAGTATCACCGTAGTACCAACCCCATCCTTGTGGGAGTGGGAAAGAAAATGAAGAGGGAAAAATAAAGGGTCAATATCAAGTAGACCAATAAGATCCATCCATACAGTATTTTAGAGTAGTAGTGAAAGAGTAAGGCTTTAGTGAACAAATTACCGTACAGGGAAGATATCCAAGAACCTCACCTATGGAGCACCCCCATTTCAGAAGATCCCCACAATAGCGGATAGAGGCGCACCGTCCGAGGTTATTGAGAATCCCGAAGAAAGCCAATGCTCAGGCACTCTTTTGCCGGTTGCAGGTGTGTGAGCCATCAGCCTTTTGCGTCGATTGTTCGAATCAGGGGCATGATTTCGTGGCTACCAAACTTTCGAGTAAGGTATCCTATGCCTCTCTCAGTGTGCCAATTGGTAGGAGAGACTATAAGTCCAACTCAAAAACGATATACGGAAGTGGAAAAGTTGTCCCACCGCGACGAAGTTAAACCTCTTTTGGTCTCTTGGAATGCAACCTGCGTGGGGCGTATGGCTGACTGCTCTAAGGTGCCATTGAATTTTCAAGCTCAAAGAAATGGTTGGAATAAGGTAATTAAGTACAAATAGGTAGTAGTAGTAGTGCAGTGGTAGACTTTAGAACAGAATTTTTTCCGTTCAGTTCATTATTCTTTTTATTTTTAAAAATTTCGTGTAAAATACCAGGGAAAATACCTATGCTAGACTAACGGAGTATGCCTAGGTACCGTACCGTACCTCTAACTAAGCTATCAGCAGAAGCTCCACTTCGCTTGCATACGTTAGTGTCTGGTCATGCATTCACGTGAATCCAAGTAGACAACTGTGTGTACATACATATGTACCTCTACTCAACTACTTCTACAAACCGGTGAACAAGTACAGGCTTATTATTACTTCAAATGCCATTATTATCAACAATAATTCAAAGCTTCTGTACACACTGGATGATCTTTGTTGTGACACCCTAGCGTCATTTACACGCACTCTCCGGATCTACACTGTCCTTGGGGTAATTTATCAGTCACCACACAAAATGTGACAGGACATTGTCAAACTTCCAAATAATGAACCAACAATAGTCCCAGATGCTTATTTCTCAGGGGCTCGCGGTTGTTCCATGACGGACAGCCTCGGACTTTGTCTATCACCTTGCGTAGGTGGTTTCTGGCCTAGTTCTCCTGGAGGGAAAAAGCAATCGTTGTCTTCAAAGTGAAGATAATGTGACATATCAGACTCGGTGGAATTCGAACCACGGGTCTCTCGGCGGTTTTCAGGAGCAATCTGGCTTAGAGGGACCGCGTTCAGAGCGGGCAGGTTCCCTCGAGGTTCGTGCAGTGATGACATCTTCAACAAACACCGTTTTGCAGTAGCTCAAGCTTGACTAGATGATGGTTGAAGATAGAGAATATGTATGTATGTATGTATGTGTGTATGTGTGTATGTTTATAATGTTGGTATCATTTAAACCCCATGGGTCTTAAAGCTCATTCGGCTGGAGGTTGTGGCGGTTGACGTCAGTTCACAGTACCACGCGACAGTGAGACACTTTAAGCATTGACCGATTGATTGATTGAATCTAACTAGATGATTATCCATAGAGGCATTTCAACACTATGTATAATGGGGGAGTTTTACCTCTACAATGACTGAATAGTCCAATTTCACCAAGGAGGATTGTATGGCAAACTATCGTGAACATAGCACCAAAGGTAGACCCACGCTTGTGTCGGCTTTTTTGGAATTCCCCGCCTAGCAGCCCCGCGCTCTATGTCGGCCCGAATTCCATAAATCAACTTTCCGACACCAAAACCCATACCAGCTTCTTATCCAGTTTCCAATTCGGATTGGAAGAGACTAATTTCTCTCGAAAAAAGTTATCAAAATGTCTGAACGGTTCAACCCTAAGGTTCCCGTTCAACTCGATCCACCCAAGGATGACCCTATCACCGTGGAGGAGTTGTCCAAATGCAACGGTACGTGAGAGTTCTACCACCTCCCCTCTGAGAGATAACGCGCTGACCGGTGCTAATTCCATCATCAGGTGCGGATCCTGACCGTCCGACATTGGTGGCTATCAAGGGTATCGTTTTCGACGTAACCAGAAACCCAGCTTACGGCCCTGGCGGTTCCTATCGAGGTAGCTTATCCGTTCCCCAGTTCTATCGTTGAGATCCGTCCTACGTTTCCTCCTTTTTATGAATATACGTTGATGATTGTTGCAGTATTTGCGGGGAAAGATCCTTCTCGGGCTCTCGCCTGTTCATCTCTGAAGCCTGAGGATTGCAGACCTGACTGGTATGATCTCGAAGATAAGGAGAAGACGGTTCTGGATGAATGGTTCACGTTCTTCAGCAAGCGCTATAATGTCGTTGGAAAGGTGAAAGACGCTACAAACCACTGAGATAGAAGTCGGGGAGGGAGTTCGCAGGTGGGCGATCATTATATTTAGGAATAGGTACTATACCCATGGAATTGAGCTATTTTCATTTCGTATGTTTTTTGGAGCATCGCAGATGCTTTTCGTTTCACTTACGGTGGCAGTCCATGTCTATAACTCGAGCAGAAATAATTACAAACAAATGCTTGTGTACAAAATTAGCCAGGTATAACTTTTAGGCGCCCAACTATGCCTTTCCCTTCCGGGTCCTCCGCTGCATTCTCTTCTTCGCGATGATGCGATTGCGTTTAGCAATCTTGTTTTGTTCTTCCGTATCGGCCCCGTCCTGCCCTTTATCGCTATTGCTCTCGGAACGCTTTCGCTTCCTGTCATTTGGTGATCCTTTATTCTGTGATTCGCCATTTTTCGCCGAGTCCTGCTTGTGTTGGCCGTCTTTCCTGGAATTCATCTTTTCTTGTTGCTCCTTGCGGCGTTTAATAACATTGGCGTTTTCAAGAGCGAATTCAACGATGAGCCGTTTCTTCTTGTCCTTAGCATCATCGGACCCGGTCGCGGGGGCTTCAACAGCGTGGCAGTTAAGCCACCTGAGACCCATCAACGCATGTCGATGGGTAAAGTACTCGACGAAACCATAACCTCGGCTTCTTCCGGCGCCACTATCCTCCTCAACCTTGCTACCATCCCGTCCTTCAAAAACAATCTTAGCTTGTCTTACAACTCCGAGGCCTTTCCTCTTTCTCAGCTGCTCGGCTTCCTTCATTTCTTCAGAGGCACGCTGTAACTCATCCTTGGATAGAGGTTGGCGCAACCCAGCAGAAACATCCTGCGCAAAACCGACAACGGCTTGCCGAGCGAGCTGTTTCAAGTCCTTCGATGTAACATGACGGGGGACATTCCGAACGGACAGTCGCGTCAGACTAAGATGAAGCGTCGGGTTCTTCTTGATGAAACTTTGTCGTTGTTTAAAGCTGTCTTCTCTCATCTTAATCTCAGACGGCGAGAGCTTCTTGTACAAGGGGGAATCCGATGGGATAGTTCCCTCTGACAGAAGATACAGACGGCGCTTATCAGTATCGCGAACAAGGCGTCGTGACATTCCTTCCTCTGCGAGTTGCGTAGCTCGTGATTTGCTCACGGCACGGGAAACTTGTAGCACACGGCTATCTAGCGTATAACGTCCAGTCGGATCAGCGTTCTCGTTTTGCAGGACCGAGTGTTTGAGTGCAATGGAGCCCTTCTTCGCTTTTTCCTTCTCCGCAGCAATGGTATCTTCTTGTTTTGGAGAATCGCGCACACACGACACTGCATTCTCAACTTTCCAGAAACAAACAAATCCTGTACCGCGGGGGCGTTCGGTTTCCGGATCGACAACAATGCGTGCATAGCGCAAGGGTCCAAACTGAGTAAAATGTTCATAGAGTGCCTCATCTGTACATGTAAATGGAAGGTTCCGAATAAAGACGGTGGCCGCAGTTCTTTCGTCCTCCTTTTCCTCGCCTTTTTCTCCCTCATCCTTCTCATCACTCTGATCTATGTCATCCATATCCTCCTCGTCTTCGGAGAGATTCTCACTATCCTCTTCAGAGCTAGCGTCGAGGTCCTCTGCCATTTCAACATCACTTGGTTCCTCCTCCTCTTCGTCTTTCTGCTCTTGAATATCTTGCTGTGTATTCTCCCAAACATCCTTGTCCACAGCCCAGTCGACAGCTAGGGTTCTCCCATCCACCTCCTTCCCATTAACAGTTTCCAGCGCCTTCTCGGCGTTTTTCTTCCCTCTCAAAACCACAAAACCGAATCCTGCGAGTTTATTCCCCTTCTTTGGAAGATTGATATGCTTGATTTTCCCGAAACTTCTAAAGTGGACCGCAAGATCATCAGGTTCCTTGATGCTCCAAGGCAGGTTGCGAACGATCAGTTTGGGTGGCTGAGCGGTCACCCTCTCTTGTTCTCTCTGTCTTTTAAGTTCAAGAGAAGTAGATGACGGTACGCTCTTTCCCGCAGTCTCATCGATTGTACGGTGACGGGGTTGAGCGTAATCGACTTTGATCTTTTTCCCATCGAAAGTGGTACCGTTGAACTCTTCCAGAGCGGCTTTCGCATCGTCAACATCAGCGAACGTCACAAAACCGTACCCCTTGGACTGCTTTGTCTCGGAATCATTCACGACCAACGCGTGTTTAAGAACATAGGATTGCGAAAAATGTTCCGCCAACTTCTCAGTCGTAGCTGAGGCGGGAAGAGATCGAACGAACAGAGTTCTCCTAGGTTTGTTGGAGACCGTTTCTTCCTGAGCCGTATCATGTTTTGCAGCATCCATGGCAGCTTCAACCTCTTCGGGATTCCCACTGCCTTCCGGGAGGGGTTTATTGTCGGTTTCGTTATTTCCAGCCATCGCTACAGTCTGAATTGCAGGATGGGGTTTTTTTTTTCTCTTCAAAATCAGCGGCAGAAAATTCCCGGCGTCCGTTGTAGAGATAAATAAGTGGGTCTAGGCGGTGAATGGAGCTCGGGTCAATTACTGATTAGATAGGAGCTATCTGTTCCCTTCTCATGAACTTTCCAAAAGTTCCTAGGAATTCGAGTCTATGGCCGATGATACCGGAGTTGGCTCTCCTTCACATGTGGAAGGGAGCACTACTTCCAGATTCACAGAGGCTTCTGCGTCTAGGCCAACTCCTACACGACCACTGCCATCAAAAGTCCAGCAGCCAAAACCGCAGGCGCTCCCAACCAGAAGTGCCCTCTCAGCGATCCTTGTTTCGACAAGACAAAAGGGCAATCCAATACTAAATCATATCAAGCTTTTGCCTTGGGAATATGCCGATATCCCGGCCGACTATGTGGTTGGAAGTACTACCTGCGCCCTCTTTCTCTCCTTGAAGTACCACCGGTTACACCCTGAATATATCTATTCTCGAATTCGACTCCTAGCTGGGAAATATCTGCTTCGTATTTTATTAATTATGGTAGATATCCCAAACCATGAGGATAGCTTGAAGGAACTATCCAAGACTTCGATTATCAACAATCTTACCCTGGTTCTTTGTTGGTCCGCTCCTGAAGCTGCGCATTATCTAGAGTTGTTCAAGTCTTCTGAAAACGCTCAGCCGACTGCAATACGCACTCAGCAAGCACAGTCGTATAAGGAATCACTTATTGAGTTTGTCACTGCGCCCAGAAGCATCAATAAGTCCGATACGGCAAGCCTCATCTCCACCTTTGGAACTCTACAAAATGCTATCAACGCACAGCCAGAGCAGATCAGCGCTGTACCTGGCTGGGGTGAAAAGAAGGTTCAACAATGGTGTAATGCGGTAAGAGAAGACTTTAGAGTTGAAACATCGAGAAAAGCAGCGGCATCTGCGAAGAACATAACCAGTCAACGCGAAATCGTGTCGGAGAGTCGGGCCAATGAGACGTCAAGTCCATTGGATGCGCATGAGGAGGGTGAAGAGGCAATGCTAGCAGTAGAGGCAGAAGGCGCTCGTGCAGGGTTTCACGAAGATCCAGAAAAAATGGCTCAGGAGGAAGGAATGAGTGACGGTATAATGGCAGCTCTAGCCGAACTAAGAAAAGCCGGTGGGTGAATGAAATTGCCTTCATTACTGGGAGGAAATAAAAGAAAGAAAAATAAAAACCAGCACTTTACTCCACACGTTACAGTGAGTGTGCTTTGCTTGCATTGTGTGAATCGGCTTAAAGACAAAGCGATCTAGATTCAGCCGTGATGGATACTGCACTTAGGGCCACGCCTGTAGCGGGCTGGCGTGTCTCCAAGGACTGGACAATAGCATCAATCGCGTTGAAACTTGGTAGGATGTCGAGTTGATGAGATTGTGCCATGACTAAACTCGGCTAAATCACTATCATTGTGCGCCATATTTTTCTTCTATTAATTTTGGGTATTGACAAGATATTCAGAAACCACAAGGGCTTTTTTCCCTTTATGATTTTATATTTATTTTTATCTGTGTAACGGAATAGCACTATATTTTGTGATACTTCTTGAGACTTAGTGTTTCTTTCCTTTCCTTTCCTTTTTCTATCTTTATCTTTCCAATTTTTTATTGGTTGCTGCATATAAGGTAATCCAGTGAACCAGTTATATATACAAGAGTGCGATTCCCCAAAGCTCTAGAGCGGATGAGAGCTGATTTCCCCATGGGGGAGGAGGCGGAACTGATTCCTTCGCCATGTGGAGCTCATTTCTTAGGCTAATATCAAGCAACACAGTGAGTGAGATCCTCATAATTCGTGACATTCATCCTCTCATACGTGCGATCTTCAGTTTATATTTCAGCATAGGCGCTGTGCCCTAAAATCCTAGCTACAGATAAAGCTCTGATTTCCCGCAAATGATAACTCACTACTACCTGCTGAGTCAGATGCAAAGATGGATCACGTGGGGGACAATGCGGTGGGGCAACCCACCGAAAGGGGAAATCGGGAAGACGGCAAACATTGGAGTTTCGGTTCCAACACGGCAACTCTTGATATGCACCAGGATCTTGGATGCCGGCCCTAGTGATCTCAGCGTGGGATGAAGGTTTCTTACTTATCCGATTCACGAACGGCGTTCCCCCCCCACCGGCAAGCTGTTCTCCACTCAACTGCCTGCAACACACGGCTTGAGCTGTACTGCCATTCTACTTTAGCCGGCCAAGCCCGGATCATGAGATGATGGGGGAGGAGGGTGCTAAGGACTCTGGGCCAGGAACAAAGTCCGATGTCAACTTCCAAGATCTGGATGGTACCAGTCCTGCGGGCCAACACACACCTCAGCTTGCTAGTAATCATGCGAGCAAGGGGGCCGGACCATCCAGGAACAACCAATCCTTCAGGTCTAGTCCGCAGGCCCCCCAGTCCAGAAACTTCGAGTTTGTCCTAGTTACGGATAACGAGTCCCGGCGTCAGGTACGCCGTCATGCTATGCGCCAGTATATGCATCAGCGACGCTTGGACAGCATTGCTCGCCTAGGGGCATCTCGTATACCTGTTGGCGGCTGGACCACCCGCCCTCCCTCCGATTCTCATGCTTCGGACACTTCTTCACGCGTAGAAGAAGTCCAGGAGGAAGAGCCTGCCAATCTCAAAGCAGAGTCTCCGCCTAAAACTGAGGAACAACCTACCCCAGCGCATTCTAGAAGACCCTCACGGTTGTTAATACCCAAATTACACAAAGTTAAACGCGAGGAGGAGACGTCTCCCCCAGTTACTGCGTACAAACCGTCTGACCCTCGAGCTTCTCCCGGGGAAGGAGGCAAGATAGATCCCTTTAGCTCTTATCCCATCTCCGTGGGCCGCGTGGACCATGAATTAATACAGCATTGTAAGTCCCAACCTTCCCCACCCTTAGAGTTGCCTAATAGACTTGGTATGAACTGAGAGTAGTCGAAACCGTACATGTCTAAACCCTTCAAGGGACTCATTTTTATAGCTTGGCAAGGAGCTTACATTTTGAAGTTGTGGTAACTTATCCTTCCATGATGTACAAATTTGCGGAGTCCATTGCGAACAATCCAATGATGGAGATATTCCGGCAATTCGCACTACACGACGAACTTCCTTTTCAAGCCATGCTCGCTATCGCCTCGAAGCATCGCGCAGGCGTAGATGGCAGGGTAGAATCTGTTCAGAGCCTCACTCACAAAATGCGAGCGCTGCGACTGATGAATGAGCGCATCCAATCAGACTCGAAGGGCCAGCATGATGGTACTATCTACGCCGTGGCCACTATGGCCGTTATTGAGGTAGGTTTTCCCCATTAAAGTCTTTTCAAGTAACTGACAACGTGGAGAAATGGTCAAAGGATGCTTCAATAGAACGGATGCACTTTAAGGGGCTGGCATCGATGGTTAGAAATCGAGGGGGCATGCACGGCATGCGGGCCTCAAGCCCTTTCCTGGAGAAAGTCTTATACTGGTATTTTTAATGGCATCTCTCAAACCCTACCTTGATGCAATCATCGACTGACTCCATTCAGGGTTGACTTCAGTTGCGCCCCAAAGGCGATATATGGCACATCACTACCTTGGTCCGGTAATGTACCAGACGTTTCACCCGTTGGACTCGACTTTATCGACCCTGAAATTCACCTTGCCATTCCTCATCATTCACCTCATCATTTCGCTGCGGAAGAAGGTGCAGAGAGTCTCTGCGACCAACTCCGAGCATGTGAGGATTTCTTGAGGTTTTTTCGCCGTCTTCATGAGCTGGAATACACTGCACTTGAATCTCCTTCTATCGTGGTATCTGAAAATACTCGTCAACAAAGCAAGCGCTTCGGTCCCGGCACACAGTTATATTCGATTCTCACCATGCTCCCAGATTACGACCATGGGATCCGGGATGTAAGGTTCATTGACGAATTCACATGCATGACATGTCTCTTCTTCCTCGCTACCGCATTGTACGACTGTTATTTAAACTCCTCCAATTTTGACCGGTACCTTGACTGGCTCGGCCTGGAGATAAAAAAGCTTAACCCGTATACGAACCCTAGCATTACCTCCGTGCTCTGGTTTTTCCTAAACAACGGTGGCTATCCAACAGGCCATGCTAGCGATGCAGGAGAGAGATGCTGGGTCGTCTCCCGAATGATTCGCATTGCCAAACGCCTCGAATGGAAATGCAACGGGACCATCTGGGACCGTCTCCGGCAGGTTCTGATAGACTTCATACTAACACAACAAGAATGTGCCCTTGGGACAGATCAAGTCACCGAAGAAGCCCTAGTGGCCCGACAGCAGAAACGCCGGCGATCGGCCGGATATCTCTGGAACGAGGACGAAATGCGCGGATATATTCTGGATATTAATCTCGCATCTTTCACGCCATATTCAGATACAAATGTACCCGTTCTTACATGACAAGCAAGGCTAAAGCTGAACTGTAGTGTTTTTGCGATACAGCCATTGCATGATAATAATGATGATGACGAGTATGATCCCAATGATAGATATTATGAGACAACTGTCCTGTACTGTGGATGATGCAGCTTATCCTTTCTTTCTCTCTCCAGAGGCCTTGGACCTTATTTTCTCCACCCTTCTTTTCCAGCATGGACTTTTCAGAATGATACACTTACGTCGTCTTAAACGACTTGAATATAGCTTAATTATATACCTACAATGTACTGTATCAAGAGTGATCAAATTACGAGCGGAAAAGTTAATTCAGATTTTAGTTTAACTGCACCTTAATCAGTTTGCAATCCTTTTTTGACGAGCCGCCGGAAGCAAGGGTGCCCTAAGGGATATTAATCGTCCTAACAATATAGCCATAGACCTTGAACACATGAAGGCCGACTCTTCATGAGAAAACCAGTCGATTTATAAACATCCTATGGCAATTTACGAGGCATAGCCCAGCGTGGACGGACCTATAATATTAAAAAGACGTCAATCACCGATTACTAGGCGTAAGTATCTAGAGATCTGGCCGCTTACTTTTCCCTGGCCATCCTTTGCCATTACTCCGCCTTTAGGGTCAAATACCAGGAAGATTGCAAGCTTAAGGCCTGGAACAAGGAATTTTTGAACGAATCCTAGGTTGATTAGCAAGTCTCACCCGCTGGCCACACTATGTGGGTAAAAGAGGGATGAGGACTGGTCTAACTGATCCACTGCCGAAGATCATGGGGCCGTCTAGATACATATTTGCGAACGAAACCAAAAATGAGCACTAGTTCCTTCCATCTAGTTGGGTTGTGGTAACACAAACAACGATAAAGGAGGGTCTCAACTGTTAAGGTACCTCTGATTACAATGGGATATGCAGGCCAGTCCAAGGAAAAAACCAAGATCATAACTGCAAACTGAGTACTAGTTGCACCTCACTCGAAGGCGAAGCTAGTGAAATTGTTAGTCAAGGATGTCACTTCTCGAGTCATGTAAAAAGGAAGAGCAATCATAAGTTTGACATTGTGTAGCTTAAAGCTATCATCATCTTGGATTGAAGAATGAGCCGTAGCATTGTATAGTAATCTTACAATCAGGGCACCTCCGGTGTCACGGGATTTAAGAATGGAGAGATTACTCCATACCGTACCATAGTAAGCCGCCTGTTTGTATACAATCACCTCCAGGGCAAACCTTTACTGTATGAAAAGGTCACTAAGGAAGATCCAGTTCACATAGTTTCATGCGTACATACATTCACGCGTGTCAATATCATAAGAGATCTGTTGAAATCAATCAGTGGGTATTGCATTGCACTCTAATCATTAATAACAAGGACGAATCCACATATCCGAAAATCAACCTTCCAAACATCATCCGTGGAACTAACGTAACTCAATAGCATGCGGGCAGGGTTAATTGTAAATAAAGTCCAGAGAATGCAACCCATAAACGGTAGACCATCCTCGTTCGTGCCTTACTATACGTTCAACCCAATCCATGGTATCATTCGTAAGAATAGAAATTGCTGATGAAAAATTTTGGGGAGGAGGGCTCATGGTGGGCCAGTGCAAAACGTGTCTTTGTTCTCTTTTTGTAAAAGCTGGCTAAGTCGTTTATATCTGCATCGTTGCATATCCATTCCATGATAACGTTAAAAGAAAATACGAGAAACTGAAGCGTGGCGAAACTAAGTTGGCTTATCGCATCCGATCCGCCCTAGCAGTGCCTTGCGATCGCTTTGCTCACCAAGCCGCACTCGTCCGCGCGCGCGAGGACGTGCGGTGGATGATCCGTTCGATCGGCGCCATTCAGCGTTGGTGCCATCAGCGTTAGCTGCACTTCCATTAGGGCCATCCTTGCTCAAGGTTCTCTTTTCCACTTCTTCGTCCTCATCATCGCTGCGAGTGTCCTCTGCATTTCCGGTACGGAGGACACCTACCGCCACACGGATGACCATGGCGAACCAGATGATGGACAGCACTTGAAGGGAGAGAAGGAGGGACAGGAAGATCCATTTGATGGTGCGGTTCATACAGATGGGGCCGTCGATATTCAGGAATGGATAGAAAATATGAGCCATTTGATCGGGATACCCATCGGTCGAGATAATTTCGGCCGTAGTGCCCGAATAACAACCGTACGACATCCTCGCAGGGACGTCCTTGAAGATAGACCAGCACAGCTGGGGGTAAAATATATGACGTGTGATTAACCATGTGACCATGAGACCCCCGAACGCGACGTTGCAAGCCAGCTCAAAACCAAAGTACTTCAATATCTTCGCCGTCTATGTATCAAGTCAGTTTACCGAATTGACACCGAATGGTCATACAATCAAAACATACCGGCAACAAGAGATCCACGATATCCATCAGGCATAGCACCACATTGGAGACGTTATAAAAGCCATATATATATGCCGAGGCTAAGAGGGTACTCGTGATGACGTGATGAGTGAACATCTGATAGTGGTCCTTTCTCCGCTCCTCAATATTGATAACGAAAATCTGCTGCAGCCAGAATGAGAGCTGCGCTAGAAGATACCATTTGAGCGAGGCTGAAACGCCCCGGGCGGGCCACTCATCCCAGATGGCACTAAAATCCATCCAGTGATTGGAGTTCGACCAAATGTACTAGACCGGCAGTCAGCATCCGGACCAAGTACAGAAATAGTGGAGTTATACGAACCATGCCAAAAGTCCAAAAGAAGGCATAGTATAACCACATCCAGCCTTGTTCCGCAAATCGTGTTGCAGCTTTTCGCTTCAGTCCTGCATGTATCGCAATCGGTCGAAGAACCCAGTCAATTGAAATGGCCCGGATGGCCGTGAAGGCGATCGCGGAACTGGCTACAAAGTAAATATCGTCCCATCCCTGAATGTAAACGCCTTGGGAAGATTGGTAGTAGGATAGCTGGAAGAACGGCGTGGTGTAAGGCCTCAGAGAAGGGTAGAGATGGTGCACGGCCAACAGCATGGAAAGGGTTGTCAATGAGATTCCTGTGCATCAACCGACCGTTAGCACATGCAATGCCATTGTGCATCATCATCCCAGGTATTCCATGCTTCTAAAGGAGACAACGACCAGGACCAATAAGCAATCCCATCATCATGCGTACCGATTTGATTGTCAACCACCCATTCTCGGAAAGTGGTTTCTTTCACGGTAGGGCGGTGGCCCGTTGAAACACAGGCATTGAGCTCCGTGACCGATTGAGGCGGCGCTTCTTTAGCCATAACGAGAGAAGACTCGAGTGTTAGAGGATCAAAGGTCCCGAGATGCCTAGCAAGAACGAAAACTGTTCTGTACCAATGGCGGAACCAACAAAGAGGAAAATGCGAGGACAAGGCAAGACAAGACAGGGTAGAGAGCGGGCGAAAGTGGTTCCCGGCCACGGTTCCGTAGCGCGGCGGGTTAAAACAGTTTAGGTAGTTTAGTTAGTAGTTGCTCTTCTCTTTATGTTTGGTTTGGAGTATTGCCTGAACTCTCAGGCAGAGATCAAGGGACCGCGTCGGATATAGTATCCCTTGATACTTGATCGATATATGTATATATATCCCAGAAAAGAAAAGAAAAAGGGTTTCTACTTTCTAGTTCTAAAATGAGGGAGGGAAAAACGAAGGTCATCAAGAAAAAAGGATCAAACATTTTTCCAAAATCAAAAAATTACAGTTCTTAAAAATTAAAAGAAAAGGGAGATGAGGGGAGTGTTTCACAAAGAGGAACAGGGCCCACAGCCAGTTACGTATGCAGTACTTGGGATTACTCTGGCTCTTCCACAGCAAGTGGTAGTACCAGGGATGTACCACAGTGCTACCACCACCAATGGCCCAAAGAGGGTTCACCGCCTAGGTCAGAGGGTTAAGGTTCCCAACCTCCGCATTGCTCTCCCCAATCGCGGTGGTCAATCTTTTCACACGCTTGTTTTAGAGGCTATCCCACACCTACCACTTGGGTCATCTGGTTTCCTACTAATATCAAATGGACCCTTGAGGATCATCGAGGGGACTATCAATTGGAGGTTAGGGTTTTTAAGAGTAGTGCACTAAGAGAAATCGCCTGACCCTTCTTCAAGGATGATGCTTTGTTCCCAGTTAAGGCTCGATAAGCCATCAGAGATAAACCCATTTTTTTCTTTTCTTTTTTAATTTTTCTTTTTTTCTTGTGGGTATGTGTATGTTTGGTTTTACACTCCATACACTGCGGAATAAACTTACGGCAACTTGGCTATGGATTATCATACTATACATATTATGACACATAAAAGAGCAACAAATACTATGACTCGCGGAGTTCAGCGTCATTATCCAAGCCTGCCGTCACTCCATTCACATACTCTGCCGCACTAATCCCTAATTTAGCCAAATCCACTCCGCCTTGACCTGCCATCGCCTGTGACATAGCTCGCACCACTTCTTCTTCCTCCCAGACATTGGCCGATAGGTCCCCACCGTCAACTTTGGCGGAGTCCGCAACCACTGTCCGCCAATATGCATCATCTCGGTCCTTCAACACTTTGTCCCTGACAACAGCGTTGCGGGCCACATTCACCGCGTGGAGCTTCGCAGTGGCTCCTGACAGAGCCGACAGTGATGAGCCCACTAATTGGTCCACTTGCTCCGCTTGAGAGGGGGGAGTAAAAAAGAAGCGATTAGTGGCCGTCACATAAATCAAGAAAGCGCAGATGCCGTCGAATATTGCGAACGCTAAGGGCCGCAACAGGGTAATCTGATGGTACAAGCTGGGCGGGGGACTGACTCCAGCTCGAACAGCAGCAGATGCGGACTGCACTGGATCGTAGGTGGAGACGATATAAGTATCTAGAGAAGCGAGCGCCAGACCGGCCATCGTGAACTTGTTGCGCCAGCTTGCCGCCTCTCGACCTGCGAACGGGGCTGAGGTGACCAAGCCCACTATAACCATGTGGAAGAGATGTGGGAGCAGCGTGTGGAAAGGAAGGTAGTACAAGAGGTAGGTGTTGATGTTCTCAAGCGAGCAGAACTGACATCCTGTCAACGTTTCGGGCCCAAATCGTAGATACACCTTTCTAGCCCCCAGAGACGTGAACTTTGACCGTAGTAACGTGTCTGTATCCGTCAGAGCGTTCTCTAGTCTATGACGCGCCAGTCGATTAAAGACAATGTCTGTTGGGGTGTTAAGGCGGGAACGAGTCAGAACGAAGATATTTGGACTCGGCGCATGAGGATTAACAGGGAGGCTAAGGAGGAAGAAGAAAAGAGTGGCAAAGAAGAGGACATTCAAGGCACGCGATGCATTCGGAGGAAGCGCTCGAGATGCCGGGCGCGATGCTAATGCGACTCGTGTGCTCCGGTAGAAGTTGATAATCCGAGGTACAATGATCGGGGCGAAGAAGATCAAGAGAGATTTGATGCTGTAATAAGCCAGTCAATTTTGTCTCGAAAATGTAACAAAGAATAAATCCAGCCACAAATTTCCAACTGTTTGGGAGTGAATACATACGTTCCAAACGAGATCCCGAGTTCGACCATCTTTCCAGTATGCCGTATAGCGCGCCGTCCGGCGACAATTCAAAAGGAGGAGTAATGGCAGATGAAGCTCAGGTGTCATGAAAAGCATCTTATCTGTCTAGTGCCAAGAGGCGGTAAGACCCAACCAATCAGATCCTGGCTTGTAGACAATGATCTAGGAGATATACTTACTACTTAGTAAACACATGTTCTATTTAACTATGGATAATTCCCTTGATTTGGTCATATCCTTATTCCTTCTATTGCTGTAACATCATAAATGACCAAAGATAAAGAATGAAAATGGAACAAAGAAAAGAGAAAGAGAAAGACCGAGCCATAAGACTCCAAGTGTCAACGCAGTCGCTAATTTCCTCCAGTCAATCAACAACGCCATTATTACCAAGCCCAGAAGTATCAATCAAACGAAAAGCCCACGGTCACATCGGAACCTTCAAAGTGTTAAACCTGTTCAGAATGCATGGCAGGATGATGCGCTAGGTTTGGAATAGCAACTCCTGATGAATCTTTCGAATACTTCGATGACGCTGTGTCGTCCGCATTCATTGATCCACTTGTCTTCACTGGAAACCGAAGCATACTTGACTGCCTCCTCGGCTTCGAATTTGGGCTGTATTTTGGCAGTGTGTCGGTGCTTAGCTGGAACGACCGCTGGCTGCCAGCTCGCTTGACCACTTTCTGTGGTGCAACTGCTCCATCCATCCGGACATGGCGTGCCGTGACCCCAATATCACTGTCCGCGAAAATAAAGCTCTGACGCCTCGATTAGTGCAAGCCCTACCATATACAGTACAAAAAGCTTACCGCGGCCAGGTTAATAACACTCATAATCATCGCTAATATTCCTGCAGAGAGGACTATTTGCCAAAATGAGAGCCCAAGGGACTCCTGACTTGTAGCCTCGGTATTCAGATTGCCCAGCATGCTGACTCCAAGTATCATCATCACCAGCGCCAAGGTGATAAATCCAGAATCCTGGCCCAACAGAGGCCAGTTATGATCAAAATAATTTTGAAAGAAAGGGAGCTCTGAGATGATAAGGAATACTGTCATCAGAATTATTTAGCAACTTGGTCAAGAAGCTCGTGTATGAGAGAGCCATGATCACTTACTGCTGACTCCCGCGGTCATGACATGAGATGTTGCCTGGAAAACGAAGAAGCTGCTGAGCAGCGAGATCTTTACCAGCATTACCGCGCAGGCAGCAATGATATCTAGGAAAGCGATAATGTTCAATACCCGAATCGCATTCAGAATCACAAATCCTGGACCTGCCAAGGATTCTTTCAATGAAGCCATCATAACTGCAATAAGATAATGAGGAAACGCGATATTTCAGCCTCAAACGCACACTTAAATCTATCGCCCAAAAGTATACAAAGCAATACCTGCGTTCTGAGATAGGTATTTAGAAAATCATTTCCAGAAGGCAGAGTAGAGAAAACTTGACTTGACAGAAAGGAAGTGAGAATAGAGGCTAACCAGCAGCAGGCGGTGCTTAGGTACTGAAAGGGAGCGAGAGAGAAAAGCGACAAGGTCACGATCGACTGTTTGAGGAATAAAGACAAAATGAATCTAGCACAACTTAGTCAGGGGATTGCCCACAGAGCCTTATTGATATGCCTAAATGCATTGTCCGACAGCGACAATCAGTTGAATAGGCAAAAATTGGACCTGAAACACCCTTAATGTTCTATTGAGCGACAATGTCCATTCAATTTGATCCTGCCACAATCTCTCTTTGTCGCCCAGCGCAGCCCTGTGTTTCATTCATTCCTCTTTCAATGAAGTACTCGGCGCTTCCGTTGGCTTAGTTCCTGGAGAAAATCCTTAAGCGCTGGGCTTACTTTGTACAGAAGCCCAGAAAGAAACCACTGGTGAGTACTCTTTCCCTCGCCAACATGGGACTTTCCTCACCGAATTGATTGGGAGACTTTTTATGTAGGAATAAGCGCCCATTCGGGTTTTATTTATAGGAGACAGAATTGTGGTTTCATCCCCCCCCAGTGCATCTGTATTTGGTGTAATTATACTGGTTATTACTGGTACTGCCAGCTCGTCACCAACATGGAATCAGAAGCACGATTCATCGCTTTATGTGTGTTACTATACTTCTACCCCACTATCCTATGCTGCGGGATGCTTGCTTACGCCCAATCAGCTAACCGACCTAGGCGCCCAAAAAGGTGACAGAGAGAGCCAGATCTTAGTGATCTTGAGCCAAACTGGTCAATGGGGGAGTTCAATTCCTTGAATAATGCCCAGACTCATTCAAACGAGATTATGCTTCCTCATGCGCTTCTCCTCACTTTTTGTGTGCTCTTGTCTCTCCCATAAGAGATATTATAGTAGTATGTTCCTATAAAATTCAATATTCACAACGTTTTTTGATGGCGATTCCTGACCTAATAGTATAACAAAGTCCAGAGATTTCCTGCGTACTCGGGTTTCCGGCCAAGAACCGAATATTGAGTAGGAAGTCATGACCAAAGACAAGCAAATGGGTAGATAGATAGCTCACACAACAGTCAGTATGGTTGCCGTCCATGGGCTTAATCCTAAGAACACAGAAAAAAACATGCAAGAGAGGACTTGGGAGTCCAATGGTAAGCTAAGGTCTAGGGACGTCCTTCCTACACAGCTTCCACGCGCCAGGATATTACTCTTCGGATATAATTCCAATGTTAGCATTGAATCTTCTTCGACCGGCGTGCGAGAGCAGGTACGAAATCTCCTCATAGGACTGCGCCTAGACGCTGTGTGTATTCTATGTACTGCTCATAGCCTGGGAGGGATCGTAGTGAAAGAGGTAATCAACCCATGTCTAGTTAGGCTTCATACAAATGCTGACTTCGCAAGATGCCCGTGCAAGCCCGGCTTGGTATTGCATATACGGCTATCACCGAATCAACAAGTGGTATAGCCTTCTTTGGAACCCCTCACCAAGGATCTCCTTTGGCATCTATAGGAGATGTAGTCGCCAAAGTCGTGAAAGCCGTCCAAAGAAACCCGAAAAATACCTTTATGAATACTCTAAAACCCGATGGTCTATATGCCAGGGAAATCTCGTCAAACTTTCAGCAGTTGCTCGAAAACTACCGGTATCTGAACTTCTGCGAGACTTTACCATTGAAGAGTTTTGGACCGGCGTGTTTGCTACCTCGTGCTATGGACCTCTATCATTTGGAACTCTGCTCATTAGTGGGAAGACAGAGAAAATGAGATCGGCCACCCTTGGTCTAGCTGATTCTCGCGAAACGGTAGTCGCTTTGGACGCTGATCATGGACCCATTTGCGGATTTGCGAGTGAAGAGGACGAAGCTTATAAACGTGTCTCCTCGCTGATCGTCGAGCTTGTTACATCAGCAATAGATGTATCTGGGGAACAATCATCGGTGAGAAGCCTCAAAAGCTCAGGGTCTATTCTTGTTGTGGAAGAAGCTAGCCCCAAATCTAGTATGTTTATCAAGCAAGATAGCCCCAAGATGACGACTAATACAAAGTCTTTGTGATAGTCAGTGTACGCACGCAATTCTGGGACTGTCAACCGCAGGCCTATCTTTCAGAGTCTGCGAACCTGTCTTGCCTTATTTAGAACAGCTCACACACGCATCGCTCTATATGGCCTTGGAGGCGTCGGGCTGATTTCGATTTGGCATCATCCTTGCAACACAGGACTAGTTATAACAGAAAGTCACATATAGCTATCGAATTTGCCTACTGATTTAATGCAGAGCACCCCGACGCCTCTGTATTCTGGGTTCATGCCAACGACATCAATCGTTTCCATGAAGGACACTGTAATATTCTTGGCGAATGTGGAATTTCCGCAAAGGCAGAATATCGAGGTTCTAGCAAAGCGACGCTTGTCCGGGAGTGGCTAGAACAGCAACATCACGAGTGGCTGTTCATCATTGATAACGCTGACCTCAGTCTCGTTATTTACTTCAGAAGGAAATGTCAAACGGGGCAAGGCAGGAACCACAACACAAACACACAAGAATCTGGCGATCTTAGACTGCCTTCCGGAATTCCCCCATGGTACAATCCTCATCACAACTCGAGATCAGGCTGCAGGGGTTAAATTCACCAAAAGATGCGCCCGAAATCTTGTCGAAGTCGTTACTATGACGGAGTTAGAGTCCGCATCCCTTATCAAGTCTGCCGTGACCGACAGCCATCCTGAGGAACCAGAGATAGTAGAACTTGCTGAATTGCTTGACTATCCTACCATTGGCAATAGTGCAAGCAACTGCCTTTATGCAGGAGAATATGCTAACCGTAGGTGAATATATCGAGTCATACAACGACAGCGACGAAATGCAGATGGATTTACTCTGCGAGAAACCTTGAGGAGACATACTGGGTCCCAGATGCCCTCGCTATTACTTTGATCGTTTTCCATTAACCACTTTAAAGAGCGAGGCACCAATGTTATTGAGGTTCTGACATTGGTTGCTTTCCTCGATTAATACCATATTTCCAAGAGTTTCCTCCAGAAAAAAGTGAATAGGGCATTAAACCTCGCTAAGGCTCTGGGAACTTTGAAGGCATTCTCTCTTATAAACTCGAACTTGGATAAAAACAGCTTTTCCCTCCATTGGTAGGTACAACTAGTGTCACGTAAGTCGCTGGTCACCAAGGCCGAGTTTGAGGTTATGGCGATACACGCCATGATCATTCTAGCCGAGGTGTATCCTGATACGGATTTCTGGAATTGGACTATTTGCGGGACTTATTTGCCACATGCCCAGTCTGTCTCCGATTCGTCCCAAAGCTGCATGGGAAGGCCCAGAAGAAGCAAAAGTTGCATCTCTAAGAAGATATAGCTTATTACCTGTGGTCACAGTGTCGTCGTAACGAGGCTGAGGAGCTAGAACTCCTGGTGCTAGAGGAGAAGAAGCAGTTGTTTGGCAAGGAACATCCAGAGACTCTAGAAAGCATTGCTAGTCTAGCATCAACATACAAGAGTCAGGGAAGATAGTCAGAGGCAGAAACGTTGGATGTGTACCTTGTGGAGACAAGAAAAAAGCTGCTAGGACCACATCATGATCTTACTTTGCTCAGCATGTCAAACCTGGCTTCGACCTATGAGGATCTCGACCGACCTGAGGAGGCAGAACTCCTGAGGGTAGAGGTTCTAGAAAAGAGAAAGTCAACCTTCGGTGAGGAACATGAAGACACGATCGACGCTATAGCTCGTCTAGGGACCCTCTACCTCGACTTGGGCAAATTAGAAGGCGCGAAAGAGCTGATACAACGTGCCTGGAGTTGGGGATAAAAAAAAACCTACGGTGCACAAGTTACGTGGCTCAGCGCTGGCACCATGGCACAGCTGTATAAAGCTCTGGGGGAATTTCTAAAAACAGAGTTGAGTAACGCAACGATCCAGGTAATAGAGAAGGCTCTAGGACCGAAACATCCCTATGCCTCCAAAGCAAGAGCGGCTTGGTGGGTATTTATACAGAAAATGGGGAATGGGACAAAGCAGATAAACTGCTCATACAGGTAGTAGACGGAATGAAGCAACAGAAATCTGGCCTGCAAACATAAGCTGGCGGCAATTTACTGGGGCAAAGTGCTCGCAAAAGAGACTGAAAAGCTCGAGGTGGAACCATCCAGAGACAGCGTTCGGATACTAGGTCTGCATCATCCTCTCACATTGAAATGCAGATACTCTATGGCTGTGGTCCTGAAACGCCATGGCCGAGAGGCGGAAGCAATCCAGCTGTTAGTCGAGACGACAAACGAAGCGGAACAAGTCATAGGGTCTTTCAACGAGGATATTTCGATATTCATCGGGACATTGTCGGAATGGTGCGGTGCAGACAAAGCTATCAGAATGCTCCTAAACGCTCAAGAGGTAGGGAAAACATCCCTTCTCTCCGAGGACTGGGAGGTTATCTCGAACCTATTTGAATAGATGAAAGTGAGCTGGATGTTAATCAAGGACAAAAACAATTCATTCCTGCATATTACTGTATGGTTGGAGAAGCACATAGCGTCCGTTATATTTGGATGTATTTGTGTGTGGTACCGCGAAACAAACAACAAGTGTATAGGTATATGCGGTTCAAATTTTCCCAGATAATGAAATATAATAAACGTGTTACTATATTTGTAGGTGTAAATAAATATATACGGGTCTCGTACACTCAAAATTCTATTCTATTCTATTTCCTTTCGTTTTTTCTCTCTCTCTTTTCTATTCTCAAACTTAAGTTGAAGTATCTCGGCGTGCGGGTTCAAACGGTGGATTTCATCAAATTGGGATTAATTGGGATTAAATAAATAAATGGATGGCGGCAGAACCTTCTATGGCCCGAAACTTACCCTGTAAAACCTCCCTCAATCAACGACCACGGACCAGAAACCACATTTACACAAAGAAAAATAAAAAAAAAAAAAAAAAAAAAAAAAAAAAAAAAAAAAAAAAAAAAAAAAAAAGAGAGAGAGATCTGATTTCAAGATGACTCGCGGAAACCAGAGAGACCAAGATCGCATCAAAAGCCAGAAAAAGGCATCGAAACAGGTAACTACTTCCCCCCACCTGTTTCTTTCACTTTCTGTTTCTTTTTCAAAAGGAAGGATAAAATAAAAAAAATAATATGAAACACTCCTACAATGTGACCATCTCATCTTAACTCACATCATTCTCAACCCATCTAGAAATCCGCAAACACCTTGTCCGGAGCGCAGTTCCAGCAGAAAAAGGAGTCTGATGCCGAAATCATGCGAAGAAAGCAAGCAAATGGTAGGTCTCTTCTTTTCTTTCTTGCCCACCGGCTGCCAGGTGACACAATCCGCCGAAAACATCATCCTATTTGGTCCTCCACGTCTATTCTTCCGATTAAGTAACACTAATTTCTTATCCTTCGAGAAATTTAGCCGACGCATCGAAAGCCTCCAGCGGCACTGAAAAGAAAAAGAAATGACAGGCATTTGTTGGATCCATCGTACCCGTACATCCCTTCCCTTCGCATCGATGAACATCCTCTATCCTATGTTATAAATCTTGAGCGACACCTGCCTTTGAATTTATAACTTTTGTGTTGGTGGACATGATATCTGTGGAGAGGGAAGCGCGATGTGACGGATCTACGAAGATTGTCTTCTTTTATATACTAAATTTTTATATGGGGAAGTTGGGACTCTTGGCGCATTTTGGTATAACATCATATCTAGCGAGGCGTTGTTCGAACGTGAGTTTCTGTTCGTACGCGGAGCAAAGTATTACGAAGACACCCTGTCATACTGGTTGCTTAATAGACAGAGGTTTCGATATTCGACGGTATCTCAACGAACTCCTGTGGGTTTGTTTCACATAACTTTGTTATGATCAGTCCAGTAAGCCCTTGCCATGGCTAACCAAGTTTTCCAACATCGTTCCGGCATAGCTATAGCCCTTGCCGTCCCATCAGCAAGCTCGACAGTGGTTGTGAATGTGATCCTGGGGGTCCTCTGCATAGTATCGCTGACAATTTCTTCAAAACCAAACGTCTTGATAGACAAATCTAGGAATATCCAGAGACTCTCGCCTTCCCAGCCGACATCTAGAGCGTAGCGGACCACCTTGGTAACAGTGTTAAGACGAAAATCTCCTTGCGGAACGGACTCCAGAAGATAGAACATAAACATCCATCCGGATATATCTGACGGATGGGCCAAACTCCAATGCAACATCAAGTCAAGGATCGACTCGGTCAACACAGAAGTACCTTCCGAGATTTCCTCCATAGCATCGGTTAAGGCATTGTGCACTTGTCTTATATAGCTAAAAGCATAGTAGTTCCGGGGATGTAGTTCCCCGGCCCGAAGGACGATAGCCAGCTCTGTTCTCAAGAGGTTGACCGCACTTTCCTGCTCTAGATGTCCTTGTTCTGAATGGGTTCTTTGGTTGACTCTGTGTGTCGAAAGCGATTGCGTGCCGCGGATTTGGAGTAGCTGATTCAGTACCCATAGTCGATGTTGCCATAGAGTCGGAGATTTAGTATGTCGGTGTAAGGGCGAGCAGAGATAGGTCGTCATCAAGGAGAGTTCTGCCACTAGCGCTTGAATAAACGGTTCCGTATTGTCAGGGAGGAGACCATGGTGTCGCTTGAGGGCTACCAGTCGCCTTCGTCTCCAATTGCATGCTGTGAGATGCTCGCAGTCGAACAGCAGAATTATCTCGGTTGAGACTAAAAGCTCCTCGAGGCTCTTGCCCCAACATTCCCGAGCCGCACTCTCATTCTCATCCTGAGCAGTCGCGCGAGAAGTCCCACATTCGGATTTGGATCTCGTTTTCTCGAAGAATATACGTCTGGCAGCCACAAAAGCCTGGACCAGGTATTTCTTGGTAATGCCTACGGAACAGTCATCGTGGAGGAGGGGACCAAGAGGAGGCAGGAGGATCTCGATCTCAAGAACGCGGTTGTTTCTGGTGTGAAAGATCCGGGCGAGTTCCTGGAATGCTTTTTCTGGGGAGGACATTGGGATTCTTCAACTTATCCCAACACCGAGTGAGGCAATTCGCCTGTTAGTTACCATACTAGCGTTGACTGGGGTGTCGTTGAATACTGTCAATGCCAACCAATTCGAAGCTGTGTTGGAAGGCGGGCAGAAACGCCGCCGACCGACGAGGCGGTGACAACGTCATTCGATTCACAAGAGTTCATTGACAACTCAATCTTTTCCCGTCTTATGAATTCCCATCTGCCAATTTGGTTTTCGTCGTCTTGAGACCCTCATTATCTCTCTCACGCCGGTGGGTTTTGTGGTCTCCCACAAACCCAAAAGTCGCTGTGCAGTTCCTTCCTTCTGTCAGTCTTACTTCTCTACCACGACCTAAATCGCGATGCTGTCCCTTATCTGGACGATCTTCTTCCTACATGTTGCCATCTATGCAGTGAATACTATCGGTGCAAGCACGATTGACAGCCTGGTACGTCCTCATGCTTACTATTCTGGGTCCACACCGACACGCGTTTCTCAGTCGCCATCAATGAATTCTTTTGGCTAACGAGCGGAATTCCCTCTTCTAGCTATGGCTTCTCTACCTGAAGCTTCCGACATCGACATCAAATAATGCCCGGGAGCAGAGCCGCTTGAAGCGCGAAGTTGTCCAGTTGAAACGGGATATGAACAACACTAGCTCTCAGGATGAATTCGCAAAATGGGCTAAGCTTAGGCGACGACATGATAAAACCATGGATGAGTACGAGCAGCTGAGTATGTGCTTCCGGCTATTGTCTACCTTTCTTTCTCCATGAGCCAGACCCAATACCAGTACTGAGGCTAAACGATTGTTCTTAATCTACAGACAAGACGCTCGTGGCACAAAAGAGCTCCTTCGACTGGAGTGTCAAGATCGCCCGGTGGCTTAGTACGAATGGTGTAAAGATCTTCCTTCAATTCTGGTACTCGAAAACGCCCGTTTTTACTCTTCCGGAAGCCTGGGTTCCCTACTATGTGCAGTGGATTCTTTCATTTCCCCGGGCTCCTATGGGATCGGTGAGTGTTCATGTCTGGAACAGCGTGTGCGCGACAGCAATTTCCGTCCTAGCCGAGCTTGTCACTCCAATGTTTTGGCAGACAGCACGTCCTATTTCGGTGGCTACGACTCAGAAGATGCAATGATTGACGTTTACCATGTTGCATATACGGGTTGCATGAGGATGTAATATAATCCAACAGCCTGTTCATTTCTTAACTCTTGGAAAAAAAAATCTATATAATGATGTCCAAGAACGAGGTTCATCAGATAAGAAACAATCGTTTATCGTCAACAACCCCTTACCGTAGTAGGGATTTCAGGGCTTGACTCTATGATTGGTATATCATCACGCGAACAGCAGCAAAAACAGTAGGGCTTAGGGGGAAAAAGTAAACAAGGGAGTCCGGCCCCTTTGACAAGGCTTCTGTGCCCGACTTCATAGAAAGTCGACATAGTGCACCGCTTTTCCATAAGCTACAGACTCTGGAAGTAGAAAAAAGTAGTGAACTTCTCGCCTCAAGAATGAGCCCCATTGAGTTACCCGGTCCCCAAGGGACCTAGGCAATCGCATGACTATCCAAACATGACGAATGGCAACCCAGATAAACCCCCTCTCCGACACCCAGATATACCACCATTGTTTCCACCACCAAGGTGTCGGATATAATCAGGATGTCGGTAGGGAATAGGGCAGTCAGCCGCTATCGAATTGCTTCTATGGCGGCGCGTTTCCGCATTGCCTGACCGGTAAAAGGGTCAGGATGTCCGGGGACTTTCTCCCAAAGCATTTGCCTCACCCGAGGAGAGGAGAATACCCAAAATGGAATATTCTGTGTGTGAGCTTTGAATGCGATCCTTTGAGCGAGAAGTTGGAAAGAGAAGAGAATTTCCGAGCGGAAGGTCTCTGCTGCAATTTTTTTTCTAGTCCTTCGGTTGATTGAAGTGGTTCCACTAAACCTTTTATGGGTTAGCTTTGATCACGTGATAACCTCTTTCGGCCAGCCAATAGTGTACTTGGACTCTACGTGGGTAAACTGAATCCTGAGGTCGTTCGAAGATATCACCAGTCCTTCATTAGGTATTATGGTACATACCCCTTCAGGTGTAGACCGACTTTGATAATGAAGAAAGCAAATTGCATAGTCACTTTTTTGTCTCTCAAAAGGTGGAAGAACATCATGTATGCTAGAAAGTTACAGAGAATGTACAACAGGAAATTTACGCCTTAGCCTTCGTCTTTTTCGCCTTCTTAGCCTTTGCTCCAGCCTTAGTGGTAGGCGAAGCAGTAGCTGCACTAGCCTCCTTTGTGGGCTGTTCCTTTGGTGCCTCCTGCTCGGCCTGTTGTGCTCCCGTCTTCTTGTCCTTCTTCGCTTTCCTTGGGGTATCATCGGCCTTCTTCTTTTCTTCCTTTAGCGTCTCAATAGTCTTAGGGGGCTCTTCGGGTGCCGTCTCGGAAACTCCAATCGTCTTATTCTCTTCCTGCTGAACGGGGACCTCGTCGACACTCTTCAATTGGGGTAACTCGAGCTCGTAGCCCAGAGCCTTGAGTGCCTCAGCTTTAGCAATTCGCTTCTGCTGTTCGCGCTCGATACGCTCAGACCACTGCTCTCTTGTCTTGCCCTTTTCAAGTCGCTTCTTCTCGAGACGGTTCCAGGGGGTCCGCTTAAACCGTCTGTTGGCGCCCTTCCAGATCTCCGGGTGCAATTGTTCCTGGGGTACGTATTTGCACTTCAGTATATGGCCATACATCAGGTAGTTATCCATAGTCGCCGCGACAATCTTTGCCACAGAGGTCGAACTGAACTCAATGAAGGCGTAATGCTTGGAGCGGCCAGTGACGCGATTACGAGAAAGACGCAGACGAGAAATGTCGCCGAATTGCGAGAAGTAAGCCCTCATCTGATGCTCATAGAAACCATGGGGGATACGGCTATAGAGAGGATAGTTAGGGTAAACCCACCAACGAACGAATACGGGCCGGAATACTCACCCAACGTATACAGTACCAGGCTCCTCTGCCTCTTGCTTATTTTCCTTTTGCTTCTTCAAAATTTTTCTCTTGGCCTTCTTCGAATCGGGTATCTTAGGCACCGATTGATCGGGGTTGAATCCTTCGTCTCCAGACTCGCCCTCATCTCCGCTGCTTTCAAACCCCCTGATGAGCGCGGCGGTGCGGTCATCCTCTTCAACCTCGCTTGCGCTGGCGCCAGATGCGGCAGACTCCTCATCGTCATCAGACACCTCTACAACAGGCTCTGTTTTTTTCGCCTTGGTGCTTGCTTTGGCCTTGGTCTTTTCCTTGGGGGCGGGAGCTGCTGTGCCATCCGCCTTCTTGGTCTTCTTGTTGATTGACTTCATCTCTGTCTCAGCCTTGGTCTCGGCAGCCTCCTCCGGCTCGCTGTCGTCATTATCGCTAAGGAAATCGGCAGCGCGCTTGCGAGGCTTGACCTGTCTTGCCGGTTTGCCATTAACCTTCAACTTCGCGGCAGGCTTCTCTGCGCCAGAATCCATGTCCTTCTTCATAATAGGCTTGGGGGATGCATTGGTGGATTCGGTGGGCTTAGCCGCGACTTTCTTAGTCTTCTTCGCGGGCGAGTCTGCGGCGGCAGTAGCGGCGGCGGCTGCAAAGTTGTGAGCGACCGACATGAAAAGTCTGAACAGGGGCAAAGCCAACATACCCTTGCGCTTCTTATCCTTCTTATCTGGCGCCATTTCTTGTTAATGTGGTAAATTGTAGGCTGTGTTTGAGCACTACAATTCAAAGCTGTTGATAGACAAGAGTGCGGGAAACTTTTTTTCTTCGACTTATTTTTTCTTTCCTCCGACGGAACGCCAAGCGGTGAGCTTAGTCGATTTACTAAGTAACCCGTCTCTCACTTTCGCTACGAGAAACAACGAAAGACTTAAATCTTTGTCTCAACCTTTTTTTTGGCGCTTGCGTATCCTTATTCATAAAGCAACGGTATATGCCATGGGGAAGAATAAGAATGCGACCAAAGCACTGACACAGGAAGAAATCTGGGACGACTCTGCTCTGGTGCAGAGTTGGGACGAAGCAGTCGAAGAATACAAAGTACAGTACTTCTTCTGCGCACGTGATTGCCATCTCTAACAAAGCCCATGAGTAGCTCTACCATAGCATCCATGCCAGAGAGGAGAATGTTGAAGATGCCCTGAGAGAGGCTGAAGCAGCTGAAATTCTCCAGGCAGTTCAAGATGGTCGCCAAGAATCCATCGATAAGGATGACCACATGGAAGCCGATGTTGGCCAGCCGGCAGACGATTCGGTAGCGGCCTTCTCAGAGGTTCGGCACATCCCACCGGCGGACGTCTCGCAGGTATGTGGTCGGCGGCGGTAATTAGTATGTGTTTAAAAGTACTAACTTTTTCTTTAGGCTACTGAGGAATCAGATGTGCCGACTGTTCAGGGAACAGGCAATATAGCCGGTCCTAATCTCATGGGAGCTCCTATGCCCCAAGCAGCTCTATCACAAGGTCAGGCGATCTACATCTATGTGTCACTATAAAAGCTGACTTTGTATATACTATAGTGCAAGACGAAGGGCTAAAGAACCTTATGATGTCCTGGTACTTTGCAGGATATTACACTGGCCTTTACGAAGGACAGCAAAGAGGGAATCAAAATAAGAGCTCGTGACTTCTAGCTCCCTACAAGTGATGGGACCTACTACCAGCCTATCTACACAAAGGGCAATTTAGACCAAACGTCGTGTGCTTCGTTCAACCTGTTGCTGTTGGCAAACGGATATGCCGGGCATCACAGGCGCCGATAATGCTAGTCAGCCTCGCGTTTGGGTGCACCGCCAATTAGGAGATTTACTGGGCCACTAACGGTGATATGACTAGAGGTGCTCGGAGCCTAATCTCATCAATAAAGAGTTTATTCGGCTGTATAAGTCATGTTTGGTTCATGTATGATGAATGTGGCTCCCTCCGCGCGGCTTCACTTTGTGGACAGCTATGAGCAACAGCTATTTTCGCATTCATTCTCCTAGAAGCACAACTCATGTGCGAGGCTATCTTTGTCGTGGTTGCATGAATCCTTTCCGAACTCAGCTCCACATCTTTATATTTTCTCATGAGCAGAGAAATGTTCGCAGCTATTATTCCTCTATCTTTACTACTGCAGGGTAGAGACAATAGTTACCAAGACAAAGTCTCCGTACAGATAAAGAATGTAGATGTGTCTCTTCCGATTGGGTGCAAACTGGTTCGGGTATGTTGCAATACACTGGCCATAAATACTAGGGCATTGATTGATTGTCACGCTTTTATTCACCTCATCTCTCAAACAGCATTTATACACCAGGAACGCTGAGCCTCACAGTCCAACCGTGTCGAATAAATTAAAAAGATATAAAGGAATGAAGCTTGTAGACACTAATGCCTAACCTCTTCTCACGACCACAACCACCACCACTACTTCAACACAAATGCACATCCCTTACTCAAGGTTTACAACAGGCCAGTTCCTTTCAGACCACCTCCGCTCAGAAGAGGACCGACAACGGGAATTTTAGCGAGAGGGTCGTCCTTGACGATGTTCGAGCTTTTCGCCGGTTTGGCCGCAGAGGAACTGCTGGCGGCCTGTGGAACAGTAGGAGTGGGAGTAGAGCTAGCTACAGGCTCCTCTTCCGTGGTCTCATCCGTCGGTTCTTCCTTTGCTTTCGCTTCACCCTTCGGATCCTTAGCCTGGACCTCTGTCTTTGGCTCTTCAACCTTGGTATCGGTCTGCGGCTTCGGCTCCAGGTCCGGCTCCCGGCTAGCATGCACTTTCTCTGCGGCATTCTCCTGGGAGAGATCCTTCAGGGATTTGGTAGGTGTGCCACTGCTAGACGGCTTAGGGGGAACAGGAGCGAAGTTGATCTGATGTGGCTTCTCGTCATCGTCGCTGAATTCTTTGTTTATGTTCCGCGTCGCTGCGGTGGCAGACTGAGTCCTATTAATCACTGTCCCGTCGGGAGTAGTCAGCGTGTAACTCACCTTCAGAGACTCATAGGCCAGTTCCGCCGCAACGCTAGGACTAATTGTATTGCCCGAGGACTCTGGCTCGGCGCGTTTAGCCGGCAGAGCAGAACCCATGAGGGCTAGGCAGACGCAAATAACATAGAAAGAGAGTGTGATACGAGCCATTGTCACTGGTAGTGTGTGATCTGGTAGTGGGACGAGAAAAATGTCAAATTCAAAAGGAATGGACAGGCCTATCGAGACAGCCAAACTATTTGTATACAGCTTTCAGAGGAGCGTGCTCAGGAACAAACGCGAATTCCTGCAACGCCGAGAATGATCCCATCATTTATAGAAAATGTACATAATCTAAACAGTAAACACACGAATGCATACCTAGGGGGCTAATCGGGCATTTCTCAGGAGCTGGCGACGTGAAAATGAGATATGCTCATAGACTCCCAACAAGTGAGTAATGCACCATGGGTCGTAAAGCAAGGGAGAGAACAGTATGTCAAATCCATGGCATGGAACCCCCTACAGTCGTCCTTCAATATCATTGGAAGGAGTGAACCAACTGCGATGGATAATCCTCCCAGGCATACATTCCTAATCTTGGAGGGGGGAAGATCTTTCCATATACCGCAGCTCACCCTTGGCCTCGTAACATAACTTGGTCTGATCGACATGCTCCGAGGATCATCCCATTTAAGCCTGCGCCTGAACTGGTGGCGATAATCCTTCCACAGAAGACCGTGGAAGTCTTTTGCGACGACGCCTTGGCTTTGAGAAAGACGCTACGAATTCGAAGGGCGACATCTTACTTCTGTAGACTTTCAGGGCTACGCAATGCACATTCCACCGTCCCTTTGTTAAACGTCCTAAAGTGTATACTATATAGAAAGCGAGACAATACGGAATGTATCTCCCTGCTTTGACACGTACCACCCCATCTGAAACGAAGGTGGACGCAACACGAGGGAGGTTTAGAAGTGGACATTATCCACGAATCGTTTTTGGCACGGTTTTGACCTCGAAAATCATGGAAGTGACGGACGAGACTTCGAATATGCCTTATTTGACTTTGGGGTTTTACTATATTAGCCTATTGATTAGTTCATGAGCAGCTTCCATTGAGCAACAGGAAAGATCTTCTCTCCAAGGATATAATGATAGAACAGCATCCATTGCAATCAATCAATCTTCCGCTCATTACTAGGATTGCTGATCACTCAAATCTAAATATGAAGTACTGGTATGCAAGTCCTCAATCATATCCCTCGAAAAAGGGATGTATGCTCAAAGCGAACCCAAGCGACCCCGTAGTTGGACCGGTCAAACCGATCCTTGTGGCAGGCAATGGGATTAGAACGAGCATAGTTTTATCGCTCTCGGTCTCGCTCTAAATTTGTAGACGGAATAGGGAGCTTTGAATGCCAAAACATCCATCAACAAGGGTATGTTGGAGACCTTGGATATGTTGAGGGAAAGGAAAAACCAGCAGAAGCAAACACGAAAATTTATTTGGAGGAGCTGTGGAGTTGATTATGTAAAAAAATACTCCATCCGGCTGTAAGATATTCCGGTGACCTGTATTTTCTTTATAATTACTATTTACTAACCGCGTCTTAGTTCAACATAACTATGCACAAATTGACAACACGAATAGCAATGAAAAAAGGAAAATCAAAGTGCCGTTATAGCAGCTCACTTCGTAGTAGTGGGTATTAACAAGGTTATCATCTCTCGTACATGCACGCCGACCTTCAACTAGAAACGAGCGAGAACCCTCTCCTGGGTGTCGGCCAAGGCCCACTCATTGCTGTGGTTTTTACTCAAAACCGTCTTGGCCTGTTCGACTGTGAAGCCTTTGGCTTCGACAGCCGGATTGTAGCCAAGACCGGTGATATTTCCCACAGCATCCGACGATACAGGGACCGCAACCTTTCCATCCGCTCGCTTGTAGACAGTCACCACAACCGCGCCTCCTAAGCCCAGGTTGTGTTGCAAAGCAGCATCCGTCCCATCAATCAACCGGTTGTTGGCCCAACCCCGCAGGTGCCATACCAGTTCCGCACACTGCGCAATGCCCGTGGCCCCTAGCGGATGGCCCTTCGAGATAAGGCCCCCCGATGGATTAATGACCATCTTGCCACCATAAGTAATGTCACCCCGTCGAACCATCTCATGCGCCTTCCCTGGCTCACATAACTCCAGTGCATCGATAGTTATCATCTCATTGGCGGAAAAGCAGTCGTGCAACTCACAAACCTTGATATCTTTTACATTCACGCCAGCCTCCTTCACGGCCGCTTGGCAAGCACCACGAGCCATGCCGAACCCCATAAGGTCAATTGAACTTCGGTTGTAAAGGGTCTCGTTGTCAGTGGCCAGTTTCTGACCGGCGATCAAGATCGCCTGATCCTTCAGGTGTGGGCGAGCATCCAGGAATTCCTGGGAGACGATGACAGCGGCAGCGGCACCATCCGACGTCGGACAGCACTGTAGCTTGGTAAGGGGCTCATGGATCATAGGCGCCTTGAGAACCTGCTCAAGGGTGTATTCGGTCTGGAACTGCGAGTACGGGTTGCGCTTGGAATGCTCATGATTGACCCGGGCTATTTCTGCAAAATCTTCGTTCTTCGCACCATACCTTCACACCACATAAGTTAGACTGTGCAAAATCAGGCAGGAGTGGGGCCTGTAAGACGTACTTCTCCATATACTCCCGACCAGCATTGCCAAACATCTGGGCTGCGCCAGGAGCGTTGGTGATTCCTCTAGTCTCGGCCATCATCATTCCCAGCAACCCTGTGGGGTTCTCTCGGTCATTGTAGACTGACTGAAGGCTTCCGGGACTCATTTTCTCGAACCCGACAACGAGAACACAATCAGCAGCTCCATGAGAAACCATTGTGCGAGCCATGGCCAAACCGGTGGAGCCCGTCGAGCAGTTGTTATTGACATTGTAAATGGGAATCTGTGTCAAACCGAACTGATAGAATACACGCTGGCCGCAGGTACTATCACCGTAGACGTAGCATGCAACGCCTTGGTCCACGTCGTCGTAGTTGATGTGGGCATCTAGCATTGCCTTGACGCCGGCCTCAAAACCAAGTTCATGATAGTCCACTTTGCCGCGGGGCTTGATAAATTTGGTCATTCCCACACCTAGGACATAGGCAGGTGACGCTGGTTTCTTGCCCATTGTGACGATTGGTGATTGTGTTGCGAGATTCGGCGCTAATTCTCGATAAACAAAACCCAGTCCGTACTATTTAGCAACAGAGGAAAGGTAATGCCTACTCAATCATAAAGCTTTTCCGGCATTAATATAGCCATCGGTAAAGGGGGGAGGCCCTGCATATGAAGCTCTGCCGGAATGATTTACTGCGGAGAAAGTAAACGGTGGTACTTATTGCGGGGGAACCGCCCTCCCGACCGAGGTCCCGAGGATATTCTTCCACTCCACTGCATAACTCTTCATAATCTTATCATCTTCTCTCAGAACAAATAGTAATGCATCTGTGATAGCCATGGCTTTTCTGTGAATAGTCTAGTTTTTGGGTATAACTTTTACTTTCTCTTTTTTCTTGGTATATTCACGATCGAGCTTGCTTCTCCTTTCATCTCACATGATATTTTACTCGGCCGCAAGGTCCCGAGGAGTAAAATAATCGGTAGACGTGCCACAACCATGAGAATTATTGAGATATATATATATACATATATATATGGAAGCACTAATTCTCGGGGAGATTCATGAACGTCAAATGTCGGTATGATGGTTGTGATGGATTCCACATCTTTCAGGTAGTATATATTGTTTTAGTGCCGCCAATTATAACTGGGGCCATTGTATATACAATGCATTGATTCACATGAACAAGAGACTTGTCTCGATTGCATTAGTTTTGGACAAGCAACAAGTTATCTGTACCTAAAGCCGCCAAGTCAACAAGTACATCACAGAATAGAGAAAGAAAGGTACGGTATGGTAAGCATGGTAAAGTCTTCAATCACATGTTCACTTGCTACGATGCCCTGATATATTGTATTCAAGGCCCGTTGTTACCTAACAGCTAGTTAGTACCATTATGACACCATTCTCTCGATAGGATAGTCCGGGCCATTCCATCCCACGGAACAGCCAACGATATCCTCCATCGATCCGCTGGTTACCTTTCCTTTATTACGGAGGTGGATAGCTAGCTATCTGGTTCTACCTACCTAAACAATATAAACAAGTATATTGAACAAGTTGGCAGTTGTTCTATGAGGTAATTTCCTCAAGCCCACATTTTTGACACATCATCGCGAGGGACTTTTTCCGAATACGCACGGCGAAAGAAAGGAGTTCTACTAGCTGACGGGAGTATTCTACTCCCTCCCCAGAAAGGGTTATTACAGGGATTAAAGGTTCATCTCCCTATCATCAAACAAAGAATGAATGATATACTCCGTTAACTTTAATATATGCTATTAACCTAACGTACTTCGCGAATACTATCACTCTCAATGACACTACTAGTAATGTCCCAGGCACATATCTATACCAAATCCGGCGTAGTCCTCCCATCCTCTCCATTCCTCATTCAATCAGAAGGCTTGTTGGCCGGGCGGGGTAGCGGAGCGGGTGTTACCACCGCCCCGGACTGGTTTGGTCCGATACACCTTTTGCGCCCAAAGTAAGTTGCCACTGATTAGTTCCAAATGAGAAGGGAAATACGGGCACCCGTTAGTACTTAACTACTAATACCTAGCAGAAATAGGTTCATAACTAGATACAAAGGGAGTTAACCAGGGTTGACCGGGGGAAGAAATAGCAACGAGAAGTAGTGTCGGAGAATCAAAACCATATCAATACTACACCAACTATATAAATATATACTTACTTACTAGTACATACATAGGTATATAATACATACTGTAACTTATCTATCAAAAAGCTCCAAGAATTGGGAGGATCGACCTTTAAGGGAAAGTAGTGTGAAATTAGTGTGTATGGTGGAGGTCGTACTGGATGCCTCACGACGACGTCACTGGACAGAGAGTCTAAACCGGTTCAAGCGAAAGCAAAAGGGAGGTCCACATTGGATCTCTCTGTAATTTACCCTCGAGCTGGAACTTACCTAAATTACCTGCAGTATGGTCCGTGCCTACCATCATGGACGGCCAGTGATCCCCTCAAACGGTCACTCTCTCTCTTTCTTCCCTTCATCACTGCATTGGGTTTTTCTTTCACACCTACTAAAGTGGAGGCCTCGTCCCTGGAGGTATGTTTTATTTCTCTCACACACCTCTCTCTTGTACTTGTTCCACACAACAGCTCCCTAAAGGACAGAGAACAAGAAAGAGAAAAAAAGAAGGCGTCGTGTGGCCAATGTTACTGACAACTATTATGCTGCTATCTAGGTAGCTCCTGAATTACACCTATCGGGTTGACTTTAGAACGGGATAGAAAGGCGCCTTGGGTGGTGTAGGGGTCTCATACGAATCCTTCCACCGCCGAGTATCGTCGTGTCCAGTGCGCAGACGGAAGGCGTGGATTTTGTCACTACGGCCCTACTACTGGCCTCCTCTGTCGCCAACCTTCCATTGATCTGATCAACGGCATTCTTTCCCTCCTGAACCTCCCTTCGCTCCTTCTCTGTTTCATCCAACACGGAAACCAAGGGTTGCCTAGGCCCCCGCTTCATGGACAATTGTGGGACGCTGAACGGTCTGCTCGCACGTTGAGAGACCGCTTTGCGTTCCATAGGGTTCCCCAGCCTGCTTAACGATATTGAACGGAATAGAACATACAAGTGACTAAAGCAAAGCTTCTCCCAGCTTGCCCCAAATGGGATACCTCCAGGGATGACTCTTGACGAACATTCTGAACATGCACCTTTTTCTCCTCCCCCCTCACAACCTTCACCTGTTATTATGCCGACTGGTAGTGCCTGGACTATGGATGAAGCTACCCGTAACAAATTCCTCAAGAACTACAAGACCCAGGTGGCCTCGGCAACTTCCACTATCTGCGCGACTCTTGCTGTGGTACGTCTCCAATCAGAACGGGTGCCTGAATAGAGATATGCTAATTTGTGGTTCTTAGACTCCCCTTGAAAATGTGAAAACTCGCATGCAAACGTAAGCGCCCAAAACATATATCTATCATAGCTGTGCTGACGTAGCCTAGTCACAACTTCAAGAATGTGTTTCAGTGTGTCCGCTATCTCTGGCGTACAGAAGGACCCCGTGGTTACGTTGCTGGTAAGTCAACGCCTACTCTGAATCCTCGATGGCAGATAATTAAAGAATCTGTATTCAGGAGCGCTGCCACCTTTAGCAAGTGTCACAGCTGTTCGGGTTGTGAACTTCTCTACATATAATGCGGCCAAGCATCGCATCTCCGATTTTTTCGAGAGAATGACGGGCCAGTCTCCCTTGGCTATGTACAACCAACCGGGCAGCAGTCCTACTGTCTCTACATTTGTGACATTTACTACTGCTGGGCTATTTGCTGGTCTCATTACTTCCCCACTTGCATGTAAGTCTTGAGGAGTTCTATCTAATTAAATGCGCCTCAGTTGCTAACTTGGGCTGTAGGCCCCTTCGAACTCGCTAAGAACGTTGTTCAGACCTCAGTCTTAGTGTCAAACCGTGCTCAGGCATCGCCAGATGCGGTCAACGATCCCTCGTTACGTAACAAGCCTCGTCTCGGTACCGTTGAGGCGATTCGGCAGATCGTTCAGCGTTACGGAGTCCGTGGCCTGTACACCGGCTTTCATCTGCACGCTCTGCGCGACACTCTAGGATCTGGTTTATACTTCAGTGTTTATGAAACAGTGAAACAGGTTGCGTCGAAGGAGCTTGGTCCAGACAAATCCCCATTCGGCGGTCCCATGATCGCCGGGGCGATTTGCAGCACCGTTCCGTGGTTCTGTGTAAGTCCCGCCGCGATGGTACTTTTTGACGTAGCACTAACGGTCATAGACTTATCCCCTTGATACCCGAAAGACTCGTGCTCAGAGCGTGTTACTTGGAAAGACCAGTGAAGTCGGGGAGGCGTCGGCGGCGGTTGCCAAGTCCAGTATGTACAAAGGACTTTCAATTATTCTCATTCGTACTGGGGTGAACAATATGATTTTGCTCAGTATTTTCGAATACATAAAGATGAAGATCAATCAATTGGATTGATGGGATTTGTTTCTGGGACAGGAGCTGATGCGCAGATGGCCATTGGCGTTTGGGACTGCCGTTTATGACTTATATTTGATCGGGTACATATGTGCATGAGCATGAGGCTCCACGCAAATACAGAATGAAATACTTGACTGTTAAAAACCCCACGTTGTTGTGTGTATATAAGTCTGTAGGATACGATACGTAGGGACCCGTTCGTTTCTGCCTAAGGCAGACGCAACGTCATTAAATCCCCGTTGCCCGGTGGGGTTGGGTTTTCAACATAACAAAAGCTGCCCGGCGACGAAACTCTCTCCCATTGCGCGTTTGACCGTCGGCCAGCATGGCTTCGTATGTGCTATCCACCAGAATGTCCACTTTCTGTTGGAAGTTTAGGCTAATGTCGGCTTCAGAAACATACTTCAGATCCCGTTTCGGCGCTCTCACACCGTTTTATTGTCAGATGCCATCACTCAATATATCTCAACCAAGTATGACCAGCGTCCAGATATGTTCGCAGACGATCTCTTGATCATAGACCGTCTGCGAAACGAAGCGATTCATGTTCAGGAGCCACATGTGAGCGGGATCAGCCGGCTGGTCACGTATGCTGCACAGTTGAAATGGCTCGGTGGAAAGTTTCCAGTTGATGTGAGTAACCTGGCGCAGTGATGGCGGAAGAAGTTGCCATTGACATACCTTCTCATAGATTGGAGTCGAATTTCCGTGGTACCCTGCGCTTGGTTTCAATACCTCAAGGCCGAGTATGTGAAGAGTAGCTGGGTCGCCGATATCGTTGCTAACCCGTAACAGGCTCGCAGAACAATATCCGATTCGAACTTGCGAATGTCCTCTTTAATCTGGTAGCATTATACTCGCAACTAGCATTCTCAGTGAACCGGACCACACCCGACGGACTTAAACAGGCATGCAACTACTTTTGTCACGCCGCTGGGGTTTTGGTCCATCTCCGAACGGATATTCTTCCTGATCTTCGCACCTCTCCCCCGGAGGATATGGATGATATGACGCTACAGAGTCTAGAACAGCTTCTTCTGGCACAGGGACAGGAGTGCTTCTGGCAGAAGGCCGTCAAAGATGGGCTGAAAGATGCGTCCATTGCTCGGTTGGCGGCCAAGGTCTCCGACTTCTACGCAGAAGGAGGTGACTATGCGGTCAAATCAAATGCCATCAGCCCTGAATGGATTCACCATATGACAGCCAAGCACCATCATTTTGCTGCCGCTGCGCAGTATCGCCAGTCATTGGACTGTTTGGAGAAGCGAAAGTACGGCGAAGAGGTCGCCCGTCTTCGGGACAGCGAGATCTGTGTCAGTGAGGCCTTGAAGGAATCGCGTTGGATCAACCGCACAGTACTTGGAGACTTGCAAGGATTAAAGAACCGTGTGACGGAGGATTTGAAGCGCGCAGAGAAAGACAACGATGTGATCTATCTTAATCCTGTGCCGCCAAAATCAGAACTGAAGATCATCGATCGCGCGTGTATGGTTGCGGCAAAGGCACCATCCCAGGTGACTGACGCTATCTCCATGCTGGGAGACAATGGGCCTTTGGGCCAACCATTGTTTTCTAAGCTAGTTCCATATGCTGTCCATATCGCCGCCAGTATTTACTCCGATCGCCGGGACAGGCTTGTTAACGAGACAATCATCGGGGAGCTGGAGACGATGACGGACAAACTACGGGAGTAAGTGACAAGACCTAGCTAGGACTAAAAACGGTATTAACTAGTACAGTTTATTATCATCTTTAAATCTTCCAGGCTCCTTGCAGGCTCTTGAGAAGCCTCTTGGACTGCCTCCCACTTTGGTTTCTCATGCAGAAGAGATGCGCCAGCAAGATAGTTTGAACCGGTTGCGCAGGTCGCTTGAGGACACATACCGGGTGAAAGCCAATGACAAAGCTGTATACAACGAGGGCGTTGAACTACTCGCGGCAGAAAAGGCGGAGGACAACGCTTCGCGCCGGAAATACGGAACTGACAGATGGGCTAGAGAGCCGTCTGACGCAGCGGCGCCGAAGCTGTACACCACTTCTCGGGAGATTGATGGCTACTTTTCATCAGCTCAAAGCAGCGACAACCTGGTGGAACAGAAGCTGAGAGACTCGGAGGCGGTGTTCCGCGTCTTGACTGGTACTAATCGAGACTTGGAGATGTACGTGCCTAGCAGCCGAAGGGCGGCGATCCCGCCAGAGGTTGAGCGGGAATCAATTCGGCTACGGGGTTGCTTGAGCGAAGTAAGTCGGCTGGAGAACCGACGGAAACGCCGAGCTCAAGCCTTGAAGGATAAAGCTAGATCGGATGATATCAGTAAGCCACCAGACTGGGGTTAATGGTCAGTACTCACAAATCTTAGGCAAAGCTCTTCTCAAGGAAGCTGCACGCTTGGAGCGAGAGCTTCCCATGCAAGCGATCCAGGCGAGTCAATTCGAAGATCTGTTCGAGGAGCAGTTGCATTTGTATGATACGGATATAGATATGGTGGCCCAGGAGCAGCACGAGCAAGACCAGATCGCTGCGCAGGTACGGGAGGCCAATCGGGCATTTACCCGGGCGCACACGGGCGATGCGTCGACGAAGGAACGGGAGAAGGCCTTACAGGAGCTGGAGAATGGATATTTGAAATACAAGGAGATTATCTCTAACATCGAGGTTGGGCGGAAATTCTACAATGATCTGGCTAAGATTGTTGGCCGATTCCGGGATGATTGCAAAGCATTTGTGCATCAGCGCAGGATGGAGGCGAGCCAGATAGAAGGGTAAGCAGCTCGAAAGGATTCTCTAGTGGATTTCTCGATGCTGACGTGACCAGAGAGATAACCAGTGTTGCGGCGATGGCCTCGCTCAACCTCTCTCAACCGCATCTGCGCCAATATAGCCAGCAGCCGGTTCAACCTGTTCAATCAGTTCAGCAACCGACTCAACCTCCATCGCAACCGGTCCAGCACCAACCACCAAGGGCTGAACCATTAACAGCACCCCAGCCGACGCGGGCGAATACCAGGCCCTCCATGGCGCCAGGCGTGTGGTCGCCCGAGATGGGGATCCGATTCGGAGCGCAGGGGACATGGGATCCAAGCAAGGGAGTGAAGTTTTCCTAATATATACTTGCACTATCCACACTTATAGAGTTCGGGCACATCATACATTACACCTATTTTAATGACCATTATAGAACTCGCAACATGACGGCAGCGGCTTCTGCCGCCAGCTCTCTTGTACATATTTTAAGGTCTTCACGCAGACTTAGAAATTGAAGACGGTCAATCCACATCTCCCAACGCCGTTTAGGAATTTTCCCGACAAGCTGTTTAGGCGCAGGTCCCAGAGACAAGCCCACGATCGACTCAGTCTTCTCGCCCATTCGTTCCCACAGTTCCTCCCCCATCACAACCGCCCAGATAGCGGCCGCAGCCACAAAGACATTCAACCGCGTCGGCTCATCCACTTTCCCACCACTCGAATCAAGCGTCAACGAAACGTCATGCCTCTCCTCCAATGCCCACCGTAAGACTACGATGCCGACGTGCTCCAACCCAACAATCCTCTCCTTCGTGATCAGCGCCAAAAACGCCATGAAGTTCACCCACCCTTCCGTCTCGACCTTGGTAAACCCTGCCCGCCTCCCCGGCTCGTCATCCAGCGCTTCGTGAACCGTCTCCTCGAACAGCGGCAGCTGCCTCCAGGACAGGTCCCGACGGGCATTGATGGGGGATTGCAGGTGGGTCGTGGGCATCGGCGCTGGGTCTATCTGGTGTTTGAGAGTGAAGAGAAGGGCTGCGAGACGGACTTGGAGTGCTGTTGGGACGTCGGGGGGCTCATGGGGTTTCTCTCGAGGGATTTTCCGGGATGTGTGAATTATTGTGCTCCAAAGGTCTCTCAGATATTCGTCTTTTTAGTTTGGTGTTTTTGAAATCTCGTGTTAGTAATATAGAGTTGTATATGTTATTTGTAGCAAACAAACAAACAAACCAAAAAAAAAATTACAGGGTTTGAAAGAGTCTCACAAAGGAAAAAAAGAAAGAAAAACAAGAAGGATATATATACCAAGGTCACTATCACCGCCATAATACACTTCATTCACGACACTGACTATCTCCTGCACGGCAAGCTCAAGTGCCAATTGCTGGCCCATGTATAGGGTAACGATGGCAGTAAAGGGTCTGGTCATGGAACCGTGGACCCAATGGTGGTCCATTGCTAGGGTGTCCAGGGTATCCATTATGCATTTGATTGAGAGAGAGATATATATAAACATATAGATCTTCACTCTAGTATGTTATAGTCAGATAAGGTGGGATGATGCTGGAATGACTATACTGGTCATGATGTCATGTCAGGTGATGGTGCTGAGACCCAGGGAATTTGGATCTGCCACTTATGGGCTTAATTCTCTGTAATGGAAAGAATGAATGATGGTCTGATATAATGGAGGACGAATTGATACACTCTACAGAAATATAATGGAGTTAGGCACTATACCTCTTTGGACTGTTGTACATCTACCCATACATGCTTCCTTCCCAAGTCTATCAATAGAATAGACCAGAACAGTTCCGAGAATATACCAATCAAGGGTTGGAACATTTTTTAATTTCCCCTCAGGTTCATTCGTATAATCTCCACATCCTGGTTTGAAAGTTCCAGTTTTCTCGTCAAATACCCCGTCACGCCCCCAAAGGACTGTTCAACCGCATCCAAGAATGCAACCATAGAAGCGGCTCGCACACTCATCAGCTCCAACAACCCGGCACTCTCCGGGGTCACAGGTCCGGAGATGGTCGGGAAGGCCGCCATCAGCATCTTCCGGGCGGGCTCAACTCCGACCCGACTGAGGACAAAATCGTGAACGATAGCATCAGACGGGGCATCCGCTAGCAGAAGGATCAAAGCGGCCAGGACACCGGTACGGTCTCTACCGGCTGTACATACGCACATCATTCAAGTAGATTAGTAAATAAGTCCAAGGATCCATTCCATGTAAACCTTAACCCCTCAATGGAAGAAGAAATAAACCGAACAGAACCACGCCGAAGTCAAAAACGTACCAGTACAGTGAAAAAGGAAAGGTTTCTGCGGACAATCCCGAATATGCAAGAAAACCTTCCTGTAAATCGGCGTCGAGATCTCGAGAATACACATATACATCTTCAGGAATCCGGTGACGCCTTGATCCTCTTGTTTGAAGTCTAAAGGATCAGTCGGTCCTGGCTCCTGGGTATACGGTGCCCAGACGATCTCGATGCCCTCGATGACAGGACTGGGCGATTTGGTTCGCTCATCAGGCCTGCGCAAATCGAAGACGGTGGTGACGCCTAGATTGCGGAGGGTCACTTTGCCCTCGTCTGAGATTTTGGATATGACGCCGGAACGGTAGACGTATCGGGGGCGCAGGTCGCCATTGCTGATGTCGCGGACGTTGAAAAGTCCCGGGATGGAGACGAAGGGAGGTTGAGAAGTTATGGTAGTGACTGTTTCGGCGGGGATTTCGGTTCTTATATCGGATGAGAGGATTTCTTGGAGGTTGTAGTCCATTGTTTGCTTCTTTATTCTTATAATTCGTTGCGTTACAGAAATTCCCGAGATGCGTCATTGGGCGGTTTATATGGCATTTGCATGGGCGATCCAAACTATTAATAGATTGATGGATGACTCTCCAGCCTTATACGAGGGCTGGGATACGAGGCCTCGGGCGAATATGATAAATGTCCTTGGTTTAATAAACGGTATGTGGATCCAAGAAAAACCCGAGGTAAAGAAGACCGAAAAACTGAATTAAAATCTTTGAAAGAGAAACCAAACTTCAATTTAATTAATATAAACATAAACACTGCAATAGTCATATCTGCTGCAGTAGTAACCAACCTTCCTTATTACATCCCCCAACAGAAACATATTCAGGATATCTCTCACACACCTTCCCTGTCAAAGTAAAAGGCAGATTGCCAGTAAACACACCGAGCATCGCAAGCTGGATCGCGCATTACCGTAATATTGTTCAACCCTAGACTTAACACCCGACTCTCAGAGCCGTATATCTCGAGTGCCGGCCCGAGTGGAGAAGTCAGCTTGCCTGTTTGAGCGAAGCTGGTAAAGTAGTCTTGTAGGATGTATGCCACCGTCTCGTTCACCACTTGGAAGATGGGGTTCTCGGCTATAGGCTTTTCACCCTTGATGTAGAATGTGTACGGATGGTCCAACCAATGCATGGCGGGAGGGATGGAGAATACGCAGGAATAACTGTTATCCTTGTGTGCGTGATTCAGATCGTATGACTTGCATTGAAAGCAGATGTCGGAAAGGGCAAGCGAGTCTCGCTCGAGCCAACTGCTGTACCCGTGGTTCCTATCTAGAATGGGTGGGTATACGTTGAGAATGACTCCTTTCATACTCTCCGATATGCCGGGGAAATGCCCGTCTACGAGTGAGGAGAGACCACTGTCTTGTAAGCTGGATGGAGGAGTGTACATGAGGGCTTCGTTCATGGTGTGGCCATTCAAGTACCTTCACATTATGATCGAACTCCCCACGTAGCAGCAGCATTTTACCTGGCAGGTCGAGGACAAAGATCCCGTCCACCACGGGTCCATAAGTGAACGTACCATACAGGGAGCTTGACACTTGATAGGCGTTGGCAGCGATGAGTTTTTCGGAAGATATCTGGCGAGCGTCTTCGATACTGCTGACATTGAGTAGTTTGAGATATTGGCGGAATGTTCGCTCCTCTTTGTCTGTGTCGTACTTCGGCTCCCAGGCGGGGCTCTGGAGGATAGCTTGTTGGAAGAGCGAAGGTCCCTGAAGCCCTTTGTATGCGGTGATCTGATGAAGGATGGACCCTGATCCAGCAGAGACGCCCATCACAGTGACCCAGTCAGACTGACCTCCGAACAGATGAATATTCTGGGTTACCCAGATCAAGCCGAGTCGTTGGTCATGGAGCGCGGCGTTGGGGTTCCTTTCCTGGATACTGTGAGACCAGCGAGCCAGCCAAATGCGCCAAGCTAGGTTGGTAGTTAGCGATGATGATCCTGTTTGTGTTATCATTTTGAAGGATGAGAGACTGACCCTGTAGTTTAGGGCCACATAGATGACCCCATCCTCCCCTTCCCGTTGGCTTCGCCGAATGAGACCAGCTGGATTGGCACCACTTTTATCGCCTACCATCCTCCGCCGTAGAAGTATACGATAACTGGGGCCAAATCTTCCTAGGATACTGGAATTTTGCTCTGAGCTCGGTCAAATACTTTCTGTGGAACCACAACATCAAGGAAGAGACAATCCTCCGAGATTCTGGGATCCTCCGGGAGAGCAAACGGGTAGGTAGAGACGTCGAGGGAGGCACTAAACGATGAGTTCGTAAATAGCTCTGCAGGAACAGTGGCATGATATATCTGCTCCATATTGGCGTTGCCTGCGGACAAACCCTCCCCACTGACCCAGTCTGGACTTCAGAGCGATTCAACTTGGGCGGCAACGGGGCTCGAAACCGCAGACCTCCCAGAGGTGGAGCGGCGTATCTGATATTACTGAAATTGTAGAGTTCAGTTGTCTGCTAAGATATCGTTAGTTTTTAACACTTCAGTTATTCGCCGTGAACTCTGACATACATTTAGAGAGAATACCTGATGGAGCTCATAACCTAGATCGACCACCAGTAGGCTGGAGGCTATGGATATGCGCAAATAGGCCGCAAGAAAAAGGGTAAGGGCTGTGAATAAAAAACCTATGACCTTTGTAGCAGATGAAAGGCAGAGGTGTGTGGCCAAAGGTCAACAAACAAAATCTTTAAGGAACAGCATGGGATGAATACATAAGAGTGCATTTTATTAACCAAAAATAAGCTCTTTTATATGTGTTACACAACATTCTTCCATTTTCCTAGGCTTTTATGGAGATAAATAAACTAATTCATCGCCGGGAAATGCCTTAAACTACCTCGGTCTGCTATGCGGACAAGGGCAGTGATTCACCTAACCCATGTTAACCTGTTCTCGATGAGGCACTCTGCCAAATTTAGAACTTTATCCGCCATGCATCTTACTACTGGATAGACAAGCTAGTACAATCTGTAAACCTCAGTGCTTGGCTGGTCTGGTTGTAAACAAACGAGAAGAGCGACTGTTTGGGAAGCCCTTTTAACTGACTGTAGAAACACAGGCTCAGCTCCTCGTGTTACAGAAATCTTCCAGTGAGATCCCATAGCAACCCTCAGAAAAGTCCAAGAACTTGTTTTTAATATGAATGTTGAACAGGGTGACACCTGTAGAGGAATATGAAGTCGTGATGACCCCACGTGATAAATCACTAAGGTTATAAACCTCAATAAATCGAGGTTCAAACAGAGAACATTGAATGCACTGACGTTATTTGCTTGATCAACTTTCTTAAAATCTGATCGGACATAAGATCTTTTAACTCCTTTTAATTTATATCTGAAAGGTAACATCAACCTCAGAAATCCTCTACAATGACATCCAATCCACACGGTTCGATGTTCTCCATCGGAACACACAACCTCTTCCTTTCTACAAGTGGGGTGGCTCGCGCCCTTGGTGAGCCACTCGTTATATTCATCACAGGCTCCGGAGATGTCGCCTCGTCCTACGTCGCAGTCGAGAGACTCGTGGCCACATTTGCACCTGTGGTTCTTTATGATCGTTCCGGCCTAGGACGTAGTCAAGAAAGCCCCAATAAACCAACGGCCACAGCAGCAGCCACTGAGCTGAACAAACTGCTACACAGCGCAGGCCTGGCTCCCCCTTACCTCTTAGCTGCTCACTCCTATGGTGGTCTTGTAGCGCGCGAGTACCTGCACCTATACTCCGATGATGTGGCTGGTATGGTGCTTGCAGATGCATCAACGGAGAGGCATAGTGAGCTAATCAACGATCCGGATCTCAACATTGATGCTGTACTGGGTGACCTCAAATTCAGCCAGGTCACGAGGCTACGCGATAACGCTCGACTTTCTCGAGACGAGTGGAGGGCTCGTGCAGCAGATATTACACGAGGAATACCTACATCACAGGCGGAATCCGCAGCTGTAGCTGAAGTATGTAAGACTCTAGGAAGCAAGGAACAATATCAGCGCCAAGCCTTAGGAGCGAGGCCCCTGAGTGTTATTCGGTGTCGTGGCTCTCAGGACTACCAACGGATTTATGCGAAAGGCGTGGAGGCGGGCAATGGTACTGAGGCACAGCGGACGGCATTCCGCAGGCTACTTGATCGCTGGGATCATTTCGATCAGCAGGCGCAGGAGGAACAGCTCCAGCTGTCCTCCAACAGCCGCCTTACCTATCTCCCCGACTGTGGGCATCATGTTCATCTTCTCCAACCTGAGGTAGTTGCGGACGAGATCCGATGGGTAAGGAACCAGATATTAGATAAAACGTCTGCCCAAAGGCTTTAGCACAGTTTCACTTATAAACCGCTCTCTAGATATATAATATAACAATGCTTTCTTTACTTACCCCTCTCGTGTTTATCTTCATCAGCATGCTACTATAATAAACAATAATTCCATGATATGGGGTGATGCTTACGGAATAAAGTCGATGACCTTGCCACCATTCTCGCAGGGGGGCACTTTAGCCCTCCTTGAGCGGGCTTTTTGAACGCTACGCCGAACTAGACAGAAGATGTTTTAAGGTAGAAAATCCCCTAAAAACTGATAGTACATCCCCTACGACGCAGCAAAGACGCCCAACGCTTACGAGGTTAAAACAAAACGGGGGTACTGTTCTCATTCATTGATTCGGTCCCTGTTCCCGTTCTTCTAGTCCGGCACTCTTGTTAGGGGACGGTATATAGTTGCATATGGATATAATCAAGTATAGTAATTCACCGAAAGCCCTCCTATATCAAACCTAATCAAACAAGGGAAAACAAACTTGTCAATTCGCTGACATAGGATTAGGGCACTATCCCCGCAACGATGTCGCCCTTCGGCACTCATTATTCTGAGCGAGAGAGGGAGAGAAACTTACAGTATAAATGAAAGAGTCGAATCGGTTCATCTAGAAGTGTACCTAGTCTTCTGATTCTACTATTATTCCTCTCAAAACAGCACGCATCGATGCAATTCGGCTCTCTGAGTGGCTACATAAATATACATACGTACCCAAGTGTATGTACGTTATATGTACCAACGACACCCAACAGTAATGCGACACAATGGTGAAATCGGACGAATGGAACAAGGAGCAATGTATCATCGATTAGGAGCACTTCGGTACGCGGGTCCGCTAGGTAGGGCTAGGGGAATCCCAAACAGGAATCTTCTCTGGGAAATCCTACGATTGGTTAAATTTATGGCATGATTGGATTAATTCGATAGTGCTTGTGGAGTATCTACTATTTATTAGTATTTACTCCGCGCTTCGGTAAAGGTCCTAACGTCGATGAGGATGAGGGAGAAGGGGAGCCTTTCATCTAATAGTTAGTATATACTGCACAAGGAGACACAATAATTAGCAGAGTCATATATCCCGTCGTCATTCATGTATTCATATATTATATATCGTACTGCACAAGAGGGTATCATAAATTAAGCATCAACGACTTCATTCGGGCATCCCTCCGCGGGCGCCTCTAAGCTCTCCCCTAGGAAGAAGTCCAACTCGCTGGGTCCCCCTTGCGAGTGTTCGTTTTCCGCCAGCTGTTCTAATAGGCTCAGGAATGGGTCCTTCTCGGAGGAGCCGGGATCGCCCGCCCCCGCTCCCGCCCCCGAAGTGCTGCCCTGTGACTGGGTGTCCGGTGTCAGAGCCGCTCCTGGAACGGACGCTTCAAATGGAAAGGTGGCGTACTGCGGCTGTGGCGGTGGTGTTGGCGCGGTGAATGGCTCGGAGAGGAATGCGGCTGGAGAGGAGTTTACAGCTGAGGGAGAAAATCCGAGACTGCTGTCCGTCAGGTTCAAGTCGGCGTCAAGCCATGGTGAAGGTGATGCATGAGGTGGGTTAAAGCTAATAGAATTGCTTTGGCCGGGCCGAGACGGGAGAGTTGGAGTAGCTGGTGGTATCGCCGGATAAATCGTTCTATTACCGTCATGTGTATCCGGGCGGTCAAAGTGGGCGCTGATGGTTCCTTGTTAGGCTGAGACAAATCATACTGAATACTATAAAGGAAACTCACAGTTCATCCATATCCACTAATCTTACATGGGCCCCTTCGACGGCTAAACCAGGATACCGATCCAGAAAGTCCTCCAAATGAAAGACTGGCGCAAACCGCACCGGACGCGCAGCTAGGGTTCGCACGAGCTCTGCGTGACATGCCGAAATACTTTGCAGCATTTCACGCTGATGCTGGACTCCTGAGCACGAGTGGCGCAGCCATAACAGCTGGTTCATCTCACGTGTTAGGAAGTCAGCGCTCGACGCGAATACTTCGCCTTCGCGACCATTGTAATGCACGCCGTGGGTGTGGACCGTGCCGGCGGTACATACACAGTAGGCAATTAAATCAGGCCATTCAATGCGGGGGGCATGGCGCGCTAGCTCAACCAGCTCAGCAATGGCATTGGCATGCGAGAAACAGAGAGTGGTAGCCTCGATCTGCCATGACTGATGTTGGCCCGTCCCCCGGAGCTCAGCAAGATCAATGGGAAGAAACGGTCGATAGAGCAAACAGTGAACAAGATGGTATATCAACTTGCTGAGAAGCAGGAGCGTGCTCTCTGGATGACCAAACAGGGCCTCAATAGAAGCGAACAAGTCCTGTGTGCCTGCCGCCCAGATGTCAAGTTCCTGACGAATCTTGGACAGATTGGAAAGTGCATGCCAAGGAAAGTGCGAGTCACCTTTGACACCACCGGCAGCCAAGTAGCGGTGGGTAACGCCTAGAATACGAGTAATATCAACTAGAAGAGCAGGAGCACCTGGGCCCTTGCGACGGTCCGATGTGAACTGGACGTTAGGACCGACCGGGTTGAACCATTCGCCGGTGTCGGATCCAACCGAAGGTAAACGTAAAACGATGGAGTGGTCAGCGAGTAGACAGGGCCGCCTGGAACCACAGGTGAGAAATCGATCCATGGTATAAGCCGTCCAAAATAGACGGCGTCTCATCTCACGTTCTGCACTACGGGCAGGGCTTTGGGAGGGTAGCTCGCTATATAGGTTTAAAGCAAGGACCATAGCAACAGCGTTGCCTGGTTGCGTCAGTTATGGACCTGGTATACTAGAGTTGGACCGCTTACTCAACGTCATGTAGGCCTTCCTACCATACCCATAGGCGAAAAAGGTCTGTGATAATAACAAGAGAGTTTGCAGTCCTTCAATGGAAGGATCGTCTATGTCCACCAAGCGCCGGGCCTGTTGAGCGTAGTCCAGACCTTGGGCCGAAGGATTTAGAACGGTATATCTAAGGAAGGTTAAAAAGTAATCGGAAGAAAAGACAAAATGGAAAGGACCTTATTGTAAGGGCATGAATGGCCATGGCTAAACAAACGGCTAGCTGCCCTCGCTGATGTCGCTGGCGGGTTACAGGCTCGTCCAAGATAAAATAGGGCCTGCCATGGAGTCGTGCAAAATAAACATCCAGCATTGAGTCAGGTAGCCTATGGCTGTGTGAAGACTGCTGGGGCGCGGGAGGTGGGCGGAATGCATGGGATGAAGGCGGGGGGTGAAAGTTCACCTGCGCCAAAAGTTGTTCCATCGGCTTTGTCGGAGAGGCAGAGGAGGTGGGCGACAGGGGATGGTTGTCATCCTGGAGACGTTTTTCTAGGCCGTCGACGCGCTTGAGAAGGGCCTCCAAGACATCAGTTTTAGGGCCACGCTTTTTTGGTACAGCATCTATAGACATCTGTCAGTGGATCCGGTATTCACCAAGGCATCCGATCTATGTGTACCATATATACAAGGGCACTGGAACACCTTGCAAGCCTCACAGCTCGGGCGCAGCCGGTTGCATTTGATCTGTAAATCTGTTAAAATCTACTGCTAGGGAGAGAGCTAGACAAAAGTTTGCCTACCTTCCTCTTCCGGCATGATTTGCAGTTCATCGACTCTCGCGGTTCGGCAATGACTCGGCGGGGGGTAAGCCGGTCGATGCTGACCTGAGGTCGGGACATGGCCACATTACATGACATATGCTTGCCTATGTGGTGAGACCTGTGAGGTTGAAGAGGAGAAAGGATCTAGAGAGAAAGGAGTAAAAATAAACTTGACAAGCATTGAGAAGAAAAGGGAAGAAGGGAAAGAAGAGGAGGTTAAAGACGGAATTGTCCCCAGATTTAAACGCAGTGGAAAAACGTGGAGAACACGGTGGGGACTACGCTTGATGGGGGTTAGCGTGACGGAGATACAGCCGATGCGGGGATGGTCGATTACCGGGTTTCAAATTTTACCACTATATAGAATACAATGTATTTCAATTTAAACCAAACCTACACACGAAGCCTTAAAGCTGAAGGATGACGGTGATCTGCAAAGATTCGGTTAAATACTCTTTTATCCTGGACGGGATTTTCCCCTGTCCATCACGGACTACCATCCGGTCCGCAATAACATGATATGCATCCTGGACTCTTCACATTCATTTCCCCTCCCCTTCAGAACATATGTATATTAGACTACCCTGACAAGCGTTTTTTTGTCACACCATACCAGCTTCTAGTCCTAATATAGTATCATTAGAGAGATTCCCATACGAAAGGATACGTCTCAATCAACAACCCCGCCCGAGGCCCCAATTTAATTAATTTCCCACCCCCGAGTCCTGAGTCGTTTATGTTCTGCAAGAGACTGCCAAACTAGCCATAATCTCTCCCTAGATTGGGACGTGTATATTCATTGTTCTATTTTGTTTTGTTTTGTTTTTGGTCCTCCTCGAAACTTTGTTTGATTCATATCTATCAGTATCCCATAGTTGTATATATACGCATATACATCAATTCAAAATACCCTGCCCGACGCCATTCGCACAAAATCAAATGGTACATTCTGCCCCACAAGCAGCCTTAGCGTCTCAACCGTGGTCCATGCATTCACATCTTCTATCCCATATGCTGTCCATCCCGCCCGCACAGCGACTCCTACAGGATCTCCCGTGCGTTCACCTCGGGTCAAGTCGAGGTACACTTTCCCTCGTGTAGATGGTGGTGAGGCCCGGCCACTGGTTCGGTAGTGTCGCAGCAACGGCTGTACTAGTAATGACTTCTCTGGTGGGAGCGCTGACACGATGACAAATGGTTGCTCGACCAGTTTCACAGACTGGATCGACGTGAATGGCTCTAATCCATCGGCCAGCGGCCCGCTCGCCCGGAACCCCACCGTGTAGATCGCGCCAACACCTAAGCTGCGCAGTGCGAAAATAGCCGCCGATGCTTCGCTCTCACTACCGGCGAGGATGATTGCCGCTCGACCGCTATATGCTGATGGTACATAGTCTCGTGTCAGTGTTGCCCGGATTCCCTTCCACGTCGCATTCTCCCCGACTAATTGGGGCTTGGGTGCCGCGCTTTCCGCTGCTACGATCGTATCAACTAATCCAATTGCATGTGCCGCCTCACTGGCTGCGAGAATACATGTGGCGTTGCTCGAGATCGGTGGATGTACTGAAGCTCCACCAAAGGAGGGCTGGGTGATCACACGCTCAATAGAGCCCGTGGGCCCACGATCAATTGATGTCAGCGTATGCGGCAGGCTAAGTTCGTTAAAGCATTTCTCCATGAACATTGACTGTGGTGTTGCGCGAAATGATCCAATAGCATATAAATCCCGCTTGGGCAAGTGGCCCATAATATGGAGAGCCTCATTTATCTCCGCCGCGGTTAGTTGTCCCGGTGCTGCGATCATTGGTAACAGTGGGTGCGTAATGGGTGAGAATACAGTATTGAGGGCTCGTGAAAGCTGACCCATCTGGCCCATGTTAACCGCCGATAGGAGCGGATACGATCCGTGGGCTCTCTTGATCGTCGATCGAAAGTACTCGAGTTCGTAGTTGGCCTCGATCGTATTGACCATAGCAATCATTTTCACAATATCCGCGTACTTGGCGCTTTCCGCAAAGATCCGCGGTGCATCAGGCGAGGTCCACTTCCAAGTCCCTGAGAAATCATGAAATGCTGACATGATGATGCTGTTACCCTTGGCTTCCGCTAGTCGTCTTCGAATATCCTCCGGCAGCCACAACTCGACATCTATATACTCGACACCCCACTGAATCGCCCGGCGAAGGTACTTATAAAAGAGTCCTGGGTCGTTCATGGGGAACTTACCATTCTCCTTAGTGCACCTGGTGGTGAAGATGATTGGTAGCTCGGTATGCTGCCGAAGCAGCATCAGTTGCTGCCCGACGTATCGCAGGCTGGGAACTGGGCCCGAGACGCTCAGAGGCGAGGGATCGACCAGAAGATCTACACGGATCTCGACTGCATCAGAGCCTACCGACAAGATGTCGAGGTTGGGCAGAGCCGCATGGACATCCGGAAAGGTTGTGGAAATAAAATTAGTGCGGTTCTTGGTCTTCAAGTCTTCGTGTGGTCTGGTTTGACCCAAGATCAGAGACAAAAACCGAGTCAAATCGCGCCGAAAGTAAGGACTCCGAAGAGAATACAGAAACTCATAATCGCAGCGATCAGTGAGCGATTCGTCCGGAAACGACCCATCATCAACGCAGTGCGTGTTGACCAAGATGCCGGTGGGTTTCTCGCACCCATTTAGGCTGCGACCCAGTTCGTCAGCTAATATACCAATGACGACAGCAGTGCTACCCCGCCCGAGCGTTGACAGCGACGGTTCCGTCGTCCATGGCTTTCCCAGAATCTCGGCAACAACCTGGACGATAGTCTCCTGGTTGGGGCCATATACGATGACGACGGCGCGAGAGGGCTCCAGAGGGAGGTCTTGGACAGAAGAAGTAATAACAAGGGGGGAAGGTCCTTTGAGTGAGGTAATAGGGGGAGAAGCTTCAGGGAGGAGTGTCATAGCCACGGGCTTATAAAGGGCTGTCTGCATCATTTCATTGCATGGGCAGTACTCTGCGCTCTCATACTGTATCCGAAAGATGCCGAAGCTCAATCAGAAATAAAAGAAAAGAAAGCAGAGTTAAAAAAATTAAATCCCACCAACAGCGCCCAATCTTGATACTTCGATCAGAACAATAACGGAGACAGGCAATATGGCACCCAAGATCAATGATTATCTTCACGAAAAAAGCAATGACTTGCCCACGTAGTCGAGTAATATTCCAACTGCTTCCCCAAGATATAGAAGGGAGAGTGGACTTTATCAGGGCCGATGGGGATGGAGGGTTGATTGGAGATAAGCGACTTAGTGTGCAATTACCCAAGACGTTCAAGGTAAAGGGCTGACACTGGATCGAATCACAACTCGCCCAATAAGTAAGAGCAAATGGCAGCCTTAAACCAGTGCGTTATAAGTAAGACCAGAATCACATCTGTCAAAATACAATGTGGACAGAGTGAGGAAGGCGATAGAATAGGACCAGGGTTTGTTCAGTTGAATGAAGTTAACTTGCTTCTCTTCCGACGGCTAAATTTCCCCGGAATTTCAGCGCCGCACTACGGGGAGCGGAGTCGATTTCTCCGCCAATCAATAACCTATATACCTGGAACCTTAGGCATCCTTCATAATACCAGTAGTATAACAAAATCCCAGAAGTAGGCTTCATTCATTCTCGTGTCTCTGGAAAGAAAAAGACAAAAAGGAAAAAATCTTTTATTGTGGATGGGACGATCATCTGGAAACTAAAAAGCACAATATTCTTTTATCAACATTATCCAATCCAAGAAATTAGATCATTCTTTCCAACCTCACGACTTCATTTTTATTGTTTATTGGACAGGGGTCGCCAAAGACACAGGCCATCCACAACTCAAAGAGCTATGATACGAGGAAAAAGCCTCGCATGGTGATGTCTCTACCGTCTTTCGTTGGCTCGTGGATACCCACCAACACCCCCTGACCTATGTACATTCTGCGGCGGTATCATGCATAGCAAAACTAGGGCCTATTTGTCCGTTAGCCACCTGAGGACTATATACTACTAATCGATTTGCCAAATCCTAGCAGATTGCTACACATCTGACTCATATCACTTATGCGTCTCCCTCGGCACAAGGTCTGGGAAGTCTCAGAAGCAGGCCATGATTAATTTAGTGAAATATGCAACAAACAGGGCACGAACCACCAATATGTCAAACGAAGTTGAAGAAATGGACCAATAGTATCAACCAATAGAAAGGGGTATTGAAAAATAGCACAAGAAGTAACAAAATAAGACAAATTGTAACAGGCGAAAAAGAGCGATCACTTGTGCAGATCCTCCAAAGATTGCGAAAATTAAAAAGCCGGGATCAGTCCAAACGGTGTATGTGCACAGATGCGTACACCCTTGGAATGTATGCTATGTATGTACCTCCACGACTCAAAACCGGAGTCAGTGGTATGCCATGAACGTGATCATTACGGAGATATGGTTACCCGTAGAATATCCTGTATGTCCGATGCATCCCTTTACTCCGTCTCCGAGATGCAAATGCAAAGATGCCGTGAAAACATCAAACTTTGTAGTAAATAAATCGTAGCACCTAGCACCCGGCGGGCCGTGATGTAGCACGTGAGCCAGGGCTGTACACGCCACCAGTGCTCAGGAAGGAAGCTTTGAATTCTCAAGTTGCAAAGCATTTGCAAGCATAACTTCCACCAATTCCCGCAGCACATATCCGCATGACGCCCGTATCTGCAATGCGCTAGAAACGCGACCCGCGGGTACGTGGCATGCGTGCAACACGGGATGCGCCCTATCCAATAGCAATGAGAGATATGCACTCCACCAGGTCATGTTTCATCTTTATGGGGGTGAAATGGCCAGCCCGTTCATGAGCTTGGGCAACGGCTTTCTACGAGCGTTGTTTGCCGTCTTTGATACCCGAGGAGCTCCGTGGATCATGCGAGGCTCTTTCATCAGACTGTTATCAAGCTTTGCCGGTGCTATAGAGTAGGCGTCAGTGTGAACAAAGATGGAGAATTTCCAGAAATACCACTGACCTCTGGTGACCACACGGGTATAATCCCCAGATAGACCTGGTTGGCCCCTGCTGCCTGGACTGAATGAACTAGCGCTGGCAGTTACCCAGAGGTGATTTGATGTATCTGAAAGGAAATCCGTCTGCATGCGGCTGGAGAAGAAAGATGTTCGTCCACGATTGCGCTTAGATAAAACAATCTCATCAAAAAGTGCCATTCTTGGGTCCTTGGACTTCGGATTAATTCTCTCTCTTTCACTGATAAATTCATTAAAGCCTGGTGGGATGTTAGCGACCGCATTGCATCTAAAAAGCAGAAATCAATATTATAAGGGTGGCGTACCCTGTGTTTGCTGCAAGACAGCGACATATTCAGCATGCTCGCCCGGCAAGCTCTTGAGGAACGCCTCCATGTTGAAACTATAGGTTAGCCCCGCTTTCTTCTTATCACCGGAAGCAGGCTGTAGGAACTTCTTGTAGGTATAGAGCAAGCTGGCAAAACATCTAACAAATGCGGCACGAATCTGTTCTGGATGGAACGCAGCAGGGCACACTAGACAGATCTGTAGGGCGCAGCGATTGTGTACAAGGGTCTTGCAAGCATTGCACTTGTACATGGCCTCATCCGCCCTTTCGTCACAAATTGCACAGACGGATTTGTCGTCACATGGCAACACCTGCAAGCAATGCCCCTCCACCCAGCAGGTTCCCTCAGAGTTGTGAATTGGTTGCGACGAAGGCTGAGGGACAATTGTGGACGCAGCAACCGTCGACTGGGCATAGACAGAGGGTGCATAAGTCGATCCAGAGTTATAATCCGTGTTCAAGGTCGTCACAGATAAATTCGAAGTATGTCCCAAGAAAGGGGCACTTGGTCGTCTCGGGACGCCTCCTCTTAACTCCATACCGAACGATGAACTTCTTCGGGACGCAGCGTCGAAATGACCAGAGCGCTTCTCGCGTAAAGATGCCTGAAGAGCCATACCCGAATCAGTTCGCGATGAAACTGGGAAATGACCTGAAGTGGGTGAAGTGTCCCTAGGTGAGGGAGGCGATCCAGTCTTGGATGATCCAGTGCCCGGCCGGTCAGAACTCTTAGACGAGTATCCCCTGGAAGGAACCTGCTCATACCGAGCATGCAAATAAGCGTTGAATACTAGAGGTGGATACGTTCCCGACATTGAGGCCTGACCAAATGCACTCGAATTAAGACTGACATATTTGGCTAACTGGGTCGACTGTGCTTTGGAATGGAAAATGGAGGAATTCTCTGACATGAATGCATCGAACGGGAATGCCTCAACTGCATATGCTGGTGGACCGGTTGGAACTCCGCATCGACTGTGATGGGGTGCCGCTAGTTGAAGTAACGAATGTAGCTTCCTCCGCTGGTGGCGCGGTAGAGGGGTTGGCCGGACTGTGCTCTCGATGAGGTCTGAGTCGAGATCCACCAAGACAAAGTCATCGGACGGCAACTCAACCTTCTCATATCTCCGCTCAATGCCCACAATATAAGGGCAAGGAGCTTCGAGAGCCTGGATCAAACGTGCAGGCAAGACAGGAATAAGCACCCCTGCCCATGTGAGTGGGAACAATAGATCCACTATGGCTCTAGTAGCCAGATAAAGCATCGAAGTATGGGACGACAGGAATATTATACGCGACTCAGTCAGTGCATATTCGAAAAGTATGATAATATTCGGCAATGACAAAGTTCGAAACAACGCATAGATATCTGTGTTTCGGGAGCCCGGCAGTTCGTTGGTAGCCTCTTTTCGCGCGAATAGGCGCAATTCCCGGACCGAAAGCTCTACTTGGGTTTTTGAAGAATTAGGGCTAAATGCCTCGGTGCATAGGTTCATCACGTATCGTTCCAGGGGCTGCCACATGCCCATCCGTGGAGAGCTTGGGGGAATCCGCTGAATACTCCCATCGGTCATTGGGACAATTACTGCTTTCAACCATTCTTTCCAAAAACTGGTCATACTCTCTTCCCGCCCAAGGATACCGTACGCGCGGGGGATCCAGAATCCCGTATCGCCGTCAGTCAACCCTTCAATTTTCGAGGCCGCGCCGTGGCGGACTGGACGTAAAAGATCGGTCATTAGGCCAATCTTTTCTTCAACCGCACTGATTTCGTCCTCCAATTGCTCTCTCTGCTCAGATCCGGAAGGCACTGTGGGCAATTGAGCCAAAAGTCTAGACAATTTGGCGCGTTCACTTGCTAGCCTTTCACCGAGACTCGCCGCTAGCTCTCGCTCTTCGTCCGTCATGTTGTCTTTTCGCCACTCCTCGCAGCGCTTCTCTAACTCCTCTGCGGCTCGCGGGTTTAGTGGAATCCAGATGATGACACAAATGGCGTGTAGTCGCGAACCATTGTCAGTTGTCATGACAAATCCGTGCCAGGTAGAGCGCGGTCTCTGGTCTGAAGAAACAATATTGATATCATTTGGAAAGGCAAACATGGGCACATAGTCCGGAAAATTGCCTCGCTGCTTGAGCTCGTCGGACATCCCTTTGGTTGGGTACCGGTCAAGGAGGACGGGCTCGAAACGGCGCTTGAGCGGGTGCATGGTAGGAGAGGTCTCCAGAGGTTGTGGTACCGGAATAACTGAATTATAGTTGCTAAGGCGCCGCGAGGTCCGGATGGAAGCTGGCAGAAAATGTGGTTAGCAGATTCGGAACTCTCATCCGTTGTAATGTCGCAAACTCACCTTGACGAGCAATTGACGGCTGCCGTTTCATACTATTCATATCTCTGAATGCCATGTGACGCCGTACACTACCAATGCCTGATCGAAGCAAACTGGATGGTTGGGAAGGGGTCTCCTCGGAGACGATCTTTTGTGTACGGAGCCTAGATCTTGGGCGCGATGTGGGAGTTATCGCACCGGCACTCAGGCTCAAATCCGAAAGAAACGACTCTCGCTCAGACGCAAACTTGAACAAAGCTTGATCGAAGTCGAAATCTTCTAGGAATGACGAGCCTCTGGGCGATTGGTTACCCTTAATGGTCAGACTGCTCCGGTTGCTGTTGGTCCCATTTCCAGACTCACTGGAGTCTCCCGATCGCATTGAAAACCGCTGGAAGGAATTGCGGCCACCTGCCATCGAATTAGGTCGAGAGAGTCCGTCCAGACGAGGGTCATGGGCTTCCTCCGCGTCTGCATCTTCCTCAATGGTGTCCGCGAGAGCGGGGCCCGGGGAGGTGGCACTGTTTGCTCTGTATTCATCGCCCAGTCTCTGGAAAGTTTCTAGTATTTCCGTGCCATCTACACCAGCGATCCAGAAGTAGTCTGCAAGCGGGGTGGTCGACACCTCGGGGGTGGAGGAGGATGAGGAGAAGGGCATTTCGTTGAATCGTCGCTAGCCGATCGCGGGGGTTGTAATCATCAATCGTCTCAATTCGTGGACTTCGTTACAACATGGAGCGAATCCAACCCTTGACGCTACAAGTTCCCCACCAGCATCAACAGGGAGGGGTAGGGGTGCGAAATTCAGCGATCAGAAGCTTCGGAATAGATAGATTGGTGACGAGAGTAGGAACGAGAACACATAAAGTCTAGAATCGCGACGATGTCGCAAGGTTGGAAAAAATGGTTAACGAGAGAATTCCCAGGCGACAGAGATTGAAGCGAGAAGGGAGCAGAAACGAAGCTTTTGTGTTGTTGCGTAGGAAACTTTGTCTGGGGGTTGGATTTAGTGCCACTTGCATTCACAAGAAAAAGGAGTAAATGGTGGACGGGATTGGATGAGGGGGAAACAAGAAAAGAAAACGGAATTGGATATGACAGTGGAATAGGATATAGAGGAAGGCTCTCTTTTTTTCTGGTTTTTTAGACCTTGACTCCTCTTTTTTTCTTTTTCCGCTTTTTTATTTTTTCTTTTTCAGAAAAAAGAACATCCCATGCAGAGACAGATGGTTGCGTAGACAATGCCCGTAGTGGTCAAGCAGTCAAATAGTAGAATGGAAGGGGGGCGGAAAGAGAAACAGCGGCCGAAAGTAGAGCGAATGTCCGTCTCTCTCACACTCTCCGCACACGCACAACCGATAAACTGTCAGTGCACAACTTGCCTTTATCTTGTCTCTCTGCCTTTTTCCCTCAACAACTATTACCATTACTATTACTACCTAAGAAATTTAGGGCCAACTGCCAATAGCTGTAGGTACCCACTTACTTGCTGATGGTTGTTATTCAGGGTAAACAGGGCAAAAAATTTTTAAACAAAAATAAAAAAAATTATAAAAAGAAAATAAGGGAAAGAAACAAATAAATTAGGCTCAATAAAGTAAAATTAAATATGAAAATAGGAAATGGTTGGGAAGGATTCTGTTTAATTTGGTTTATTTCAATGTTCTACAATGAAATTGATTCAGTTATTACATACACATTCCCAGCAACTTTCTCCAGGAAAGACAACTTCAGAGAAAAGGAAAGGCGAAAAGGAAAAGGAGAGAAAAAGGAAAAGGAGAAAGGGAAAAAAAAAAAGGCCCAGGCAAGGGAAACAATAAACGTGCAGGTACATCTGTCTGCTTAAGCCACTCAAGAAGGATTTCGAACCCCATTTGATGCAGGAGATACAGCCATCAATCTCCAATGAGGTTCAAACTACTGCAAGTGTACCTCCAGATGTCTAAACTTTGATACATCCCCATCCAACCACCAACCATCCCACTTATATCCACACACATAACACACCGCCAGCCCTGACTTTTGTATTCCTTCTACTTCTCCCTCTCTCTCCCCTAAGATATACTGACCAAAAAAAATAATGCGGAAAATTACCACCCGACGTCAGGGATTATTACCCTGATCAATTGGAAAAAAATCCAGGAGACGGGAGAAAGATCAAAATCCATGGGACAGGTGGAGCCCAGACGTGCACAATTGCTTGGCCTGCCATGGTTCGATTTCCCATTTGTCTCTGTGGTTAGGTTACTGCGAAAGAACTACCGTTCAAGAGCACCATGGGAACACAACATTACGACTCCCTTGCTGTGCATCCTGACCCTGTACTACCCGTCCCTCCGAAAACTCTGAAAGGATCGCGGAACTGGTCCCGAGTCCACAAACTGCATATACATATATATGTGTGTGTGTGTGTGTGACCTCAATCAACTAGTCTACCCGTCTCACTGGAAGTTTGAAAATACAATTAATTCCAATGCTAAGATGGAGAGGGTGTTTGTTTCTGGATCGCACTTCATTCATCGGAACTATACTCCAGGTGTAAGGTGGTATTTCCACCTCCCGAGACTTCTCTTTACACTAACTGCGTAGTCTCTTCCTGAGCGGGGGCCGTTACTATAAACAAGTCCGTCCGCCTTAGCCTACCGAGACCGAGAATTTGGCATAGCGGAGACTCCGTGGTCTGGAGATTGGCTTGCCTTTCCGCGTGATTGGCCGTGGTCCTCTTGAGCAGGAGTCATTCATGGAACCAAATGGTAAACAGGCACTGGGGACTCCATCATCCACCCTCCAATGGAGTTACTCAAACTGGGAGCCCAAGGCCGATTCTCTCCATGGAGCGGGTTCTGCCGAGGTTAGAAGCTAATTACGGGACAAGTCTTTTAGGAGTCCTTTTTGGTTGCAAAGACCGGGATGGGATGGATGGTTATAGATATCACCCGTCACCGGGATACTATTATTATCTTGTTTGTTTCTCATCATATACCCATAAAAGTTCAAAAATGATAATGGGATTATTAATAACATCACTGATAGTTTTGTAAATAAATGATTGAAAAAGACTTGGCTGGTAACTGTCAAAAAGGAGGTGGTGGTGTACCAAATATGGATAGAGCTGTGGTATGACCTTTTGCCCTGCGCTGTGCAGAACCCTCCAATTATCTTAGTCAAGAACAGCAATGATAATCGCAGTAAATATTTCGAGGGTAGTGCTGATCACCAGTGGATCTCTTTGATAAGAGAGGGCCATTTGAATTTCGTCATACTCCGTAGAGAGAGTAGTAGTAATTGTGATGATCGTTTGAGAACGAAGAAACATTCTGAGCGGTGGGCCCTCAGGTAGTATGATGAATAAGAGAGTATTAAAGAATTCTTAGGCTCCCCCCTTAGTAAACCCCCCTTCCTCCTTTCCTTCGAGTCACTGAAGCAACATGTAACAAACAGTCAAGTATGTATGTATGCCTGTATATACAGAGTAGATAATTCTAGATGGTCCTCTTGTAGAAATATGAAGTACCATGTACCTACTTTAGGGAGTTTCATTTTGACTCACGGTGTTTTTAGCACCATGTAGATCTAATCTAGGTACTTCCCTGCGCAAACTTGAGAAACAACATCCCAATATCGTTGACCGTGGCAAACCATGGACAAAGGACAGATGTTAAGTTACAGGGCCTTGTTCCTTACATAACGCTACCTGGTCAACCTGCATTGGCATGCATCTCCGTACATATTTAGTCTGTCCTCTAAGGAATACTGGGTTCTTCGGTAACTATTGCTGATAAGTGGCCTTGTCTTGTCGCGCGACTAGTCTCCAGCGCTAGTATGTACTACTTGCTGTCATACAGAAGGTGCCTTGCAGCCTTTATTTACTTGGTACAGACAAGTTGGGTGGGCTCTCTCCGTGGGCTAGGTGTGCACGGTGGGAACGTGCACCACTAACAATTAAAAGGGGGTGGTGGGTGCCTGAGGCGGGGTATTATATGCTTTTTGGTTTTGTTTTTATTGTACCGTACTGTACTCCGTATGCGTTGTTGTACTGTATATGTACATATGTGTAAGTTCAATATTCCGGTTTAATGTCTCCTCCTAACTAAGTATCGCCAGGCCCCCGGAAGTACCTAATATTTCCCCATGAATTGTTCTAGCCATTACATTTGGGTTAGGGAATGCGTCTAGATTCCTTATCCGCTTCAATTTTGCTGGAGGAAGAACAAACCATGGAACAGAAAGATACCTTTTTTTTTGAAAAAAAGAAAAAGAAAAAAGAAATGTATAAATATCCGGCAAAAGGGTTCTAGACTGCTGACAGAAACGAAATACCGGTTTCATGATGGATGTTGCGGTCAAAAAGAGACCAATAAGCTCTTGCAAATGTTCTTGTTCCAACAACCAAAGATCTCGGAAAGCTTATGTCAAACCCACCCCTACCAATACTAGTAGTAGGTGCTTACTAGGTACTTCTATACATGTCCTCGACGAAACTCATCATATCAGAAGATAAGTATCATGAATATCTAAATTTTGGAAATTGCTGTTGTCGCTGAATTTTGCCGTACTTTTGGCAACTCACAGAGAAGCCAGCTAATTCCAGCCCTCTCTGCATGTGCGTGTAACCTGGCTGCTGCAAAGGGATTCAAAATGTGGCTGCGCCTAGATCGATTGCCTTTGTAGCACATCCACAGCTTGGCTCTAAGCCCTCAAAAATCAGAAAACCTTAAAGCTTATATCACTGATTGGTCACTAACCCAAGCCATCACAGCTGGATGCTAGTGCCACAACACAAAATCGTAAATCAATTGTTTCGAGCGAAGTCTCCTGAAGACTGACGATGTCACGAAATTCGGCTTAATGACGATGGACGTAGGGGTTACACATGAAGATAACCAAGTTTAAACTTCGGAAGTTTCACGTCCGCCTTCGCGTTAATAAGTTTCCGGTCGTCAAGAAGCCTTTATCTCCCATAGTCCCCCTCCATTCGATGGACAATTGTCCGAGAACGGCTCGACCGTCTCGTTTCAGATCTTTCTGTAAAGCGTCCAGCCCTTCCTGTTGCCCTTCTTCTTGTTCAACGAGGAACGCAACTTGTAGGACGTCACGTGGGTTTAACGTTGGCGGTTGCGAATCGGACTGATCCGGCCATTCGAGGTCCCAATTCAAAGAGGTTGCCTTGAATGGGGGCTTGGGGTTCAATTTCGTTTGCTACCGAAGAAATTAGAATTACAGATATCACGAGGTTTGCTCCACTTACCTTTACAACCACTGCCCCATCACCCACGTTCTCTAGTTGCGCTTCCAGGGCAAAGCGAAGGAGTCGGGTCTTCCCATAAGGCCCTAGAGATTTATTTTCAACCTCCAATGGGGGCAGCTCTGACGATTTCGTCCGGACACTAAGGCATGGCTGTGCGACGAATTGATAAAGCTTGCGAAAAGTTCTCACTCGCCCACTGGCCGCTTGCGAGTCGGATCCAATTAGTGTTTCCGTGTAGCTGACACTGACTGCCAAGATGTGATTTCCCTCTTCCTTGAGATCAAATCGAACGATCTTCTGTAACGATTGCCCCTTCTGTAGGCCATCTCTGGCGGCTGCGTCATCTGCCGGTTCTAGCTCTAGAGATGCTACTTGCGATGGAGTCTGCATCTCTGCGACTATTCGGACTGACGTGACAATACGCGAAGTCTCGTCTTCTGCAAGCTCATTATTCGCACTAAGAGTGCAAGCAAATGTTTCTCCAACATAAGCGGATCCAAAGGCAGGAGGTAATGTAAGCTTTAGTTCTTTATTAGCAGATACTCATCAGGATTCCAACGAAGTCAGGAGCTGCTGAATTGCTGTCGTACATTAGGAGTGAGAATAAACTGATTGTCGATACTGTCGGAAGGATAACTCAATGATGCTTTGTTTGAAATCTTCGTGTTTGCTTCTGGTAGAGGATACTGGTAGGACATAGAAGGCCGCGATAGCCTTACGAAGTCAGATCGGCATTCACAAGAGCGCATATTGCTTACCGCAAGACTAAAACGCTAGTCAGCCAAGTCGCCGTCTAGGCAATAAACCCCAGTAGTGCGTACCTTTTAAGGAGACCGAATGAGGCTCTTTTGATGTCTCGGCACTCGAGTGAGCGCGTGGGCGTGCCATTGGTAGGTACTAGTAGGAAGTAGAGAACAACTATTAGTAAAGTCTTGATGGGAGCCAAAAAGCAATGGTGTCGTTCGTCCCTCTCTAACCTATCATTATCGGGGACAGCTGACATGTGAATGAAAAGGCAAACAAAACAAACATGTCAAACATCACAAACCTCCGCATGATCTGTCAAATCTAGTGAATCAATCTCAAACAAAGATCTTGGATGCATCTCCTTTTCTAATTTTACTAACCATCGATCGACTTCTTAACATCGATTGCCCCCATCTGTTCTGTGTCTCTATCAAGATTGCAAGACAGATACAGAGGATTCTTCTAGTGTTCATGATTCATCTAGAAACCGCCTCCTGAACGGAGAGCTTATCGTTATCGCTATCGCTGCATGACCGCCGCGGGACCAACTCTTCGCAATCATACTCGACATTGGATTTCTTCAAAATGGGTGTTACATCACGAAAGCCCTCCTGTCAACAGATCATGGCATCTTCGTCTCCCGCAGGGCATCTGAGCCGTACGTCTACAGCCAAACGAAAGCGAAGCACGGACGAGAAGACCAGTGTCACATCCACATCTGCGAAACGTACTCGCCGGAAAGAGGGCAGCCATGTAACAGCTTCAACGAACTCAGTAGAGGTGATCGATTTGACCGGCGATTCACCCGTTGCCGGTCCACATAAGATAGTGAAAAGCGCAAAGGCCAAGCAATCGCCAGACGCGGGAAAGTCTGAGCGTCGAGCTCGAGTGTTTCGCAAACACCCGCCACAGACTTTCCTCCAGCGATTGAACCGCGCAACGACTCAAAGGTGCGATACCAACTTAGCTTTCATGGCAAATACTTCGCTCATATCTGTGATTTTAATAGGATGTTCGTTCTTGGATACACTGTCACTGGCGCTGATGATGTTCCTGAGATGAGCTTTGATATTGCTGGGACGACCGGAAACATTTACAAGACAGTTATCGGGAAAGAGCCAACCTGCAGCTGTCCGGATGCTCGAAAAGGGAACCAGTGCAAGCATATCTGCTACGGTCAGCTGAACCAAGGTGGCATTGTTCCATTGTTCCCGATGTCACTATTGTCTTTTATGTATTATTATTATGACCACACCCAGATGTTCTAACGGTTGTCGCCCTGAAGTTTTAGTCAACGTGCTCAAAGCGCCGCAGCATCTCCAGTACCAACTGGCATTCTTGTCGATGGTAAGTATGTAACTTATCACGTACTTCCTGAGCTAATATCACTTTTCCAGGAACTTCGCGAGATCTATGAAGGAACCACTTTGAGTCGCAACCTAACCAAATCCGAAAGTGATAACGGAGGCCAGAGGAAGTCAGTTGAAGGAGACTGTCCTATCTGCTTCATGGAATTCAAACCCGAAAAAGAGGATATTGTCTGGTGCCAAGCGGCGTGCGGAAATAACATTCACAAAACATGCTTTCAGCAATGGGCTGTCACCCAACGCTCTCAGGGTGTCCGCTGCGTTTATTGGTATGTGCTCTGTGTTCCTGTTCTCCTGGAGTATAACTAATCGTACTTTTACCAGCCGTTCTCCATGGCAAACGGATACAAAAGACCTGAACTTGGAACAGCTCACAGCTCAGGGACACTTGACTTCTGATGGGTACATCAATGTAGCTGATCAGCTGGGCCTTTCCGGCCTACGCGGTACGAGACCATCTCTGTAGTCACCCTGATTATCTTTTTCTCCCTTTTCTTAAAATGAGACACTAACACTTCATTCTCTAGACTATTCGACATATCATCCTCACTGGGTCTCCCGACAATTGTATCCTTATGGTTCGCGTAGACGCAATTGACGATGAGGAAGTGTGGTACTAGTCATGACCAATGAAGGTTTTGCGGATCTGGTGTTCAGTGACTAAGTGTTAAGATTGCTACATACCGAAGCGTTGGATGAGAGTTTGTAAATTGTTGCTTCTCTGAGCTGGCTAAGATACCTAGGATTTATTGCTAATCGAGTATGTTATTGGTATATCTATATCCTGTTCGGAAAAACAGATATTTATCTATTTTCGAAATCTTTTGGCCATAATGGCACAAGTAACTGTTTACCATCAACACATTACAATGCTTCCACTCATCATGCACCCCACTGGATTGGGGCCAGATACAAATTTCCACTATATCCTCCTAGCTTCTTAGCGGCATCCTTGAAACCCACTACGTGTCATGGAGTCCAAGTCCTTGGCAAGTGGAAGGGAGGCAAGGACCAGGGCGAGAGTTTCTATAATTCTCGTGGGTTGCAGACAGCATGATTTGAACCGGATATGGCTATGTAGACGGTTATATGATATCGCTTAAGCGCGTCTTCCGCTAGGATGAATGTGTTACCTCCAGTTCGTTGTGTATAAGAGAAGTGAAGTACGCATGACACCAATAGATCTTCCCTTTCATCCACTGTCTTTGATCACGCGATGTCCTCGATGAACGACCGCAACAGTGACAGCCTCTTCACCTGTCATCCAGGAAGGCATCCGTTCCAGATCAACGACACCCAGTTCCGCAAGCTTGCGAATTCCGCTTATAACATCCGAGCCAGCCAACGTAAGCGAGAGAGAGTATTGTGCATGGTCTGTGTCTTCATCTTCATCCTCTCCATCCGGGCGGTCCAGAAGTCTGACATCAAGGCGGTCCAAGGGAGCAGAAGACAACGATCCAGAAGTGCCGAAGCGGGAATGAATAGCGAGTTTGCGCTTTTTGGGGACATGCGAGTCTTGTTCTGAACTCCAAGTTTTGCTCCCTAATTGCTGTGTCGCGGATGTCTCGTTTCCTTTCTGGTCATCTAGGTCTTTTCTCTTGTCCTTCACTGCTTCGGTTTGGGTGAGGTATTCTTCGGGGGTCACCGTATTCGATGGTCGAGGGTCCAGTGGGCTCCCTTCCACCACGGCATCGGCAAATATGCTGAACGCGCCATTGGCTCTGTTTGAGCGGCCTGGTCCTCGGAGCGCTAAAAGCGCCTGGAGGCTCTTTGCTGTCAATGACGTCGCTTTAAGGCCGTATCTTTGCTGCGGAAGTGACAACGCTTTCGGGACGGCGTCTCGCACGATGCGCTGTAAGCTTCGGGTATCTGGTGCAGCCGCATGGCTAGAGGAAGCTTTGGAGCCTGTAGACGACGCGATAGAAGTATAAACGAACGGGCAACTATCTGGAAAAGCGACATAGATCACCTTTGACGAGTCCGTGAGCGTTTCCGGTGGCTGGCGCGGGTGTTGATAGGGCGAGTTGGTCACGAATATGCGAAGGAGAGTGAGGGGTAATGTATTCGACCGGGCAAGGTAGTAATGCGCTTTCACCAAGGGGGAGATTTCCTGCTGGAGATTATTAAGAAAAGTCGAAGCATGGATGCGCGGAATGTAGGACGAAACATCGGCTCCGGTGTGTCGAGCATTATCGGCGCCAATGCGAGTGAGCTCCAACGCCGTCCATCGCAAACTCGATGGATGGCCATCCATATACCGAAGGTCAACCATTGCAAGCTGGAGTAACGTAATACCGTGTCTCCAATCGCCTTCAAGTATGCGATCAATCACTTCCCGCTTCCCACCCTTTCGCACTTGTAGCTCCTGGTAGGCATTGCGCACGTTGTCGATGGTCCGCTCGGCCGGGTACGGACCGAGTTCTTCATCATCCGTGCCCTCAGCTTCGTCTCGTTCCAGGTATGGCGCAAATGACTGAACATTGCGATCATCTAGCCAGTAAAACACGAGGTCCAGCAATGCCTGCCGAGTGAGCTTCCCTAGTGACTTAACGAGGGACGGTGTTGTGGAGGGGATGCGGAGGTTGCTGGGAAGACTGGCAGTGGTGGGAGCGCGGATCGTCTTTGGACGTGCCATTGATTTAGTAGCTGCTTTGTATGGTGTCTATATAACGGTGATAAGTCCTAGCGCATTATCCCCGGTCCGGGGTGTGTGGCTCTGAGGTGGGCTGTGGAAAGTTCCATCTTCCATTCTTGAGGAACATCACTGCCCAGGCCATCAACAAATAGGATCACGTGGTGATAAGAGTTAATGATCATCGATGATATGCACTGTCAATGAAGAAATGGACTTTTATGTAAATATACTAGTAGCATTCAGTGCTAAAGGTTTGGATACTTAAATCTGCTCAGTGGCCGACATTCAGTATTCGGATTCCATTGTGCATGTAGCCACAGCCCCGAATATCCCACGCAGCCGTCCCCCAGGCCACCATCATGTTTGCTACGGCATTCTGCTATACTTCCAGATGAAACCCACATGGCAGCGAAGCATAAATCTATAGATAGTGTTAAATGAAACACTAGCTACAGAGGATAGATAGTAAGGAGAGATCTAGAGTAAACGGTGATAGGTTTTGAATTAGAGAGCTTTGCAGCAGTACACTCCGGAAAGTGCATCTATTTTCGCATGCTGAAATACCTGTAGACTGGGATATAGAACGCGAGAAACCAAGTAACAAACAAGCCATCTTTTATAACCCCATTGGAGTGGAGTCTGAACCATCAAAAGGACATTGAACAATCGTCAGTCGTGTCTCCATGAACCCTTGTTCCGTGAGACGCCTCCCCAAGTCTCCTAACAATCCAATTAAGTATGAACAAGAATTAATAGCCTGAACATAAACGCAAAGACATAGCGCCATAAAGCAAACAGTATTCTACTTTGGTTCCACTCAAACAGTACCCACGCCGTTTCTCGACTCAGCACTACTCCGTTGACCTTCGGCTTTTTGAGAAGCAAGGAACTTCTTGAACATATCCGCAATGTCGTTTTCAGACTTCTTTCCTTCACCGGAAGATTGTCCGTTCTTCTCTGTGATCAAGTTCTTCAGCCACTGGTTCTCCAGCTCCAGTGCGGTGACGCGGGCCTCAAGCGCGGTGTTCTTATCTGTCGTCTCCTTCACGGTCTTTTCAAGCGCTTGCTCGCGCATCTTCTTCTTCACACGGAATCGTGCACTGGCAGCAGTGTTGCGTCGGCGCTTATCCTCCTCCGCCGCAATCCGCGATGCCTCCTCTACACTCATGGGAGCCGACTTCTGCGTATTCTTGCGCTTCGGTGCGGGAGCGGAAGATGTGATAGAGGGAGCAGGTACAGGTGCGGGAAGCTGCGATTGGGCTGCGGGCGATGGCGACGAAGTAGAAGTGGACTCTTTCGGGCTGGGGCTAGCGTTCGGTGACCCATTCGGCATCTGCGGTACGGCTGAGAACTGCGCATTATGCAAAGTCGTAGGCTGGGACTGAGCATTGACGGAGTTGAATCCGGTAGTTGAATAGTCAGGCATATTGCCGAAGCCTTGGAAGTAGAGTTAGAACGAGACCATGATCAATTTTCAACACAGAACAATCCGTAACCAAACGGGTGGGCGAAACAAAGAACATTAATGCAGTCCATTCAACAGTGATACCCGATCGCCCGATGCGACCAACTCGCAGGGAGTCACGTGAAATGACGCCATAGGGTAACGGGTACACGCTATCCACGCCAATTCAGGATCCTTGCTAGTTGCACAAAGTTTTCAATCTTTGATCGTCGCTTAACAGGGGCTAAACGTAGGCAGGGTCCAATGATAACACGTGCCAATGGCATGTGGCTTGGCGTATGCATCCATGTCTTTCAATGACAATAGGATATGTATTGTGCGAATCAAGTCACAGTCCCCCAAACAACATCAAAGAAGAGAATGTGACAGATGTAAAAAAGGCAGGCTTGTGTGGAAGGGAAACATAACGTAGTGTTCCTGTATATGTATAGCAATCAAAATGTAGGTGGAGAGGTGCGCAGGGTAAAGTTCAAGGCAGGATACGCAACCGAGAGATCTTCCAGCTCGTGTTCAAAAATAAGAGTAACGATATAATCTTTCAAGGAGATTCCAACTTACCGCCTAGGAGATCAAGGAACTCCATATCTGAGTTCTGGCTTGTGGTTTGTTTGTTTTCCTTCTTGAAGCCGTCGTTCTCCGCCGAGTCAAACCCGGGCAGGCTCAGATCCCCAAAGTTATCAAAATCGAAGAATTCCGCATTGGTAAAGAGGGAGAGTTCAGCATCGAGGTTGTATGAGCCCTGCTGCTGTTGCTGTAGAGCTTGGTCGTACGGTGACGGGATAGCATTCAGGTCTTCGAGGTATTGGGAAAAGTTGGGGGCCCTACGGCCGTTGAACTCGGCCATGGTGTATCGCCGAGGTTTCTAATGCTTTTGATATTCCGATGAAGTCCCTGTGAAGTTTCTTTTCTGTTTCCTTTCTTTCTGTTCCTATGGTCTGCTGCAGAAGCTTGTCGCTGAAGGGGAGATCGATCGAGGGGAAAGCGATTCGAACAATATATGGCCCGGAGGACGTTGGGTGATGACCGCCTTAACCGCGTGTAAATTGGGAGGGGTCGATTGGCAATTGCGAGACAGGATGACGGGGAGAAAGAAGAGAGAAGGAGAGGGAAGAGGGGAAGTAATCGAATGAGTGACTGTGGGACCGGAGAGGATGGCCGGGAATGGGAATTTGCGCGGGTGGGGGTGGGAAAAAGGCTGATTAAGCCCCGTAGAGAGGGAGGGAAACCGTTAACCAATTGGGTTAAGGAATGTTGTGCTTTGTAATATCAATCGGTAATTATCTTTCTCTACGGGAGTGACAGTACTCAACAACCACTGTCACCACCACAGGTTAGACTTCTATTTCTTGTATACCTTAAATCTCTTGAAACTGTCGATTTCTCGAAAACAATGTAAATATAGTAGGACAACCTTCCCTACCATCCAGGGAATATACCAAGAAATTTTTTAATCAACTTGATTCTCGGTCGCCACCGGCCATGACATCGACCCCGAGTCATTCCTTCCCGATGGCCGAAATCGGAATCCGGAACCAAAGACCGGAAACTGAGTCTCTGACTTAACCATGAAGTTATCTTACAAGCGGAGAATTAAGTTATATCTAGCAATCACTATCCAAGGTCAGGGATTTCTGATTTTATGTTCATTTATTTAATTATTATTATTAATAATATTTCTTTTCTTTTTTAATATTTTTGATTTTTATATATATGTGTATTTCTCAATTCAATATCACAAGATGGCATGTACTTCTCATAAATTTTTCCTCATTTTCCCAGGTGACAGAATTATCTCCATGGTTTAGTGATCACTGGTCAGTCCACGCAGTCTTTTCATGGCCAACCTCGTATTTAGAGCCAAACTTTCGTGCATTCGCTAGGGATTCTGGTTGGTGGAGGGTTGGGACCTGAGGCTGTATGATACTGAACTAGGGCACTTCTTAGGCTTGCCCCGATGCGCGGTTCGCGCGAAACAAAGGAAACCATACACTGTTGCTTACCAATCCAGATCATGCTGATCGGAGAGGACCGCAGTACTCTGTACCTCGGTGCTTACATCCGTAGTAAAGTTCTACACAATGCATTCCTTCAAGGCCACTCACGATACGACCTAGTCAAGACTGGTGTAGGAGGAGTATTAGTCTACCTCACCATCTTTTGCTTTACAGTGAATCTCAGTGTCAGCCTAAAGACAAATCAAATAGTTCAACCCGACCACATCATATGCTAATTTAGTTGCATCGTACTTTAATTTGTCTGCATGTCTCCAGTTTTCCTACTTGGGTTTTTCGCTCTTAATCGGAACGCTTCAGACGTCCCAAGAATCCCTCATAAAACTTTTTTCGTGGTAAAAAGAATATGGTAGTAGAAGAGGAAAACATATATGATTGTCCCAGACTAGTTATGACGGATAGCGTCCGAGATCCTACCAGCAAGAGTTGACCCTGAAGTAATGAATGGTAATATTATCAATAGTTACTCTCGGTGAACTTTCGGAGATGCTGACCTATTCATGGCCCTCAAGCGCCTGCTTGGCAAATAGACACACGTCTCTACTAATAGGGTGCTTAGTGTAGTACAACATATGATTCATCAACGGCATACTAGGTATCCAATCTCCAACGGGAAACCTTCATTTTGTGTCTCAAACACCTCGTACAACCAACTAACCGATATTTACTATCCTCCAAGCTCAGTAAGTGTACATGCAATTGGTATTAAGACCAACTTTCTCCACAACAGAGCACCATTAGTCCGTGGTATGTTTCACAGTTACCAGGGATGTCATAAACGGAATACTATCTACTTAGGTTTCAAGTACCAAAGATGAATCATACTACCTCCACGAGTTCCTTTGCTAGACCCGTCATTCTCACTCATATTTTTCCAGAAAGTTTCTCTATCCCATCTATCATGTAATATAGATGCTGCGCCTCGACTTGTAGATGTTGCTCACCGTTGCTGGCAATGCTGAAGATGCTCAGATCAAGTCTAACCTAGATTAAGTTTGGTTGCATGTCCTGCTACTAATAGGGCATAATAAACCCCGAAGTGTATCAACGACATCCAGGGTTCTTTTACCAATTAGTCAACTTTACCTGTGCCGTTTTCAAGGAGTAGCACAGGGCACGGAGGGATCAAGAATAATCCTTCTATAGAAAAAGATCACTACAATCTATACATTTCATATTCTTCGTCTTTTCTGTAGGAGTCTTTATTTAGATGATGGTATGATTCATATTCGGGATACTTTGAGGTGAGAGGTTGCATACTAGTAGTTCTCTTATTTGGCCTATTGTATAGATCCGGTCACTGACCAATCGGATAGGGACTTACCAACACCTACTTTGATAAGTACTACTAAGTACTAGTAAGGGTATACGTTGTCGGTCGTTATTCCTTTCTGCTACAGTTTCATTAAGGCGTTTAGACCCCAACGAATAAATCCTTGGTATACTCACCATATTTCGAGAGCTTGGGGTATGGTTGTCCCTACCGTCACATATGAACCCTGTTACCCTAAGTTATATCGTTTTCAGCAAGACAAATGAGAGAGTATTTTGATTACGGCAGCTATACTATGGCCAGTCAAAAGTTCCCTTGTGAGTTCCCAATGCATTTAGAATGGAAAATGTTACTACGGAATCGTAGAACCGACCACTACAGTGGCATCCATGCTCGTAGGATTATATACGTGAAATCAAGGTTAGCTGGGTAGGATGAATTTGACTAGCTAAAAATTCAGTAGTTAAACGGTGATCTCATATACATGCAGTCTAAACGGAATTGATACTTAGAAGAATATAGGTCGAGTAAGTACATTATCGTCATATACTCCAGCAGCATGTGACCAATAAATGCCAAGACCACAATCGACAACAATAATAAGTCATCAATTTTCCCGGATAACATAAGGGGTCTCGGTGCAATTGGCATTCATTTTTCATAAGCCTTGCTCCAGCAGCTATTATTGTTCCCACTCGGACACCTAGGACGGGATAATTCAGGAGAGTGGGGGAATTCAATAAAGCGTAAGTTCTCGGGTAAATTGTAGTCAGCTCAAAATTCCCATGTACAGCACAAGTTCTGATTGTTAAGCGCCGTTCCAGATTATGAAACAAGTCAAAATTCTCCTGGCTATGGTGCTGGGCTTCATTGAACGCATTATTCAATATGTAATTGGTGTCGACGACAAAAAATTATACGCATTGGACCATGCCATTCTCAGCATGGAAGTGCCTCCCAGAAGCATGTGGATGAATTTGGGTTATTGGAAGGTACGTAAAAACAGTGGATTGGGAAACCTTCCCCCGATTTATTCATATGTCTATGCCTATGGATAGATTGTTGAAGAAAATTAAGAACAAAATCTTAGGATACAAGCTCTTTCAGTAAAGCCTGTGAATCACTCCTAGATCAAGTTCTGATCACAGCAAAGCTTCTCAATGAAGATGGGACGCCCGTTAGATCACAACATCAGGAGCAGGATTCCATAAAGCTGATTGATGCTGGCATCGGTTGCGGTGACCAGTCTTTATACCTAACGAGGAGACTCTCTAGAGGCTGTACTGACTCCGTCACTGCCCCCTCTTCGAACGGGGTAAAGACAGCTATTGATAACAGTAGTAGTGTCTATAGCAGCGAGACTAGAAAGAGAAGAGGGTTGAGCTTTCACGAAAGCCGACCTTTATTTGACTCGTACGTGGGAATTACTATTGTACAATCCCAGGCAGAGCTTGCTCAAGAGCGCCTCCTAGAGGATACTACGGAATCCTCTACGAAGCCCCCAGGATGGACGCCTGATGTGAAGATTTTTGCCGCCGACGCGGCAGACCCTTCGTCATGGGGGAATGAACTTCAGCAAATTACCTTAGGCAACTCTAGTCTTGATGGAACCACAAGTGAGGACACTGATACTGACAAGGGGAGTGGGAAGACACAAAGGTGGCTGTTAGCCCTTGACGCAATGTATCATTTTAAACCGTCTCGAGACCCGTTGCTGAAATACGCACGCCGAGACATGCAGGCTTCGATCATGGCATTTGACCTTCTTATATCCGAATCGGCATCATTCTGGGAAAAGCTGATTCTACGATCGATGTGTCTTATATCAGGGATGCCCTATTCGAATTTCCTTACGAAGGAGGACTATGAGGATATGTTGGTCCAGGCCGGGTATGAGCGAGATATGATTGAGATGAGAGACATCTCAGAGCACGTCTTCACGGGTATAGCAAGTTACATAAGGAAGCAAGATGCCGAACTGAGGAGATATGGGATGACTGTGGGCAAGTTCAAGGGAGCTGCGAAAGCTTTCAATTGGTGGGCTAGGACTGGGGTGGTGAGGGGGTTCGTGGTGGTCGCACGCATGCCGGAGTAGTAAAAAGTTCGTTGCGCCAAGTATCCCAGCTTTTCAGTAAACCAGTACGTTGGAGTGCGCTATGTGAAGACAAATGTAATATTAAATGTATTATGCGGGAACTATGTGGCGGTGCAAGAATGCCAGTATTCCAGAACTGACAGAATTATATGATCGACAATAACCACTGATTAGTGGGCTTGTCTTTATATACATCATTTCGTCACTGTGAAACGTTTCCTATGCGTAATCATTTGCTTATTAGCCAAGGAATCTCGACATCTAGGCTTGCTGCAACTCTCATGGCGGACACGACGCATCCCTCAAGCAGGACCATGCCGTCCCAACACCAAGCGCCAGCTAGCCAAACGTTCCCGGTCCCGTTGGACCAGAACTTGTCATTTGCTTGATACGTATTTTCGAGCTTCCCGGCGAATATCTGGTTGACTATCCTCCTGCTTTGCGGAGTTCGTAGAACGCGGGTCAACCGCGCGCGATGGATAACCTTAGCTGGCTCTATCGGAGCAATCGGAAAACTTGTCACTAGAACTGAGCAAGGGTGCTCATGGATCGCCTCCGTTGCCGAGGAATTGGAGCATATGTGCAGTATTTGAGTAGGATCAAAAGATTGCCGGGCTGTCGCGGAGAATCGCCTCAGTGCCTGACCACAGTCAGGGACGCTAGATCTGTCGCGGTGAATGACTGATTCTCCTTGATTCACAGGGATTAAGCCCATCGCTTTCCGTAAAGGCTCGTAGATGGCGCCAACAACATTCGGAGTGACCGCCATTACGACGTGATCGAACTGCCTGGAGTGAACCTCTGTGCTTTTCGAGTCGGTCCATGTGACTTGGATTCTCGAACCAACATTTTCAACCCGGGTAACGATCGCGCCGAGCCTTACAGATTGTTCCGTGGATATCCTGGCCTGGACATTTTGGACGCCTCCGACAACCGTATAGTGCGACTGACGGTATGTTCTCCTCGCATAGTCCACAGCATCGATGGCGGGAAAATCAAGTAGCTCGTTATGCGAGCAGGTTGTCACGCTCGACATGAGCGGTAATAAATAGTTGTTGGTGAAGTGCCGTGGTAATCGGATTCGTTCCAGGTATTGCCGAAGCGATTCATCCTCCTCAGAGGTGGCTAGCTTAGGCTCAATCAAGAAGCAGCAAGCCGTAAACCAGAAGTAGCACACTGCCAAGAACAAAGTCCGTAAGATCCATTCCGCGTAGCCACAGCCTTCAGGTCGGATTGGCGGTACTTGGTGATTGCTAGATGAGTGGATGAAGTGCGGAGGCATCTTCTTTCCATCTGCGGTGGAAATGGAGGATAGCGGATAAATGAATTTTGGCGAAGTGTATTTGACCCCGAGATAGTCATACATACACTTTAGATTGTTATGAAAGCCGTCATCAAATGCACGCATGGGCACATCAACACGATACGTGTGGTCATCATCTGCCTTAATAGTGTATGAGGCAGAATCCAGAGACAACTGGTCCTGCTGCAGAAGTTCTTTAGTACATTCGGACTTCGAGCAGGGACCGGAGCGTCAAGTATTCCAGTTACCATTTCAAAGACCTCCACCTCATATCTGCATTTTCTGTCTTGCTGGATCAGATACGCCGACACCAACCCAGCCATTCCAGAGCCGATGACGGCGACAGACTTTTTGGGCTCTAGGGCCACCATCATGGGCGATCTTGGCAGAAAACTATCTGTCGTGGTTTAAACTATTGGAAAGGAAGCATATCGTAAGAGTTTTGGTGAAATTTGCTAGATTGATGTTATATGTATTCGACATGTATGTACACATACATTCAAAGAACTTTTCTTGTAGAATACAGAAATTCGATAAATCAGGTGACACATAACTCTTCGTGCCTAGGTTCACGAAACAAAAAGTTTATTTAGGTGAAATATGAATACTAATCAGAGCCGAAGGGACTGTGCTTCAATAATCCATGGTTACATCCACCCAAAAAAGAGGTACTCTCTGACCCACCTTTTTAGACAAATCAGAACGAAGTCAATGTACATTAAGATATTCCCTTGCATTGGTTCATTTGAAAGCCGTATGTTTAAAGGGTTCATATGTACGGATGAAATCTCCTATACTCAAAGTTATATGATGTACACCTGAGCTACTACTAGTAGCAGTTCGTAAGGCAATAAGGTACGGGTACCTTATTACTAGTATAACTATATTGCAGGGTGCTTACCCCCAGATTGGGGGCCAAAATTTTCAGGTCTTACTAATACTCCTTACCTTAAACAACCTAAAGGCAATGGCATTGTCATCTAATTTATTTCTGTTCCAAGGTTGCATTTGTAGCTCCATTGCGTTACGGAGCCAACATTGTACCGGACTTAAAAAAAATAAAAATAAAAATAAACAAAGTTGCAGGGGATATCAAACCCATCACCAGCCCATCCAAATACCCTGTCACCATCCGGAGAATTATCATAAAACAAAAACAAGAAAAAAAAATAAATAAAAGAAAATAAAAGAAAAGATTCAAACTCCAGACCAACTCCCTCATGAATGGTTCTCTACCTGACCCTCTGCATTAATCATCATGTGAAAGGAAATTATACATGGAAGTTCAGTCCCTTGAGTATCGGCGTAACATCGTCTCAGATCGTCCCAATTGCACAACCGGGAACAACCATCAGTCATGACCTAGTCCTTTTTCGCCTCAATCGATGCTTCAGGCTTGGTCTCTAGCTCTTCATCTTGTTTTTCGTCTCTCAGCTTATCCTCGTCACTCTCATCGCCCGTGATTTCTCCCCATCCTGAACCTCGATGGCTGATACGCCCAGTGGACATAGGATTGGTCAATGTTCCGCCAATACCGGAGATGCTCGCCGCGTTACTGTCATGCCGACTGTGTGTCTGGCCTGCACTCGTCACACTAGCACCGTCAACGCCTGGACTTTGCTTGTTCGCATACAGGCTCCCGCGCTCACCGCCTCCACCTAGAGCTGTTGCGCCAGAGGCGGAGTAGATGCTGATCCGCTCGGCGCTAGCTAGGCCAACGATACTCGGTCGGTTCAGAACTCCGGTTGCATTGAATGTGGATGTATTCGACGGCTCTCCAACGTTTCCGCTCAATACACTTAACGGCAGACTTTCCCGGCTACCACCGAAAACGCTCGATGGGGCGAGGGCGCGTATTGAGGCATTGGTATCTAACGAGTTACGTCGACGTCTCTTAGAAGAGGAGGCCAGAGTCAGAATAGAGGCGTTGTCGGTTAAAAGGTTATTTGCGGTCGCAGTATTGTAAGTAATGGAGTGGCTGTGAGGGACAAGGTGGGGCGGCACTGCAGTGGCCGGAGAAGGAGGAAATTGGTGTGAAAACTGCACCTGTTGTGTCGTAGTGCTATGCATCGAGTTCGTATGGTGTATACCGTGATGCGCGTTCTGTGCGTTATAGAGATGACCGGAAGGCGCCGCCGACTGCACGGTTGTCAACGTAGTGGTGAGCGACCGTACCGATGGTGCTGGGGAGGAGAAGGTGCTCCCTTCACCACCCCCGTTTGAACTAATTCCACCGCCCGCGGTTGCCATCGTTCCTGTTTTGGAATATGCGGCCTCTGAGATTACTGTATCACCGTTGGTGGAGATGGTCGGAGCGGTAGACTTGGCACTCGTAGCCGGCACTTGGATGTCGCACCCGGAATATGCTAGGGAGGGCTCGCTCTGTGAACAGGATCTTTGTCCATTACTATCACTTAGATCGGACCGGCTGTTGTCACTATTGTATTCATGTATTTCGACTGCGCCGGAAAGCGGGTAGGGATTGTTCTTCAGGCTCCGTTTGTGTTTGGGTAGAGCATGGCGTTTGTTAGACCAACGAGTGCTCCCTGAGTCGGCAGAGCTTTTGAGGTTGGCGAGTCGTTTCATCCAGCTAGAAAATGGGCGGCGGCGTCCATTGCGATCTGGGTCGGTTACGTTAGACATGTACTCCAGAGACACCGTTGATACCGCACGTAGGAGAGAACGCACCATGCGCCCTTGCGGGGCCCTCAGCTGTGGCCATTCTAGCCTTGTAGAGGTATAGACCCGAGAAAGACAAAACCACTGGAGAGGTACAATAAGAGACCTAGGCTAATATATTGTCCGAGTCGCTCAAGATCAACACAGTGGCTGCGGTCGAGCAGTACTGGCCAATACGACAAGACAGTCGATCAGATAAGAGCCGCAGGAGGGAGGAATGGGACGAGAGAAGGACGCAGATTTGGAGGAAGCCCGAAATAGAACGGAATGACACACCAGCGGAGCTTAAATAAGAGTTGAACCTGTTCTCACACCAAAAAAGGAGTGAAAAAAAGGATGTAAGAACGATGTTGGATTGTTGTCTTTGCTTCAGGAGTCCAACAGGAGACGCCGTTGGCCCGCACGTGATACCAGCATCATAATCAACAAATGAGAACACCTGCCTTCCAGCACTCTTTCTTCTACTAATAGTACTAGTAGTGGGTTGTCCTAATTTGCCAGTGTCTGTTGCAATTTATGGGCTTCAGGACGACTTCCTTTTTACCTTTCTTCTCATCTCTATCGTGTTTTATTCAAGGATCTTTTTTCCCACTCATCCCACATTATCGATTCGTTACGGAATGCGCCATGATGTATAACCCCATTCTTAGTTTAGATCCTCGATTTTCATATGGAATAAGTATTCTGACGCCTCAATATCTCACCAGTAAAGCACCTAGGGCTCAAGAAAGATTTTCAAAATATAAAACAAGATTGTACTGTGCATCTATCACCATATCCAGTAGAGAGGCTTCTATCATCGAATGTATTATCGATTGGATTATATAATTACGACTGTATCTCTCGGTATTCCTGGGATATTATAAATTTTCTAAGCTGGAAGAATAGTGTTGTATCTAGAATTTTTCTCGAAAAAAGAGGGTGAAACAAATACTCTTATAAATTTCAGGTTCACATGACAGGAAACTACCTTGCCATATATTGAGAATTGCTACTCCGTACTTATTCGAGACATGATGTATTAAACAATGCCGACATACGAATACGGAAATGATACGCAGCTCTCCTACCCGATACGTTTAGCGCATTTCAGTACCTCATCCCATATATAAGCAGGAAGCACATCATTCTTTCTACTCTCGTCAAACCTTCTGAATATGTTGATGCCGCTGGCGTAACGCTCCAGGATGACACCATGTGGAAGCTATCACTCTCAATAAGCTGTCTACATTCGGTCTTCACTGTCGGCTATGTCTTTGGATAGTCGCAAGATTACACCCCTGCCGCCAGAAGTGGTAGCAAAGCTCAAATCTTCCACATCCATCACGCATCTAAACGGGGTAATTGCTGAACTCGTGAAAAATGCGCTGGACGCAAATGCAAACACGGTTTCTGTGACTGTTGACTTTCGACGCGGGGGTTGTAGGGTCGATGATAATGGTGATGGAATTCTACCAACGGAGTTCGAGCCAAGTGGGGGATTAGGGAAGGCGCACCGTATGTCGAATCTCCGGCAAGTAAACGGAGTTTCACTCATTTTCTGGCAGATACGTCAAAATACCACACTAGTAACGATGTATATGGTCGAAAGGGATTGTTTCTAGCCTCATTATCTTCACTCTCACTGCTGACCATCACGTCGCACCATGCTCGCCATTCCAGCACAAACACCATCATGTTCCATCATTCGACACCGGTAGCCCGGCTGACCCCAGCTCCAGTCCAACAGGAGTTGAAGCTCAGCAACCATGGGACTAGCGTTACGGTCAATGATTTATTTGGGAATATGCCTGTCCGAGTGAAAAATCGAGCCTTGGCACTGCAAAAGCACGACGAATTGGACCGTCAATGGGATGAGCTGCGGCAGCTTTTGGTCTCGCTAATGCTGGCAAACGAAAACCTGTTAAAATTGATAGTCACAGACGCTGCTAAAGATAGGAAGCTCACTGTCCGTTCCCATTCTCAGATTCACCGAACCGGCGATAAATTGGACCTTCAGCGCATAGGATCGATCCTCGCACAAACAGGGCTCATTACTTCTCAAAACAATGGCAATTGGAACGCCATGTCAGCCAGTGTACCTGGCTTCTCAGTTCGTGCAGCTATATCTCTTGTGCCGAGTCCTACAAAGAAAGTCCAATTTATCTCTGTAGGGATGGACCCTGTCTTTCCCCGAAGCAGTGTCAGTTTTTTATATACCGAAGTAAACCGCTTGTTCTCTTTGTCAGATTTTGGTACTACGAGGACCCCATCCATGCCGACCTTTGGTACAGGCCCAGCAGAACATCCTAACCGTAACGACAGTCCAAATGCAAAGCCTACAACCAAACCTGTCAACAAGTGGCCAATGTTCTATATACGCATAGACACTAACGAGCCCCGTATAATTAATAATGAGGACCATGAATTGCCCGAATCGGACAAATCTGTTCAACGTATCATAGATGTACTTGCCGCAATGATCCAGGAATTCTTGAAGCAGCATGATTTACGCCCACGCCCTGTGAAAAGGAGTCGTAAGACGACACGGAAAGAGGCAATCGGTGGGGCTGGAAACAGATTTGATCGACCTCCGAGTCATTCAGAAAAATATTCCAATGTCGAGGAAACGTTGAGCTCTCAATTGAAGCTACCAAACTTCCAAAAATCTACACCAAATGTCCGTCAAAGCTTTGGGGAGTGGTCAAGGATTAAAAGTTCCCAGGAGTCTTTCAATGCAAGTTCTACAAAAGCGGAAATTCGAACAACTTATCCAGAGATTACTCAAGGGGCGAAGCAGCCTTCAGCTCAAGGTGGTCTGTCGATTGGATCAGAGCAAGCCAAGCATAGAATGCTTGAGGAGTCTCAGCCATTATTGAGCGACAAGAATTCTAGAGCGCTTGAGACTACAGGGAAAACAGGGGACAGTATGGTCCCTTGGATCGATCCCTATACCAGACAGAGTTATTTGACCAACTCACAAACTGGCCATTCAATTGATGTTAGATCACCCACGGATGCGGTTCGAAGGCCTAAATCAACAAAATCACTTCAGACGATGCGGACGTTGGACAGTACAGCAGGCCCGAGGTCGGGAAAGACAAAGAATCTGGTGGACACATGGGAAAACCCTGTCTTTAGCCGGTCAGAGAAACCTTTAAATGTGATTGCAGGATGTGGTACTGGCGTGAATACGTTTCACGCTGGAGTCAACAATTGCTCATCTGGCGTTTGTGGGTTCGAAAATTTGGGGTTGTCGAATGTTCGGGGTAAACTGCGAAAGCAAGATCTCGAAACAGCAGAGATAATCGCACAGGTTGACCACAAGTTCATTCTTGCCAAGATGAAGTCCACGGCAGTGAATGGTCTTAGCAGCGATCCGGGGTCCATCCTGATCCTTGTCGATCAGCATGCTGCTGATGAGCGATGCCGAGTGGAGAGACTTTACGATGAATGCTTCACATCATCAGTAGAAAGCTCTAGGCAAGTACGATCAGTTTCATTGGAACCTATCATTTTTGAAATCCCAGCCACTGAGGCACCAATTTTTGGACGGTATACGGAATACTTTGAGTCGTGGGGTGTCGATTACACCATTGAGCAGGGACCAGCAGACGGACCCGCGCACATTTTGGTTCATACACTCCCCACGCTCATTGCCGAGCGTTGTAGGCTCGAGCCAGATTTGGTTACGAATCTAATTCGTGGAGAGATCTGGAAACGCGAGGAGAACGGGAGGGGGCCTGAAAGTCGAACATCATTTTTGGGGCTAGATAGCACTGACAGACGCTGGATAGAGCAGCTTGATATCTGCCCTCAGGGAACCGTTGAGCTATTGAACTCAAGGGCCTGTCGATCAGCTATCATGTTCAATGACGAATTGACAATCGAGGAGTGCCAGAGTTTAGTGAGCCAATTAGCGCGATGCGTGTTTCCATTCCAGTGCGCGCATGGACGGCCATCAATAACACCCATACTCGACATGACGAATTGGTTGGCTTGGGTTGAGCCAGAGGCTGAATATATGAACGAAGCAGGGGAGCCTTCCGAATTTGCTGAGGCCTTCAGAACTTGGAGGGACAATTTTGCGCATCGCTAAACTTTACCCATATCAAATAGCAGTCATGCAACGTTCCAAACGGATATTTCAGTGAGAAGAGGGAGCCTCCATTTTTCAAACAAACAAACCACAAGGCTTGATGAGCTACGGACGCCTGGATGATCAGTGAAACTCGCCCTCAAGCAGTTGATATTCAAACTTAGCAGATGGGTCATCAGATAACTGACTACTAGCGTTTGTCCTATCCGGTAGGCTGAAGCGTTTGCAATATTGCCAGACAGAGCACTGCCCGGTGTTCACCTTACTTCCTTCCTAAGATGTTAGTCATTAGCTTCTCTCACAGGGTCTTGTGAGTACTTCTATGAAGAGAGGGTAGAGATGGAAAGAAGGTAGTCAGTCAAGAGACAATATTAGGATTATTGTCATAATTTGATATATACAAAGTACAGTACATGTTATCCACCCAAACCAGTCCAGTCCAAACCTGTTCCTATATCCTATCCAATCCCATCCATATCCGACGTAGTCCAACCCAAGTAAAAAAAAATTTTCATAACACAGTTCCTCGCGACAAGTCAAGATCACCCAGTGTATTCAAAACCCAGTTCAGGGTGAAAAGAAAGGAAAAGAACGGAGGGCCAACCCTCCCCCTCCCAAATTCTATATATCCAAGCAGCCAGCCGTGAGGCGTGTATGATATACCTGTATGTGAAACACCGGTTGCTGTTTTGTTTTTCTTTGTTTTCCCAATCCAACCTTTTAGAATCCGCTTGACTCCATCCAGCGTATCCTGACCCATCGCTTTTGTAATGAAACAAGAGAAGAATAACACGAATGCCGCCCGAAAGTGAAATGGGATATCCATAGTAAACTGGACGAAAAATAAGGTAATAATGATAAAATATTGGAACGCCGTAAAACATGATCAAAAAATGTAACTGTCGTAAATCATAATAGTGGCCACATATCACCGACGAAAGCGATTCAACCGTTAGTCGCCACTGACTTGGCTTTGGAAGGATGTGTCCAAGACAGGAAGTCAAATTTGTCCTTGGCGTTCTCCAGGATAGACGATGCGCTTGACTCGGGCTGAGTATTCGAGCGTGCGGTTGGGGGCGGGTCGCGCGGCTCCAGCACCAACGATCGGCGATAGAATGTTTGCATACTCTTCTCACCGTTCGATCGCACCCGGATCAACTCGTTTTGCATCCAGGCTTGCAATTCCGGTACTTCACTCAGCCGATACGGGATCTGAAACCTCTGGAGTTCGCTAATGATCCTAGCTGTCTTCATGTGCTTGTCGAAGTTGATCACTGCCATCTCACCGTCTTCGGTAGGGAGGCTGCGCAAGGGCTGGTTTCCATGATCCACGAAGGTGAGGTCGGTCAGGTATGTACCGACAAAAGGCAAGCAGGGAGGAATGCGGTTCTGGAGTCGTTGTCTCAGAACTGCATAGTTCCGCGATACATCAACAACGCCGCGAAGGTACTCAAGCGTTGCCTTGGTCTTTTGTGATACGATTTCCCAGGTCCGCTTAAGACGGGAGATCATCGATGAGTTCAGGGAGCAGATGATGGCCATCAGTGTGTCGTAGTTGTCGAGTTCCAGGCACTTGTTGGCAATCTTCACCCAGTGTTTGATTGTAGCTGCCCGCTTTTTAGGCTCCTCCAGCTGGAGGATGGAGTCAGCCACTAGGTGTGCTAGATCCGTGGACAAAGTAGACATTGCGCGGACATTCACAGCCAAGGATGCGGATTTTTTCATCCACTCTGTTGCCAGAAGCTCCTCGGGGAGGATGGAGCAAAAGATGCGGGATTCCTTGATGGTAAATTGTCGGGCGAGTTCCATCGGGTCAAAGTCCAAAATACTGAGACTACCCTCGCCGTTCTTCCATTGTCTAAGAAGATTGTTCTCCTTCTTTCCAAGGATGGGTGGTGGCATCGGGGCATCGGGGTGTACATATTGCGCAGTCGCGGTGTTTGTCTTTCCCATCGAAGAAACCAACCGGGGCACCACCGGACCATGGACCGCAGAAACCTTCTCCGCAAGCTCTCCCAGGCGCTTGCCGGCAGACGGCAGGCTGTGCATTAATGTGGTGTTAGCAAAGGCCATTATGTAGTCCAGCGCCAAATTGTCACAGTCATGCCGCCAGTGAGACTCGAGCCAGCCCTTGAATACGTTGTAGACGCGAAGGCGAACGGGACCCGCAGCGCGAGGCGTGTCGCCAATGTAGTTGAACCGGTCAACAAGGGTCTCTGCAAATTCCATCGGAGTCGCGAAGAGACGGAAAGTGAGGTAGAAGGCGGAGACGAACATAGCGTCAGGGGTCGATCCATGGGCTGTGAGCTTCTCCACCAAAGCACGAAGGCTGCCACCCATTACCTGTCCGTCTTTGAAGATCAATTCATGCGCGAACGTCTTCTCTAAGATGTTGGCTTCCGTCTCCTCGTTCTCCTCAGCCAAAGTCGAGTGGCTGGCACTTCCATGAAGCGATGGTGCTTGGTAGCTGTTGCAAATGTCCGGAGACGTGGCTCGGGTGGAAGTCTGGGATACCCCACTCATTTCAGAATCACGCAGGTGGCTGTTGTACGTGAAGCTACTTCCAGTGCTGGTGATTCCCCGGCCGAAGGACTCGCTGACTTCAGATTTCGGATGACTGTCACGGCACAGCATGCTATCTTCGACATGGGTGTCATGGATGGGTGAGGTAAACGTTTTGTCCACGTTAGAGGAGAGCACAGCTGGAGAATGATCGACATTGTCAGAGGTTGGGGTAGCCAATACACGAGAGTAGAAGGAAGACGGAGTGGTAGCATCTGTGAGGCCCGGAGTAGAAGCGGAGTCGCGTTGACCCTTCTTGGTAGGGATTTCAAGCGGGGGAGGAGGGAGACGCAAAGATACTTCTTTCTGATCACCTGCAAGACTCCCTGTACGCTTTGGAATCGGTGTACTCTGGGCATCAGTGGCAGCACTGGAGTCCTGGGGTATCGCTTCAAGCTCAAAATCGCCACTCTGCTCCAACATCCACCGAGCTTTCGCCAAGCAGTTTCCTGCACTCCTGACACAGTCGGTAGCAGCGTCAACAAGACGTTTACCTTCATCCGGCATGAAGATAAGCTCGTCATCGGCAGAGTGGGCGGGACGGAAGGCATCCCGAGCCGCATAAACAAGCTCTGAAAGTCGCTCATACATTGTGTCCCGGGCTTGCTCTAGAAGCCCGCTTCCCTGCGGATCATGCTCACACACTGCCTCGACGACAGTCAGCAAACCTCGACAAGACCGCACCGCCTGTTCCGTGGTAACGACCAGCTCTGTTGAGGGACGTGACTGCAGATGAAGTCCGATGAACGAGCCTAGCACTCCCAGAAAAGCGTCGTACGTGGCGTTCAACCTTTCCGAAGCTAGGTTCGGGTTTCGGGATGCCGCAGCAGGCGCTGAGCAAGACACTCTGTGGGAGATCCGCTTGGTGGACACGGACACGGGGCGATGTGGCTGGGCATCTATCGTATCCGTTCGATTAGATGCGCGACTCATATCCAACCGGCTGCGGTTCAGCAGTCTGGATTCACCCCGCTCCGTATCGGCCTCCGATGAAAATGTGTCAGACATGGGAGTCGGGGGAATGTCAAAATGTGTTATTTGTCCAAGCTCGGCGATGGTCCTGCTCAGACCTACTTCCTCGTTCCATATATCGAGGAATCGAACACCGCGAGTCACAATTCGGAACGCCTTCAGCAGCATCTCGTCCATCATGTACACTTCATCATCTGTGCCGTTACTGCTACTGGGCATTTCCTGGCATTTCTTCGTCGTCCGGACTAAGGAAGAAAGATCTGCGAGCAAGGCTTTGCGGTTCCTGCGCAGGCCATCGTGGCTTTTTACCAGAACGGAGTCGCGAGTGAGACACTCGGATTTTTCCTGATAACAAGTCAGCTACTCTACCACGGTCAATCCGGTGGCCGATACTTACTAATAGAAAGCGCACCCCAGCGATCAGCCCCTTCACGGTGTCCTGGTTGCAAAATTCGCGCAGAGGGAAACCGCATCCTCCCTGGATAATGTCCCAGAAGTCGGTCAACGCTTTCAGGAGCGGACGCATTGGTAACTGATCATAAGCCTCGCAATAGTTAGTGGGTAGCCAGCCCCGGGCACCGGTATCTAATAAAGTGCCATCTGCCCATCCATTGGTGTGAACCGAATGCACTAATATAATGTCCCCTTGATCCAATGGTAGTGTGATGGTAGCGGGTGATACATCGCCTGGTGGGTGAAAAGGGTAGAAAGCGCGCAGGTAGTTATGGAAGACGGCTCGCGGAGTTTCCGTTTGATCCATGCTGTTATTGTCGTTGTTGGTGTTGGATGGTGTTAAAGGAGGTGTCATCTGATTATGTTCGGTAGAATAGAAGCGATTGGAGTGGAAGTTGGAGTTTCCCTTTTCGATCTTCAGCGGCGCAATGTGTGGCTTCATTGGTTCCATGTCTTCCGAGTTCGAATTCGAGTTCTGGATATGATTCTCTTCCAGTTGGTCTAGCCGGACGCAGGGTCACTGACCGCAGATTATGAAAGAGAAGACTCAGTGAACATCCTCAGTGGCGAAATACGGTAATCACAAGAATCGGGTCTAGTTGCTCAAGGGGATGATGGTCAATTACGTCGACACAAGGAGATCGTGGAGCACTAGTGATGTATTGGCGCTATCAAGGACTGGGGATGAGAGTTTATCTTCCGATATCTGTAGATGGTGGCACTCACGGTCAACATTCACGGCGCCCAGTTCAGAGGGCTGAGGGAATTGTTTAGGTGGGTGTTTTGGGAAGGGTCTTGCACATCACCTAGGGAATGCCTGAGGGAAGGAGAGGGGTGGGAAAGAATGGCGGGAATGCTGGGGAAGGGTGACCGGGTAACCAGGGCGTACCTCGATACGTATGCAGAAAACGACAACCAAATGGCGAACACTCAGTCACTCGCCGTGATAGATCGCATCAATCCTTGATACTAGAGCACGTTCCTGATCCAGGATCAAAACGAGGGTGGAATGGATGATAGTTGACGAGCACGAGCACGGGGAATTTGGAAGAAGGCTAGGAGAAAAAGGAAACAATAGAAGGGCCGTAAATCGAAGCAGGGCAGGAACTAGATTGCGCTGATCCACTCCGAAGGAATCCTGCCTCCTCGAAGAAAACTGGGTAGGGGTTGCAGTAAGGACCACGATACAGGTCCCGAGGTTGCAGCTTAGGAGAGTGATGAGACCCGGTAATGGTGAAAGAAGGCGGAAATTGATCTTCTCGAGGCGCAAAATGAACGCGGGGGTTACAAAGTTAGGCTGGTTGTTCGTGGCGTTGATACGCAAGGGCGACGGGGGGAGGTTCCAAACACGACCCACGAAGGGAGAATGAATGTTATCGTCTCGTAGGAGAGATTAATCAATTAGATTGCCACCAGCAGCAAGTAATTATCGGAAACCAGCGATGTTCCACCGAAGGGAAAGAGAGAGAAGGGGAATGGGAAGAGGAGAGAAAGGAAAGAATCGAAAAGAGGGTTGAGTAGTATATTCGGAAGAAGTAGTATAAAGTCGGGGAAGGAGTTGATGCGATAAAGAACGGATGGCGGAGGGGAGCGGGACAAGGACCCAGAATAAAATAAAATAAAAAAAGTACAGCGTATTTTTTCTCTTTTTCTTTTTTTTTTTTAATTCTCCAGGTTCACCATGACCAACTAGTAAAAGTTGGTCGTTCAATGGGTGATTATCCACCGGTTCCTTCGGTGGAGTCAGGTATACTACTAGCGAGGATTAGTTGTAGTATTAAAATATAGTATGGAAAGGACTAAAGTTCCTGGGCTAACAAAGTCAGTCTGCCCATCCCTGACTGGTCGGGGAGCAGGTGATCCGTGTGTCGACTGATTGGACTACTATTTTCAAGGTACTTTTCCTCACATCCCCATCACTACTACCTATAAAATAAAACTAAATTTCCTATTTTAATCATGAGTTATAATGACACGCATTATTTATTTCTTCAAAAAGAAATACGAGAAGAAAACCAAGAAATCGCAAGAATACAACATAGCTACAATGGTTTTCGGAATCACAAAACAAATCAATGGATTGAATGATTCTTTCCGAATGACCAAAATCCAACACCAGCTAAAAGTCTTTAGTCTGCGCCCAAACCGTCTATGATCTTCTTGCCATCACACAGGCGTTTCTTAGCAATGATGACGAAGTCCACACGTCGACTGTTTCTTTTCATTTTTCCTTTTTTTTTTCTCCCTACTTCCTTTAATTGGAAAATTAATTAATTTGTTATCTACTACTATTTTATTTTCTTGTTTTTTTTTTTAAACATCCTTCCATTAAGCACCAGGCAGCATTAGTGTTCCATGATTAATATATGCCAGATTAAAAACGGCTTAAGAACTCCCGCTAACAACCCCTTATTACCGGGACCATGATACCTTGAGTTGAAATCAACTGCGAGAAGAGACATCATCGTATGTTGCCATCATGGTACTATTCTGCTTGATAATTATATCCAGAAGAACAAATATTACTTAAAAGAAAAGAGAAATAAACAAGATGAAAAGAAAATATAAGACATGGCCAGTCCCTGCGCGGTTCCACCAGTATGAAATGGCAAAGACCTGCCTTGACAAAACAAGGGTTCGAGCCCGTTCTTTTTTTTGATTGACCGGCGGTTAGCCAAGACACTAACGCGCCGGTGGCAAAAGCAACTGTTCCTCCCCTCACATTCATTGGAAAATTAAATGCATCAATTATATCAATACCTAATAATAAACAAATTAAATAATAAATAAATTCGGATGACTAGGCATAAGTTTATAACAAGGGTAGCTTAAGAAGAATACTACCGAATACGGTTTAAAAAGGAATTGAAAACCAGGAAAAAACAAAACAAAGAAGGGCAAATTTTTGGGAAGGATCGACGACGCAGAAGACCGTCCCATGGTTGACAGAACCTTCGTGTCTTAGGAATGATTTATGCAAAACGGAAGCTCCATCTTGCTTCTTGAGTCACCCAGAATCATTATACTTACTTAGTACTAAGTACAGAGTACAGGGCTGAAGGCGCTGCAATGGAGGTTTCTCTCTCTCTCCTTCTCGAACTCTCTCCCCCTATTCGAGACCAGTCCAAGTGGACCATTCTCCCTCCCTTCAAAAGTAAAAAAAAAATAATAATAATAAATAGATGA